ATATTCTATATATTATTACTTAAATTTTATACTTATTAAAATAGTACTAAAATAGTATTTATATAAAAACTAAAGCTAGTTAATAATAAAAAGATATAGGAAATTAAAAAGGTAATAGATAAGGTTAAAAATAAAAATAAAGTTTAATATAAGATAAAATAAATAGGTTAAAGTATTAATTACAACTAGTAGCTATTAAATAAAAAATTAAATATTATAGTAAATCTTTAAAAAAAGTTTAAAAAGCAAGTAATATATAAGTAGAAATAATTATAATAATATTTTATAAGCTAGTTAATATATATAATATATATTAAGCTAAGCTTTTATACTTAACTATTATTCTTTATATATTTTATTTCTTAAATTATTTATAAAATATTATTTTTATTTATAGCTATTCTATTAGTATTATTAGCTAAGGAGAAAGTAAGAGCAATAGATTAGAAAGCGCCCTTTAACTTATAGATTAGAAAATACCTATAATAGCTTATAATTAAAAAAAGAAAAAGGAAGAAAAATAAATAAAGAATATTTATATCTAAAAGGTAATATTACTTTTAAGTTAAACTAATATATTAATAATAGAAATAGTAGAAGGCAATTAGATTATTAATAACTAAATATAGTTAGGTACTATCTTTTTAAACTAATAAATAAAGATATATTAAGCTAATATTTAAATATTACTATTAAACTAAAGTCTAATATAGATTAAAAAGCGCCCTAGTATATAAGCTAAAAATTCTAACTTTAAAAACTATTTATAATTAGATATTAAAACTAGCCTAATAAAAGATAATTTCTAATTACTAGTAATATATTAATATAAGTACTTTATTAATAAGATTACTTTATTATTATTTTAAACTTTTAATACTTACCTTATAAGTAATATAGTTAATAGGATTATACTACTAAAAATATAAATATATATAAGCTTAAAAGGAAAAGCCTACCTACTAGCTTATTACTATTTTTTTCTTCTTTATTCTCCTTTTTACTACTACTAATATTATTGCTATTATTTAAGCTAGAGCTTAATATTGTTTTATTTATTAATACTAGTAAAAAGCTAGCGGATATAATTTACTTTACTTTCTTTATATACTATAATACCCCTTGTATTTTCTATACTTTTATTATTATTATCCTTGTCTTTAATAGCCGCTAGCTCTGCGCTAGCACTAGTATCTATCTTATAATTAGTTATAAACTTATAGTTTTCTTCCTTTTAAATCTATAAATACTAGTATTATAATAGTAGTAGGGGGATTTATATTTTAATACTATATAAAGTAGCATTATATAGAGTCGCATTCTATATATATAGAATTATACTTATATACAATTATCTTTAACCTTTTTTTTATTAATTTTATCTCTTTTATTAACTTTTTAATCTCCTCCTACTAATAAGCTGCCTATACTTAAAGTATTATTACTATTACTAGGGTAAGGCTATTAGCTTTATACTAAGCTTAATATTTTTTAAAAACTTTATTAATATAGCGTTAAATTCTTTTTTAAAAGTAACTAGCAATATATTAATAGTTTATTATATTTTAAACCTAGTTTTAAAACTTTTTAACAAACTATATTTATTAGTGCTAGCAGTATATTAGCGCTTAATACTTATTACTAGGTAGTAATCGCTACTATAATAGTTATATTTATATATAATATAAATATTAAAATTATAATTATAATTAAGGCTACTATTATTAGTTAAGCAAGTAGTATATAAAAGGTTATAATACTCTATTTTTATTAAACTCGCGCTAGCGCTAAGCTAGCGTAATTTATAATAATAAAGGCAGATAGGGCAGGTAATAATAGTATTAGTTATAATATAGTTATTTTTATAAATAATTAAAATAAAATACTAGCTATAAGCTAATAAGGTAATAATTTATAAAATAAAGTCTTTAAGAATATTAAATCTATACTAGCGGTTAACTAATAGTTATATTTATAATAATAAAGCTTATAAAAAATAGCTATTAAAATTACTAGAGAAAGAAAATAAATATAATAATAATTTTTTATTATAAAGGTAATAGTACTAGCTACCTAATAGTAGAGTATTATTCTATAATTTTATTAGCTTAACCTCTTATTATTTATATAATAATAAGAATATTAAGTATATAATACTACTACTACTATATATTAATACTTGCGCTATAATAATATATAATAATAAAAAACTCTTTTTTTTCCCTTTACTTTTAAAAGTTTAAAAAGTTTTTAATAAACTTTTATAAAATAATCTATAACCTATTTCCGCTTTACCTTTATGTACTAAAGACTAGTATATAAGCGGGGAGGCAACTATTAGCTACTAGCTATTTATAGGCGCTAAAAAGGTTTATAGGAGCTAGGGTAAAAAAGGCTTAGTAAGCTAAGCCTACTAAAAAGTCTTTTGTCTGCCTTAATAAATAGGGTAAAACTTCTTATAGAAGATATTAGCTCTTATAAATAGTTCTATAATAATTAGTTCTTATATATTACTATAAGCCTATTTACACTCTATATCTTCTATTATAATCGCTAGCAAGGAGCTAGCATATTAGTCTTATAATTTTAGATAATAGATTTAAAATTTTCTATAAATATTTATTTATTTATATAGAACTATTAATTATTTTAATAGCAGTAATAATAATATTTTTATACTTAAGTATATTAGTTATTTTTAAACCTTAGAAAACTTTTATTATTTTAGCTTTATATTTTAATAAAGTAATAAGACTAAAGGATCTTTTATAATTATTTATTAGGTTTATAAAAGTAAATATATAAAAAGGATTGCTAGCTAGGATAAATATTAAAAAAAAATAGGAAAAAATAAATTAAAAAATAAAAAGTTAAAATTATAGCTAAATATAATATTACTATTAATATTAAAAATAATTATTATTATAAATAAGTAGGAGAGTTTATTATAAAAATATTTATATTAATTAAGTTATTTATATATTTATTTATATTTAATAATAATAATACTAGTTTTCTATAAATTAGCTTTATTACTTTTTTAATTTCTTTTTTTTTCTTTTAGTATTAATTACTATTAAAATACTATAAATTATTATTAAATTATTACTATTTAGTTTTAAATTCTATTTTAATATATTATTATTCAATATTTTCTTATATAATCTTTTTATTTTTAATAAGAGTTTTCTTTTATTTTTTTATAAAAAATAAGCTATTAAAAAGTTAGAAAAAAAAATATATAATATTAGTTTTATTAGCAAAGATTTGCTATATTTAGATTTTTTTCTTAATATTTACTATAAGTAGAAGATACTAAGTATTATAGATATAGTAAGTCCTATAGAAATTATTATATTAAGAGTTTATATATTATTATTTTTTAATAATATTAGTAATAATAAGACTAATATTTTTATTATTTTTCTATACTATATCCAAATATATAACTTATATTTTTATCTAGGTTTTATATTGCTTTAGCATACTAAGTATAGGCTAATTCCCTATATTAATATTAATAAAAGTCTTAGAATTTATAGAAGAAGTAAAAAGAAGAAAAAAAAAGAAGTAAAGTTAGATTTTTATAATAATATATAGATACTTTAAGTTTTTTTGCTATATTTTTAATAGTATTATTATAAAATATAATAATTATAAACTTAATTATATTAAGCTATTTATTAAATTTATTTAATATAAGATTTTAATAATTTTTAAAGCTATAGCAAATCTTAATATATATAGAAAAAAGCTTTTTAAGTAAATACTCCTTCTATATAATAGCGACCTTTAAGATTAAATATTAAATATTAAGCTTATTTTTTTTAATTTTATTAATATAGTTATTCTATATAATCTTTCTATTTTAAACTTTATAAAGCCTTTATAAATTAGCAATTAAATTATACTTATAAAGCTTAGATTAGAGCTTATTTTTAAAATTTATATCTATATAATACTAGTTATTCTACTGCTTTTTTTTAAAAAAAATAATTATATTTTTTAAAAAGGAATTTAATTATTTTAAATTAGTTATTCTTTATTATTTTATTAATATTTAATTAAAAAAATAGCTATAGCTTATCTATATTAATCCTAAAAGAGCTTATAATTATTATAAGCTTTTTTTTCTATACTTTCTACTTTGTTTTATATATTTTTTTTACTTTAATAATAATAGGACTAATGTTCTTTTTAAGAAAAAGAGTCTTCTTAGAAAGAGCTTTTAAAGGAAAGTAATAAAAAGGAGAAGAGGGTTTTATAGAGTTATTAAAAAAATATATTTCTTGCCCTTACTAGCCTAAATAGCAACTATTATAATACTAAAAAACTAAATATAATAAAAATAGCAAGATTAATTTTTATAAATATAGATAAATATAAGTTTATACTAGGAGATAGTTATAATATTTAATAGTTGCTAACAAATTTAATAGGTTTTTAGAAGAGGGTAAAAACTTCCCGCATGCCAAGCCCTACAAGATCATTTGCATACCGTAAATACGCGAGCGCAGAAGTAGGGGGGCGGGCCGGGCCCCTAACACCGGGGCCCCAGTTGTGAACTGATATGATGCAAGTCACAGCAGAATGAGAGACACCAGACCTGAACGGAGGGTGATGAGCTTGAGCTAGCACAACCTTCGGACGTCGAGCTGTCATGGCACCGGGTTGGTCGCAAAGTCAGAATCTTTTGGTCGTGTAGCCTCTCAATGTCCGATGACAGTCCCTGCGTTTGAGTCTGAATCTCGATCTCTAGCCGCTCTTGATATTGTCTGGTTCTGCGAGTCTGCAGACCTTGCGAACGTGTCCGGATAGTGAAGCCGACCATACCAGACAGCCTTTGTGTGATGACTGAATGGCTGGAAGTCGACCTGTCGTGAGACTGAGAGCTGCATTTTGGCGCTGGTCATTTAGCATATACTGGGGAAATTACTCCCCAAATTGTCTCACTCGAAGAACCTCTCCTTTTCGATGGTGAGCATTAGTCCTCGTGAGTCTCAATGTTGATTGTGACCTGGCCTTGGACTACGACTGCCCGATCTACCCCTCCAGTTATTGCTCAGTGCCCGTTCTGTGTATGGAGGAGGCGGACTGCTACCCCAAGTCTGTCTTTGCTGATGACCGCTCACTCCATCTCCATGTTGGTGTAGACTTGCGCTTCCCGGATTAGGAGCTTCTTGACCTCCCTGCCTACCATCGTCAAGCTGGCCTTGAGTATCTTCCCGTGATTCTACCAGCGAGATTGTAGGGATACTTTCGGCTGACCCACCCAAGGAATGTCCTGGCCTACCTCCAAAGGACGATGAGGATGAAGGTGGAGGCCTGATGGCTCGCAGTTGTCCTGTCTGTCTTAGACGCTTCAACTGGGATGATACGGTATAAGTGAGACGGTGTTGTGGCCCGAGCATGCGTGTCCGGACGTCAAGGACGTGGCTCAGAAGCGAGTCAGCCTCAGATTGACCTTTCTGGTAAACGAGGCTACGAGCAAGGCTTTCCATCGAACTGAGTGATTTCGGATGCTCCGCACCGAGAGTATCGAGCCTCAATTGGAGCACTTTCCGCTCAAGTCTGGCAGCTTCCTCCCATCGACGTTGAGCATTATATACGATGCACAGCTGAGCCATAATAGTGACGGTATCGGGGTGTGTTTCGCCGAGTACCTTGCTTCGCAAACGGTAGGCAACCAAGCCTACGTCCTCGGCTTCGCGCCACTGCTTCAATCGATTGAAGATGAACATGAGACACGACATCTCTTTGAGGGTATCCAGGTCGTCTTCTCCAAGTATTGTCTTCATCTTTTGAAGAATCTGGACGTGTAGTTCCTTGGATCGCTGATGTTTGCCTTCCTTATTATAGGTAATGGCTAGACGGGACTCACTTTTCAATGCCAGGCGATGATTCTCGCCTAGGGTTCGCCGGGACAAGTCCAACACGTGGAGCTGAATGTCTTGAGCTTTGCGCCAGAAATCTTTGCCTCGCATGCTATAGCTGACTCCAAGAACGCCCATAGTTGTAAGAGTCGCCTCGTGATCGTATCCTAGATGTTCCCGCCGAATAGCCCATGCCTCCTCAAGCAGCTCTGAGGCCGCGCTTTCTTGGCCTTGTAACATCAGATAGTGGCCAAAGCCATGAAGAATGCGCGCGCGATCGATTAGAGCCTGCCTAGCGTTCACTTTGTATTCAAGAACGGCATTGATATGAGGTTTAAGCTCCGAGAATGCCGCCCAATCTTCGTAGTCTGCTGATATGGGACAGACAGACGATACTGTAGCCAAAGCTTTCTCTTCATAGACTTTCAGCTCGCCACGTGCTTCCATCCATCTTTGAGTGGAAAGCTGTACCAGTCGGTGCATACTGAATTTGGGGGGCTTCCCAACCTCTTTGATAAAGGAAAATGCCTTGAGTTTTGAAATGGCTCCTTTGAATTGGATGAGGGATTCATCATCTTTCCGAAGAAGGTCCTGAAATATCTCTTGTCGATCGAGCATCGCCATCATAGACAGTATCTCAGCTGCTCGTGGACTTTGTTTGGATATTTGCTCGAAAGATAGTCGCCAAGTCTGAAATACAGAATTTGAAGTCTCGCGATCTCGACTCGGATCATCGACGCTCTCAGTCAAAAGTTCGGGAATGTCGGACGAACCAGCCCTGAAGTCAGACAAGTACTCGCTAGCAGTCATCTCAATCTGATTGAGATACGCCGCGGCTTGAGTGATAGTGAGCGGCAAATACTCCAGTGCCTCTGTAAGCTCACTCAAGTCGTCATTGCTGAGAGTAATGCTACCAGGATGCTTTGCTTTGAATAGTTTGCACGCTTCTTGGGGACCAAATCTGCGAATGTGAATTGGATTCGTCTTTGCTTCTGTAAGCTTGTAACCGAGCTGGCTGTCTCGAGTCGTGATTAGGATCCTCCCATGAGAGCACCGCGGGAGGTAATCAATCAATACTTTCGGTATTTTTCTATCGTTCTGCTTGTATAGCAGCCACTGGTCATGGCTGTCAGCGTTATCTACAACCATAACCCACGGACGATCTAGGTTTTCGCTGAGGTGATCTTGGACCCTTTGAAGCACATCAACGTCGTTATCATCGTGGCAGGATAAGCCCAGGAGTCTGGCGATCTTCCGATACGCCGTTTCAAATTTGCTCCTGGTCGCTCCGTGGACCCAGAATACATCCATCGGACTTTCTTGTCGCCGTTTCTGATAGCAGTACTCGATAGCTACGCGGGATTTACTGGCCAAGAACTCAGCCATCTAAGCATGGAGGATGAGAAGGATTCAAGATACGCACCCGATTCCACCAATACCTGCAACAGCTACTCGTTTAGCCATAGCTTGGAATCGCTGCTCAATTTCGTTCATGATATCTTCACGACCAATGAAATCTTCGTCAGGATCAAAGTCAAGCATCCAAATTGGCTTTCTCGTCATGGCCGGAACCATGGATTGGATTGCTAGCTTCTGGTCGTAAGAAGAACTAAGAAGTGACATGATCTGATCTGTCTGCGCCTTGACGTAGTCCAATTGATCCGCTTGATGATCTCCTTGGAAGTTCGCCAAGGTTTATTGGTATCTCTGAATACTTGAAGCGTAGTTTTCGACTGTTCTCTGGGCTTTCAGGCTTTTCATAGCCTTGAGCCCCTTCTCCCATGTTGAAGCCTGGGCAGATGGCTTTATTTTGCCAAGAAGATCATCCAGAGCTTTGAGCTCTTTCTCCAAGCCACCAAAAAGGCATTTCAGGCGTTCCTCGGTTTCGTTGCTGAATTCTTGTTTGTCCGCTCGTTTGTGCAATTTCTCGACGATGCCTATCATGATTGGTAATTGGTTCGCCATATGCTGGAAACACTGCGGGAGGCCCTCAACATCTCGCATGAACTCGTTCAGACGTTTCACTACCTTGATACTGAAATCGGTGAGTTGAGCGATGCTGGACGCCAAGCTCACTGCCGCAATGAATTCTGCCATACTGATCAAAGTGATCAAATGCTGGCATGGGCGTCATGCAAACACTGCGCTGCAAATGTATACAGCTTTTACGCAAGCACCTACTCGTATTGAGACCTGATTATATCTCTATTTGCCATCATCCGGGATGTAGAACTATGACGTACACCGGCTCCCTGCTTATACTTCGACATTCACCGCAGGTTGCCTTTCAGGCTTCATCAAATCAGCTTCGCCCCTTGAGACGTCGGTATTCCGTTAGAAGCTCGTGGTAACTGCACATCAGGGTGTCTCATTCTAGAGATTTCTCAAATCACCGACGTTTTGTCAGCTACAAATAAGGTTTGCACATGCCCCTCATTCGGAATAGCTCAGGGGGCCTTATAGTGAACCACCACGAAGAGAAGGGCAGACAAGGGGGCAAACAACAGCCTGTGGAAGACTTGATAGGAGGAATTAATGTATTCTTGAGTAGCTAGTCTAGCCATTTTGCCTTCGTGCCACGTTGAAGCCATTGCACGGCAGTTCTCAGCAGTGTCACGTTCTGCCTCAGCTTTGAGCAAGTACATAGACATGACCAAGCAATAGCCAGCATAACCCTCTAAAGTTCCTCCGCCATCTCCCATGGCCTCTTCCTTCTATCCTCTCTAATAAAAGCCTAAAAGCTTGATGCACCCCCTCTATTCACAATCAAAAGCAAGATACAAAGCGAAAATCGTTATGCTGGGTATTGTGTTCCTGTTGCCTTGCGGCGCCCTTTCGTCCTTTTCCTATTTGTGCGCCAACCTATATGTATCGCATGCCCGTTGTGGGATTCCTTGTTCTTGATATCCTCCCTTTCTCCCCAGGCTATGTATCGGTTGCGCCGGCGCTGGTCGTGATGCATTTCCCGAGCCAACTCTGGGACATAGATGCTAAGGGAATTCGTTACTTTAAATGATCGTCGATTTGAGTCTTGTCAAAATAAAATGCCAAAGGATTGTGATGAATCATTCTTGAGCGCATGCCAATGCGAAAGTTCGTAATGAGTGTCTCTAGTGGGTGCATAAGCTGTATTATGTGCATATGTCGTGTCGTCGTCAGAATCATGAAGTCGTGGTCCTCGGTGGAGGTAGGTATACAGTGGGGTATCATATGATCGAGTCAATCGGCCTCTTGACCTTTGCCAAACATGCGAACGCCGTTGAGCCAGTCTTTGATGTAACTTCCCAACTTTCTCTTCTTCTTTTCTTGTCTCTCACGAGCCTGCTGCTCCTTTACTTCTACTCGGATTGGACCCACCTCCATGGGTCCCACGATGCCTCGGTCACCCACTTTGGGAAACTTGCCGTCACTATTCGGACCGTAGAGCGCGGGCATCTTCAAAGGAGGAGGTGTTTTTGCAAGCTCCCGTCCGATAGACCCGCTCTGCTGAGGAGATACAGGGTCAACTTGTTCCTGAGGCCCGAGTTGATCAACGCAGGAGGCGATTGTGGATTTCCATGTCGCGTCAATCTCTGCCCATTTCTCGTTGGTAAGTCGGTGGATATCTGAAGTAGGACCTGCATTTTCACCAACACGCATCAAGTGCGTAGCAAAATTGTGCCTGGCCATGTGCCAATCTGCCCGTAAGGTTTTACATGCCCCTAAGTCGATGTGCTTGGGTGTATAAGGCTCAGGGTAGATAGTGAAGTTGGCATGACCAAGAGCATCGGACCATTTGTCTGCCGGAGGATTACTGATTGCTATTGGTGGTATCTCCGATGTGGGTACGATTGGGATGTTGTATGGCCGACGGTGAAAGGAGGCGGTCGAAGGCTTGGTCGATAAGGGAGGCGAGGGCAAAGCCGGGACCTGGGGTGTTTGAGGGGGAGCAAGAGGACTGTTAATGACTGAGGATGCGCTAGGCTCGGCGACGGAGGGTGACTGCAAAGGCGACTGTGTAGTCTCTTCCCGCTGACGATTGAGATGCTCCGTTATGAGCGGTGGTAGAAGAGGTGTCGTTGGCTTTCCTTGGTCTTGAGTTTCTTCGTCCTCGATGATACTATCGCGAGTCTGACCAACGGCTGCATCGAAAGGGTCATGTCTGGTGCTTGCTGCGGGTGTAGGCGGGGCCGCATTGTGGTGTGCGCTAGCAATGGACGGGGCTCGTGTGGAATTTGCACGTGACCGTGACATGCTGGGCTCTCTTGACAAAGGCGGGATGATGAATGATGGCGAAACCTGCCTTGACCTCCATTTGCGCGAAAAAGAAGGCATCCGAGAGCCCATCTTCGATGCTAAGCCGCTTAGTGAGGATGAGTCTGGTCGTTGTCGCTTTACATGACCCTGACGAAGGTATTCACCATCAAGCGAGGCATCATCACGACCATCATCCGCGTCGCGCATAATCTCTCCGTCATCAAAGGTCCATGCCGGCGACGAGAGCTTTGCTGGGTAACGTCCATCTGTTGTTCATTAGCCGTGCCACCAGTATGAAGACATTGCCCAGCGCAGGCTTTTGCCGTGGGCTTCATTCGTACCTCCATTGTCTCCGTCGTGTCTAAAGCTGTCAATCATCTCGCTATCTTCATCTTTCTCTTGCGGTTCTTCCTTGACCTCAGTCAGCGGCCGCTTGCCGGAGCCATAATCGCTAGAGTCGTGCATGGTCGGCGAAGAGGGCAAGGAAGACGGAGTGCTGGGGAACCCATATTGACCGCGCGAAAACGTTGGTGATGGCGTATCACACATGGTTGATGAGGACTGCGACGTTTGGTGGCTATGGTTGATTGTGGGAGAGTCCATTGAACCTGCGCTCTCTCGTTTGCGTCGCTCTTCGACCATGCCGGGCAGTTTCAATTCTCTGAGTTCCTTCATGATGGCGCAAGCTTGATGTTTTTAAGGCAGCCAGAGTGTTTACCGAGACGCGTTCATAATGCGAAGTGTTGGGCAGAAATGAGTTGTCGATGCTGAGGCGGGAAGGTACGCCCGACACTTCGCCTAGAACGTAGATTTGGTGCAACGAACGGGCAGCGGTGTTGAGATTCGGCAGACTACTATAATACGGCAGAGATGTTAGTCTCGCGATCCCACCAATTGATTCTGAAACACATGGTCATTCTCGTACGAGTCTCGTGATGTCTGCTTTTGGAGGGTGAAAACGAGGATGATGTACCAAACTGTGGGGTGGCCTGCTCAGTTGAGATTCCAAATATCGTGGCGAGTACCAAATTGGGCGAGACCACGCGTCGGAGTACCTCTTGGGCGATCTGCCAGGCCAGTGGGCTCGGTTGACAACAGGGACACGAGAATCCGGTGCAGATAATGAGGGTAAGTGGGTGAGAAGCAATCTATAAGAGGTGGGATATAGGATTTTTAGATCTTTCTCACACTATTACGCTTCAACTACTGGCCTAACGGTGGTGCTTGTGGCCGGTTCATCTAGTGGACTCTTTAGTGTCTAGAGGTCGTGCTAAGGCAACTTTGGCAAGCATGGATGGCTTTACAGCGATCCTTCCTATTGGCCTCAAGCCCATCGGGGGTCCTAGGAAACGCTAGAGACTAGACTAGGGACAGGGACGACAACCATCATCCAGGCCTAAATGTCATTTCACGCGCGAAGTCGCCGCCCTGCCGTCTCAACTTTCCCTGTTCCTGACGAGCCCAGATGCTCTGCCGTTTACCAACTTGTGATCAGTCATATAGGATCTGTCTCTGACGCAACGTGAAAATTTCTTTGGATGGCCGATTGGAAGTCTCTCGATCGATGTCAGACTTAACGAACGGAGAAATACCCCATACTTCCCCTCATTTTTGACGTCCCCAATATACCCCTTAGGCGTCGCTGTGGTAGGTGTGAGGACAACTCTGAGGGGCTGATGCATTTAGCCTGTTAAAACATGGCAGATCCGAGAATAAAACAGGACAGAGCATGAGAAAGCAAAATCAATTGCGACGCATGAATGCGCTCCACGTAGAAAAAACCCGTCTCTTTTGGCACCTTTTTAGTCCCAGCCAGCACACCACAACCGGTTTGATTTGCTGCCTTTCCTCCGTACTTTCAAGGATACGAGGAGGTTTTTGTTGGCTTACGAGCAAGGGAGCAGGTATTCCCTTTCGCAAACTGTCAGCTTTGCAGTCGCGGCAGCAAGGAGTTGATCATTCTCCGCAACATATTTCCTGGGTTTCTTTTGGTGACACGGTGAGTAGAAGCCAGCACTCAACGGGTCCATCAGCCTGGAGACGAGCCGGACGGTAGCCACGGCTTGTGGCAACCGGCAAATCCCTGCCGTCGTCTGCATGTTTTTTCGGCAGATCGATAAGAGCAAATCAGATTCTTCCCTTCGATGAGGTGGGCATGGGGCCAAGGTGCTAAAACGAGCATCCTTGTCAGAAAAAAGTCGGAGCGAGGCTTCTCGGCGATCAAGCCACCGCTTGTGTTAGGCCTGGCGACCGCCTCTGTCCTTCCCTTTGGTTCCCCTGCAGCCATGCGAGTCTGACAGATCCCTCTTTGTGGACGGGGACATGGGACGTAAGTCAACATGTGTGAGGTTACAATGCTCTTCCTTCGACTCTGGTTCTTGTTCACCTCTCTCGCGAGACCTCCAAGCAAAGAGGACGTCAAAGCTCTTTGCCTTTCCTCTCGCGATCCAATGGCTATCTAGCCACAGCAATGTGGAGCCCGGCGTGCGGCCTGGTGGAGAAGAAATGCAGAAGAAAGTTTGGGGTGCATAAGCACCAGCCTTTGTCATAAATAAACATTGTGCACTTATGCAGACCATCTGTCGTTTATCTTGCATACAAGCGACGGCCTCTCGCCCTTCGTAATGCCCTGCTGGCTAGCATGTGGTCCAATCGTATATCTTCGGTACCGCGACATGCGATGGAATCCGATTTTGTTGATAAGAAGGTTATATAAAGCGTGGCGAACCGCGAAGCGTAATCACCATCATCAAGTTGATCAAAGAGGTAGGGCAAGCGCAGTATCTGAATAGCTCTCAATCAGGCCAGCCTTTCACGTCGCGTTCCGATGATGAACAGCAGCTATTGTTGGGGTCCCTATGATGTGCTACATATGCGGATGTGAGTTGGAGACGGTCCGATCTGAATGAGCGTGTATGCTGTTTCTTGGTCTGTAAAAGTTGAACCTTCTTTTTGCTCTGCTTCTGCTTTGACAGAGACTATGATGGGATAAATGCAGCAATCATCGCTCCCCTCTGCGGGGAAAGACACAGTCCGCGCGAATGCTGCGCTTGCGATGATGCATCGTCTGTTCACATGTCGAAAGAGCCTAAGGTGGAGTGGAGAACGTTGCATTACTCCAGTGAACATCTTCTCGTATACCACGCTTTGAAGTCTAAACGTACAGGATGGTATCGCTCACGTCCGAAGTGAGGTCATTTTAGCCCCCATTCTCAGATCCAATATCGACACCAGACCTTTCTCGCCTCCTCGTCGCCTTTGAACTGGAAGTCAGCTCGGACGATATCCTCGAACCCCTCTTTGACATTCGGAGGTTTGAATCGTGCCCGGAACCCCGCAAATGCTGAATGCGGTAGAATGACCCTCTTCTCCGGATTGAAGTGCTCCCCTGCTAGTGCTCTCACAGTATCATTATGCTCACAGAGCCTTACAGGCGCCGTAAAGTACACACATCGAACAGGGACGCCATATTCTCTCGCGAGCTTTACCCATACCGCCCGTACCTCTGTGTCTGCATTGGTGTTGTCTACTGCCACGGACAGCCTTTCATCCAACATTTTCCTCGCGGCTACAACGCATTTTTCTCGCGTTTTGAGCGTATCCTGGTTGGCCCTTTCATAGCCTAGTGGTCTTAATTTTGTGAAATAGAATGTCGATTTACCACCCCCTGGGCTGCCGCACAGGATCACGATATCTAGTGGATTCTTCTTCTCGAAGGCTATCGGCGTGCTATCTGTAGACGTAGAAGCCTCCGTCAGGTAGTCAGACGGCTCAAAATGTCTGACGTACGGTCTCGGCTCTTCATTTAGAAAGTATTCTTCCGGTGTTGAAAACTTCACCCCCAAGTTCGTAGCGAAATCGCGATCTGAGCTGGCATGATCTGCCTTCTGGCTCACTGTCGCAGCTCGGCCTCCAGCATCACCTACAAAGAAACACTCGTCAACGATTACTCCATCATTCCTCTCGTCTAGGTCAAGTTCCTCGAGAACTTCATTCCACATGCCTACCCGAGGTTTGCGGTAGACATCGCGAGAAGTGGCGGCAAAAAAGGTGATGGGAAAATCAAAGTGGCCCAGTATCGCACTGATCTTGGCTTTGAATGTCGAAAGAGTCCGTTGATCAGCTTTAGCGGTCTTTAGGTCGGACTTGAGTGACAGACGACCTTGATTGCTAATTATGACAACTTGGTATCTGTTCACAATTAGCTAGTCAGACGGAGCAGCAGACCGAATTTAAGGAGCCCACCCATCCTCGTAGAGTCGCTTGATTGAACTCGGCACACTGATATGCCACCATTTCCAATCGCTAGCGTCCTTGGAGTAGATATTGCCAGAAGACGTCAATACAAGGGTTGAATCCTAATCACGGATCCCTTCAGCTTTCAAGTATCCTAGCTAAGCAGGGGAGCCATCATACGAGATCAAACAGGGCAATTTTACGCCTTTTTTCAGGCTGCTTAGGTGGCTCGTTTTCGTTTTGAGGAGGCGCATATCTGCCCAACAAGAGACTCTCATGGACAGTGCGCCATGTCAACGATTCTGGAGCTTTTTTCGACGTAGGTGTGAAAAATTTATTGACGGCGTGATCTTAGATTGATAGTTAGAATTTACGAGATAATTTTGACGACCACGTACTGGTTGTGGTTGATTCTTGTTTTCGCTTTTTGAAAGGTGGCGGCGACAGAGACTCGTCCCTTCGCTCCATTATTATAGCTGGTGGTCAGTTGTCGATATTCATTTAAACAAGGTACGGCTTTTCATATGTCTGCCATTCCCGAATGTAGACAGAGGGCCACGGAACAGTTCGACACTTTCGCTGCGTGTTGTAGTGCTAAACGACATATTGCTACCAAAACCGGAGATGTGTCTTACTTTAGGGAGCAGTCATGACGCGTGGGATTAAGCTTAGCACTACCTAGGATGTTGTTTAGGCATCACTACGAATCGCGCAGAGGGGTTGACTGCAAAATGGTGAAAGATTACGTAGAAAGTCGTTTCCATCTTTGAGTAATATTTGTTCACTCCTGGTGTATCAAGTCACTGCCTGCAAGACTGAAGTCTGCCTATGTCCAGTACCGATACTCCATTCGAGCCATGACGCCCTTCATTTTCGCAGCTTTCAGGGAACCGAATTTTCCCTGGTCATCGCACAGTCATTATGCAGCCTCCTATGTCTCATCGGAACGCCATCTTCTATCTATCCATTTCATCTCTTAATGGAAGACTGGTCATCATCATCTGTGTGTATATCCGTTGCCTCAGTCTTCCCTGAATTGCGTCGGCTTAATCTGCCTGTTCCTGGGGCCTCACGAGGGCTATTGACCGGGCTGTCTGCAGCGCCAAGGCCACTGATGCTCTTCGTAATACTGTCATTGCGGCTGTGGCCAATGCGCCCGCTGCGAACACTTCCTCCGTCCCCTTGGCTGACTTTGGCTGCATAATAGCTATTTCGTTCACTCGGTAGGGCAGGCGCTATTCCTGAAGACGAGTAGACACTCGCTCGCTCTGTATTTGCAAGACTGACGCTGACTTGTCTTCCTTGGTGGTGAGTGGTGATGCTCGCCTGATCATTGACATTAGAGCTTAACACACTCAGTGGTAAAGATTCTTTACTTCCTCCATACACAGAAGAAGGGGCCAGAGCTCGTACAGACGCATTTGTGTCTGTTGAGTTTCTGCGTCGGCGTTTCGAAGAAGACGCAAGAGTCATTACCGACGCATTGTCGCTCAGCAGATTGTTCGCTGTTGCGGAACTGTAGGTGTTTGGATGACGTTCAGTGACGTGTTGGTTAAGATGTGCAGGTATTGCAGAGACAGGTGTGGTCGGGAACTGGTGCGAGAAGTGAGAAGCTGCTGAGGGTTGGTGATTGTGATTTGCGGAGGAAGCTCCGCCTCCATGATGCCCTTGATTGGGTGCTGCAAGGAGGGTAGACGGTGCCGCAGATTGCATTGTGGTCAATGTAGTGGTCATTGAGCGAATTGAAGGCGCAGGAGAGGAGAATGTACTTCCTTCTCCACCGCCGACACCGCTTGAACTGACTCCACAGCCAATGTTAGCTGAGGTGCCCGCCTTTGAAGGAGCCGCATCTGAGTTGACCGTATCAGGGTTTGTCGACACTGTAGGCGCTATGGACTTGTTTCCAATCGTTGGCGCACCCTGACCATCCGCAGAAACTGGTAGAGAAGTCTTGCTTTGAGTTTGGGAAGTATAGCTCATGCTCTGACCTGAGGGGGAGTATGAAAGGAAAGGTGACCATTCGCTCCAGGCGGTACCGGAGGATCTAAGAAAGGCTTTTCATGGGTTTTGTAAGGGCTTTTGTTTGCTGCGTTAGCCTTCTTGCTTTTTCCATACGGAGACTGCTGGCTCCATTTGCTCGCTCCAGGGGTGCTTGAATTGGAAGAATTTTTGAGGCTGGCTAGCCTCTTCATCCAATTTGCGAAGGGACGACGACGTGTATGTCTGTCTTTAAGATCCGTCAGCCTGAGATCCAAGCGTAACCTCGTTCTTCTTCTCCATCTGTTAGACGACACCTGGGATGGAACGTACCATGTGGCCGGGGAGCTGTGTCCGCGGTCGCCATCTTAGGCTTTCAGACACAAACCGAGTAGCTGGCCACTCCCAACTTATGTCATAATTCAGGGAGGACTTGTAGCCATAGATGAAAGTCGCCTGTGGGTTGAAGAAGAAGCTTGGTTTGTGAGTGTTGGCTGTCTTGCAAACAGTCAGCCCTACCGAGGCTTCCGAATGAGATCATCCGTGAATGAAAACGCTGCCTTTAATACTCCCGACAGAAGCTCAGCAGGTGTCGCGACTAGCTTGAGATCAGAGAGTTAGCAGGCATTTATTTTCTCCGATATCAGAAGGATTTTTGGATTTTGGTGCTTAGCTTCTTGATGGAGCCTTGGTCGGCTTCTCTTGACGAGCGAGGAAAGTGTGACTGAAAGCAGCACCATCGTCGATTCCAGTTTACAATCCTTTAAGATTACGAAACACGAACAGAAAATCTACGATATGGAAGAGAATGAGCCTAGACACTCAAAGGATCTTGCCGCTTCCTCAAGATGTCGCCGCCCAGATCAAGTCCTCCGCGACCATCGCTTCGCTAACGAGTGTCGTGATTGGTCTGCTCGAGAATGCGCTGGATGCAAATGCGAAGAAAATTGAAATAGAGGTGGATTACAGTCGTGGTGCTTGTATTGTCGAGGACGATGGTCACGGCATTCAACCCAAAGAATTCAGGGAGCAGGGAGGCCTTGGAAGGCCCTGCCGTGAGCAGTATGAATGCTTTCTATGAGCCAGACACTGACAAAAACAGACACCTCGAAGCACAAAAGTGCCAAAGTCGTCTATGGAGGCCATGGATCTTTCCTTGCTGCCGTTGCTGCTCTTTCGCTCCTCACTGTGACATCACTCCACCACTCGTACCGCTCCTGTTCCACAGTGATCCTTCATCACTCAAGGCCAGTGGCAAGACTGGTCCCAGCTCCACACCATCAGCAGCTGCGGACCAATGACAATGGTACTCGGGTGACTATACAAGATCTGTTTGGTAATATGCCTGTCAGAGTGAAGCAGCGAGCTGTTGAACACTCTGGAAATCCATACAACGAGGAGAAACAGTTTGAGAGCTTGAAAAAGCGAATGGTCGCTCTTCTTATCGGGTGGCATGTTCCTGTCTCGATAAATTTGACAATGAATGGCTTAAAGAAACGGAAACTTCAGGTTCGACTGAAGAACGTTGGACTGAATGACTTCCAGATCGGCGACAGAGATGTTGTTGAGACGCTCGTAGTCTCGCCTAGGCCTCAAATTGATGTCCAATTAGTTCGCAGTCTCCTTTCGCAAGCTGGGTACATCGATCCCACTGATTGTGGCTCCTGGATCAAAGCTTCAGCTCGCACTTCCAACGTAACGGCAACAGGTACATTTTGTTTGATGCCAGCGCCTTCCAAAGCGGTTCAATTCATCTCTTTGGGTATCAGGCCTTTGATTGGAGAGACAACAGGAAACCTGTTGTTTGAGGAGATCAACAGATTGTTTGCCGAATCGAATTTTGGAACCCAGGAGGAATATGACGAGACTGTGGAGCATAAGCGTGTTCAAGACCGTCGATACAAGCGAGATGGATTCACCAATAGGCAGCTGAAAGGAGGGGGCAAGGGAGTAGACCGATGGCCGATGTTCTACCTCCGAGTTGATTTACAGGAAACCAACGATTTGGAGAGACTTGAGCGAGATGGTGTACTACAAAGCGTAATCAAAGTCATCAAGGCTATGGTTACGGGTTTCTTGAAAGACAATCACTTCAGGCTGCGTACTACTATCCGGAAGCATAAGACCGAGCCCAAAATCAACTTGGCGTTCTCTCATCTGGCTCCTACTCATATTGGCGCGTTCGACTCCTGGAGCCGTATCAAGAGTAGCAGACCCTTTCGCCCCGCTGGTCAGCTTATGGTACGAACGTCAGACCCTACAAAAATAGGCGCCGTTCATGAAGCGAAGCCAAGGACAAGGTCACCGGAACTGTCTAGCGAAAATGATCTTGCATGTCAACTGGAGGAAGATGCGATGATTGAATGGACCAATCCTGTCAGCAAGATCAACATGCTCATAAACGCTCGCACAGGTCTTGTTGCATTGAAAAGTAAACAGGGGCAACGACCTGTGAGCGCCCCAGAGAGCTTCCGATCGTCATTCATGATCTCTGCGAATCGAATTACTCGCCCTCATTCTACGCTCCCAGAGCGTGCAAAGCCAGGCTCCTGGGCAAACAATCTTCTCTCCAATTGGGAGAACCCAGTCTTCACGCTTGCAGAAGAGCCCATTCATAAATCCACCAACCAAATCAGCCTTGAGGAGTTGAACATACACTGTTGTGCTGGTGAGGCAGCTACATCCTCATCCAGGGGGATCCCGGGCATCTCTTCGGCCAAACTATCGAAAACGGCCCTCTCTGCAGCTCGGATCATCTCACAAGTTGACAGAAAATTCATTCTTGCTGACGTAGGGAAGGCCCTAGTCCTAATAGATCAACATGCAGCAGATGAACGTATCCGAGTCGAGAACCTACTTGACGACTTTTATACTCAGCCGCCAATGACCCTTGCCAAAGCGCTGAATTTTAAAATCTCCCAACAAGATCAGAGTCTCCTGGCATCTCAGAGGCAGTACTTCGCTCAACTCGGTATTGAATATAGCTTGTCCACCAATCAACCAGTATTCAGCCGTCCAGGCCCGGCAAGCGACACAAAGGATGCTAAGCCTCAGATCCATGTGACTTCTCTTCCACAGCCCATAGCACAGCGCCTCCTCATAACGCCCTCCCTTTGTCTCAATCTCATCCGTTCAATAGCTTGGTCCCTATACTCGGGCGAGATCACTCATCACACAACATCCTTACGTCCTCGGCCGCCGAAAGCGATCCTTGACCTCCTCAACTCCCGCGCCTGCCGTTCAGCTATCATGTTCAATGACGTCCTTTCAATCTCCGAATGCGAAGAGCTGGTACGGAAGCTGGCTAGAACAAATATGCCATTCGTGTGCGCACATGGGAGATGCAGTATCGTGCCTATCGTTGGGCTAGGCAATGGCGACGGCGACGGCGACTCAGGGGATAACCGTACAAGACATTGCGAGAACGAGGATGAGGTTAGGGAAAGTGATGCAATACATGCCGGTAGAGAAGGGGGGCGTGGGAATGCAGGACCAGCATCATGGGCAGAAGATGGCGAAGAACCATTTGCCAGCGCGTGGTCGAGGTGGAATAAGAACACTAGCTCACACACTGCTGAGGCCTGACTAGATGAAATGACGACTATACCAACATCACAGATACAAAAGAACTATACCCACCACAACCATCGCCTCCATACTGGAAGCATACTGCTCTCGCTTGCTACATGCTCACCCCGTACTCCGCCTGCTACTCACCTAACCCCAAACCCAAACCCATCCCGGACTCGTTTCTTCGTCTCAGACCACTCTGCCGTTCTAAATCAACCCTCATCTCCCTGGCTGCATTACCTTCGCAGATTCTTACCAGTCCATCATGCCATCCCTTGATCCACCTCTTTCGCATATTCGGGCCCTCTAAGACGTGGAGCGCAAGGATATGGCGGGAAAGGGAAACATCGGCAGGGATCTGATGGATGGTACGCCTTTTGCACAGTGGATACGCTTGATTTTAGCTACTGGAGGGGTTCAAGAGAGAGGTTAATTAGCAAATGTGAGGGTAGGAGTAGCGAGAAGGGAGCAAAAGGAACAAGAAAATTCATGAGTTTTGGCAGCAATGGCATTGAATGACTACCAGCCTCCCCGACAGCAAAGCCAAACGGACACGATAGCCATCCGTGCATCCTTCTTCCACGCCCTCCACATCGAATCCATGAGTTCGTCCCCTACATGTCCCTAGCTTTTCTTTCTCGAAGGTAGTTCCCCTTTTCTTCCGTAACACCATCTACACTTTTCCGATATGCCCCGTTCCCTTTCCGGCCAGGCAACAAAGGAAAACGCCAGGCCGTCTATGCATCTCTATGTATGATACACCCCGAGCCTCTGGCCAAGCGAGGCGAAGCTGAGCTTTGCAGCCATGTATATTCAATTCTTTCAGTATGATGATACAGCGAAAGCAGTGTATGTTGTGATGTGAATTGTGATTTTGTGGATGATGGTGTTGATCCAGATATGATACAGCGAATATTATTCAATGCCCTTCTTCACATCCAGTGGTGATGCATTGGCAATATGATTGAATGTAGTAGTGATGTAGCGCGCAGCGTTAATCGTAAAGTCCGTGAGAATTCAAATGCTGGGTATCGCAGTAATGATATGAAATGCCACCTGCGCCGTATGCAATGATGAAGAAAATTATGCGGCTGTTAGTGTCAAATGTCGTGTAAGTGTGTCGTAGTGTTGAATAGGAATGCGAGTTTAGGCGGTGCAAGCTGCGCTCGCAGCAGGATGATTTTTGTATCGATTATTGAGAAATGATAGCATCTCAAACTTATCCTTGCCAGAAGGCGTCTGAGTCTCTGGCACTGCGCGAGGTTCCAGTAACAACGAGCGTCGGTAATAATCTTTAGTTAGGGTGGTCTGGTCGACAGTACGAACTCGAACGAGTTGGTCTTGCAGCCAGGTCTGCAATTCAGGGACTTCAGTCAACCGGTAGGGAATCTGGAAGCGTTGAAGCTCGCTGATGATTCTTGCCGTCTTCATGTGTTTGTCGAAGTTGATCAAAGTTTTAGAATCCTCGCAAGCGACACCGGGCAGTTGACGAGTTGTCGTATTCCCAGCGTCCACGAAAGTCAGATCGGTAAGATACAATCCAACCCAAGGCACACAAGGCGGTGTTTGGTTTTGGAAAATTTGTCGCATTGAAGCATAATTCCTTTCGTGATTGATGATACCTTTCAGCCGGTCGAGTCTACCCTTAGTCTTGGTTGAGACATACTCCCAAGTCCGCTTAAGACGCATGATAGTTGACTGTGTAAGAGAGCAAATGATTGATGCCAGAGAGTGATAATTCGACAGCTCTAGCAGCTTTTCACCAATCTTCGTCCATTGTTTGATGATTGTTGCTCGTCTCTTTGGGTCCTCTATCTGGAGAATGTTGTCCGTCACCAAATTGTTGAGATCATTCGACAGCCGTGATAGTGCGCGAACGTTGACCGCCAATGAGCCGGACTGTTTGTTCCATTCACTTGCCAGAAGCTCTTCGGGTAAAATGGAGCAGAATATTTGTGACTCCTTGATCGTCAACTGCCGAGCCATCTCTAGAGGATCGATCTCCAGAATGCTGATGCTCCCTGAACCGAGCTTCCAAGCTTTCAGGGCATTCATTTGGCTTTTGGAAAGCAGAGATGGCGGTAAAGGCGTGTCTGGAGGAACATAATGTGCAATAGAAGTATTTGTCTTTCCAATAGAAGAGATAAGTCGAGGCACCAAGGGTCTGTCAGTGTTTGAAACCTGTTCTGCCAGACTCGTAAGACGCTTGCCAGCTGTGGGCAACACTATTTGTAGCTGGCGTGTCGCAAAGTTTTGAATCGTTTCTAGAGCTGATTTGTCGCAGTCATTCCGCCAGTGCGACTCCAACCATCCCTTGAAGATATTGGAGACCCTTAGCCTGACTTGAGCTGATATGCGTGGATGATCACCGACGTAGTTGAAGCGATCGATCAAAGCCTCTGCAAATTGAGAGGCGGTGGCGAAAAGGCGGAAGGTCAGGTAGAAGGTGGCGACGAAAGTGGCATCAGGAGTGCAGTCTGGGGTTGTCAATCGTTCAATAAGAGCCGGAAGTGTGCCTCCTATGACCTGACCATCTTTGTTGAACGCCAATTCATGTGCGTAGGTCTGCTCGAGCAAATCGCACTCCATCTCATCTGAATCTCTGTCTCCGGAAGCTTGACTGTCAGCGCAGCTGGTGAAAGACTCATTTCGGTTATTGCTGTTAAATGTTACATCGGGAGACGTTGCTCGCGTCGAGGTCTGAGACATTTCAGTCTCCGAGTTCCTCAAATTTGCGAGACAACCGCTGCTTCCGCCAGCGCTTGAAAATCCAAAGCTTTCCTCTCGCGGACGCATTATGCCGTCACTCTCGACCATGGCACTAGAATTGTCAGAGCGTTGAAATTGATGCTGCTCTGACTGAGGAAGGAGGTTTGAGGGGAACACGGGCAATGGAGGCAATAGTTCAGCGGACGATCTTCGCCATGATTCTGGTCTTTTCTCTGTGCTGTCAAGTTGGTCATCGTGATAGTTGGACGGTGTTGGTGTAACCACTGCGGCGGAAAAGTCTGGCTGCAAAACACGGGCAGGAGGAGCGGGAAACTGCTCAGATACTTCCGATGTTGATGATGGTGAGGTCTCCCAGTCGGAGCTTGCTTGTTCCTCATGCACCGATGTCAATGGTTCCGTCGACGCGCCTGGGTTGTGTGTAGCATCGAATTGCGAAACTCCTGAGTCGAGCTCAAGGTATTCAAAGTCTCCAATGCGCTCAATGATGAAGCGACACTCTGCGGCGCACTCTCCAGCAGCTCGAACGCAGGCCGTGGCGGCCTCCATAAGCGAATGTCCATCCGAAGGCGCTTGGACATCATCTTCATCCGAACGTAAAGGTCGAAACGCATCGCGGGCAGCATGTGCAAGTTCACCAATCCTCAGAAACATTTCGTCGCGTGCGTATCGCAAAACATTGGACCGTCGATGGTCGCGTTCCCAAATCTCAGAGACCAGGTCTAACAAATCCCGACAAGCTATGACAGCTTGCTTGGTCGTGAAGAGCGATTCTGTCGAGGAGCGTGATTGAACTTGGAGCCCTGCGAAGTAGCCAAGGTGCGTGAGGTAGGTGTTGTGAAGTGCATCGAGCTTCGTAGATGCGAGATTGAGGGAGGCAGAATGCAGCGCACAATATGCCCGGTGACCTACAGGAGCAAGCCCCTGCTTAGACAAAGGCCTTGTAGGTTGGCTGCATGAGCTTGCGCTCCCTGGGCGTATGTATGTTTGCGATGCTCGATTGTGGCGGGGACGTGCATTCGAATCTGTTTGCTCTTTGGTAACAATACCACTGTTCCGTCGTGCATGGTGGCCAACGGAGTTTGCAACAAGATTGCCAAAGGCATCGTGGTCTGCAGGAGGCGTGGGTGGCACGGGCCCATGATTGGAGTGCACGGCCAGGGTTTGCTGGTGCGCTTCCCATGCATCTAAAAACTTGACTGCCCTAGTAACTGTCTTAAAGGCCTTGAGAACAAGTTCTGTTACATTAATGCCCTCAGTATCATATTCGTCAGAGAATTTCAATGATTTGGTGGCTTTCACGAATGCTGAGAAGTCAGACAATAAGGCTTTACGGTGCTTGTGTATGCGATAGCTTGAAATTACATTCTGGCTCTCTTTGTTGAAGCAATCCGTGCGTTCCTAGCTATCGAGTTAGCTCTTATAATCATGCATGAAGACCTTAAATCCTACCAAGAGGCACCGTACACCCGCAAGGAATCCACGAACGAAGTCCGATCGGTTGATGATGTTATGATCTCCTGCTTCGAAATTCTTCGATAGATCCCAGAAAACGGTCAACGCCTTGAGAAGAGGGTTGATAGGATCACTCGCATAACCCTGACAGTGATTGGTTGGCAGCCAGCCACGTTCCCCGGTCGAGAGGAGTGTACCATCCGCCCATCCGTTCGAGTGAATCGAATGGATCAAGATCACCTCACCGGCGTTGAGAGGCAAAATGACCGAAGATGGATCTTCAATCTCAGTGAGTGGGTGGTAAGGATAGACAGCCTGAAGGAAGGTGTAGAAATCCACTTGTTGTGCAAAGCTTGATACGTCCTCATCCGGCGTCAAAGGTGGTGTCAATTCTCCTGAGGATTGACGGGCGCCGCAAGATGAAAGTCTGCTCGCTGATCGCGAATGGTCTTTCGTGATCTGTAAAGGAGCCACATAGATACTTGAATGGGTCGAGCCTTCCATCATGCGTTAATTGTTCCCTTTCCAGGTATTATGCACCATTGGTTCAGCTCTTCACCCTTCCTAGTCTTCGGTGACTCCTAGTCGCCGTGTGACGACGGTGAATTGTTTCCTCAATTGCCAGCCATGGGAATCAGGTGTCAGCATGCAGAAGTTGAGAAAATGCTATGGGTTGTCTTAGCGAGCGTGGGGAATGAAGAATGAAAACAGCTTGAGGAATGTTGCACGAACCGTCAGATGGTATGCGACCCCACAAAATTCCAGCTCTCGCACTGAATGGTTAAGGTTTCCCAAGACGCCGCTGTTACCATCTGTTGTCCTGTACTTGACTCGGAGCGTTGACTGGCGGATCTTTGCACGCGGTGAATAGTGCGAGTGCAATATGTCACGGGGGTAGACAGAAGGTGTAAGTGTACCTATACAGTCGCGTGCGTGGAGGATTGAGGCAAGGAGTGTTCGTTGTTGCTTGCGGAAGGAGGAAGGAACGATGGGCGTCGTTGGTAAGAATGTATCTCCGGGGTAAAGACAATTATCTGATGGAAGCTCTTTGGGTCCGGAGGGGTTCTGGCTCGCAGAAATGGACGAGCTAAAATTTTAACATGGGTGATGTTGATCGAGATACCAAAGCTTTCCTAAGTTTCCCAAGTGTGAAGGGTTAAGGTAGAGGCACGCTGAACTAAATGGGCCTAATGTCTAGTCTCCGCGTACTTAGGTCAATGGAGCGTGGAAGGCGGGTTTCACCACTTTCGCCATAACGATGTGATGATGTTGGTGGCTCTGAAAAGTCTTAGCGTCTCGCAAGCCCTTAAAAGGAGAATAATCTATCGAATCATCATGAATATATTGACAGGACCGCTCGTATGAGCGTTGCTTCACTACGATGCACTCTGAATGCTCGCATCGAGAACCATTCATAGAGAATAACGAGCATTGCCGGTGCTCTGGAGCTCAATTTGCACAAATCACTCGACGGCGAGCGTGACAGGGTCTCGCATCGGACAGAATTACTGCACATCTCTCGCCACTTTCACAGAGAAACAATTTAGTGCCACTCAATCCATTAGATGCCGGCACTAAGGCAGCTTTCCCCGTCAAGCCTGGGGCCATGACTATACCGCATGAGGTGAAAAGCAGTCCGGACTAATTTCCCTCTCTCAACCTCCCTGGTCGAGATTCTTCTGGTCCAGAAGCTTTCGGCGTCATTTCGCAGCTAAATCATTCGTTGATTTTTCGTTGGATTTTGCTAGATCTGGCTACCACATATGTTCATTGTTCATGGAGGTCGAGCTTATGCAACCAACAGCCACGATATGCAGAAAACGCGGGGCGCCAACGGCTGATCCAGCGTTCGGCCTTACACGTGTATGTGGTCCTGCAGGTTTGACATATTGGTGCATGATGCCGCCACTGGCCTGGTCATTGGAATTCGCCCTAACAAAAGTCATAGATCCACGGTTCTAGGAAGTACGAGGCAGTGATCTCTGGATCAAAGCGTCCTAGATTTTGTGAAATATGGAGCAGATGGGTCCCCCAGGACCCCAGCGAGATCGGTCCATCCTCCCGGTCCAATTGCTCCGAAAGGCAAATTATTCATGGAATCACAGCCTTCCCCTTCACATTTGTGCTCGCTTATGCACAGAACGTCTTATTTGACTTTCTCACCCCAGCAGCAATCGATATGTATGGGAATTATGACCAATCACGCTGCTTGCCGACCATGAAATTACCCGGCCAGAGTCTCACTGCGGCGTGGGCGAAGTCGAAATAGTCCCGTCTCTCTATTATTTGCTTGGCGGACGAGCTTCATCTCCACCAGCTCCCGCCTCTCCCAATCGAGTTCTAACTTCTAACATGGGTGGGTGGCGTGAAGCCTATCGCAGACTCACCACGCACATGGCATGAAGCGTACGATATCCTGCCGCAAAACAGGCAAAACACGCAAGAGATGGCGAGGTCTCGCGTGTGCAAGCCCGCTCTGAAGACTGCCATCCCAAACTCGAACAAGTCTGAATACCGTGCATATCGGCATGCAGATAGATGCACAAATGCCCAACTTACAAATGCTCTCAGCGCTTAAGCACTGCGTGGAACTCATCACCATCCTTCCTTCCACCAAGTTCGTGTTTTCGATTCATTGATCGATTGAGAGGCACGGTTATGACATCAAGCACAAAGTCGAGGGTCGTGGCCAAAGGAAAGGTCATCCTCAGGCAGAGGCTGATGGTCCCCACAACAGAGCGGGTCCTTGCACCGGGGTGCAGTCTTTTCCCCTTTTCCCCTTCCCCGGCCCGCAGGCTCGGCACTGCACATGCACTGCCGATGTCACATTTGCCTGGTACCAATCAGCTTCAATCAATCAATCAATCAATCACTGCCATGTGAAGACAGTCGATAGGTTCGATAGATGCATCTGGAGGACAGTTCGTGACGGCAATCGATCTGCCACAAAGTGTAATGGCGACAGAGACGCTTCAATACTGATGGCCTCTTGTAGGCTTGCTCTACATCCACTCACTCCAAGCACTTCGCCACCTCCGAACAGTAGAAGTCGGCAGACGAGTTGTAACACAGGAAAGCCATATGCCGACCACTGATTACTGGGAAATCGCCCCTTTGTTCCCACTCAAACAGTCAACCCGCCCCTCACTAGCCTCCCTGTTCGAGCAGTCCCAAAGTGAGCAAGCTCGCTGAACAAGCTCACAGCTGTCGTTGAACCATACCGTTTCGGTCAGCTGAAACCTCAATTGGGAGCTTTCAACGCTCTATAAGCGTTAGACTACAATCGCAACAATCGCAACAATTGGTTCAATTCAATAATCAGACAAGCAAACTTTCAACATCCCGAGCTTGCTGACTTGCATACACTACTGGAGATCTCACTTTCCATGACTATTTCGTTCTCTTTGACTTTGGAGATTAAATGAGCTCACGACGTCGGCCAAGGAAGTCAGTATGGCCATATTCAGAAGATCACTACGGTAAGTTTTGTGCTGAAACCTTTTTGGGCCTCACCAGCGACGACTCTTGCTCGGCTTCTCCAAGGCACAGCGATAGGCAACTTACAGTACGAGAGTGTGGGGCAAAGAAAGAAAAACGAGCCAACTAATTTCCAGAATTGCATGAATATCTTTAACGTCTGCCCGAGAAAGAGAAAAACGGCTCGAAACGGTCGCACATAACCCTTTTCGTGACGGTTTACCTACATTAGAAGCATTTTCTTCCGTAAGGCTCATTCTTCATTGCGTTTCACCTGTACCAAAAGCTATGACAAAACATATCGTATCTCTACAGGACCCTAATTCCGCAAAGATCAAATTACTTGATATCTCGCGTCATATTCAGAAGCACGCCTTGCGCTTGCCTAAACACTTCTCGCCTTACAAACAGAAAGCTTAAGATGCCTTTGGCTTCATGCAGCGCAGCTAGTCATCGATCTTCCTCCAGGACTTGGTGTTCAGAGCGTCAGGCATCAGTGCAAGCCCTGACGCACGGCTTTCGCATTTTCTCTCTCTCCCAAAAAGACTTAGAATGACGCCTGTCTCAGCGTAGCCATCGCTAAACGTCCTCGCCGGTGGTGAGAATGGTGATCATTTTTCGTACACTCTTCCCCCGTTGTGCCTTTTCGCCCCACACTCCATCCTTTTCGAACTATGTATCCTGAAGCCTGCTCTTCTTGCACTGACTGCTACAGCAATTTCGAGCAGGGTTCGGCAGAGATCATTTGAGACTATCAAATTGAGGACACTTATTTAGTGATTGGTAGTCGTCCAGTGTAGCTCAGCTTGGATACCGATGAAGATTAGTCGTGTCCCTGACCAGAGAAGCAGCCAGGCTGGAAGGCTGAACCTATGAAAGAGAATGGCTTAATTGATACCTGCATATGTAGACAGTAATACATATTTTATACAAACCATCTAAAACAGCCGTGATCACTCCACACCACCGTCCTCACTCTCCTCCCCCTCCCTCCCCATCATCCTCACTAGTATCCCCCTCCCCCTCACTCTCCCCCTCACTCCCCGGATCAAAATTCTCATCATCCTCCTCATCCTCCTCCCCATCCTGCGCCTCCACGTCCTTCGCCGCCTTCTCCAATTCTCCCTCCCCATCCCCCTCTCCATCCTCCCCTGCCCCATTCTCCCCCTTCACCCCATTAACGTTAAACTTCCTCGCCCTCCTCTCATCCGCCAGACTCTTATCCTGCAACCCCCTCCTCTTCACATACTCATCAATCCCCGCGAAATCCGCCTGATCAACCATCGAGAATTCGAATTCCTGCTCCTCCCCATCCCCAACGTCTCTACGCACTACGATTACTAAGTTGAACGTGCGTTGGAGGACAGAGGTGTAAGATACCGACTCAATAACGTGAAAGGGGAAGAACTCAAGCGGTTTCTTGAACCCCCAAATTATGCCCGTGCGAAGGAAGAAGAGAAAGCCTTCTTTTGCGCCGCGGAAGGCTTTAACGTGGTAAGCCTTCTCGCCTTTGCGCGTTGCTTGCGGGAGGTGCGATGTGAAAACCGCTTCGGAAGGGAGCGTGACGATGAGGTTACGGCGTTTGAGGGCTGCATTGAGGTGCATTGTGAGGATCGAGTTGTAGGTGGCATCTTTGGGGTCGGAATCGGTGAGGCCGTGGACGGTGCCGGGTTTGGGGGGAGTTGCGGGGACGGTGAAGAGGATTTGTTCGCTCGAGGTGTTGGGGAGGGGGTTGGTGAAGATGCAGAAGTTGAATTGGGCTTGGGTCTTCTCCGGGACGGGGAGGCAGGCTATTTCGAGGATGCTGGACCAGGGGGTTTGGGTTTCGATGTCGCCGGTGGGGTTGAGGACGCGGATCCCGCCGTTTAGGGCGAGGTTGAGGGATAGTTTGAGCTTTTTGCGTTGGGGGAGGGTGAAGGAGAGGTCATCGAATGTGATGAGGTCGGAGCCGGTCCATTCTGCGGCCGTGTCGTTTTCTATTTTTCTCTTTTTGAGGGGGTGCTCGGCGATGATGGAGGAGGGTTGTGTGGATGTAAGGCTGTTGATATATTGGGCTATGGATTCGAAGAGGGGCGTGAGGTTGTGATTTTGTGCTGATAGACTTCAAGTATTAGCATCGCGTTCCACATGGGAAAAAGCAATTGTTTGCATACAAGTTGCTTTGTAAATTTGCTGTCTAAGGTCCTTCCGTGAGGCGAAGGCTTGGTTTATTAACGGTGAGCCCATCGTGATTATAGTCTCCTGGAAAATAACAATTGAATAAAAATTTCCTGAAGTAAGGTATCCAATCTCTTGAGAAGAAATATCACGAACGGAAGGTTGACGCGTCCTCGAATCGGAGCGGACCGTGAAAGCCACCAATCAACCAAATTTCCATTTCAACTCCTTCCAACATTCTTCATTCTTCACATGTCATCGACGGACAACAAGCTATGCTTTTCAAACGTACAGTCTGCCACACGTGAGTCAAGAGACTTGATCCGAGGCGACTCAGGACTCAACGGGGGTGCTCGACTGAGTCCCGGCTCGACTGATATCAACATGTCACGATCAATCAATCGTATCGCAATGCCATTCTACCGACGACATGGCGGCGCGTCAGATCCATCAGCTCTCGTCTCAGTTACCCCGAGTCTTGAAAGGGACTTACGCCGAATGTTCCCAAGGAGTCATGCTAATGCGTTTGCCCAACGAAATCTCGCTACTCTACGAATGTTCCTGAAAGACGCGTAATGCTGATCATGCCTATTGCATAATCGTTTGAGTGATCAACTACTATCAGAAATTTACCCCTCATGGCAATGGCTACGAAGTAGTTGCTCGATCCCTGTGTGTAAATTATTGCTCATATCCACGATGAGTAAAGGACACATTCATGAGCCCCGTGCTTGGAATTCAGCGCCAGTTGAAAACGGCCGTGACCCTCCTCAAGTCAAAAGCCTACGACTCTACTTGGATCCTTGAAATCTCCTCCTGACTTTGAATCCCATTGCGCACAGCTGCGTAAGGTGCCAATCTACAGCTAAGACGCAGCAAACTATGCGGCCAACCCCAGCAACCATGTTGAGCGCACTTTGACTTTGTTCACAGTGTTTCGAATGCCGATGACATTGAATGGTCTATCTCATTGCTCTAACATTTCATTTCGATATCTACACCCCATAGTCCAACTCAAGCTACATCATTGCCACGTGCTGAGTAGCGTGCCTTCCCGATGCGTTAAAAGCTTTACTTCTAACCATTCACGCTATTCTATACCCAAGCTTATTCTTAAGTCTCATTACATTCATCCTTCCTTGTTTCCGATCACCCTGATAATAATCTCCTCAACCCCACATCAGGCTCTGGGTGTCGTCAACCGAGGTTTTCAGCAGCGAGACTAGAAAACCCTAAGCCAGGTCAAGGTGGGCCAACGACCATCTCTTCTTCTAACGTCGTCTCCAAGTCCGTTCTTCAGCGACTAGATAGTCCTCATGTTCGAGATCCATGAACACATCTCCATTTGATGATGGGAGTGACAGTCTCAGAGCATCAGGCCGCGCATATTGGGGACCTGATACCACTACACTACAACCCTGGCTTCATCGCCCTTTCTGCACTAGTAAGCTTTGCGGGATGCTGGACGGCCGTCGAGCTGCTACACAGAAAGACCGGTAGAAATGGGGCTCAGAATTGGTATCTTTTGCCTCAGTTGGCCACGGAGCAATCGCTTTGCTAACCTGCCACGCAGGTATCTTCTCCTTGGCGCGGCTACGGCAATGGCAGCTGTTGCTATCTGGTGCATGCATTACATTGGCAACCGTGCCATTCTGATGCTCGATGCTTCAGCAGGTATGCGTATCGTGTACTCGCCAGGCTACACAGCCGGGTCGTTGTTCCTAGCACTTGGTGGTGTCGGCACAGCTTTCTACTTCTTCAGCATGGCAGAAACTGTGACGCCTTTCACTGCACTGGGTGGAGGTATCTTCATGGGTGGGGCTATATGTGGCATGCACTACCTTGGACAAGTGGGGATCGAAAATTATGATTGCAGCTACACATGGCCCTACGTTGTCGGCGCAGCTGCCATCGCTGGGACAGCTAGCACTATTGCCCTCAGTATATTCTTCTACCTCAAGTCCGTCTGGACTAACAGCTGGATGAAAAGAGTCGGCGTTGCCTTGATCCTCGCTACAGGTGTCTCCGGCATGCATTGGTGTGCTACCGTAGGAACTAAGTATCGGCTCCGTCATTTTGCGGTGAACACCATGTCACCTCAGGGGGTGATCAACGTTGTTACTGTTCTGGCAAGTACACGAAGCTGCCACTGAAACCTGTACTAAACATGATTTAGGCAATCTGCTCTTGCTTGATTCTATTTGCAATCGCACTGATTGCTCAACGCTCCAAAAATCGTTCTGCGGAGAGAGCCAAGCAGGTCGTGCTTGCGTGTCTGGTCTTCGATTCTAGTGGAAGAATCATGGTCAACTCTGAGGGACTTTTTCCGTGCCGCAAAATCACCAACACTTTTCTCGAGAGGGTCTGTCCTCCTGACTTTTCTTCCGCGGGTGGCTGACAACGTCGATGTAGTCTTTTGACGAGGTCTTTGACGTCGACCATCCCGTGTTCTCTTGGATTTTCAGAGCCTCTCGTTGTTGGCAGAGCCTCAATCCAATAATCCCCGGTTCGTTCTAATCGATAGCTCACTGACTCCACTTACACCATGCTTACTCACAAGAGCACAGGCATCCGCTCTCACTTACGGAAAATTGACACGGCCCGCACATTTGGCGATGCTGGATTCCCTGCTCATGTCAGCTGCTGCACCGCGTGCTTGAATGACTATGAAACTTTGTTCAAGGAGCTCTTCTGTGTAGCAGCTAGTGACCTAGCAGCTACAATACAAGTACCGCTCACAGATCTCGGCGTGTTGTTCGACGACGTTGTGAGTACGGGCACCTTGAAGCCTCAGGCCCGCTTAAAGTCAATTGTTGGGATATCACGTCGAAAGAGCGCGATGGACCTTGAGACGGGTAATACTGACTGGTTTTCGGCATATGGACAAGGGAAACTCCTCTTCACTGTTCGTCAAGTCTCCAAACCAGAGTTCAATCACCTTCAAGGATCTGGCTTCAGCTTTACCAATCCATCGAATGTCATTGACCATTTATCTCAGAGCATGCAGATAAATCCTGACGACTTTCAATCCCGCTTGAATAGGATGCGAGACTACGCAAACTGCGAGCGTATTCTGGAGCCTGGAGTCCATCTGGCATGTTTCGCTTTACGGCCGTTCATTCAACGAGGGTTCGATGTCTTGGTAAGGAAAGATGCTCGCAATCTACTCCCAACTGTGAAGCTACCAATGCCTAAGCTCGACTCGACTTATCTGAATCTTCTTACTCAATTGGATGGGATGACAGTAGCCAACTGCTGCGAGACCATTCGTAGCCGAGCTGCCTTCAGCGATGAGTGCGAACATCAGTTTTTCTGTCACCTTCTCAAAGGTATCATCGACCTGTCAAACATCGTTGGTAGTGACTACTTGGAAGAAGCACGCCTCGTCGCCAAACCTTTCAGAGCCCCTGACTCAGCCTGGGGTTCCTCTGGTGAAGCAACAATTATAGCATTCAGGACCATCATCGATATTCACGAACTCACAAAGACTACGGATGACTACGAATTCGCGCCGCTAAAATTCTTCATGACTCAACAGCATACCTATCCAGGTTCGCCAGACATTGAAATCTTTGCTCGCCGTATCCACCGCGAATTTGAGCACATCTTGAGAGAGAATCGAACGCGCCAGGGAGTGTCACTAGCCATCGTTCTTCATACAACAACACTCGGAGCTCGAAGTCTTTCAAGTCACACTCTCCTCCTCTTGGTCACAGCAGGCTCGCCCGACTCAAATCTCTCAGCTGTGCAACCTTGAACGAGGCTGCGTCCGAAGATCACTTGGCTCTTACCCCGATACAGAAAGTTCATAGCGCGCATGGGTCACACGAACCAAGCATCAGAATTACAAGAATCAACGATACAGATACAGTGGAGCTGGCAAGCCTGCATAATAGGCCCGAATCTGCCTTAGAGGAAGAAGGGGAATCATTCGCTGAGAAGTTGGTCGCGCTTACTATCGATGAGAGGAAGCGCCAACGCTGAGAGGAAACTACTAGCATGGGCTGAAATGGGAAAGGAATCGTGCTTGTCAGAAAACAGCTGTAAGAGTGGCTATAAAAAGATCGTGGACTATGTGTTTGCTAAATATTCATACTTTGTCGCTCCTAGCCAGTAGCCTAATTTCTAATGAATAATATGATTTTGGCACAATCAAAGAGCTCCAATGGAACTGGAGCGGCCCATACGAGCTCGCCGTGACATAGTTGTTGTGATGGTGAAGGTCTCTGTTGTAAGCTAGGCCGCACAATTCATGCAAGCCGTGACATCATTTCAAGATTCGCGAATTTCACTCTTAGTTTACATCCCAACCGGAACTTCCTCAACATCGACCTCAACATGTCTTTTCCATGAGCCCAGTCGCCCTTGACGCGACCTACCATCACAATAACCACCTCCAAAATGACACCCTCGGACCCTCCACCTCCTACCACCAATCCCCTTCCCCTCCCCCTACCCCCCTCTCTACCCCCAACAAAACCGACCCTCCTCGCAACCCTGACCTCCCCCACCGCCTCTCGCGCCTGGCAATCAGCACCCCACCCCACCCTTCCCCTCCTCGCAACCTGCTACGCCGACCGCACCGTCCGCGTCCACTCCCTGCAGACCTTCCACCTCCACTCCACCATCTCCGGCGGCCATAAACGTAGTATTCGTAGCGTCGCTTGGAAGCCTAATGTGCCGAAGAATGAATTAGTTCTCGCCACGGGCGGGTTTGATGCTAGTGTGGGGCTTTGGAGGTATTTTTTGGATCCGGACGGGGAGGGGGAGGGGAAGGGGGATGAGCAAGATTTCACGGGTATGGGAAGAAGGAGAAAGGCCACCGCGGGGTTAGGCCTAGAGGATGAAGAAGACGGCGCAGACGAGGAAGAGGGCGATGATGGATGGCAATTCGCCATCATACTGGACGGGCACGATTCCGAGGTCAAGAGCGTGGCGTTCTCCGCCGGTGGCAACTTTTTGGCGACGTGTTCGAGGGATAAGAGCGTGTGGATCTGGGAGGAGGTCGCGGAAGATGAGTTTGAGACTGTGGCTGTGTGTACGGAACATGAGGGCGATGTGAAGGCTGTGAGTTGGCACCCGGAGGAGGAGGTGGTCGGGAGTGTGAGTTATGACGATGAGGGCAGGCTGTGGAGGGATGAGGGGGATGATTGGGGGTGTGTTTGGAGGAGTGGGGTTGCGAGGCGTGAGGGAGGGGGGGTAAGGGGACAGGAGGGGGAGGCGGGAGGCGGGGCATAAGGGGACGGTGTGGGGGCTGAGCTGGGAGGGGCCTGGGCGGGAGAATGTCTATGGGGAGAGAGGGGATGAGAGGTTGAAGGAGAGGTGGAGGGAGAGGAGAGAGAGAGCTGGGCCAAGGTTCGCGACCTGCTCGGACGATTTGAGTGTGAAGATTTGGAGACAGGTTCCTAGGGAACGGCAGCAGCAGAGCCGGTTGAGTATCATCAGGAGTAGGGATTCTGGGGAGGAGTGGGTTTGCGAGGCGGAGTTGCCGAGCGTCCACACGAGGAGTATCTATGCTGTCGCGTGGAATAGGGACAGTGGGAGAGTTGTGACTTGCGGAGGGGATGGGCTTGTGGTGGTGTATCAAGAGGGGTGGCTTGGTGAGGAGAAGGAGGAGGTTGTCAATGGGCATACGGAGGCTGGGGGAAATAATGAGCAGATGGGAGGGGTGGAAAGCAGTGAAGAGGGTGGTGAAAGCAAGGCAGATGATGTTGGGCGAGCTACGACCTGGAGAATCATTGCCGAAATAGAGGCAGCTCATGGTGTCTTTGAGGTCAATCACGTTGCTTGGTGTAGAAAACCTAAATCGAAGCAGGAGAACAATGACAAGGAAGCCAGCAAAGAGTGGATTGTCACGACTGGCGATGATGGTACTGTCAAGATCTGGGATATAGTGATATGATATCTAAGGGTGATGCTATAAGAACAGAGGTCTTATGGACATCCATAGACCATCCCACTTTGGCTTTCGAATAGGGGGTGTGCTTTGAGCCACGCTCTTTCATCCGACATTTCAACACAGTAGGCCTTGACTTGCCTTTTCTGGTGTTAGGCCTCCACTTTTGAGATATCTTCGACTCAAGTGCTACACATAGGGTAGTGCTGAGATCGTTCGCACGAAACCTTGCATGTGCGGCGGTCTAAGAAGGGGCACGCAAGGCAACGGAGGAGCCCAACGTGAACACAGGAATATCAAAGGCCCTCCGTCACAAGATTGCAGAAATGTCCAAGTCTGAGGGCAGCGGAAGGTAAGCTGCGTCAGTACTGGCTCCGAGAGCTCGAATCGTGAGGCAAAAGCCATGTGATGTCGCCGGCTAGATCGACTGGGAGAGAGCAACAGTAGACGAGCAAGCTCGGTTATCGAGGGACGCTGTGCGGAGCCATAGAATAGTATTGATGGGATATCGTCTTCCGAAGCGATCGAGAGATGCTTGTCGATCTTTGTCGCTATAGCCTGATACCTCTTCTATCAGCGCCTTGATTTCACCCGTCTCTTGAAATACTGCGCTGCATTTCGCTCTCTACGTGACCTCCTCGATGGTTGTCATAGTACCGTAGTGTAGCAGCATATTGCCACCAAAGCAATACCATAAGGGCCCAGTGTTACCGTCTTTCACTGATCACCTTGGTGGCATCACCTCGAGCATCGTTGTCAGACAGAAACTCTGGCGGAGTGATCTTCTTGCCACCCATTCTCTGCTTCTCCTTCCATCCTTTCAATGGCCAGTATAGCTTCGCCGCTTCCCTCGCAATCCTCTTTTTCTCTTTTACCCGACGATCCTGCTCTGCGGCTGCAATTGGTAGAGATTTCTGTATTCTCGCCGCAGAAGATTCTGCTTCCTCGCTCAATTCAATCTTTGGCTTGACTGCCCCCCTCTCCACCATCTTCCTTCCGATCAACTCAAGAAGTTGTGGGCTAGGCATACCCGTCTGGCTCTCTTGTGAATCTTGCCTCTTCTTCTGCCCCTGGAGACTAAGCTGCTTGAGTGGGCTCACGAGCATATTTCCACCATTTTTCAAGTAAGCCTCCCGAGCAAGTCTCTTCCTCTCATTCTCCTCCACCTTCTGAATGTACTCCGGATCGTGATTATTTCTGAAACGACTGTATTTCCCTCTCAACTCATCTATGACGCCGTCCGGGAATGGTACACGTATCAGGCTAGGTGTCCAAGTCCTAGCCTCGACATCGACACGCAGGGTATCAATATCATGTTCATTATTTTGTGAAGCTTCAGGTCCTAGCCATTTGGGCCTTCGCATCGCCTTGAGACGTTTTTCCTCCTCCTTTTCTGCTTTTGTTTCCAAGGTAGCCCTTTCTTCGTATCGTTCTTCTTCTGCTCGCTTCGTAGCTGCTTCGGTAGATTCTTCGGAAAAAGGTGTTTTAGGATCTATGGCACGAGATTCCTCCAGGGGATAATTATCTTTATCAAGACCCATAATAATGTCCTCTGGCCGACGAATGATCGGATTCCAGATGGTTTTTACGGGGCGAAGACTGGACATGGGGATGGGTTGGGGTGAGCTGAAACGCTCATAATCGTCGAGGTCTGAGATCTACACGGAGGGGGAAAGTGTAAGCCTGGGCGTCTTATAGTTGCATATAAAGTCACGAACATCACTGAGTCCATCCACAAAACACGCTTTTTCGGCATGCCTAATTTCTGTGACAGTAGATATTCTTCCCCGGTCTAGATTGTCGGGATCTCGAGGTGCGACCAGGCAGACCCTGCCACCGATCTTGAATTGCTTAGCAAAGTGCTCCATGGTTTCCCGCTCTTTTCGTTTCTCCAACTTCTCCTCCCGTTTTCTGTCTCGTTCGATCTGCAATCTCTGGGGAAATTCTGGGTCAAGTTGCCCCATCAATCGGTTGCCAATTTTGCGGCGCCTGTACTTGAGCTTTGCCTGACGGTCTGCGTGTTTGATAGCATTCTGAGTGCGCTGTTGGAGGCGTTGCATGACTGCAGATTGTCGGGTTAAGCTGAGAGACAAGGTAGCTAATAATTATTTCTTCTGGCAGCAGATTCCACGAGACTTCCGCATTGGGGCTAGTGCAATTGCCCAATTATCTTATCGCATCCCAAGGCTCAAGTCAAGGAACCCTCACTTTCCTCCATCCAGATCAGGCTGAGCTTCTTGGAAGTTCTATCTACCCAATGAATAGTCTTGATCGCCTCTTAGGTCTTTCCCTATGTCGAGCGGACCTAGTAAATCATGGCTTTCGCTACTGGAAGAAAAGAAAGAGAAAATACGCGCCTTAACCACCAAAGACTGCAGCCTTAACGAAGACAACTACAACTGGTCGGGTTTCCGAGAAGCGTTTGAAGATGTTTTCGAACGCCAAGATGTCGACGTCCAGAAAGTCCAGCAGCTCGAGGCAAAACTTTTCCACACATATTACCACATCCTGGACCTAGCGGACGCCGTCCATAAATCTGCCCCCGATCTACAGGGCCGGCCTTCTCACGACAATTTTAAGGGTGTGATATGGACGCTGTCGATTATCGCTTTCGATGTGACTGAATTTTCAATTGATTAGCCTCTAGCTGACTGTCTTCTAGATAGCCCTTCAGGAGAAAGCCAACCTGGAGCCCGTAGCCCTGGTCATTGCCCAGCTGAACGAGAAAGTCCCAATCGTTGGCAAGAATGCTGGCCGGTTTCCTCATGAGGACAGGGTTCAGGGACCTCTGAAAGACATTATGACCACCTACATTGACCTCCACATTGCCATTATCTCTTCACTTAGTCAATGTCAGCCTATCTACACATCTATAGCAGCAAGTCATTGAGGTTGCTGACTGTCTTGAAGCTTCTAGATCTGACATCAGGGAGGATGAAATCCTTTTAGAGGAGATTAAAGCATCTGCTACGAAATTCGGCCGCTTCAGGGGTGACCACGACGTCATGATAAACCAAGCAGCTCAAGACGAAGCGAGAGACGCATCCGCCCGAGAGAGGCCAGGCCTCGAGAGACAAAGTACCCTGCCAAGCGAAACTCACCCTGAAAGGACAAGGGAAGTGACGGTAAAGTTTGTATCGGGAAGATGGTTAGGAAGGGGTTCTTTTGCCGATGCTGAAGAGGTTAGAGAAGCTTCCACGGGGTTTTCATACGCTCGGAAGCATATCCACGTTGATGGTGGAAAGTCTCGAGATGACATTGAAGCCGAAGTGCGGAAGGAAGTTTTGGTCATGCAAAAGCTTCATCACCCACATATCGCTACCGTTCTCTTCCACTTCGAGGAGCCAGGTGCCTTCAGTATCATCATGCTTCCTGTTGCGGATTATGATCTGTCGGTCTTCCTTGACAATTGCAACACGGGCGGGTTTCGTTCTGATGATATCTCACGCATCAACCCTTGGTTTGGATGCTTACTGGATGCTCTGACTTATGCGCATAAATCGAACGTTGAACACAGAGACATCAAGCCCTCAAACATTCTGATCAAGAACGACCAGCCCTATCTTAGTGACTTTGGGCTTGCAAAGGACTTTGCTGATCAAAGTACAAGCATATCTCAAGGCGCCAAGCCAGCCGGCACTCCGACCTATCGGGCGCCGGAAACGGTTCCAAATCATCCTCGTGGGCGCCGAGCGGATGTATTCTCACTCGGCTGTGTATTTTCAGAGATGTATACTGTCAGTAGAGGCAAATCCTTGCAAGAATTCCGCGAGTACCGCCAAAAGGCAAAGCAATCGATCGTATTTCGAGACTGCTTACCTGAAGTAGAAGCATGGTTGGGAGGTATTGAGAGGAACAACGTTAGCGAGGTCTTAGTCAGTACCATCAAGGGCATGATTAGAGCAGCAAGCGATAAAAGATATACATCAGAGAAGGCTCTGAATCATTTAAAGCCAGAACGTACATTCTTTTGCGTTGAATGATAGGGGCTCATGCCAGACCCCATTATGAGATTAGTATATACTTTAGACCGGTGGAGTAGGAACCTTATATTGGGATACATTTCTTAAATACTCAGTATGGCCATCGTCTAATTACATTTCTTCATTCGTTTCATCAGTCCAGGCATCAGACCAAGGAATTGGGTCTAAACATCCAGTCTGCTCGACCGTGCGTGCTGACGCTTTACATCCGTACGCCACGGCAGCTTTGATATCCCATTGACCGAGCTGCTTCTGTCTGACATATTCAACGGCGTATGCACCTATGAATGTATCTCTGAATTGGCAGTCAGCTTGAAATGATTGCCAGAGTCAAGCAATGTAAGTCAGACGTGTTTGGAGAAAAACGTACCCTGCGCCCGTAGTGTCAACAAGCATGTAATCTTTCTCTGCCTCGACAAAGTCTTTGTCGCTATCATTGGCATAATATGCGCCTTGACGGCTCAAGGTGATGACAACATTCTGGACTTGTTGTGATAGAAAGTACTCTGCAACTGGAGACCAGCGGTTGGGATCGTTCTCATCCAAGGGCTCATTTGCTGAGAGCGTTTGGGCTTCACTTCTATTCATGACGAGGTGCGTGATCATTGGCAGTATATTGGGTAGAACGCTGAGAGCTGGTGCTGGGTTCAGGAGGACATCCACATGTGCCCGATTCGCAGTCTCAATCACCTGCTCGATAGTATCTCGACGTAACTCGAGTTGAGTAACCAGCAAAGCGGGTACAGAACCGCCAGTCAGATCTTCTAGTGTCTTTAGGTCGCCTGGATGGATCATGTGGTTTGCGCCAGGGTCGTACAATACTCTATTTTCTCTAAAACGATCCTCTACAATAACAACAGCTCGGCCGGACGAGGCTTCTTTGACTGTGCGAACCTTGTGCGTCTCCACGCCGTTCTCCTCCAGCTTTTTGAGAAGCCGTGGACCATAACCATCGGCTCCTACGGCGCCCACAAACTGTACACGAATCTCATCAGTATGCGAATCTGCTTTCACCGCAGCTTCTCTACCCTTTGGCTTCTTATGGCTAAGTCGATATGCAGCAACGGCAGCCGAAGCACCTTTACCGCCTAGGTGCTCCTCGAATGGCTTTGAAAGGAGAGTTTCACCTGGATTGGGAAGACGCTTCGTGAAAACCTCCAGGAACCTTACCAGACCCCCTACAACCACTATAATTTGATCAGGCATCGAAGTACCAGAACACGCAGATTATGCAGGGTAATGCAGATACCCGGAGCTCCTTGTAGTCATAAACAAATGGCGCCAGAACGGCCAGTCCGCGACAGCATTAGCATGCATGAAACTAATCAATAGGGGCACTTTGGGCCGCCTCTCCAGCTTGCCTTCCTCTCACCCAAAGTTGACCCTGATCAGATACCTCTAGACACATAGTAGGTCAAACAAACCCCGATGAGAATTTTCATTCTCTGCCAGCAGCATGTTTGCCACGACTACATTACAAATTGATACGTTTTCTCATATCATAGCTTGCGACGTGGTGAGGATGACGGCTGTGGTCCTCTTCAATCTGTGATATATCCCTTTTTCAGCGATTACCCTGGTAGCAACGGTGTCCCTTGCTTGCCTTGTAACGTGGACTATCCTCACTTGTGCCAATCTGGTCCTTGACCTCGCCTTTTCTCCATTTGCCTGCGAGAGTGAGCATGACTACATGTAAAGACCGAAAATCGCTCAATGACCGTCGCTCAAGAAGTAGACTTTGTCTCGGACGAAGTATTTAGACACTTCGACGCAGTTCTTAGGTGTTATTGGCCGCGTAGGCATCGCTTTGTTTACAGGACTTAGGACCAGAAAACGATTTTATTATTGAAAAAGAGAAGTTGAATCAATATTGGAGAGGCTGCACGTCCTCAAGATTCTTTGCATCACGGTCCCTCTTTATAATGTCAGCACGGAGCGAACAACCAGGCTGGCCTTCAGTTGCAAGAAAGTGGTACCACTCTTTTGCGCATGTGCTCTCCGTGGGTGAATTAGTGAAGCAAACCGGAGCTACACAGACAGGGCGCGAACTAAGTCCCAGCCTGCATAAAGACAATGCGCCTCGTCCTACTCCCATTGGAAAGCAGCCAATTAATGTCGGCCATGCAGGTATCATCTCTTCATGTGGTCAAGCTGCTAGATGTCAACCAACTCTACAATTGCACGGTCTCACTCAGCCTCTTGGGTGCGTTCTTGAATTATATAGGTTCATCGTGACCTGACTTCGTCGCTTCCGTCACCATCGTCTTGAGATAGATTGAGATGCTCTAAAGCCATGGGAGACAGGGGCCTATTTAGGTGGTCCGCCAACGCCTAGGTAGGCAACTGTTACTTGAACGCTCAACATGTGTGATCCGCTGTCAGCTGTTGGAAGTGTACTGGCTCTCGCTGGGTTTGCTGGGGAATCGTGCGATCATCTATGCAAATACTTCAGGTCATATTCCGAAGCTTCAGAGGATATTAGGCATCACATTTCCAGTCTGCAGGCCTTGCAGACGACCTTTACTAGTATTGCAGCGATCGAGAAGGATCTTCCTAAGGGATTCATAATACCGCCTAGATTTGGTGCACGTTTACAAGAATGTGCATCAGATCTAGCGGCAACTGATAAATTCATAGCCTTCTCTCAAACCCGCTTACAGAATCGGAAAATACAAAGGACCTGGGCGAAACTGAGATGGGCTTCTCCGGACCAGAAACATAAGTTGCAGACCATGCTCGGTCGGATAGAAGCACATCATCGAAACTTCTCTTTGGATCTCCTGGTCCTCAACATGTATGTCCCATCACGTCCAATGATTGATTATACAGAGAATCCATGGACTTACTAATTGATTTATAGCCAGCTCGGTCTTCATCCTAAAGATGAAACCAAGGTATGCAACTTCACCGGACACGGCAGTTCCATTTTACAGGACATTGGACAAGCACAACATATGGACTATAACGACCACCGCGAGCTCTCGTCATCCACCGGAAATCCTAACTCAGCCGCCTGTCAACAAAGATTATCGAGTTGCCGCTTACAGCTCAGCTCCGGAAATACACAGCATCCATGTTCCAGCAATCGCACGTACTATAACAGAAATGCTGGAGACTTCGGGAGAGAACATTCTCTACCTAATGATAGTGGGGAGCTACTGTCTTACAAAGAGAAACATGGAATGAATCATGATATGAAGACAGGCACTCACTGCTCATACATGGAGATAATTTCAATCCAAGGAAATCGTATCCAATGCTTCAGGAGCAAGTTTGCAACATCGCTAGCATGGACTGGTCCTCTGAACGTACAGCAATTGAAGAATGGACACAGCTTTTCGAGCGAGACTGAGCTAAAGCCTACAGGTTTTGGAATTGCTATTGTGCTTGTTCCCTGTTGGATTGCCATCGTCAGGCTGCAATTGGAGATATTTCTTCTCAAAAGGAGGAATGGGTCGCAGAACAACTTTTCGCTTCAATGGAGCCTATCCTGCTCGAGAATCTTATCCTGGGATGATGATTTCGTCAGCACTTTTCGAGCCGGCAATATTGAACGTGTAAAGAGTTTCTTCAGCGCTCGCAAAGCGTCACCATTCGACGTGCTTCCGTCCGGCTATACGCTTTTACACGTTTGTTCTTCCTACTTCTCTGACAAATTCGCCGTCTTACTTCCTGCCAGATGGCGTGTTCAGACGGGCAGATTGAAATGGTGAAACTTCTGATTAATGAAGGACTCAACATCAACGAATTTAATGATGCCGGGCAGTAAGAGATGTCAAGCAGAAGTCATTACGGTTTTTACTTATTTATATAGGAACCCTTCACACTTCGCGCTACGATTTGGTTCCAAAGATGAAATCTGCCGACTACTTATGGACCGAGGAGCAGAGCTGGACCATCGCAGCATCGCCGGTGAACAGCCCTTTCACACTTTCCACAGCTCGGCCTTGGAGCAAACCATCAATCGCCATAGATACCTGACAGACTTCTGGAACCCCGATTGGCGAGGTATGACCATACTCCACTGGATGGCCTGGTCCAGCAAAAGCTCAGGTGCGTTCCTCGAAAGCTTCGGTTCTCAGGCCAAGGCGCAAGTCTCTGTAGCCGATCACGACGGCAGGACGATGCTTCATCTGGCCGCTCAAAGGGGCAACATAGATGTGATAAACTACATCTTCCGTGCGAAGCCCGATTTCTACGTGGACTTTCCAGACTCTACGGGCCGCACGCCTCTATTCTACGCAACACACAGCAAGCGCAGTCCGCAAACGATTCGAAGCCTGGTAGCGCGCGGAGCCAACCTCTGGGCAGAAGATTGTCATGGGAACACTCTGTTTCACGCCGCAGCGGCACAGAATAATTTTGAAGCTGTCGATACTCTTGTGGAGTTAGGCGTTGGACGACTGTTGTGGAAGAGGTCTGGGGCTCGGGAGTTAACGGCCGCAGAGTACGCTTCATGGCAAACCAGACATGCATTAGCTGGCTACCTCGAACGGCTATTGCTCGAACAAGACGAAATGATACCTGAAACCCCGATCCAGCAGGGATGTTCGTCCGAGGCCCTGTGTGATTCATGTCAAGACGTGGAAAGGCGTACGATCACCACTGAACAATTGGACTTGAAGGTTTCAGCTTTAGGAAAGCTGGCCTACCTCTTAGAATCTGTCAACCATCTTTGCAAATTCATCTTGAAGTCTTGTCCTTCGCAGAATTTGCTATGTGCTTCTGTGCTGGCATTGATTGCTTGGATGATATGTCTCTCCACGCGTTGATTCGCTACATGATTGCTCAGAGGTTACGGTCGACGTTGTGTGAATGACATAGAGTGACAAGACAAGATTGTCGGTCAGGATGATAGGACATGTCATGATAGAAATATCACAAGCAATGGTAATGCTACACATGATGGCGAGCCTCTCCCTCTGTTGATGGATTTTCTCCCGGAGGATGAGGCAAGGGTGGGTGACAGAGAGGAAATAGAGTGCCAATAGTTTGTTGATCATGAAGCTTTAATCTCCTGAAGCATTTCAATTCTGGCACGTGGTCGTTATGCAAAAAACCAAATGAAGTTTCGGGAGTCTTATCTATTCAAAATCGCACACCATTATCTCTCTCCCCATCCACGAACGTCTCGAGTCTCCTCTCCGTTCCTGTCTTCCCCTTGAAGGAATCAAAGCTCCTCTAAACCCCGTACATCCTCTTCCATCACCTCCATCGTAGCCTCAAAATCCGTGACCCTCTCCCCATCAAGCCGGCCGAAAATCTCCACCCGTACCGTCCAGAATCCAATTCTTAAACGGTGCGCCAGTTGTGGCAGAGTCGCCACGACCTCGACATCCCCTTCTCCAACGGGACAGGTTACAAAACGGCCATCCTGTATGAATTCAAGGCTAACAGGATTATTGGGGTTCTGGTCGCAGAGGTCGAATTCGCGCGTAGATATGATCGCGCCGCCGAGGCTGGTGGTGAGTATGAAGCGAGGAGAGGTGGGGAGAGCGGCGAGAAGGGTGCCGAGGAGGTGGATGGTTGATGGTCGATGCCTGCTTGGATGATGAGAATCATGATCGTGGGCGTTGCTGTCTCGCGTGAAGTGGGATGAAAAGACGACTTACGGATCTGATGGAGAAGGTAATAGGTCTAGGTGCTTGATCAGCAGGATGTCGTTGCTAGGGTCGCCATTGTAGTGAGCTGGTGACAAGCCAGGGACTGGGAGGATCTCGTGCCAGGCTGGCTTGTGGGTGTGGAGGAACGGAGTTTGGGAGTGAGCCATAGGTGTCTCATCGGTTGGAGGCTGGATGCATGCTGCTATTGAGAGCTGGAGGAGTAGAGGAAGGGAGCAGAAGGTGAGATGCATCGTCTTGGACGCGATCAATAGTCAATTCGGCGGCTGGTTGAAATGGGGTACTGCTATTGAACCCTGTCGACCCACTTTACAGGATCTGCTACGAGATAGCTTCTACTCCAAATGAGATCTCGATGTGACTGTAGAGTATAGTAACGAGATCGAGGGATAAAATGGAGCGGTCAACTCCCTTTTTTTTTCTTCAGCTCGTAGACATACTTTGAGGCGATGAGACGTGTAAACACATGCGGCGAGGTCAATGACAGCCCCAACATGTTTGTGATGTGAAGCATGGTGGTGAAACAATCCTGCTTGACTTAGCAGAGATCCTTTGCGGCACTGCCTCATCTGGTCGCAGTATAGGATCTCTAGCCGCCATGCCCTTACTGAGCCGCAGTGTAGGATCCCGTCTCCGCCACACCCATACTTATTCACTCTCGGAATTGAGATGAGTGTTCTAAAAGAAGAACGTATCATGTGGAGTTGACTTTTGTGGTGATTGCTGAGACGTCTCAGAGCGCCTTCCAATTTATGCGTAGATTTGAGCGGATGGAAAAGCTAGATCCTAATCCTGCACCAAGGCGTCAGAGGCATTGTTTGTCGCATTGCCTCTGCGTGAAACGAAATGACCCAGATTGGACAGGTGCTGTAACGGGCATAGTATTCTAGCACGATGTACTCTCCGACATTGAAGATTGAAAAGTTTCAAGCTTTATTGAAGCTTTTGCAACTCCAAGCTATGAAAAACCTGGTATCCTTGGCACTAAATTTGAAGTCATAGGTGTAGATTAGGCTTCGAGTCGTCTCATGGTCTTCAAATATATTCCAGAATTGAGTCGAAGGTCGTCGACTCGAAGGGCTCTGCCGTGCGGTGGTATACGTTCTTCATACCGTCGAACAATCCAATCACACGAAAGCTCGCGGCATCCCGAACTTATCAGCCCAAGGATCCTTCCACATCCAGGGCTCCCATCCCCTCGGACTCGTCAAAATCCAGATAGTGACAGACACGAGTCCATAGCTCAGAAACAGATACAAGCATCCTGAACCCTCGATGCTTACTGCTGCATATCTTGCAACGATACTCTGAGGACGACCCAATGCCCTAAATACTGTAGAGAAGGCGAGTATGCAAATGAGTATCACAGGCCAGAGAGATGCAAGATAGGCAGCACAGTAGCCGAGATCGGCCATTATCTCAATAATGCCCTGCAGATCAGACTTTTGCCTGCTCATCCAGTGATGACAAGGTCGCGTCAGCTGGGCCAGTCGCTCGCTAGACCCTGGAAAGACCGGTGCGTCAGGATTATTCCTGAGGCGTGGGAGAAAGCCTTTGGTGCCGTCACCGCCGTCGCAGGGGATTGTTATTGCAAGTGTCCCCGTGGCGTCGTCGCCTGGCATGAAGAAGGTGATGGCTTGCACGCATGTGGCCATGGTGAATGCGACAAATAGCTCAGGCAGCCGAGCATGCAATGTAAAACCCATCAGGAGATCAGTGAGGTCCGCTTCACTGCGTACTTTCTTAAACTTCTCCACATAGTGAGGGGCCACTGTCCACCTCGTGTTGATTATCATGAGGGCAATACTGATCAATGCGAGAATTTGACCGGAGAAGGCTGTCATTGCCACGAAATCATCAAGGAATGTGCGGTGAAGTCCTGTCGCTCTTCTGATCCACAGTATCTCTATGAAGAGAGTGAAAATGGAATATAGCAGCAACCCTGATACGTGTAGATACCACTTCTGACTGTACTCTATTTTCTGAGCATCCGCATTCTGTGACGGCACAGCAGATAATGGGATGGAGTCCTCATCGGGTGCTGCTGAGTCTGTGTTTTCAAGACCGTCAGACGTCTCTGAGCCTTTTGCCTGTCCTGTCTCTGATCTTTTGACCTCGTCTGTTTCCTTTCGATACACATCCGCCTCATAAGGGAACGCTCGCTGATCCAACGCAGCACAAAGGCTGAATCGCTGCGAATGGCCTGCTCCTCGCAGTTGCACATATTTGAGTGCTCCGATCATCAATTCGGCAAGCGGGAAGGTTGGGATTAACACGGAGGCCCATATCTCATAGCTAGCCAGACCGCGAGGCTGTCTTCGAAGACGTGACAGATTTCGAGCAACAAGAGCGGTAAGGATTGTCACAACCGTAGCTTTAGTGAGTATATCATCGGCTGAGCGAGAGTCCAGCACGGAGACAGCATCAGAAGTGCTGGTCGCGTTCATGTCGGTCTTCGTCTTGACGACAATTGAGCATGCAAGGACACACAGTCAAGAAGGTCAACAAGGCAGCCGCCCATGTTGAAGGAATCCGGCCCTGTTCGGACAGACGCAAGGCTGCGCACTGGCGACGAGTAGCAGGGGCACCAGCCAATTGACGTAGTTTCAAGGTCTTGGCGTTTCAGTGTGCTTCGTTTCATGATCTGAAGCGATATCCCGAACAAAGACATTTCCATTATTACCAAGCACCCACATCTCCCACTCACCCACCCACCCACTCTCCACGCATAAAGACCTCAAAATAGAAAACAAAAGATCGACAATCGTACCTCCATTCCCTAGCATTGACCACATCACCAATACTACTAGCAAAAACATCCTCACCGGCGTTCCATAGCTCATCAACCATACCTCTGTCCGACCTCAACCTAATCACCTCCACCCCAAAGACCCTTCATATCATCACCTACCGCAAACACCGCACAAAATGACAGCAGCACACCACTACCACTTCAACATCGCCATGTCCTGCGGCGGCTGTTCCGGCGCCGTGGAGCGCGTCCTTAAGAAAACCGAAGGGTTGGCCGACTACAAAGTCGACCTTGCAACTCAGACCGCAGATGTCTACACCGATGACGTGAGCTATGAGACTGTGCTGGAGAAGATCAAGAAGACGGGGAAGGAGGTGAAGGGCGCGGAGAAGGATGGGGCGAAGGCTGAGATATGATCGGGCATGCAGTGGTATGGTGACGGAGGCATGGCATTGCTATCGTGGGAAAACATTATTGATGGCCGATGGAACACGGGTGGAGTTTGCTGGTACTGGAATAGATGGCTGATGATTTATGGTGTTATTTGCATAGCCGTGCTGGGTTCGCAAAGTGGGAGGTGGCGATGGCTTCTATCTCTATTGGAATGCAAGTTCTATCTAGAATCAATGGGAACTTTTGATACTCGGACATATCGCATGACCGCCACCTTCTATCTTCCTCCATTCATACATCGAATCATAACAGCGCTCTTGCCATAATAGCTTTCCATACATGTCCATAAGGTACTAGTACGCCGCAGTTTCGTCTTCCTCCTGTTCCCTAGGCACCCCTGATGGTACCTTATTCCTCAACACGTTTCTCGCTTCCTGTGCCATGCACGCATCTAGAAGCGTTATTGCTGCCATGGCTTCAACTATAGGTACGGCGCGAGGGACGACGCATGGGTCATGTCGCCCCTTGGCTTCTAATGTTCCTGCAGTACCAGAAAAGGTCGAAGTCTCCTGAGCTTGGCCGATCGTAGCGGGCGGTTTGAACTGTGCAATGCGGTCAATGATATTTCTAAAGAACGTAGGGCTACCTTGAAACAACGTAGGAGTATCACTCACAGCAACACGAAAGTAAATTGGAGCTCCGTTGCTGATACCCCCTTGTATACCGCCGGAGTTGTTCGTTCGAGTCTTCAGTACCGGGAATTGACCAGAGGGCACACCATTCAATTCTCCAGTCGATCCATTTGCGTGCGAGCCATTAGTCACAGCGTCTGCTCCCGACTTTGATGGCGGGACAGCTGGAGCTTTGACAAAAGCGTCATTGTGTTTAGAGCCGGGTATCGTGCAACCAGCAAAGCCCGATCCAAACTCGAAACCTTTCGTTGCTGGAAGAGAAAGCATGGCTTGAGCCAGTGTAGCTTCAAGCTTGTCAAAGCATGGCTCTGTGGTGATGAATGAGTCAGCTTACAACCAGGGAAAGTGTATTGAAACGAAAGCATATACTAGATTTCAAAGCTCTTGAGATGTGCCATGTCACGAGCGGAGAAAGGTCAAAAACGAACCTCCAAGACCAACGGGAGCATTCCTAATCACACACACTACCGTTCCACCTATACTATCTTGTTTATCCCTGAAGTCGGCTATCTTCTTGGCCATTCGATCCGCAGCCTCTTGATTTGGGCATCGTACTGGCACATATCGGTCAACCTCTTCCCTTGTGATCGTCTCGAGCATCTTCAGATATGTAGGATTTGAGGCGGCAGAGGGGTGCATTGGTGTTGGCGGAAACAGCTCTTCATCACCGACAGAGTAGACGAATGATACTATCTCCACACCATACGCCTCTTTTAACATTTTCTCGGCTATAGCACCTGATGCTACTCGTCCAATAGTTTCCCTTGCGCTGCTCCTCCCACCACCGCTGGAGGCACGAACTCCGTATTTCATCTGACTTCTTTGCTCAGCATTGATTGGCTTCAGGAGTTGGTCTGCTCACATACTAGGTATAGTCGGCGTGCGAAGGCCGTGGGAAGAGGTCCATTGTGCTAGCACCGTAGTCTTTGGGTCGATGATCTTCGTTTTTGACCCTGAGTCCGATTGGCGTGCCGAGGGTGAATCCGTTTTCGACTCCAGATTCTATAATCACCTTATCTTTTTCATCGCGGGGCTCAATCCGTCAGTAACTTGTATCAGACGACTCTTGAATTACAATACCGTTGTAAGCGCGCTTTGACCAGGTCTACGCCGGTTCATTTGAGGTTGAATGTCATCTTCTGACAGCCTCATTCCTGGACGAACACCGTCGACTATGCAGCCAACTGAAGGACAATGGCTCTCTCCATACGTCGTCACCCTGAAAAAGCGACCGAATGTGGACATGGTTGGGCTTGAGGGGAAGACGTAGAGACAGATTTGGTGTCTGAAATATGTAAGGCTCAAGGAGAAGGCAAGAGCAAGATGTCGTGCAAGAGAATCAGCCCACTTGGTTGATCGAGGCGATGTCGAGGGAGGGTGGCATGTGGGATGGAGCGTTCACTCTGCGAAGGGACGGATATTTGAACGAATTGAGGTCATGTGTGATGTGCATTGGTCATGTTAGAACATTTCATGTTTGAGCTTAAGGTTCCTTCGGCAACTGAATACTCTTTTTTTTTTTTTTTTTTTTTTTTAAATCCTACGCCGTTTCAGCCTTATGGGCTATGCCGGGTGCTATCTACGCAGACAAGCTACTTTATATCAATAGAATAGATACTTACTAACTCCTTAAATAATTATAATTAAATTAAAATTAAAAGAATAGGTATTAAAAATTAAAAATCTAACTAAATACTATAGACTTAAACTACTAAAACTATTAATAGTTTTAATAACTATTGCCTTTTAATAAACTAATATAAAGCAAGCCCTTATATTTTTTCCTCTTTTATAATATATATTATTATAGGCTATAAATATTTGTTTTTTACTACTAACTATATCTATATTAGTTTAGAAAGTTATTTAGCTTTAAAACTCTTTATAATATAAAGTTAACCTTTATTAATAGCTTTACCTTTCCTAAATACTTAAAGGTTTTAGTTTATAATAGGAATTATATAATTATAATAGCTTTTTAAATGTTTTTTAGCTATTTATTAATATTTATAGCTAATATATTCTAGCTTTAGTATTTCTTTTTTAAATTAATATATAATAAATAGTTAAATATTAAATATTTAACTATTTTTTAACTTTACCTATAATTATATATAGTTAAATTAGCTAATTTTTTTAAATATAAATAGCTATAGAAGTTAATTGCCTTTATTTTAGCTTAGATTATAATTAATATAATAATCTATAGCTTATTTATATATTTAAGAAAAAATTTTTTAAAAGGTTTTTTTATTAGCTTATAGAGATTATAGCTTATTAATAAATACTTCTAGTTATTTTTCTATATTTTTAAAACTATATTTTTTATTTTCTAATTTATAGCTAATTTAAGCTTATAAATTAATAAATAGTAAAAAGCAGTAAATTTAAATAGTTTATTTTTATTTATTTAGCTTATAGCTTTCTTAGCTAAGTTATTAACTAGCTTATTTCTATAAATCTTTTTATAACTTAGTATTTAATAGAGTTTAACTATAGCTCCTATATTTTAAAGCTAATTTAAAAGTTTTATTATATTTTATATATAATATTAGCTAGATTTATTTTTAAGATCTTAAAGTATTTAAAGTACTTTTTAATTATTAATAAATAGTATTATTTATTACCTAAAAGTATTTAATAATATAAAGACTAGTAATTAAATAATTCTAATTATGTTAGCTATAGGAATAGTATTAATTAAGTTTAAGCTTATATAAGTATTATAGGTAATAAGCTTTTAATAATATATTAAATTAATTAGGGCTACTGCTACCCTAATTCTTTTATTAATATTACTATTATTAAAATAGTAAATAGCTTACTTTTTAGACTTTTTCTTTACCTTCTTTAAGATTTTATTATAGGCTATAATCCCTAAATTATTATTTTTAGCTATACTTACTATTAGTAGGACTTATTATAAATAAACTATAAAAGAAATATTTCTTTTAATTAATATATTATTATTATAAGTTTAGCTATTAAAAATATCCTTAATTTTATATAAAAAGTTATCTTAGTTCTTTTAACCTTTAATATTAATTTTCTTATATATTTAAAGGATTTTTTAATAGACTAGTAAGTAATAGATTCTATTTATAATATAATAGATTATTTTTATTAATTATAAATCTATAAGTTTAATACTTATTTCTATATTTAATATAGTACTAGCAGTATATTAGAGGGCTCCTATAGCTATTATAATAGCTTCCTTTTAAAAGGCTTTAAGTCTTTAAATAATCTTTTAATAGTAGCTTTTATAATTTTATCTATACTAGAGTAATACCTATATTAAATATTTATAAAGTAGCTTTAAAAGGATAGTAGCTTAGAATAGCTTTATTATTCCTAGTAAAGTAACTTTCTATATAGTTTAAGCTAGACTTTTTAGAGCCTCTTTATAAGCTTTAGCCTTCTTTAAAGTAATTTCTAAATAAAATCATTTATTTAGTATTAGGTTAAGCTAAATACTTAAGTAGTAAATACTTTTAAAAAAATATACTTCTTAAGTATATATTTTTCTTTAAAGTTTAAGCTTTATTAGCCTTTTTTATTCTTTCTTTTTTACTTATTTTAGCTATTAGAAGAAGTAGATTAAATTATATTTTTAAAGAATAAAGATAGCTTTATACTTATTTGCTTATATTTTAAGCTTAGTATAAATATTAGCTAGCTTTTAATAAATTTCTTTAATATTTTTACTAATAACTAAAATATATATATTATTAATATATCTTATTAGTAAGCTTTTACCTTTAGCTATTTTAAAAATTTTATAATTATAAAATAGCTAAAAGATTAATAATAGTAGTAATCTTTAAAGAATTTTAATTTCTATATTAAAAAAAATATAAACCTTTTTATAATTTTAATTTAACTAAATTAGCCTATTAAAAAGCTTTATAATTAACCTACTAAGTTAAAATTAAATTTAAACTTATAAATATTTTAAAAAAGTTATTTATAATTAATATTATTAAATACTCTAAGTATATCTAAGAGTATTAAGTTTACTATTAACTTATTTTTACTTTTCTAGGCTATATATATTTATAGGAAATAGCTCTCTTACTTCTATAATAAATAACTAAGAATAAGTAATTAATTTCTACTATAGCTAAAATTCTTTTTATTAAAATATATTCTATTATTTTATTTAATATTTTTAGTAAGGAGATTAGCCTATAAGATTTTAAACTTAAATAGTTTTTCTTTATAAGTTTTTAAATTACTACTACTATAGCTTCTTTTAGTATTACTAGCTAGTATTAAAGCTTAAAACTTATATTAAATATATTAATAAAAAGGTTGTTAATTACTAGAAAAGCTATTTTTAAAACTTTATTAATAATTATATCTAGTCTAGGAGCATTATTAGCTTTAAATTCTTTAATAGCTTTAATAATTTCTTATTCTATAATATTTAAAAGGGAGCAGCTATAGGAAGTACTATAGGCTATAATATATATTAAAGAAATTTACTAATAGTAGTTTTAGAAAGAAAAAGGCCTAGAAAGCTTTAGCTTTCTTTATATTATTTATCTATAGTATTCTATTTTAGCTCCTAATCTATAAAAGAAAAATAAAGCAAAAGGCTCTTTATATCTTTAACTATTTATTTAATATAAATAGTTAATTTATATTTATAGTTTAAAAACTTTTTATTTATAATTATTAGCTTAAGCTATTTAAATAATTTTCCTTTTTTAGCTATTAGCTATTTCTTTTACTACCTAGTCTTTAAAATTATATATAATTATATATTTATACTTAACTTTTTTTTAATTATTAATAGCCTCTATATACTTTTTATTTTAACTTAACTTTATCTTTATAAACTATTTAATCTTTAAAATAAAAGCTTTTAAAGTCTAGGTAATAGAATTAATTAAGTATTTAATAGTATTATCTAAATCAACCTATATTCTAAAGGTTTTTTAATTTTAAATAATATTTATTAAGTAGTTTAAGAATTTTTTTATATTTATTGCTTTAAAGTTCTAGTAGTTAAAAACTACTATTAATAAAGTTTTATACTTAAAAACTATCTTAATTAGATTATAATTAGAGCTAAAAGCAAGCTATTCTAAAAACTTATAATATAAAATATACTATACTATATCCTAAGTAACTTAAGCTAAGTTAATTATAAATTCTTTTAAATTAAAATTATTTAAAAGTCTTATTATTATTTTAAGCAGTATAACTAGCTAGAAGTTATATATTATTATAATTTTTTAAAAGTATTAAGCTTACCCTTTAATAGTTATTAGTCTTTTAAATTAATTAAAGTACTAAGTATTAAAATCCTTTATAATAAACTATTAATAGTTACTATAGAAAAAAAAAAATTCTTTAATTAGTATTAATATATTACTATTAGTTATTACCTTTTTAGCCGCATATAATAAAGCTAAATAAATATTATAAATAGTAATATAATCCTTATATCTTTTATTTAAAAACTTTAAAATTAATATCTAAAATATATTAAAATAGTTAATAATTTATATAGAACTAAAGTTAATATTTTTACTTATATATATATAGATTTAAGCTAGCTTATAGTTTATTTTATTTAGAATTTTATTTATAAGCTAGAAAAAATAATATTTCTATTTCTATAAGTAGTAAGTAGTTATTTAAAATAAATTACTTTAAAGCTTAAATCTATAAATAATATAGTAAGCTAATACTTATTTATCTTTAAGTACTTTAGTTATAATTTCTATTTTATCTTTCCTTATATTATACTATAATATTAATAGGTATTAAGTATAACTTATTCTTATATAACTAAGTCTTTATAGATCTATTTTCTAGTAAAAAGCTAAAGCTTCTTTAAAATATAGCTTAATTACTATAGCTCTAAGCTATTTAAAAATAGGTTTAAGCTTTTCTTTTTATTAATTTTATTTTCCTTATTAACTTTAAGTTCCTTATAAGTAAAGTTAATATTAAGTTTATTAATTAGTTTCTACTTAGTTAGTAACTTTTTTATTTTATTCTTCTTTACTATATTTAACTAATTATTAGTTTTTAATTTAAAAGCTATAGTTACTTCCCTTTTCTTTATAGTCCTCTTTAAGGCTAACTTAGTAAAAGTAAATATAGAAATAAATAAAAGCTTTAAACTAATTAACTTAGCTAATATAAGCTTTAGTTAAAATTTCTTTATAATAGTAATTCTCTACTTAATATATTCTATTTCTTTCTTTTATTACTTATAGTCTTTAAATTAAGACTTATATAGTCCTTTATATTATATATATTTAAATTTAAAAATATTTTTTAAATAAAAGTAATCTTTTAAAAGATATTCTTTTAAATATATACTATACTTAATTAAGTTTCTATATAAAGTAGCTTTATATCTATATTTATAGTATTTATAATATTAGTTTATTATATATTAGCTAATATATTAATATACCCTATAGCTTTAGTTATTTTAAAATATACTATAAGTATTAATTACTATATTATAGTCTATAAAAAATATAAATTTAAGTATTAAAGATATATATATTTATAGCTTTTAAAGCTTTTAAAGCTAATAAATTTTTTAAATTTATTATTTTCTTAAAATAGCTATATTTTAATATTATAGCTTTTTAATTATAGCTATAAAGTTATTTATATTTATACTTTTAATATAGATTCTATTAATAATTATATTATATATAAGGACTATAATTATAGCTTTACTCTTAGGTATAAGGGCTTTTAGCTATTCTATATTTTTTTTTATAATTTTATTATTTTTAGTAATATATATTATTAAATATATTTTGCTACTAAGGAGCAGCTTAACTAGTTTAAAATTAATTAACATTAATATTTGAACTATAGCTAAGCTAAGTATATATTTTAATTTATTTTTTAATAAATATTTTTTAATATAGATATTAGCGCTAATTTTCTTTTTTAAGTATTTAATATATTTTTATTTATATATATAACTAAGCTTTTTATAGGCAGAATATATTAATTAGTTTATAGAGTTTTTTATATTAATTATAATTTCCTACTTTTAGTATTACTTTTTAAAAGTAGTAATAGCTACTATACTTATATTAAAAGGGGATTTAGCTATAATAATTATATATATAAATAAAAAAGGAGCTAATAGTATAACTATTATAGTAGTAGTTGTAGCTTATATCTTTATAGCTTATAGTTTATTAATATACTTAATAGTTTTAATATACTATGCCTTTTACTAAGAGGAGGCTTTAATAATTAAAAACTATAATAAAAACTTAATATTATTAAATATATTAAATATATTATAGGTATTAGCTATTTAGCTAGCAAAGGCAATAATATTTTTTATAAATTATTAATATATATATTAGCTAATTAAAGCGCCTATATTTTAGTATTTTTATATAATATTAATAATTTCTTAGGCTAGGCTAAGCTTTTTAAGCTTATTACTATTAGCTATTATTATTATTATAGTTATTGTTTTTATAGTAGCTAGCTAGCTATCCCGTAATAACTTTTACTTATTAAGCTAGCAAAGGGTAACTATAATAAGTTAAGCCTTAAAGTAAGTATTATTTAAATACTTATAATAAGCTAATTAAAATATAGCTATACTAATAATAATTATTATTATAGTTATTAAGATGCGCTCTTAACCTGTTTTGTCTCTAAATAGGATATAAACTTTTATCTTATAATAGTCTATTATATAAAGGGAGACCTTGAGCCGGATGGCAAATGAATACTCGTAACGGATACAGTAAACCTTATGGTCCGAATATCGGTTCCACTCCTTCTTGGCGGTCCTTCCCGAAAGTACCTGGCTCACTGTTCGGACGCGACGGGGCTCTTTGAAACGCGTCGGCCGTCTAGAATATCGTGCAATAATATGTCCTGTAGACAGGGCTCAGGCAATGCTAGTATCTCAATGGGGACATGCAGTGCGTCAGGCGAAAAATCACATATATGTGTCTCTCTCTAGAGATCCTATCTTCAATTTAGCTGTTGAGCATTTTCTTTTTCAAGAGACGCCCGCTGATTCAAGAGTCCTGCTACTTTATGTTAACAGACCATGCGTGGTCATTGGGAAAAATCAGAATCCGTGGTTGCAAGCAGACTTAGCGGCCTTGCGAAGAAATAGAGTTGATATAGTACGGCGACGATCCGGTGGAGGCGCCGTCTTTCATGATACAGGGAATGTTAACTACAGCGTGAAATGCTCTTCATCCGAGTTTACGAGAGACAAGCATGCTGTAATGGTCACCGAAGCACTGCGAGAGTTCACCGATCGAGCACGTGTCAATGAGAGACACGATATAGTGCTTGATCAAGGCTTGCCCATACCGAACATTGAGCTTGATCAAGAGGGGCCTTTGGGTATGCTCAAAACGCGTTACTCGACGACCGACCCTCGCAGACCATCTCTCAAAGTTTCTGGATCAGCCTTCAAGATATCACAGGGAAAATCCTTGCATCATGGAACTTGTCTGCTTGCATCCGAAAACATCGGATCAATCTCGCAGTACCTTCGATCTCCAGCTCGGCCATTCTTCAGAGCTTATGGATCTGAGAGTCTCCCATCACCAGTCACAAATATTCTAGACGATGAGCTTGATAGTGATAAGGTATCACAGAGTATTGAAAGGTTCAAACTTAGCGTGATACGCAGATTTGCCCAGCTCTACGGGATCGACCCTAAGATTAGTAGTCTTTTCGAAAACGATGACGCCTCGAAAGATCAATTTTTGAGAGGTGAAGATTGGATCGCAGGATATGTCAGTGAAGTAGCAAAAACCCCAGAGATTGAGCAGGGAATGGAAGAATTAAAGGTGTGTTTCAAGCGTTTTCTTAGGAACAGTTGACTAATAACTTTAGTCTGACCAATGGAGATACGGCACAACGCCTCGATTCATTCTCTCCAGCCATCCAAAACTGATCAATGACAGGCAGACTGCACCAACATTACCGTCCTGGTTTCCCTCGGATGTAAGTCTCATACCGACCTTGAGTTCTGAAATGGGACTGCGTCGTCTAACGTTCGATCCCTTAGGCACATGTTCATGTGAGGGTCAAACAGGGATTCATCATGGAGGTCGATCTTTCTCTACCCCCAGACAAGGGAAAAGCTGCCCAACAGCTTTCAGAACTCGCCAGTAATGTGAACGGTAGATTTGTCGAACGGATAGCTAGTTTCAGCTCACTCCTTCGAGGAACGCCACCGCAAGATGAGGCTAATGCAGTCGTAAAATGGCTTGACTTGATGCTCGGCAAAAAAATCTCGAAGTAATTTACGTACGCCACTCCTATCATAAACAAGAATTATATATTCTTGTTTGAAAGACAACCTACGCTACATGTTTGGCGGACACTGAAGCTCATTGCCCTGACAATAGCAAAAAGTGAACTCAGTATATCTTCCAATCTTCATACAGCCAGGAATCGTACCCCTAGCAGCCATTTATGAGCGCTCTTCATAAAGCAACCGCCGACCAAGCGGGTTTTGACCTTCGAGACATGAGAAAATCAAACGCTCTTGGTTGCGAATGTCCAGGTTTCAGCTCATTCATACACAGCGTATCATCGCCGTGGTTCCAATCGCGCCTGTTCCGCGTTCAGCCCTGCTGGCTGGTTGAGGATCTGCTGTGCCTCCAGACACAATAGCACTGCATGTCATTCCATCGGTGCTACCTGGATCTCCTCCTCCGTCAGCGGAGGAACCCTTCTGGGACAGCTTCCCGTATCTATTCCGCGGATGTAGGATAGACAGAAAAATGCATCAGTCAGTCCTTGATCGGCTACGCTCATGGCCGGTGCATGCACGGTCAGATTGTATGGCTGCAGTGTGCGTGGGATGAGGTTCAAGATTAGAGCGGTGAAGGGGGCCAGAATGGAGTAGATGGAGTTGTAGGTCAGGTGTCCAAGGTTCTGCCCTGGCCTGGAGATGTCAATTTGGGCTTACCGTCTGACTCGCGTTCACATTTCAATGTACGTTCACTCAGTATATGCGTATAAATCAGTCAATTCTATGCAGGGGAATATGTGCAACACAATATGTCTGTGAGTTTCCTACGTTTTGTCTGCTTACTGGTATAGGGCGTAGGATTGTGGCTAAGTCCTTCGTAGATGGTGGGGCAAAGTCCTGCAGCCTTAGTGGGTGCCGATCAAAAGACAACTTTCCCAGGACAACAAGCAATCCGAACCTATCTACGAAGAACCATTCATGGCTGACCCCCTCTCTGTAGTGGCATCAATTGCGGGCATCGCTGCTGTTGCACTCAAGTCTACAAACGCCTTGCTCGACTTTTCTACCAAGGTAAAGAACGCGCCCAAGGAGGTTGCGAGTATTTCTGATGATGCCTTGAACATTTCGAGGATTATCTCTTCTTTGCAGTCCGCGATACAAAACGCCCAAATAAAAGCCGCTCTCCAGTCAGGGCCTAACAGTGAGGTCTTGAACGCGATTGAAGCTTTGCAAGATCCATTAATTGCGTGCTCATCTACGAACGAAGGTTTGCTGCAAAAGATGAAGTCTTATACGAAACCCGTGAATGGCAGTGATGGAGAGCGAAGTATATCTCATAGGCGTATCAAGTGGTATCTCTCTCGCAAAGAAGTTAACGATATGGTCTCGGGTGTCGAAAGAACTAAGAAGACCTTGGACACCGCAATGAACGCCGTTGTAACGTAGGGATACAGTAGTCAGATCCTTTGTTACAACCACTGATACAAGCTAGAATCTGTATTCTGACAGCAAAGTCTAACGGCTTTCTGCAGCCGGAGCCAGTCAACGCCAGAAAGGACGCTGTGATTGCTTTGCAGCATTACGCCAACAGTCTATACGCGAGAACTATCAATGAAGATGCTACGGCTCGATCGATCACCCAGGTGGGCATCTTCCAACAGAAGGTCATTGCAAACGAAGGCAGCACGAACACGTCCCGTACTGCGGTTGATAGCTCAGCCAGCAACTACGAACGTTTGCAACGCACAAGTAACCAGCTTCAAGGCCTCCGTAGCGCAGCCCGAGATGGTGACCATCTGCTGGTCCAGCTTCAGCTCGAGGAAGGTGCAGAAATAAACGCTCAAGATGCGGATGGTCGTACAGCTCTCTCATTCGCAGCGGAATATGGCAGTGAATCAGCAGTGAGGACTTTGATCGAGAACGGTGCTGACGTGAACCTCAAATGTTTCGTGCGATGGAGCGGGGCTGATCGTGTGTTCAACTCGGAGCGAACCCCCTTACATTGGGCGTGCTGGAATGGGTACGCCGGCATCGTTGGGCTCTTGATCACTGCAGGAGCGGAAGTCAATGCAAAGAACTATGCTTCACGCGTCCCATTGAGAGAGGCCGCAAGATTTGGCCACTTAGCATGCATGGAGAGGTTGCTGGACGCGGGCGCAGATGTGGAGGCTAGGGAATGGAAGGGCTGGACACCACTGCATGAGGCTTGCCATAAAGACCAGCTGGCCGCACAGAAGCTTCTTCTCGCTCGCGGTGCAGCTATTGAGGGCATTCTCACCGACAACAACGGTGCCTGTGTTTACGGCTGCACTGCGCTGCACGTTGCTTTGTTACATAGGTCGACACTATGTGTTGCCGATCTACTCAGTCGAAAGTGTGATCTCGAGCCTAGAAACTCGAAGGATGAGACTCCGATGCACTTTGCTGCATGGTACGGAGAAGTTGGCGATCTGATTGTTCTCCTAAACGCCGGAGCTCAACTTGAGGCAAGGGAGCATGGTGGTGAGACGCCTCTACACAAGGCTGTGCATGCTGGCTCTCTGGACAAGGTGAGGTTTCTGTTACTAAAGGGTGCTGATCCATTTGTAAAGGACATCCTAGGTAAAAACGTTCTAGACGTTAGTATTAGGCATAGCAGGGAGGATATAGTACGAGCTGTGAGAGAAGCTATCAGAGCTCGTCCGGACATGATAGTGGAAGAAAGGTCTGCACGATGACTCTTTCTCAAAATGAGTAAACCATTGTATGTATGCACAATCAGATTTAGTTGTTGGTGCCTAAAGCTTTATGAGATGCTGCGTGTACACCACTAATACCACCTTCCACCAACACCCACAAACGTCAACGTTGCCTCTTCTCCCAATAGCCCGTTCAAGCCTTCTCAGCATAAACAGGAATGGCTCACCAGCTCGACCTTGGCTCCCGTACTCATAACCCTCAACGTCGTATTCGTCGCCATGACCTTCACACTCGTAATCCACTCCGCGACGGCTCCCCTCTCTTGCTCCGTAATGGCTGACTTTCCCCTTGCCCGACCTTAGCCCTTGCATTTTCCATGAAAATCGCAGAACTTTTATTCCTAGCTCGATCGGCTAGGGCCTCAAGAGCACACAGGTGCGCGAAGAACAATCCGTGCCGTTCTACATGGGCACAGGCGCGTGTGTGTTGAGGTGTAGAATGTGGTGAAGGTGAGGACACCAAGAGCGATGCCGATGTAGAGATTTGAGAAGGTTAGTTGGAAGCTGAGAGCTTTAGGAAAGCTAAAACTGTGGTGATTCAGCGTCAAGTGTTTGTTCGGCGTAGTCTGGTGTCGAAGTAGGTCTTATGGTCTAGATAGATCCAAGAGCCGAAAAGGAAGGCCATGGGTAAAAAGCCCACCAATCCCGGACCGTGTCCGTCGCTGCGAACAAACGCCATGTCTGCGCTGAACGATATTAGAAAAATGACAGTGTATGCTATCCATAGAGCGAGGTGATGTCGTAAAAAGAAACTTCGAATTAAGCGGTTGACAGCCAGTATGCCGAAAGGATTAGCGAAGAATGAGATGTAGATGTCGAAGGGCAAGAAATAGATACAGAAAGCGGCGAATGCGAAATACACGACAATGGAGAGGACGTGCTGAAAGATCTTTTTGTGTTTCTTGGGACCGAAGGCCTTAAGGGCGTCAAGAATGCGGCGTGGATTATCGCTCCGTCGACGAGTGGGGAACATTATCAGGAATACGTGAGGACCGAGCCAGACCAGGATGAGGTAGCCCAGGCAAATATAGCCTGTGACACCAATCCAGCGGTAGCCGAAATTGAGATCCATGGTCTCGCCAGCTGCAAAGGCAATGGAGTAGCCGCACCAGGTAAGTTGGTTCTTCCCGCTTTTCGACGCCCTAAAGATCGTCACGAGTGCCACACTGCCGAGTACGACGCCGAAGACGACGAGATATACTAGCCGTGGGGTCAACACGTCTAGTGCAACGACTGCTCCTAATGCCATCAATAAGACGAAGAAGCGGACGTAGGTCCTGTTGCGGTAGAAAGCTTTTAGAGCTGAACGGAAAACCGAGCCTGCAACAAGTGGAACTATGATTGTCGCGATTGTCACTGGGACTGCGATTGACCAGTAGAGACTGAAGCGAAATAGATAGGGCCCTGAGTTGTCGATGGCGGAGACGATCGCTCTAGTCTGGTTTTGCCCTGGGTCTGCGATGTTGCCGTTGGTGGGTAGAGAGTCGGGTTGTGAGCTGTTATGTGGTTTCGATGGCCAGAATGGGTTCGGTTTCAAGTTCATGCCAAAAAGAGACTACCAGTGTCAGCTCTGAATGAAGATTTTGCAGCACGCTATACATACCGACATGAAGGACAACGGAATGTAGATCGCAGCTAATACGGTCAACAGCGTCGTCCGCTGCCCCATACGTATCTGAAGCTGTCGTTCAATCTATGGTATGATTCAGCAAGGATTTCCGGCATCTAGCAATGAGTTTAGCGTACCATTTCCCGCAACGTCTCTGATTCTGCTTCTATCGATGTGATTTTCTTTTGCAATTTGATTAGATCTTCTTGGACTCTCTCAGGCCACGACAGAAAATTTTGGTCCTCTTCAGAAATATTGAAGACCTCGGGGGAGGTAATTTCTCTGAGAAGTGAAGTCGCATGCTGAAGCCCCATTGCTGACAAATGACAGCAGTCTCTGAAGTGTAAGAGATAATGAAGTTTGCCATCCTCAGGCTTGCTTCTTCCTGTGTACCTCTGGGAATGGGCGTTAGTATAATGAGTCTCAAGGTAGGATCTTTAGGGCTTACAAGTTCGTCTATTTGGTCGTATGCACTCTCTATGAAAGATGATGTGTCTTCTATTAGTTGAAGATAGATTGTATGTATTAAGGTCAGAATCTCGGAGGTCATCATGTTCTCAAGCTTGGCGGCATCTGGTGGTTGAAGACGTTGGTGAGTCGCGGCATAGTCGGACAGTGGACCGTCGGAACTTTCCATTGAACGATAGAGCAAGAGAACCTTTCGGCCGACATCGCCATCGTTATTGATAAAGACTTGAGCGAAAAGTGATTCGGGAGGGGCTGTATGAGGTTGCCATATGTAAGTTGAGATGCTACCTAAATATCTGGGCACCGTGGCGAGCCAGATGAATCTCAAGCAAATTTCTCCCTTGTCGTTAGACTTCGTCAAAGGAAAGCTACTTGTAGAAAAATTCACTATGATTGTGGTCTCAGTGTAAGATATTCTTCGCTGTACGGTAATATCGCTCAGACTTACAGTCTGGTGGACCTATACTAGAGGGCAAGTCCCGCAGGGTCATTGCAGATGTACAGGCTTTCAATGCTGCCTTCGAAAGCTTCCATTCCTGATTAATGACGTGTATGAGGGCGAGCCTTGGGGCATCATATCGTCGTTGCAAGCCATCGGCAGTCGCAAACAGCTTCTGTGCCAAAGAGTACATTTGAGATTGGAGAGCATTTGAGCCGTCCCATGTCAGGACGCTAGACAGTCAGTATCCAAGACTCGAGGATATGCTGGCCAATTACATACCACAAACGTACAGCCTCCGATCCTTCCGCATTGAGGACCAATCTCAACCTTTCCAGGCTCTCTGAAAATGTCTCTATTGAATCTGATGATTTGTCCGGAGGTGACACATGAAAGGCTAATGCAAGCTGCGATGGAGACTGGATATTATAGCATTTGAATAAACGCGGAAAGAGCTCCGAACATGTCTGATTTTTGAACTGATGATAATCAATAAGGAAATCTCTGATCCACGGATCCTTCGCAGCCTCGGATCGGAGGCGACGTTCGAGTTCATCTCCCTTCGATTGCGAATGCTGCTGTCGGTTGAATCTACCAGTGACACTCGAGCGACTGCCAATAGATTTCCGGCTTTGAGTGACTGGTGTTGGAAGAACGCCGATATCGTCTGTCGGGGTTGCCCTTGCTGAGCTCGCATCGGGCATCCTCACCAAATCCACAGGGCTACATGAGGGCAAAACGAATGCACGTGACGACAAGGAAGCAAAAAGAGTGAAATGGGAAAAAGATTGATTGTGAAATTGTCACCGCGACGGTCTGAAACGAAATCCTTGCGGCTTGGCACCAGCACAGCCCACTGCTGCCTGGGAGAACGAAGGATCGACAAGCGCGCCGTGTAGATTGTAGCACAGCTTCTCAACAGCCTCTGCCATCCTCGAGTGCTTGTCACTGGAAAAAGAGCAACCGCTTTGCGACTGGACCGAGAGTGAGCAGTACTCATACTCTAAGGTAGCCGAGTCGTCAGCGATGCCTGAGGCGCCTTTAACGCCAAGATGTTCCCCAGGGTGGCCTTCCCGGGGCCACGGCCTTGGATCCTTGGCTGAGAAAGCCTTACCCGCCCCCAGAGTTGTCTCTTGAATAATGCCCACAGTCATGTCCATCAATCATCCTGGGCGAAACTCATCAATGGCTTTCGTGGTAGAATTGTAAAACGACGTTGATCTTGTCGACGTCACCTTGGGCCATTCCACTGCCGGCGAACAAGGTGCCTGGCCTTGTCCTTGTGAAAGTGGTCAATCCGTATTAACCACGTATGAAGACAGCTTTGCCACGTTACTGCATATGCCCCCGCTCTCTTTTTCATAGATCGGATAGTCCGTCTTGATAGTAATGACTTAGGAGCAAGCAATACAGCGATCATATTGCGCTGAGCCCTCTTCCTTTATCCACGGCTTCTCATGCCACGCACCCGTCGAAAGATAATGCAGGTGCTAAGATTTAGTACAACATAGCTCTTCACAAGAGGCCAATCGCAAGGCTATGTACCCCTCGAAAATGCCCCAACACAAATGTGAACTGGTTCCATCAGCCACATTCAGCCTGACGGCTGACTTCAAATTCAACGCCCATCAAATCTTTCGTTGAAATGATTGTTTTCCTTATATCATCAAACTTGGAGACGGTGTCTGTATTGATAGCGTGCGATCAAGATGTCGGACCCTCTCAGCATCGCAGCCGGTGTGGTGGGTATTCTTACCACAGCGGCACAGATCTCTTCAGTCCTGATCAAATTCACGAAGGCGACCAAGAATGCGCCTCAAGAAGCTGCAATACTTGTGCAAGAAGTCAGCGATATAAATACAATTCTGGCTACACTTCAGGTCTTTCTTCTTGGAGACCATGCCGCCGACAGGTCAAGGACATCTTTGCTTAAGGTAGATCAAGTCGTGAAAGTACTCAGCAGCTGTGTACTCACATTCTCTGAATTGGAGATCCTAATGGATGAGCTTAAAGTGGAGAATTCTGATGTACTTGACCGCATGCGATGGGCGAGAAAAGAAATGGCCATCACAAAACTTGTCCAAAGACTACAGAACCATAAAACATCGCTTTCTCTGATACTGACGATTCTGAATGGGTCTGTTATGACGTCAGCTGTAGAACTAATTTGTGGATGCTAAAGTAGTCTAGTCAAACCCTCATCGAAGCCAAGGATTCTGTGGATAGACTGTTCACGCTGATAGAACAATGCTACGAAGACATGTCAGCCAGGATCTCGTCACTTGAAGCGGAACAAACCTGCCCTCATGAGATCGGATCTCATGATGACTCAGCCTCTACAATCACCATCACGAAGCAAGCACCATCTTACGGTGGTGCAAATGATTCCAACCTAGAAATCGCACCCGGAGACTTTGTTGAGGATTTACAAAGATCATGGGTGTATAAGAGAGCCAATGCTTTCCAAAGGTCTTGTATATCTGTAGTCACAACAAGCATTTACAGCACCAGTTGGTCAACCTTGTCAGATCTGAGTATGGCAGAATTGTCCAATATCTCGGTGTTGAATCTAGCGGTGACATCGGACGAGTTGTTGAACCCTCATCGGTCCATCCAAACTTGGCAGACACAGCAGTCAAACTCAGCATGTCTCAATCAACCCTTGCGGCCAGCTCCAGCGCATGGACTGGATCTTGGGTATTGCGAACGTTTGGGTAGCGTATTTTGGTTCACCCGCCACCCACCAAGCTCAGGTCGCTTTATGAGTCCCCAAAATTTAAGTGTGATGATACACGGTGAAAAAAAATCTCTCAAGCTGAGTGAAGAAGACAATCCATCCAAGAGTATCTGCCAAGGCTGTTACAGCGTGACTAACGACGTGCTCGTTAACGTCGGTAAGTGCAACGTAATCTGGAATCAACAGTATCACTCGTGCTGAAATAGCACAGCTAATAATTGCTGGCATTTGGGGTGCTTTCGCTGTCAAACCTGCCAATCGCTACGGAACGATTTGATATCCCACGACAATTCTTTCGATTTTACAACGTGTCTAAGATGTATTTTCTGTGGGGGAAACAACGAAAACATAGCCTTTGTTCTTGATGGACAAGCTTCATGCAGAGAATGCTTTAGATGTCTTCTATGCAATTGTTATATCACTCCAAAATTCTATCCCACGAGCCATGGCAATCTGTGCAATGCCTGTGGTACTATGGTGTCAAAGAATCTGGGGCATCAAATGCGATCAAAAGGAACGCCACGAGGTCAATGGCGGAATGAAAAGTGGAAAGCTAGTGACGAAGAGGTTGCAGAGGCGATACAGGCTGCACGTCCTAAAAAGGCCTAGCGCGCTGTACATGCAATATAGTCCATATAAAGCGAGCCCGTCCTTGAATTTGAGAATCCGAGACTTGAGTGCATCAAGTTTGAGCATCTGAGACAGGCGTCCAAGCCCAACGGTCAGGCAGGGGGATAGATGAGGCTGGCAATATACTTGACCAGTGGCTTGCCAGAATTGGGCTAAGTGATGGTCCCATCTTCTGTCGAATGATCAGTTTGTACATGAGCCTTTAGGCAAAGGCATTGACGAAGCCTCCAGATCTTCACTAAGAAAAGTTTCTGTCGAAGGTGTCGGGCGATGAGTACCTTTGTCAGTCATTACGAGTCCGGGACAACCGTCGAGCTTCAACGCTCCTTCCTTCTACAGAGCCGAGGGCTGAATTTCTCATCACCAACATCTTGCTTCAGATACAACATTCTGATAATTGATTGCAGTCAGTATTTAGCTTTTCTTATGCAAAGCCAGAGCAAGATATGGCAAACAAGGCTCCAGCGTTATCCAATAATAAGAATAGCAAGCTCCTCCTCGATGGCTTACAAAATCCATACAATCTTTACATTCGGGATTCAAAACTGTCAGGAGCTGGCTCTGGACTTTTTGCGGGCAAAGAAGTGCCTGCTGGAAGCGAAATCTTTCGTGTGGATGTACCACTTGTCTCAGTAGTGTACATTAACCACTCCGCTCTTCAGATGTAGTAGTAACGTTTGCCCAAGGGAAATCGCGGGTGCAGCGTGTGATCTCTGTTTTAGGCGGACCGGCTCGAATGATTTTGGCCTGCCACCTGTCACACTGATGTTTTGCGCAGGATGCAACACTGTCCAATACTGCTCCAAGGTCAAAGCTTTGACTCGGAATGGGGTGTGATTCACTCAAGATACTGACAAATAATAGGATTGCCAGAAAATGGCACTGAAACGATACCACAAGAACGAGTGCAAACTGTAAGTTCTGATTTTGCCCCCTGTGGGTCCTCAGGGCATGCTAGCTGAGGCATATGGTGTACATAGCTACAAGAAGATGAATGATCCAACCATCAATGGCGGTAACCCTCGAGTAAAGGAACTTAACACAACTAACCGGATGCTTATTCGTCTCGTTTCCATGTATGAGCACAAAGATATAACTACAAAACAGTGGCAAGCGTTTCAGCATCTTCAATATCACAAAGAAGCCGTTAAGCAAGCAAGCCAGGCAGACTTGGCGAGTATCAAGAGGAATCTGGAAATCAACAAATCTCTGACAAGCCATGATCTGACAGTCGAGGAGCTCGAGGGCATTTATTGGCGCGTGAGTTTTCATTTTCGAAGCACGAATAGTGCTTCCCCTTAGCAGGATACGGTTCTAACAGGAGTGCTGTAGATTATTTTCAATCAACAAGCCAAGAGACAGATGCCAGATACTCTTCTAGGAAGATATGTGGTTCCTGCTGCGGCCATGATCAACCACTCATGCAGGGTAAACGCTCATCCTGTCTCGGACGGAGCTGCAATCATTTTGAGATCCACGCATTTGATTATGAAAGATGAAGAAATCACTAGGTCTTACTGTGCTGAGACCTATACTTACAAGCAGCGGCAAAATCGTTTACTCAAGGCCTATGCCTTCAATTGCAGATGTCCGAGGTGTCTTATGGACGAAAAAGACGACCTTAAACACATGACCAGCGATCTCAGGCAGGAGGACACGCTTCAGGCGGTTAAGATGGAAATCGAGATTTACATCACTGCCTTGATGAATAATAGGCCGAGTTTCCTCTCTACAAGTGATATTGAAACACGATGCAAACAGCTATGTAATATATCGGAGACCGCAAAATGGTGGCCTATTGATCTTGACCCAATACCAGCGCTGCTTCTAGGTCTTGCAGCCCGGTTCGAGGCTGAAGGACAATGGAAGCGGGCGCTGGGGCTACGATTTAAGATTGTCTACCTTATCAATCCAATACGGTTCCGAGATCGACTGAATCCCTTTCGATTATCTCAAGAATTCGATCTTATTCAATTGGAGAGGTATGTCTGGTGAAATGCCCTGTCCGTGATTTTTGTGACGCCTACCAATACTCATGATAGACGCTGACTTTTATGACTTTGTATAGACGAATCTGTCAGCTGATGAAAACAGATACTGATGTTCAAACGTCGTTCAAATCTGTCAAGTCAGCCATAGACTGGGTGAGCGATTTACGTATTCCGCAAGCTATTTCCTTGCACTGAGATCGAGATCTAGGTCTTGTATGGGCACATTCTGATACTCTTGGGGGATACACAAGAGAGCTTCGGTGTCAACCACGTGTTTCACAAGATTTTACGACATCTTGATCAACAATTTGTTGATGCGAAGCTGAGGGATAGCGGAATGAAGGAAAGTCAGTGGTACAGTATGCAAGTTACCAATGAACACAAGGTGTTGCAGGACAAGAGTGAAGACGTATTGCTTAAGTGGCTTGGTATTGATCTTGGCGACAACTTCTTTTGATGTCAAAGACGGACGAAATTGATGACAACAGGACTTACAAATACTTTCGGCGAAACTACCTAATGGGCTGAGTGGTATTCATATGCTTAAGAATTGCATGGTAAACCGGCAATAAACGCTGAGGTATTGCATTAATTCAGCTACGTTGTAAGTAGTCTTACTGCTAAGGCATACCATTCTCGCTCTGTTATCGTGTCTTTGAAGTGTATGACCTCTCCTCGTGGAAGTTCTATGAACTCATCTTCTAGCACGCCTACAGGGCCGGGACACCGCCTTATATTGATTGACTCGCGCGAAAGCGACTAGCTACTGGAGAACACGAGGTTATAATGATAAATTGTGTGACTGGACAAGAAAATGCAGTCCCTGCAAAAGTCCAGATGAGCCCAAAGTCAATCGTGCATAAACCCGTTTCTGCAGCCTCATCTTCAAAGAGTGTCATGATTAGCCCTTACGCTTCCTCGAAATGCTTTCTCTCGTCTCTTCCGTTGGATGATGCAGTCGTCTCGAGTGAAAGTATGGCCCATCTCGGACCGACAAGTGTACAATTTTCTGTGACTTTGGGTTGTAGGGACGTCGCGAAAAATGATTTGGACAGCTGATGACCGTCGAGGCCGACGGAATTGCCTCAAGTGCAAGGCCTGGAAGAGCCTAAAGCCACATGCCCATGAACTGGCAACTGTGGGAGAGGAAGATTGGGTCATGCAGCATTCTGGGCCGCCCGAGGAACTCATTCAGCGAAACTCGAAAAGGACAGATTGCATCAAGCAGAGGAACAGTTGTAGGGCGAAGATAGGAACGACGTGGATGGGAGATGGATGGTGGAAGGACGTCATCTTCATCTCTCCCGTGCTACGGTATAGAGTGGAGGGCGGACTTCCTAAAGGATCTACGAAACAATCAGGAAATTCACCTTTTCGGTGTGTATGTCGTTTCATGTTTCAATTGTCCGTCCTTTCATGTGATTGAATCTCTGTGGTGTAGGGCTATGATGATATTCTGAGGGTAACTGGGGCCTTCTCGCTTCCACGAAATGACTTTAGTCACCGCTGTCTCTGATCTAAACAGAACTTGACTCTTTGTGCTGTCGATTCGACTAGTGTGATAAGTCTAGCAGCTACGGACTTGATCAACAGTCACGCTAGATATCCACACCGTACATTCCAGCTGAAACAGCGAGTACTTCAGTGCCACGCACAATTACATTTGATAAAGACCTAAGGTAAGCCAACAACAATACTGTGTTGTCAAAAGGATTTCCAAAGCGTTTCTTGCCCCTGAGCTGACAGACCCCAAGTATTCTCCCGCACCAATCTCTTCACGTTGAAACATGTGCTGGCTCAGCCGCTTCAACGAACCTTGGCTTCCACATGGGATACCGTCAGGGCGGCACGTTTGAGTAGAAGGATTATCTGATGATTGGCTCTAAAACATCCGCCAGCACCATCACTAGCCGCGAAGGTTACAAAATCTCCGACCCGCTGCAGCCTACTAAGTCAGGGTCTCTACGCTGGTAATTTCACTACTTCAATCTAACGTATATGCGAATCTGTCATCTTCCTTTGTTGGTCGAAATGGATTGATTGAGGCAGAGGTGATGATTCCAGAAACCCTTCTCTTGGACAAGAATTTCGGTGACTACTGCTATGTAATCTTGGGAATTGATATCTTCTTCAGGAGTCCTTGCCGCACGAATGGCTGGCAAACAATCAATATTTTCACCCACCGAGAATACATCATGATGGAGCCTATGTCAGCTAACGGGCGAATGTCTGAGAGCCCTCATATGAGCTTTGCGCGTGTCATCCCCAGGTCTGGGTCCGTATGAACGGTCCCTTTGAGAGCATCCCTCCAAGACGCGCGCACGCCTAGCGACATGCGAAAGCTGAGAGGACTAAGAATTCGGTAGGATTGCTGACTGCCCTCTGACGGAGAGCCTCCGTCGAATCAGCATTGCCAGCCATCCCTGCAAGAAGCCCACTACAAACGCGATTGGGGCTCAAAATGACACAAAGCTGGAGTTCATTAATGCGGTGATACGATTTTAGTGGCTATGAGCGCGTCGTCATCGTGACTATTGCTTTGTTCGGTTTGGTTCACGTGAGCGTTTGGGTGTATGGAACCTCCAATAATATGGTGTGCGGTCTGAGGTCCGAGTATGTCTCCCGTCTTTTCGAAGAGTCCTTCTTGGATGAGGGTGTGCACTTCACCACCCTTATTGCATGTCTAAAGGACTATCGACAAGGAGGTGACTGAATTGATCCTCCAACTTCTTTTGTCCGCTTTACTCATGGTGTACTGGCACACAACCACATTTGCGCGCCAAGTGACTTTCGTCTTTGCTTTCGACCTGTGTCTGGTGCTCCTTCTATGGACTGTGAGAGTGCAACATAACACCTCTCCATCAATTGTTTCGTCCAAATATATCTCTCGTGATGGGGAAACGGGGAAAACACAGCCTGCAGTGATCCATTGTGACCTCACCAGGTCTATCACATGATTCTTCCAGCCGTTACTGGCTTTCTATAAAGCTTTAGTTCGCTATGGATTCTTGCATTCATCATCAATTCGAAGTTCAAAGCACTCGTTCATCAAGAGCCCTTGCATTGAAGCCAAACAAGCATTTCACATCATTCTACAGTCATGTTTTCAAAGCTCCTCCCCTTTGTCACTCTTGCCTCCTTGGCTTTCAACACATATGCAAACCCTATGCTTATGAAGCGAGACTGCAAGTCAGACTACAACAAGGAAATCTCTGACAATCACGGCTCACCAGAGGTGAAACCATTCAAATGTGGAGATCATACCGTGCAACGCAAGAAAGCACTGAATGCTTTGGGAGCAGATGCATGGGGTAAGCTACCCTTTGATATTATATACCATCTTCTTTCAGGTTCTTTTCAATGCACATAGGCTAACAGAACCCCAATCAGATCTGTCAATTACCATGCAAGAAACGTAAGCTTAGCCTGATCTTTTACCATGTCGACAATAGCCTCAACATCATCTTACTGAACACACTTGCCAATCACAGTGGTTGCGACATGACCTCATACAACAAACAATACTACCCATTCGGCGATTGGAACGCTGCACACTCAGATACGAAGAAGGGCGACTCCGCCAACTTCAGTATCTTCAAACTCAATTGTACGTTCCAAAATCTCTTGTTGCCGACGATCTTCGCAGCCTCTCTCTCTCCTGCCTTGCAATGCTAACGATACCTAAGGGTACCAAATCCGCACCTACGCCAAAGATTCCAAGTACTACAAGAAGCCCGAGTCAGATTGGGAGACCGCAGGCAAGGAAATCAAGTATGGCCGTCCTTTCTCGTTTGCCCTCATTCTTTCTACTATTCGAGTATAATGCTGACGCAATGGACCCCAGCGCATCTGACAAAATTGGACTCGATCTCTTGCATCAGCTCAAGAAGTACACACCCGGCGGCAACCCATTTGGCTTCTATAAATACCAGCGCGGTGGAGCTTCGGCGACTGATCAGCAAGGAAAGACTTATGAGACAGGCATCAATTATATCTGGGGTCAGGTGAAGGGGCATACGACTGATGAGTATGCTGCGGGGTACATTATGCAATGTATCTGAGCCCGCAATGGGGGAAAGGCGGTGTGGTGAGAGGAGGGGAGGTTGCATCAATTGGCGTTCTTGTACAAATGCATACTGATTGATTCCGGCATTGTCTGCGTCGCATATATTAGACTGTAAATGGAGGAGAACACATTCGTTTTCAGAGACTAAGAAGAGATAGATTGTAAATAGACACACACAAAGACAATTGGATCTCTCACCACTCAATAGCCTCTCCAGGCTTGCACCTCCGTTGAGGGGGCCAACAGCAAATTCAACGCTAAGCAAAAACAACCTTCACCTCCACGGATCTCAGTCCAATACCCACCAAAGCTTTCACACCTACTTCTCAGGAAATCACGCACAATTTACCAATCAAACATTCACAGCAAGTGCTCCAAGTCTTTGTTGACGGTTCTATTTGAGAACTCGTCGAGCGAGTGAAGTCATCTTGGACCATCCAATGAGCTAGACCGCTTGAATCAAACCAACAGTTGACACAGGAGTGTGATACAAGATGACCAGTCGTCTTCGCCCCACAAGCACTCGTGCCTGCGGCCTGTACAAATGAATGATGCACCAGCCCCTCAGATGACCCTATGACATCTCTTGGCAGGCACTTCCGACAGCCGATCCGAACATTGCCGAGCCAGCAGCCATCAACCTTCTCCATCTTCATCTTCAACATACCATCAAGTCCCCTCTCTTCGTACAGAGATGGATTTTTCAATCCCGACTTCCAAGCTGTGGATATTCCCCGCAGTCGGGGGCACAGCCTGGTTTCTGACCCTTTTCACCCTCCTCATCTACTGGCTGGCTCAAGGCAGACCCGTATATCCACTACAAACAAATCCCTATATCGCGTGAGTGCAGTCTAATATCCCGTCGACCTTTTCATCTTTAGAAAAACTATGGTACATAATCGACGCCACATACTTACTTATACCACAAAGCTTCATCTCCGACATCGGCGCCTTCCACCTAAAACCGCTCTTCATAGTCGGCGGCATCCTGTCCGCCATCGGCTACACGGGCACAATCGCAAGCGCTCATTATATCTACCACCATCACATTCACTCCCACCCCAACGCCCTCCCCAGCGCCCACCCCGCCCAACCAGAAGACAGCAAAACCCCGCCCTCACAACCCAAGCGCACCACCTCAGCCATAGCCATCGTCGCCGCCATCGTCGCAGGCGTGGCTTGCATACTAATGACGTTCTTCGACACCTACCGCTGGCATGAGTCGCACTCGAAACTGCTTCTACTCACGTTTCTGGGGATAGCGGTTAGTGGGGTGTGTACGAGTGTTGTTTACTCTGGGTGTGCTGTGAAGCCTACGAGGGGGATGGGGGTGCAGAAAGCGTGAGTCCCTCAGTATGGCTTTGTGTGTTGTGTATGCCGTGCTTTCTTTGAGATGGGGAAGAGAGGGGGGGGGGGGGGAAGGGTGCGGGGACGGGCGGGGGAATGAGATGTGGAGCTGACAAGAACTAGTTGCATCATCAACATCGCGACTGCCGTTGCTGAAATTGTCGTTACGGTCGCTTTCATGGCGTGCGCATGGGCGGGGGATTTGAGAGTCGCGGGTATACTGGAGTGGATCATCTCGTTCTTTGGAGCGTTTTATATGTGGTCATTCATTGGCATATTGTGGTAAGTTTGCTCTCGATATACAAGTATTGCAATTTGACACGTCTTTGTGCGTCAGGATATCGAAGGAAGAGGTCGATGCCGGCGAACGGCAGCCTCTCCTTACAAATCAGGACTGACTTGCAAGTCGCCTTAAAGCATCAAACGCTCCGTCTCCACCATCAAGGTTCACTATTTACGGAAATTCTACCCGGGTGAGAAAATAGTCTCCGTCCGCTATACTCTCAGCTACCAACACATCGAATCCGCAGCAAATCTCTTGTACTTGTAAAACAGTCAAAGATCGAACTCTTAAAATGTGCGAAGTCCATTTCTGCTCGACGTATAATAAGCAAGAGCTTCGTTCTTCAAATGCTATCAAAATTACCGGACTTTCGAGGGTTCCTTGGCGTCCAAAAAGGGGTCTTCGCGCGCCAAGAAAATCGGCTGAGCACAAGGCGAGAAGCAAGTTGCTTACGTGAGACGCCTCTCGCGAGCTTAAAAGCCCTATCTTCATGGTACAATGGTGGCTGCTGATGGTCCATATAACATAAGCTGCCTTTCAACATTGTTCCGCGAGTCTTTCGTTGAAATATTCACCTCGCGCTGTAGAAACCCTTGGTGGTCCATCAACGTTCATCAAAAGCGCAGCCAATTTCCCCTTGCCCTGTTCTTTCGCGACGCTCTACTTGATTTGCTTTCTGTGTTTCTCTATCAAGCATGAATAACCTAGGCGGCGACCTAGCGAAGATAGTCCTAGGCCCTCCAGTACAATCATTGGCGACTGGTAGCACCACGGGCACAACGCCTTCAGTGAGAGACCCCGCCTTGCAATCCCTCAGCGCAGATACCCCCTGAACTAGCCTCTAACCATTTTAGGACAATCCTGTGAGCCAGACTGGAGCGACGAGCACACCGGACACAGAGACCAGTCAAGCTACTCCTTCGGCAGAGACGCAAGGAGTCCCTCCTGCAGTCGGCGCGTCTCAGCCTCTAGCTCCAGCTCCTCAAAGGCCGTTAGGACGAGATAGTCGGGGAGGATTACCATCAAGCCCTGCCCCGCGCGGACGAGGTGGTCTACCCTCTGGACCTGCCCCAAACAGAGGAGGTTTACCATCAAGTCCGGCTCCCAACCGCGGTGGCTTGCCCTCGAGCCCCGCTCCGCGAGGTCGTGGCCTACCGTCAGGGCCTGCGTCTTCGCGCGGAGGATTGCCCCCGGGCCCAGGTCCAGCGCGTGGCGGTTTACCTTCGAGCCCTGCTCCGCCTCGTGGAGGGCTGCCTTCAAGCCCGGCTCCTCGTGGACGTGATGGTCTGCCGTCTGGGCCTGCTTCGTCATGGGGAGGCTTACCTCAGAGCCCTGCCCCACGCGGAAGAAGTGGTCTGCCTTCGGGCCCAGCTCCAGGCCGTGGCGGACTGCCCCAAAGTCCAGCCCCACGTGGACGAGGCGGGTTACCACCCGGACCTGCTTCATCGCGAGGAGGCTTCCCGTCTCAGCCCTCGACGACGCCAGGCAGTATACAAACCCGGCCGCCTCCAAACAGACCAGGTTTCCAGATCAGTCGATTTACAGTCGATGATCAACCGACACATGATATCATAGCGCCGTTATTCGTCTCGATCAGGAAGCTAGCAGGGGAGGTTGCCGCCAGCTTGCAAAGCGCGAATGCGGCGGAGAAGCAGCTATTCACTAAGTCTTTCTGGCCTCGTGGCGCTTTTCAGGATCTTATTACCAAGGTCAATGTTACTGAGAAGAATTGCTATGATGCTGTGTTAGGTAAGACAAGAGGCGAACGTCGCGCCCATTCGTTGCCGCGGCGAAATTCTGGTTGATTATTGTCAGAAACATATACGAACCTCTCAACCCTCGCGAACGTCGTCGTATCTCCGCCCGGGGCTCCAGCACCGAACGCACCACAAGGGATCTCCATCCGTATTCATAGAGAGAACGCCGTATGTGTCCCTAACAATCCTTCCATCTGCCTAATAATACACCCAAGACACCCTTTCGAATTCCCTTTCGTCATGAACACCTCCTCACTAACAGCGCCTAGACCCAAGACGAAATCGACGATGGCGCAAAAGGCGGCTACAACCCTCAAACTGATTCCATCGAGCTTTTCGAACCGTTCTGGAGGGCTGCGGATCTGCCTGTCGAGGGCAACCCACCTAGTACATTCAATGATGTAGCTATTGGGGGCATCCATGCGACTAAGGCTATCATTCTTTTGCATGAGGTATTTGCTGCCCTCTTCCAACCCTCCCCACTTTCCCCATACCTTGCCCAATCGCCGCCATTTTTCGGCTTCTGGTTTTCTTATCAGACGTGCTTGGCGAATCTTCACTGCTGATGTTGCGATCGACGACTAGCTCGTCCACGTCATGTCCATCAAAGCCCCCGGTCTTCGCCCTCTCGTCAGCGCCGCAGAAGTGCACACGCGAGAGGACGCGCCCCATCGTGTGGTCGATGTTGCGATGGGCGACTATTTCATGGGTTCGCAAGCTGAGAACGTTGCGCTGGGTGCTGTGAGGCTTGATGGTGCCGCTCCTAATTTGGTAAGTTCTCGTCACTTCCTGGATGTTGACCGGAACATGTGGCATGGAGAGCTGCTTTGAAAGTTGGGAGATGACTGACGGAGTTTTTGGTGTGGTAGACGCCTGAGCAGCTGCTCAATGCAAAATTGCATGTTAAGGCGTATGGGGTGGTGGGTACGAGGGCGCTGGCGCAGTATGATCTTGCACCCCTTGCGACAGGGTTGAATGCTGATAGTTATGCTATCTATGCTGCTGGTGAGTATTCCGGATAGCCGTGGACTTGTCCGGTATGAGATCTATTCTGATTGAGGCTTTAGGTGTGTGGTTTGCGTTACATGGAGGGCACGGAACCGGTGCATAATTAATGTCGCGGCCTTGAACTGGTGGCCTGGTTGAAGCTTGTGGGATTTTTGGTGAAAGAGTAAAGTGCGGCAGGTTGGTTGAAGGGACGACTAGGGATGGGAAGGTAGTGCGGTATGTCTTTGAGCCACTGAGAAAACACTTCCGCCGAAAGCTCTGCTTCTTTAAGCCACGCTACTTGTTTCTGCAAAGCTTTTCCTGCCTTTTTGTATAGCGATATTATGTATTGCGGCCCCTTGTGTTGTTTCTTTGCCCATGTATCACCACCTCTCAATTCCTCGTGACCTCGAAGAGGGTTGCAGCCAGGTCCCTCACACCTGAATCCTCACTCTTCGCTAGAGCCCCTTTGATCCCCTCTAGGATCTCCTCTCCAACCCCTTCCTTGCTTCTTGAATAGACATCGATGCCAGCTGGTGTGAAAAGCGTCTTCGCAAAATACGTCACCGCCCATTGTCCGCCTCCTTCCAGGTCGCCGTAGCCAAGCACTTCCCAGTGCGAGCTCGCAATCTTCAGCCAGCCTTTACCCCTCCAATCCCATTCCCCTGTGCTAGCTCCTCTTGTATCGATGCCCAAGACCGTCTTTTCTTTGTCGGAGCTCAGCGTTTGATAGGACACGATATCTTCGATCTGGTCTTTGTTGGAGGCGGATGGAGGATCAAGAGGCTTGTAGCTTATAGTGACGTTGCGCTTTGATTTCCACATTGGTAGGGTCGAATGTGTGACGTGCCATGTGCCGGCAAGAAAGGAGATCGATGGTGGGGTGAAAGTTGAGGGCTGGGGGAGCGAGACGGTAGTCGGAGGACGAAGGGCCATAGGTGCGGAAGACATGAGCTGCAATCTGAATATATTGATGCAATTGATTGCTAAAAGCTCGAAAGTGGTGCAGAAGATCGATAGGTGTAGTAGATTGAGTTCAACAGCATTTGATGCGAGTATTGGTTATGCCATGAGCCCAAAACGGCCAAAAAATTCAATCCGAGCCTAGTTTCGGGCGTGGCGGCCGGAGGTTCGGGCCGATGACAGCGACGTCCGAGGGGCGGGGTCAATGGCTGTCAATAAAACTCCTTATTGAGGGCGCTTTGACTCCTTTTTATCGCAATACTGACCAATTGACGGCTACGATTGTACCTATTGTTGCTGGGCTGTAAAGGCGATACCTGAGTAATCAATCGATCAATTTGACTGATGCTAATGGTTCCCGCATCATGGCACAAAATACCAAATTTTCTACGCTCCAAATCACAATGTACTTTGCGAAAGAGCTGTAGACAATGTGGCTCTCGAGCACAGCATGGAAGACCTCTTAGCAATCGTATGTGTGTGAAGGTTTGAAGCCAATGACAATGGAATACTCCTACGAGCCGCTTCCACATATGAGCAATGCTTTTAGGGTCTTTACTCTCTTTCCATCTGCTGGCTTTGACGATCCACTTGACGGTTTTATTCGAACAGGGGCATGGTCCAGCTCTCTATATATAGCGATTTCGTATGTCTGGGGAAATCCAACAGCATATGCACACATCCACATCGGAGACAGGACGTTACCAGTCACAAGGAATCTCGAGGCGGTTTTACGCAACCTGCGAAAGATATCCGAGCCAATAGAGCTTTGGGTTGACGCCATATGTATCAATCAAAGCAATGTGCCGGAAAGAAATGCCCAGGTACAAGACATGGCCAATATCTACAAGGCAGCAGAAGAGGTGATAGGCTGGATTGGTGAGCTAAACCCTGAGGCACCAATTGGTTTCCGCATATTTCGCGAGATCACTGCTAGACATCGCAATGAAGGCTTCGACGACTTTCTTGACGCATATATTCGTGACGTGTCGAATGACCCTTCCTGGGAAGCCCTGCTGGAATTGCTAGATCGACCGTACTGGACTAGACTCTGGATACTTCAAGAGGTCTCTGTGAATCTTCAAGTTTCTTTACGCTTCGGCAGTGACCCGGAGAACATGATCAAGGTGCAGGATCTGTTCGAGTGGGACACCATCCGATTTGAGATTGTGGCTAAGTGGCGAACACACCGTAGAAGTCATACCGAGGAATCCTTTATCCAACGATTTGATTCTGTATTGAACAATGTCTATAACGCAGCTTTTGTTCCAAGCCTATATCCTCTCACGTTGGAAGAATTCCAACCCTTCCTCCTCTCTTTGCTCTGCGGCGGACCATTGTGCTCGTGTCCGCAAGATTTTATTTTTGGAGTTGTTGGATTGTTCAGCCGTTCGCCTGTCACTGTTGATTATGGTATCAGTCCTCGTGAACTCTTCCTTGCGGTGCTAAAAAGCTACCAAAACCACACGCAAAAGTTAGATTTCCTGTCTTGGGCATGGATCAATCAATCAAGCCCAAATTCTACTTACACAAACACATACGACCTCCCAACGTGGGCGGTTGATTGGGCATGGAGAGAGCGTTTCGTCAGTCCCATTCCACTCGCCAATTCAAAAGAAGATCAAAGGATACTCTGGGATACAATCTATGCCGCCTCTGGAGCGTCAAAATACCGTGCGACAAATACTACTGATCCAGATATACTGAATTTGAGGGGCTGTAGAGTAGCGACAATTGAAATTCTGGGCACTTTGGCTGAGTCCTCTGTGTCAACTTTGTGGCCAAAAGATTGGAGCTCGATTGCTCATTTTGGTAATTACGAACCACCGCTCAAGAACGCATCCCGACGGGCAAATCAGCCGGAACTCAAAATCTGGCATGCATCTCAATCATCTGAAAAGCGGCTTTCGCTGTCGTATGAACAGTTGGACGTATGGTGGAGGGTCATCTTAGGTGATACGATTTCGCGCGACCGACGAATAGATCCACCAATGGATGGACAGCAGCCTATCCCACCAACGAGTCTGAAGGAACTTGAAGGTCTTTGCAAACACTTGATCGATTTTACTCAGATTCGGGTTCACGACGGACGACGGATGTTCCGGACCAAAGATGGAAATTTGGGGCTTGCACCACCTCAAGGCAAACCTGGTGATCAAATTTGGATCTTGCTTGGAGGGGATGTACCTTTTGTTCTTCGACCTTCAGCCGACAACACTGGGGAGTATCAATTTGTTGGGGAATGGTGAGTAAATTTCAAACAATTTCGGCAAAGATACCTACTGATTTTGGGTTTGCAAAAGCTATTTGCATGAAATGATGGATGGCCAAGCATTCGACAGACCTGGAGTGCAACTAGAAGACATTCGAATTCAGTCAAGCCTCGATAACAATGGTGATTAAGAGCCAGACAGGTATTTATTCCATTCTGAGCGTTGGACCCATTGAATCTAGGTGACAGGGTGTGAGTGCCCCTAGTGTTTCAGTGTTGGTCTGGTGTTCCGCTCGCAGTTTCTATCGTTGCTGCCATAGTCTTTTTCGTCATACGGCGCCGTCGATCAGCTCGGCATGTGAAGAGAAAGAAAAGCGGTGAGGTGATGGAACTGAAAGATACCTTTAAAAGAAAGGGCAGGTTGAAGAATGGTCGAGGGCTGAGATGGAAGGCGACGTCATAGCACAGCTGCATTCACACGAGCTTGAGACTAGCCCTGGGCCTGGAGGACATGATCTCTCATGCTTTCGGAATGATCGGCTGGACTTACTACTACCTGTAAATTAATTGGTAGAAGGCATTTGTGGCTGTGGGTAACCTCAGGCGCTACTGCATGGTCCTTCAGCACGCTAATGCAAGGTCCTTTCGTTGCGCTAGGGAAGAGATGTTGCATGTCATGCAAGGCTTCAAAGCTCGGACAGGCCACTATATCATCTGGGGTCGTTCCTGCCTCGTCCACTTTCCCTTGAAACATCAGGTCTTTAGCCTTCACAATGCCTTTTACCACCTATTCATCGGGAGCCGCGCCCACAGCTGACGATTGGGAAGCCCGCCGTGCGCAGATCACACATCTCTACTGTGAGGAAGATAATACGTTGGCTGAAGTCATGACGATCGTGAACAAGCCAGAATTCAGAGCCTCGTAAGTGAGAAGTTGACCCCATGCGTAAATCTGCTTACCGGTCAGTGCCAAAATGTATAAGTCTCGAATATCCAAATGGGGCTTAGGAAAGAACCACAAGGAGTACGAGGCCCGTGCGATCATACATGCGTACGCTCAAGATCGGAAGCCATCAAGGTTGCGACTCCGCGGCCAGATCGTTGATATCAATGGCGTGCTACAGTATTTTAAGCGCAAAGGCATTAGTATTCACGACGTGCTCAATACAGACGCGAAACCACTCCCAGGCCTGGTTATTGAGACGCCTGCAATCAAGTTATGCTCAAATGAAGATAGCAATGCGCGGGCATTTCTTGATTCGGCAATTCAGGCAGGCCCATCTCGTATAGAGCCTCCAGACTCGCTGAAGACGGCTGAAGGTTTGTTTGCGGACATACATGAATATGCTAAGGCCTTCTTCGGGACTGGCTCTCCGTTTTTCAATGGGAGAGAAGCGTATAGTCTTACTTTTCTAGGTCTTGATTACGAGGGCATGGATATGCTCTCTCATTTCCTGAGGAATCATAATTTATCAGAATGGTATAATCAAAGCTCCCAGTACATCGAACGGTTTGTGGAACGTCAGCCATTGCTCGCCTTGCCCGCCATACTCGAGGTTATTCTAGAAATGCAAATGAAAGACCACAAGCTGTTGGCACGCTCAAGCTTTATGCAATTGTGTGCAATGTCTACAAATCTGGGGCCTAGAGAAGGTCCAGTCTGGCGTTGTCGACAGAAGGTTGTCACTCGAATGAGCGTACTCATCAATAAAGATGAAATGAAAGACTGTGTGACTCAATTACTACAATGCTTAGTGGACTCTCACAGAAAAACCCTAGGTGGCTTCCATATGCACACCATTGCAGCTACGAGCTCTCTGACGAGAGTGATGGCGAAATTGTACGGACCTGAACAGGTTTTGCGGTCACTACAGGTCCTGCACACGGCTTTGGAAGGGCAGCAGCCCCCTTCGCGGAGCAAACGCTCTGGGTTCTGCGCGACTTGACCGAACTTCAGGTTGAATACGGGCAGCTCCAGTTCGCTGAAGCAAAGGCGCAGATGGAGAAAGCAATCGAACGATCAATAAGGGGGACAAATATGATTATAAGCTCTTGGCGGGAAGGATTCTTAATCAGACATGGTTTCTTTGCCATCAAAGCAGACTGGCATGATCGGCAAGGGAATCAATAACTTGACTGAATGATCAGGATAATTGTCGTCCTTCATCATTTAGAGGACACATTTCCCCCACAAATAATGCATTGATCATGGGGGCGATAATATACGTACCAGTCTTTAGGCATACATTTTGCAGTAAGTCCCTCATAGGATAACATATTAGACGAAGATTCACATATAGTCTTGATCTGACTGCTATCTTTCCGAATCTTATACCAGCCAAAAATCACCCCTCCATCATCAATGTTTCTTTTAAAAAATTTCCCCTCTCTAGTCAAATTCAGAGTGGCGAAGCTACACCTGCACATTCAAGGGGGGTTGCATCCCCACCATCGTTCATCCAACAAAACCTCTCACAATCGCCTTTCAGCTCGCTTTCTCAATCAAAAACGCATTCACGACCGTACTACCGCTCGACCCCCTCACAATCTCGCCCTCAATGAAACTCTCATTAAGATACGCATACGGGCCTCCGATCTCAATAACCTGTATCACATCAATAGTAAGCATAACGTTCACACTCGTACCCAACATGAAGGAACTAGAACACTCACGATCCTAACAATCTGATCCACAGGCGACCCCACGCCCGCCAGGGTACCAAAGAAAGTCCCATTCTTATCCGTAGTACCAAAGACGATGATTTCTGGCTCTTCGACTGTCATTTTGTTTCGAAAGAGAGGGTAGGCGGTCCCACCGGTCACGGTGGCGTTGAGAGCGGGGCCGGTGATCGTGCCGCCTGTCACGGGCGTGACTGAATGGTGAGTTAGTCTGAGATGCTTGTGAGGGGTGGGGGGGAAGATGAGGTAAGAAATTATGGAGGGAGGGGAAGGGGACGTACGCAATCGGGTTCCTCCTGGAATATCGATGGGAGGCAGAGCGGCGCCGAGTGTTAGGTCTGCTGTGAAGAGAAATGTGGATTTGGGGGTTGCTGGGGGTGAAGAAGTGGCATGTGTGGTGGGTATAGGCAGAAGGAGGAGAGGGGCCAGGGCCAGAAGGGTGGAGAACTGCATTGCTGTGTTGGTTTTGAAGACAATTGAGGTGACAAGTTTCAAAAGAAGATAATGCAGTGCAGTATATGTCAAAAAGGATGCTGGCTGATGTGAGTTGTAGACTCTGATGTGGGAGGGAAGCTCGGGTCAATATAGCTTCTTCAGGACTGCTCGGCTAAATCATCGTCCACAATCCTAGTCATCTAAGAAATTAGGATATTGTAATCACCGCCACTTTTTCGAGTGTTTAAATGAAGGCTAAGGCTGATTCGACATTCTAATGTAGATGCTTGAAGATATGCCAGGTACGATGTATTTCTCATTGGGCAATGGGAGATCTCGTACATGGGTATGCAAGATAGCAGGGGCCAACTCGCAACATGAACCGAGTATGCACTGAATTGTGACTTTTGGTGCCTGAATATGACGTCCTTTGTATGCGAGAGTACCAGCGGTACCAAGCCACAACCGTTGAGCGCATCTTCATGTCTGCCTTTGGTTCTAGGGCTGATATGTTAGACTCGGCTTAGAGACCACCCGACTGGAATTATATTCGATAAAACAAAGAATGTCATCGGAAACTACGTGCGGGATGTATATGCGTAAGCATGAATCGCACGTTGATATCCTAATCCGGCTAGTGCGGCTGAAGAAACATCAACCAGCGTGAAAGTAAGTTCTTGGTGGACTACGAGTCGTGCCAGGCAATTCTAGCATTCAATGTGGACCGCTTCTGCAATACTTTTGCGCACGCAAGATTTCCATTCGTGGCCAGAGATTGGTTGGAGGGTCACGTGTCTACGCGAATCCCTCGCAGCCTTGCCAATGTCTATTGGATATTCAGGCGATTTATGAAGAAGATGTAGTTTTTCGCCTAGTTGTCGGTCCAGATGAAGGGTCATATCGTCGAATAATGACTCAAATTGGCATTTGAATCGATTATTCGGTAAACGATATGGACCAAGGCACAATTCCAAGTGGTTTGGCTACACTGGTCCCCGAGAAGAATGACCAATCTACTCGTAATTAGAACTCATTGAAGGCAACTCCGCACGAATATTTCTAGACAGATGACCTTGTTCTTTCAAGCAGCCGCTGCATTAACCTTTGATGTCTCTGCGCCAGCTTGTAGAAGGCAAGAGATTCTGCACGAATTTAGCATCCTACGCTTATTATGAATTTGGCACTCACTTAAAGCCTAGTATAGAATTGGACATTAGCATTGATATAGGTCTCTCACACCTAACATGGTCTTAATGCGACAAGCACCTCTTGCACGCGATCGAGAAGCTGGTTTTATTGACACTCGCTTACGGGAAAAGGGGCACATTAAGCGCACAATCCTTAGCGCGGAGCCCCTTTTAAGACTTGCAGTGTTGAACAATGAGCTTCAACCCCTACTATCATCACAAAGAAACCGTAGACATTGATAAATCACGCAAAACATGGTGTCTTTACGTGATACTGCTATGTTACCAGGCACTGCATCGTGTCGTGGACCCGTTTTGAGACTAGTGCTCGACACTTGGACAGCGTGTATATCTTGCAGTGGTCTCCAGAGACAACATTTGTAGGCTTTTCACGTCAGAAAGCCATTGTGCAACCGGTCGTAGCACAAAGCCGTGTTGTAAGACCCTGCCAGGTCTTCATGTGTTACTCGGCGTAAGTGTCACAAGCACCTACACCGACTTTGCAGGATGCCTCAAGACTCCAGTGCCAATGGATGCTGCAGCCCACGTCTCCCAACATTCTTTGTGTCACCGGTTGGTGTTTCGGCTCTGCAGCCGAAAAAGGGCCCATAGGAGCTCAAGTGACACAGTGTCATGGCGACTCGTACGACACACCAATGTACGACTACCAATTCGTGTTGAGTCTCGTCTATATATAATCAGCCTTCGTTCCTGCTTTCTTTCATTTTCAAAAATCACCTCTTCTTTCGAAATCTACCAACAACCCAAGCATACTTGCCGTATGCTTCTACAGACATGTCAGGCAATCGGAGGCCCGGTGAACATTATAGCGAGTATCAATCCAGGTCTCCTAGTGCTGGATATGAAGAGTTTCTCTCACATGGTGTCCGAGGCACGACATTAGAAGATTCGCCAGGGATACCTGCTCATGTCTCACCTTTTGCAGCACGTCGTCGAGACTCACAAGATCCGGACTTCCTATCCCCTTACTCTCCACGACGCGAATCCCGGCATTCTCCCTCCGATCGGAGTCATAGATCGCATTCCTCGAGACCAAGCCATCGATCTTCTTCGTCACAACATGGACCCTCCCCCTCAGGACATCGTTCTTCTCCCTCAGGACATCGTTCTTCTCCCTCAGGACATCGTTCCTCCCCCTCAGAACATCGTCTCTCCCACTCGGGACATCAACCCTCTACATTAGAACAGGACTATCTATACCCTCCACATGGGCAACCTCCTCCCCGAAGGCGTCGCGATAGTCCTCCTGTACCTCGCTCAGACTATCAACAAGACCGACAACGACCCATGTCCAGAGTCCAGATCGAGACTGTAGAGCGTTTCGACAGGAGACTCACCGAAAGCGTTGATCATCAACGTCGTCATAGTAACCTCCGTCCGGCGGCCCCACGACCTCCCCGGGATGATATACCGTCTGGACCTAGGCCTACGAGGGGTTTTGACCCCGACGGCAGACAGCGGCCCATGACCAGATCCCAGATCGATGAAGCAATCCGTTGCGGGAATAGACTCACCGAAAGCGTTGATCATCAACGTCGTCATAGTAACCTCCGTCCGGCGGCCCCACGACCTCCCCGGGATGATATACCGTCTGAGCCTAGGCCCCCGAGGCGTTTTGAGGACGTACCAGTGAGTGGGTCCGCGGAAGATAGGAGGAGGGCAAGGCTTTATAACGACGGGTACAACCAAACTCGACGAGAACGCCGACGCAACAATTAGGAGGAGAAGCTTTGAAGGCAATTAAATCGACTTCTAAAAGCCTGCAAAGTGTCTGCGAAACGTGCGTGGATTGAACTTAGGCTTGGCTTGCGGATTATGCATACACTGATGAACATGACTTTTTATGATTTGATGTCAGAAAGATAGACTAGTTGCTTTTTTGATGGATAAATGAAACTTGCATTGCCTGCGAACCAGTCTCTTCAGTTAATGAAGAGAGACCTTAGAGGCTGCGGCATCATTTCTCATTAGCTGTTCAGTCTGCTTATTAGATTGAGGTTACTTCAGAGTCTGCAAATACGCTTCCAATTAGCCATATAACCTTCGCACTTTATAGAGGTAGTACCTAAAGGCTGCAAGAGTGCTTCAAATTAGCAATATAACCTACGAACTTTATAGAGATAGTACCTAAAGGCTGCAAGAATACTTCAAATCAGCGATCGGACCTCTGATGATATAGATCCTCGTTCTAGGGGCTGCAGCAATACTCCTGATTAGTGACTTAGGCTTTGCATCAAATACAGACTGAGAGTAAGCCCCTGCAATAGAGCTTCTGAATAGCAAATCAGTTATGTTACTTTAATAAGATTAGTTTTCAAGGCTGCAACGAGGCTTCTCATTGGCGAGTTAGGCTTTTCATTTAGCGGCTTATCTAAAATCCATAAGTTAAGACAAAAGAATGAAGAATGATTTGCCTTTGTAGATTCGCCACCGCACTGCCGCAGGCTTTTGCGTCTATCAAGTCTGGTTGCTGAGGCTGCAACATCGCTCCTGATTGGCAATTGAGTCTTCTCACTTAACGAATTGTTACTGGAGAAACCTAAGCAATAAACCCTGTGACTTTGCCTGAGGATCTTGGATAGACTCTTTGCTTTCAACAATGAAACTTGCATTGCCTGCATATCATGCTCAGACCATAGCGTAACGTTGCAGAGAAGGCTACTGAGGCACGAACAGACCAAATAAAGTTCCCCTCTGTACATCCTGACATCAGAACGTATTGGGGGAAAGCACTCACAAAGCTCGTCTTCGAAGAGATAAAGACGACCATTCAGCCCCCGAATGTCAGGGCTCTAGGGTATGTTCAGCCCTATAAGCCCAAGTAGGCGCCGGGACCCGCGCCTAGCCCAATACGCCCAAGCTCTCATCCCATCCATCCATCCCATCAGCACACCTCACCTCCCTCACAACCACATCCCCTCCCCAACCTCAACAATGCGCACAACACGCCACCGCCTCCTCGCCCTCTCGCCTACCTCCCTCTTCCACCTCTCGCCCCACCGCCTCTTCACATCCTCCACCTCCCTCCTGGCCCGCAAACCATCAGCCCGAACACCACTGATAAAATTCCTCGGTCCCCGCGCCCACAACACCCCTCCTCCACAATCCACCACCTCCTCCTCCTCCGATCTCCCACGCCCTCACCCCGAATCACCAACCCACTCCCTCCCCGACTCCTTCGTCAATTATCGGATAAAAGCGGTGCAGCACGGGCCGTTGGGGGGTATGGGAAAGCTCCTTCCCCTTCCTCCTCCGACACCGCCCCTAATTCTTCGTCTTCCTCCTCTAGTGGAGATGCAGGAGGGGCTGGAGGGGGTGGAAGAGGCGGAAGAGGAGCCATAGGCGGACACTCCGGCCATGAATTAGGCAGTATACAACCCGGTGCGAACCAGGTGTTTGACAGGAGTGAGTTGCCGGCGAGATTTGGACGCATGACGTGGAGTGAGGAGGAGATTGAGGCGGTGGAGATGGGGGCGCGGGGGGTGAGGGTCGGGTGGGGTGGTGCGTGAGAAGTTGGGATGTGGGTAGAGGGAGTTGAGGGGTTTGTACACAAGAATTGGCCGGGGCTGGGGAGGATGGACGGGAGATGAGGACATAACCGTGGGTTAGCCTGGAGGAAACCTCTGATTGGGACCTATGGGTGAACAGGAATGGTGCAGAAAATAGGCCTCATGCTACGAATCGCAGAAACAAGCCTTGACAACATGTTCATAAGAGCTTGTGCTTGACAAATATTTCATGAGAAATTTTCAATCTTGCAGATCCAATTGGTATTCGTCTAGTCCAAGAGAGCCCATCCGCTCACGTAGCAGAAGCCTCCTCTCAAAGATACAAACCGCTCCCGTTTTATGATATGTTTTTCCCTTGTCATTACAACTGGAACTTCTCATTTTCGGAAGTGCAAAGCCAAGAATCCCAAAAGCCGATACACAGCAATAATGCCCACCAGGATACCCACCCACTTGCCCGTCCTCCCATCCCTATACCCATAGACCTTGAGCACCGCCTTCCCATCAATCTTACACTGGTCCTTCAGCGGCGAATCATACATACACCTACACCCATCCCCACAAGTATACGAGCGACCCGCAAACTCATTCACCATCATCCCTTGAAACACATACGCCTGATAATCAATGTAATGAAAAACATACCTCCAAAACACATTCAACACCGTCGGACTGACCAAGAACCCCCCAACCGACATCCACAACCCATTTGCAAATGCCACTATCGCCAACGCAACCACGAAGATAGGAAATAAGCTCGAGACCAAAACGACCAAGCTCTCCGCAGCCACGAGATCCAAGAACACCCACATCACCCATCTCATGAACGCGCCCCCTTCCGGCTTCAGATTCACCAACCAGTATACTATTACAGAGAAGACGATGGAGAAGATGAACAAGTATGGCAACCCGATCAAGAAATTCGCAACATTGAAGCTGAAAGCGCCATAAAGGCCATTCGCCCTATCTTTGGCGAATGTAGCGCGATCTTCGAGGAAAGCGGGAACATAGGCGACAGCCATGAAAGACATGAAAGCCGAGCCGAAGAAGATTGCGTTTGTGAAGGGCTGGATGGAGGATTGAGTGGCGGGGAGGCGTAGCCAGACGGTGCCCATCATGATGGCGAGGCCGGTGTACATGGCGAGGCGGACGCCATAGGCAATGACGTCGCGGTAGGATTTGATGTAGAGGCGGTGGAGGAGGGTGAGGACTGTAGATAGTGTGGAGGGTTTGGCAGATGAAGCGACGGAGAGGGAGGAGGTGTTGGAGGACGGATCAGCAATACTTTCTGGGTTCTTCTGCGTTTTGCAGGCAGCGTAAATGTTCTCGAGCAGCTTTTCAGTTGCGGCAGGATCTCTGGAGAAGTCGAGGTTGATCAGTTCGAGAAGATATTCGGCAGGATTGGTGTTTGAAGGTATTGAGATGCCGATGGAGGCGAAGTAAGGGGCGAGCTCGGGTATGCTGCCAAAATAGCACATCTTGCCCTGGGATAGGAGCAGCAGCTTGTCGAATAGCTGAAATGTTGAGGACGACGGCTGGTGGATGCTCACGATGACAAGAAGATTGTATCGTCTCGCTGTATCCTTTAAGTATGAGATGACTTCAAAGCTCGCCGCTGAATCAAGACCACTGGTGGGCTCATCCAAAAACAAGATCTTCGGATCTGTAACCAGTTGCGCAGCTACACTAGTCCGGCGTTTTTGGCCTCCACTGATACCGCTGCGCAAGGGCGTGCCGATTAGAGCATGAGCCTGCTCAGTCAACCCAAAAGATCGTAGTAGCTCGTCCACCCGCGAAAGTCGCTGTCGATATTGCACTGACCTGTCCATTGAAAGGCGAGCAGAGAAATCCACCGTTTCACGGACAGTCAATGATCCAATCAGGGCATCTCCTTGCTCGACGAATGAGTTGGCTTCTTGAAAACCTGTCTGGGACAGCGAGATCCCATCTGTAAGCACATTGCCAGTGTGCCTCATAGTTTTGGGAGTCCGACGGGCCAGTAAGTTGAGCAAAGTTGTTTTACCTGAACCGGAGGGGCCCATGAGGGCGAGAACTTCCCCCGCACTGACATTTCCGCCGACATTTTCAAGAAGATTTTTGGGGTCCCCGGTTTTACGATCTTTTACGGTGACGGTGACGTTATCCCAAGTAAGTTTTTTGATTGTGGAGTTGTGTAATTGCTCTGCTATCCCACCTTTCTCTGGATCCTCACCTGGGCTTGGTGGCTCCGACATGATCTTTGCCAAGGTGAACCTGAATCAAAAAGATTCAAGCACGAGCTACCTGTGAGTGTTAATGTTTCTTAAATTGTCGCAAGCCTTGCCCGCAGAAAGTCGGAGACGTGCTGGCTTGGTCACAGCGGGGCCAATTAGATGGATGGCAGAAATCGTAATGGTCGCTGCACACAATCTTGAAGACGAGCTTTGGGGATGATCGTGTAGGGCACTGATAATGCTTGAGTTGACTCATTAAAGAGTGAAAATTTTGAGATGAGTCGTGGAATGTTTGCATTCGCCGATTGCTTGATCGGGTTAGCGTCATACAGTCAAAACGTTGCTGCGCCGCTCGCAAGACTTAGTATTGTCCAGGCGTAGTCGTTGCAAATTTCCATGTTTCTTGAGGCAAAGTCTTGCGACCCTCATTTATTGTCATGGCCTTCTCATGCCCTTGGTTGCTGCTGTGAGCTCAAAGCAGGCAAACCCGCGGATTTAGGAATCAGCAATTTTGGACTGTGGCCACCAAGGAGACAACCAATGGCTAGGAGGATGACTTTTGAGGATCGAGTTCACACCCCGAGACTTCCTTTGTGTATATATATTGCATCAAAGTACGTGCGGGTCAAGATAGTCATCCAGTCGTATTTGCTCTGACAGATTCTCCACGCTATTCGGAGTATCCATAGTACGCAGTAGGCTGTCTGAATCTTGTAACTGTTGTAGAGGAGTATCATCTGATGGAAAAGTAACATTGTGGCTCAAGTCAGGATTGCAATTTAGAACAGCTCTTGCAACTGCAGACACCTGATCCCCGACATTCTGGGCGGTGATCCATGTTTGGCCAAGCCTTTGTAAACCACTTACACTGAGCTGCACTTGTTGAGAGAGTATGGGCCTCTTTTGGCTCCATTGCAAGATATTGTAGGCTCCTAGATGTACAAGAGATTGTAGGGCCATTGCACACACGAACAAAGGCGTCCGTGATGAGATCTCTCCTGATACACTGACCATCTTGCAAAGCTCATCTGCAGCATCCACACATTTCTTCGTATGATGAAGGGTGATATCAGAACAGAGTAAAGAGCTTTCAGGGGCGCATGTGATCTTCTGCGTATTTTCATAGGCTTCGAGGCCAGAGCGTGGTTTGTGCAAGAAGATAGTGCCCCTGATTATGTAAGTCGACATTCAGATGTGAGGGGATCACCTTACGCTTGGACAAGCATTTGTGCTTGAAAGAGCATTTCGTTAATCGAGAAGTCACATGGATCTATAATGCTCTGCAAGGGGGAACCCATACGTAGCCTGAGGGTTTCCAGCGCCAATTCTGCTGCTTGATAAGGTGCAACTGAGCCTTCGGTGGCAGCAGTGGATGCCCCAATGATCTGGTTCAGTGCTCTAGCAGCAGCAATGCGGTAGGTAAAAGATGAGAAAGTCAATCCTTGCTGTGATGACAAGAGGCTATCTTGGAAATCTGCCAGGGATTGCCCAATTGGGAATTTCTGAGAGCATTCAGCGTGACACTTGAAAGATAGAATACCAAAGTACTTATTCTCACCTCGAATTCACGATACATATGCTCCTCACAAGGCATTGGGACATCCGTCTCCACGCCCTCAAGACCATGACAATGCGATTGGTTTAATGCTGCAAAGAGAATGTTGAGTACGTAGAGTTCCCACCAGGTTCTTCGCCAGCTTTCTCCGGTCACATTGTTCCCTGCAGCTGCGCTGAACGTCTGCTGATTAAGGCCTAGCCTGATGGCAATGCGGGTTGCAGTAGACAACGTATCTTGAGCTTCCTCGGAAGACCCTTGCATATGGTACGTGATTGCGAGTAAAAGTAAGTTCTGTACCGTAAAAGCATTGTGCGAATACTCTCCTGGTGGCTGCGGCATCAGACGACCTTTCTGGCTCCTCTGTTGAGATGCCACATAGAGTGATCCAATGTAATTGATCGTCGCCGCAAGGTCCGCACCATCCACCTGTTTCAAGTGCTGCTTAAAATCTTTGAGAGGAGGTAGAAAGGGATGTGAAGGCCAAAAAGACGCATAGAAAGCAGAAAGGTAAAGAGAGTCTATTGGCGTTGCTCTATGCTGCTCATCGCTGAGAATTGAGTAAGGTGTGCAGCTCAACGTTTGCACGTCCAAGTTTTGGAGCCACATCATTGGAGTTTCATCCCCAAGATTTGTTAAAAGAGTAGAGAAGTCGCGTTCGTCTATCGCCTGCGTTTCTACAGTGACATTTGAATTTGGTTGGGACAGCGATGCTATTGAACCCTGAGTATAATGAAGGCCAGTGAGATTTGACACTGACTTGTAGACTCTATACGCCTATGGTCAGAGGCATTCTCACCTGGCTCCGCATGGGCGCCCTGCTTTACTTGATTTGAATGCAAATGCGCGTAGCTTTTTCCTCGCCTCGAGGGAGGGTAGTTGCAAGGCTTTCTCTCTACATCACAACGAGAACAGACAGGACGACCACCGTCACATTTCTGGTGTTTTAATCTGCATTGTTGGCATGCTGACTTGACGGGCAAGGGTCTACTCAGTGATATGTAAGGCCTTGAAAAGTGGTCGCTGCTTGCGGTCTCGAGCACAGGCATCATGGCGAATGCCTTCGATCAGACTCATTTCAATCACGTACTAGAGACGTTCACCAAGCAAATACCATATCATTCGTACGACTGTTGAAAAGGTAGACTCACGATCAATCTTGCAGTCTGACTTGAGCGAAATGCAAGCTAGAACTATCTCTTTCCAGCAATCGCCGGAACTTCGGAGGGGCTTCGGGCGCGTGAGCCCTATCGTAGTCGCCTAAACCTGCCCCTAAGGCTTTTTTCGGCATCCGCGTCCGGGGTAGCCTGACCTCGACCATCCAGAATTACTGAACAATCACCCTCCACCTCGAATCACTTCCACCGCCCCTCATGCCTCCTCAAACCCTCTAGACCCATCCCACTCCTCTCCAGCTCCCCCTTCACCGCTACTATGCACGAGCTCCTCCTCCTCACCCAAGCCCCCTCCCCCCGGCACGACCAACTCCTCAACATCCTCGCCGGCATCTCCGGCATGCAGCCGGTCCCCATCCTCGAAAAACACCTCCTATTCAAGCCCAACCGCAGCGGCGGACCTACACCCGGCGCGCAGAATACGCAAGTCGGGGCGGGAGCGAAGGGGTTGAAGCAACTAAATGCCGCGGCGAGCGGGGACGCGTTTTATCTACGCGTAGTGGGGGAGAGGGCAGGTGGGGCAGGCGGGGCAGGCGGGATGATGGTGCGTTAGCATCTACGTTGGAAGATTGTGCAGGCTAAGAGATGAAGATAGAATGGTCCAGGCAACGCTGATGAGGGGGAGGGGGAGGAGAAAAGCGTAGGGGCAGCGAAATGGACGATCCAATTCCGTGACGTGCCGGAGGTTGTGAGGCAGCGACCTGTGACGGCGAGATTGATGGCGGATATACCCATCACGTCGGGCGATCCGGTGGGGTTTATGGAAGCGATGGATTATAGGTGGGCGATACCGATCCTGCTATACCCAATTCCAGCATGGGCTTGGCTAATGGGGAGGTTGATAGCTTTGTGACAGCCTACTACATCACTGGCCACCGCTTCACACATCAAAATACTTCTATATTGCTCTATCGAGCTACTATTCCAGCTGCGACAAGCGACCGTAATGGATTGCTCGACATTCGGAAAGAGGGAGATGGGAGCAGGCTGTTAGATTCTTCCGGCGCGTATGTCGTGCAAGCGATGCTCAGAGTGCAGGATGGCTCGAAGGTCGAGATCATGAATAGGGGAATGACTGAGTTACTTGGTTTGAAGGAGACTCTGAAGGGGGTGGTGGAGTTGGATGTTGGGGATCGGTTGGCCATGGATACGAGGGTGCGGTGATCGAGGACGCTCAATCGTTATGTTCTCCGATTTCATCGTTTCCTCCGGGGCGAGGTGCAGTCAGCGAGTACGAGGGTAGAGCAACGAGCTCAGCTTCGTGCGGGAACATCGTACTCCCTAACCGTGGACGGATTGCTTATACGTCCGGCCTCTGACGCACGAATACTGCGAGTATCCGATTCTCAGCTCAATGCGCCGTCGTAGCTGGCTCTCTGAGCAAGGAGCTGGCCGCGAAGGGCTCACCTGGGAGGCTTTATCTCAATCATAGCTTTCTGCTCACCTGAGATGTGGGCAATTGCCAAGTGGTTTAGAGCAGAGTCAGCAGGTTCTTCGACCAAGATGTTGAATTCCCATAGTATTTGGGATATTTTGTTGTCTTAATAATGGTGGGGAGGGGGAGGGATGAATTTTGCAAACATGTACGATTTCGTCAGCAGAGAAGATCAAATCTGCTATATCGAGTCCTCTGATCAGGGAAAAAGCAGAGCCAAAATAAACATTGTGTTGCTGTGGATGAGCTACATTCAGAATACAAATCAACCATGGTGCGACTTTATTTTGACTTTTCTGCTCATAAACTCCATTCAGCCTGCTGGCTGCATTGATACAGGCGTGGCAATACCTCTTGACCTCGTCCCGATGTCTTCCATCGTCCAAAAATTCATTCATCAAATCAGCAGCATTCCCAGTCCTCTGTTCATGCTCAAAATAACGATTCCAATACTCATACCATACCCATCAAATCCCCCGCCTGGACCTCTCCACTCAAGAATCCCTGCGCAGCTGCATTCTGCACCTCTGCCTCCGCCAGCACGTCATCGATCTCATGCCTTTCCATCCCCCCAGCATTGCCATTCGTTCCCAATGCAACTCCCTGTGGAGCAATCTGCATCGCCACCTGCTGCCCGTCATACGTCTGCACGCGCTTGTACAACCTCACTATCGTACTAGCTCTAGCATCATCCGTCTTCGCCAGTTCCTCCGCACCATCATACCGCATCACCAAGAGATTGCCTAAATTCATAGGGATTCTATTTGTCCCGCTGTTTGCCTGTCCTGAAGAAGAAGTTTTATGCCTTTCCGCAAGGATGAGCGTGGCAACGACATCTAGTGCTACCTCCTGCAGGTTGGGATCGGCGTTCTGGACTTCATCGATAAGGGCATCGAGGGTCTTGTAAGCGCCGAGAACTTGGATGCAAGTCTGTAATTTATGGAAATGGAAGGGCGTTGGGGTCAAATTGTTTGCCGAGTCATTCGTCCACAAGATCAGATTCTGGATCATAAACTTCAGGGACCCTCGAAGTGCGTCTCTGGGGTAAGCGGTCCAGGAGTTCAGGTCCCGAGATAGAAATTTGAGTACGTTGTCATTCGTGTAGGGGGAGAGGATGCTCAGGAGGGACCTTATGTCTCCACGAGGGGGAAATTGGCGGGTGAGGTAGATGAGGGAAGATTCTAATCGCTTCGCTACAATGCGGACGACAGTAGCGTGGATGCTCTCCGACTCTTTTGACAGACGCGCTGGTTTGAGGAGAGCAATGAGTGCTTGCATTGTGACATCTATCATTGGGTTTCCTTCTTGCATTGCCCACATGGTGTCTGCAAACCACTTGAAGCCGACGATCAGGCTTGGTAGGAGGAAGGGCTCGAGGAGATACTCGAAACCACCTTTAAGTGTATCGAGAGTAATGATCCTGGCATGGACGGCTTTGATGGACTGGTCTAAGAGAGTGGCGATGAGGAGGTGAAACTCAGAAGGTGCGCAAGCGGACATCAATTCGTCTGAAATACCTTCCGTTTCATAGAGAGATTTGAGCCAGGAGGAAAGGATCTCCGACTCGTGAGGTGAGAGTGAGTCCGGAGATTTGGAGACGGAAGAGGTCTTGAAGTATTTCGAAAGGAAAGAGTCTTCGTCGTTGCTGTTCTGGAGGATTACTGGATCTGAAGTCAAGGAAGAGAGAAGATAGCGCGCCCGTACGGCATTGATGAAGAGAAGAACAGCGCCGAACTCATCATACACAGGGTGCTGCTCCCCACCCTCTGCATCACCTACGGGCCAGTTGTCGAGCAAAGTGCAGAGTTTTGAAAGAATCCCTGGTTTACCATCTTGTCCGTCAGTCTCAGGATTGAACAATATAAGCACATCTACACTTCCCACTCGCTTCGCTAGACTGACGCAAACACTTCGTAGGCCCATCGTATCGCCCTTATCGCAACAACCTCGGATCACGTCCCCAAGCGCCTCAGCTATGGCGCCGGAATTCCCTTTGAAATCTTCCATTTCGATGACAAGGGCATCCAGTTGATTTAAGTCAGTCGAAGAGGTCGCAATCTGTGCAACAATATTCTCAGACGTGTAACGGGTCGTTGGGAGATCAAGGAACGACACATCGTTGAGGATATCCTGGATAGATGCCTCGGGTATTAGATTGTGTAGAGCGGCGGAGTAGATAAATTCCTGACGTGCGTCATCTAAGGAGAAGGACGCCTGAGCATCAGTAAGCAAAAGATGTTCCTTGATTTTATGCTTTCGACCGAACTCAAGATTGCTCTCAATAGAATGAGCGAATAAAGAGGGACCGGAAGAATGGAAGAGAGTAAGAAGGGAGTAGAAAGTAAGCAAAACATGGAATGTGCTTAGTATAAAAAGAAACACACCCTTGTCTGCGCTGACAGCGAGTCTGAAGGTAGCTGCGCTAGTGCTTGGCGAATACAAGTTTCAATCGTCAAAGGCGGCGGTAGGAGATTGAAATACTGTCCATGTAGAAATACAGGCAATTTGTTCACGATAAAGTTCCGAACTAAGATCCGTGTCCGATCAGGAACACTCGTAGATAAAGAATTTGCCAGCACCAAGAAAGACGTGAGGATCAGGTCAGTCGCTTGCTGCTGAACAATTTCAGATTGGACATCGTCTATCGGCGGATGATATCGTGTCTGGAGATACTGAATGATTCTGGCATTCGAGAAAGTTGGTGGCGGAGACAACATAGAAGAGAGGTAGACGTAGAGACCGGCTCGTGTTGAGATGGGAGGGATGTCGAGGATGGTGTCTTGGTATGTTGGTAGGACGGGCAAGGGATCGGCGGCTGTCAAAATGCCGTGCCAGTCTGTCGTATCGGTGAGAGGTAGAGTAGTCTCCATGGTATTCATTTGATCTATTTGGTCGCTGTTGCGGCAACTGAGAACGTGGCTTTCAATAAAATCGAGGTACCCAGCCCAGTGTTCTTTCTACAAACGCATGATGGGAATGTTTAGTAGATTTTACTTGTACATTTGAATAAGACCAGACGCATTGAGCTTCTAGAATCACGATTGAGAACCGTTTAATCGAATCCGCTGCTCAAAGGGTACAACTTGATTGGCTCTGGAGATTGATATATGCTGAGTCAGCATATCTTGGCAATATCAAATGATGAATTGACAAGGACCGGGTACTGACTGAGCTGGGACAAGTAGACTGATTGATGCCATTAGACCTGATCGACGCGAACGAATCTCGTTACAACACTGATCACACTTATCGAAATATGGTTGACATTTAAAGGACAGATATCCTAATATCCTATCAATCAATACACTCACTCATTCGTCATTTCCGCCTTCAGATTCGCGGCATAATTTTCTGATCAACATATCAGCTCGGTCGAGCCCCGAGCCCAGCCTCCTCCATATCATATTGGGTTGCTCCAAAAGCTAATCTTTAAAGTGTCCGGCAAGCTTTGCTTTGAAGCCACCCTACCCTCGATCATAACATGATGCTTCTTCCTAATCATTCAGAGGATTGACATTGTGTATCGCAAGTCGCAGGCGTAATACACGAGAAACGAGCTCGTTTTATTTTAAGTAACGGATAGACGTAGTCCCATAGATGTTCATGGTAATGCTCCCAGTAGATATCGTGAACTCTAGGAAGGTTTTTAGCAAACATGATGACGTTGGTGTCAACCTTGGTCAAAAAGGTACCGCATGGATCGAGAGCCCTAATGAGACTTCGAGGAGCCCTGTGGTTCCTGAAGACGGGGTCGCGCTCCTGACGTTTTACATTATTGGGTGTCATTACCAATCCGAAGACCAAAGACAGGTGCGCAAGCCTTGAAAAGCTAGCAAGCTGGCGAGGCAGCGTCAAGAACGAGCTTGTTAGTGGGCTCGACATAGTTGGAAGTATGAGAATTATGGAGTTGATGTATTTGAGTGCAGTCTCCTGGTAGCTCCTACTCATTCCTGGAAATCGACCCTTTATAAGCATTTCGGCTGCCGCCGGAGTCATAGAGAAGGTCTTCTGGGAGAAGAAATACTCTAGGCCAAGGCTCCGAATGCGCTTTGAAGTACCTCGGATGAAGTGTAGATCCCGTAGGTGGTCATGAGAAGTCGGGTCTAGCACCCTGTGAGAGTCGCTGAATGTGAGTTTTTTATAACTTTGGCGTGTTTGCTCTGGAAGTGCTTCATCCAGGTGAAATGCTTCATTGCTCCTCACAGTCAAAGCGATAATTCTCTCAAGTATCTCCGATGAAAGTTTCTCCATCCTCCTCGATCGATATAGAAGTCGAATGTAGGAGACGTCAATCTACCGTTCACGAATCCAGAAGCCGTCGTGAATCGTTCAGAGTTGGGTGCATTTCGAAGCAACATTTTGATGTGGTAATGGCTTTTCATATACTAATTGAGAGTCATCGATGCGACTCGATAAACCTTGATGCCGATCTGACTTCATGTGTCGTTCGGGTGGCTGGCGGCTGAAGTAGCCACTGTCCAGGCCAGAAGTCAAAGTGGCAGCGATGGAAATTTGGAGTCAGGTTGCCGTAGTATGCTGGCGGGATCAGTCCGAGTAAGAACCCCTTCAGCTCTCCCCCTGCCCTCACCCATTCTCTATCTCCCCCAACCCAAACATCCTGATCGAATTCCTCCACGCAGCTTCCGCTACCTCTTTCACCTCCACCCCCTTAACCCTCGCAACGACCCACGCAACCTGCCCAATAGCACAACTCTCATTCCGTCCCTTCACCATCTTCCCCCTCTCCCACTTCTCCTTCTTCACACTCCCCACCAGCTCCGGCCCGCCCACTTTCCACCTCGCACTCGCATGACTGGGTCTCATCTCGCACCACGGCCCATCAGTCTCAATCTGTAGCCTCTCCAACGGCACGGCCTTCACGACCTCCAAATTCTCCTCCGTCTTCAAACTACACCCATTGATCCCAATATCCAACCCCATCTCCACCAAGCTCTCCATCTCCGTCTTCGTACCCGTAAAGCTATGCACAAGTCCCCGTTTCGGCAACCGCTCCAGCCTCGGCTTAAGCAATCGTTCAAAATCTTCCGCAGCGGCCCTCATGTGCAAAAATAGCGGTAATTGCACCTTCACGGCCAGATCGAGCTGCGCCTCGAAGTATTTCAACTGCACCTCTTTCTCCGCGAGATAGAGCCGGTCGTAATCTAGTCCGATCTCGCCAAACGCCACTACCACCCCTTCCTTTTCCTCCATCCTCACCCGGGCTCCCGTAATCACATCCTCCAGCTCCTCCATCAGCTTCCCCGGCCCCCGGGATGTGCGTCAAATGCTTTGGCGGAGCAGGGGTGCACGCCGACGGTGGTATAACATAGACTTGGGTACTGTGCCGCGAGTGCAACAGCTTTCTTCGACTCCCCCAGGTCAGACCCCGTGATCATGAGTTTTTTGCAGCCGGCATCTAGCGCGCGTTGGACTACTTGCTTCGTGTCGTCCTCGTGGACTTTTTTGCCGTGGTAGATGCCTTGGAAGGTGGAGTCTGAGAGGTTGATGCCGACGTCTGCGTAATGGAGGGGTTGTCGTGGGGGGTCTGGTGAGGCATTGGAGGGGCAAGGGGCGGTGCGAGATGAAGGGTTTGAGAGGGCGGGGGTGGGAGAGGGTTGTTGGCTCACTGTGAGATGTTTAAGCGGGATTGAGGCCAGGGAAGGAGAAGGAGACCGGGGGGCATGAGACGTACTTTTTCTGCCAACCTGCCGAGTAGTAGGGATGGAATTGGCGGTCCTGGCCTTCAGTATCGCATGGCTTGAGCGCCGTAGCATCGGCCTACGACCCCGCCGTGCGATAGACAGCTAGACTTATCATGGCTGGGATTGCAAGGAGCGTGGGAAATTTTGAGGTGCTTGACGCTGATGACGTTCTTAAGGCTGCTTTTGACTGACCAATCATATTCGCCGGCATCAATTCACTTCCCCTTCTGCTTTTAGACTGCTCCCCACGCCTCCATGAATCATGGCATCAACCAGATTCCATCAGCGGTGAGGAGTCAAATATCTCATCAATTGTCGTTTCATTCTATCGAAGTCCATATCCAAAATTTGACTGCATTTTCACAAATTCGGCCTAATTTTCATCTCTCTGTTCTCAATCCCCTTCTCCTTCCATGTCCCCCAAGCCTCGTCAGCCTCCCTGAAAGCATCATACCCAAATAGCCATGCTTGATACACAGGATCAGCCCACGGATTGGGATAACCTTCAAAGGGTTCGCTCTCGAGTAACTGCTGGTCGCGCTCCCGTTGCCTTGGACCGTCCTCCATGTGGAAGACATCTCGAAGGCTTGTACTGCCTCGCACTACACATGTTGTTCGGTTCTTGCGAAGTTCTTCATAGATCTTGAGAACGGCAGGAATCTGCGAGCGCTCTTTGATATGTTCGAAGAGGCGGCCGATAACTGCGCCGTCTTCGACTGCCTGGGCCGCGCCTTGTGCACTGGATGCTGTCAGATTCATTGTTTGAAGGTAGAAGACTGGAAACGTACAGGTATGGCAGAGTGGCATGGCATGCATCTCCCAGCAGTGCAAATCTGCCGCTAGAATGTGTCCAACTGTCCATCTCCTCACTATTTTGCAGCCGCCATTTCGTCGTTTCTTGTACAAGCCCAAGCACCTTCCTCAGTTTGGGGTCCCAGTCCTGGAAAAAGTCCATCATCTCCTGTACATCTGCCTTCGCTGTGTTCACGAGATCGGGTAGATTGTCTGGGCTGATGAGGACGATGTTGCAAAGGTCTCCTCCTTGGAGTAGGTAGAGGACTACGTGACTGTTTGGACCCAACCAATAGTGTATGAATGGCTTCTCAACCAGTTCTCTGAGATCCGGATGTTGTTTCATGTCTTCGACCTTGATAACAATACGGTAGGCCAGGTCACCCGTAAGGAGTGGAGGGTCAGGTCTTCCCAGCAGCGCCTCTCGGCAAACCGATTTCAGGCCATCACAGCCGAGTAATAGGTCTGCGTGAAAGCTGGGCTTGCCTCGAAGTTGAACACTAGAGGCTTCGAAGTCGATACTGGTCACGGATGAGCCTAGCCGTAGATCTACGCCAAGTCGTGTAGCTTCTTCTACCAGTATCCTGTGATAATCGGCCCGATGAATGTGAAGGTAAGGATATCCGTATCTCCTTTCCGCGTACCGATACATTTCTAGGTAATTGAGGATTTTTCCATCGCTGTACGAGCGGATCATGAAGGCTTTGGGTCGCACCGCGACCGCCTCGATCTTTTCAAGCAGGCCATAGTGATATAGTATTCGTGAAGCATTGGGGGGATCTGGATGCCGGCACCAATCTGTCGCTGTCATCAGCTTGAACTACGCACAAATGAGAGGGCTTGTTCACCTCTCCGAGTACAGCTGCCTGCTCGAGTATTGTGACTTGATGTCCTGCTCGTGCAATACCTATTGCAGCAGCGAGTCCTCCTAACCCGGCCCCAATGACCCCAACATGCAGTCGGTCACGAACCATTCTCGCATTCGGTCTGTAGACAATGGAGAAGGCGTTGAAAGAGCATGCTGCTCTTGCCGACTGTTTTTGTGCGGCTCCATCGCGGTATGTGCTGTCTTCGGGAGTTCACTTGCAGTCAATGCTCGTGAGCTGCCATGAGCGCTGACGGTAAGAGGATGCGGCATTGAGGGCGGCAAATGATAATATGCGGATACCGAAGTTTAGCCCCTGCACTACCGTGAAATGCACTTAGCCGCTGATGAGGTATATCGGATGGCTCAGACAACGGGGATGGACCGGGAAAGATCCCATCAAGCAATTGAGAATGTTCAATGACCTATCTTGTACATTCCTATAAAGTATTGCGTTATATACATTGTAGGTAGCTGCCAACGGGTTCAAAGTACGATCACAAACAGTCGACCCAAAACGCTGAATTCCCTTCCCTGCACACCGTTTCCAAAAGCATATTTTCCTCGCTCATAAAGTCTCATCGCGATCCTGTAGTATCCCAATATCCGGCTTGTAGTCCTTACTCTCCCACGGCTTGACCTTCAACAAATACATTGCATCTACTTCCTCCAGTGTCTTCCCCTGCGCCTCCAACAAAAAGAAGAAGACTATTACTGTCGCCGCAGCGCAGCAGCTCGCAAAAACATACCCATACCTGAAATCGATCGCGCTAGTAATAAACGGAGTGAAAAATGCAATCAAGAAATTCCAAGTCCAATTCGATGCTGTCGTCAAAGACATCGCTTGAGCTCTATACCGTGATGGGAATAACTCAGACGTGACGGTCCAGATCATCGGACCCCACGTACTCGCAAATGCAGCGATGAAAAGGCAGGCGAATACGATCATGGCTGTGCCGGCTTTGGGCGTGTTTGTGGGGGTAGTTTGATCGAGTGCGAAGTGCCCTATGCTTGCGAAAATGAGGAAACATCCACACATCCAGGCTCCACCAGCCATGAGAGAGTTGCGGCGGCCGAAGCGTTCAACAAAGTAGAGTCCAGGGAAAGTACAGACGACGTTCACGGTTCCAAGGATTATTTGAGTCTCAAAGCTGTTATTGAGGCCTGTGGAAACGAAGATTGTGGTGCCATAATAGAAGAAGAAGTTGGCGCCTGTAAGCTGTTGGAAGGCCTGGAGAACGATTCCCAAAGTGGTGCGATAGAGCATACGTGGGCCGGTGAAGACTTCGTAGAATGCTGGCGCCCCGCCTGCTCGTTCAGCCTCTATGGCTTCTTTCATCTGGCGCAGTTCGACATGGACTTTGCGATGATTTGGTACGACGCCGAGCATCTTAGTCATTGTATCCTCTGCCTCTTCAACCTTGCCTAGACGGAAGTTGTGTTTGGGCGTTTCTGGGAGGAAGAGGATACCTGTGCCCAGAATGATGGCCCAAAGATAGCCGATGCCCATCGGTATGCGCCATGATGAGGTGTTGTAGATGCGCTCTGTACCGTAATTGACAATGTTTGCAAAAAGAATACCAAGAGTGATAAAGAGCTGGTAGCAACTGACTTCTTATTAGCATGATCCACACAAAGAATTTTAGGACTTACCAGACAATCGCCCCCCTTACGTGACTAGGTGCACTCTCGCTTTGGAACAGCGGCACTAGAATGCTCAACGCACCCACTCCCAAGCCTGCAACAAGTCTTCCCGCCATTACTTGATACCATTTATCCACTGCGCTGATTTGGACCACCATACCAATGCAGAAGACGATGCACCACCCACTGATGCTGTATTTTCTCCCAACCGCCCTCAGATTCGCGAACGGGGCAGCAATCAACGCACCAACCAGCGTCCCAATCGATAGCATCGCCACTATCAAGCCCGATCTCACATTAGAGAATTGATATGTCGGCGGCCCGCCAGGGTTCTTAGGATCAGGACCCAGTTCGCCAAAGCGTTTGAGAAAGTCTTTCATCTCGAGGAAGCCGCTGATTTGGCCGGTATCGTAGCCGAATATCAGACCGCCCATGGACACAAGCGTGCCGAGGACGATAACGCGCCATGTTACAAGCGGGAAGGGTGTATCGATGTAGGCTTGAGAGGAGGTGCGCCGGTCGTGGGGAGAGGCAGGGTCAGTTGAGCCCTTTGTGGCCTTTTCGGTGGATGAGAGGGAGGAATCGGATGTGGCGGGCTTGCGAAAGCTGGAGAGAATGCCCATGGTTGATGGATACGGCGACTAGGACTCAGAAGCGATGGGAAGCCGTTTGGCTGGCAGCGTGTTGATGAGGAGGTCCTGGGGCTCATTCATCGAGCACTGTCAATATTGTGGGGATTTCTCCACATTTCAATGATGCTTATAAAGTTGCCATATCGGCAGGCTGAGGCGTGTTGAAGCGTCTTGTGATGCTCCATCGTTTGGTTCCCCTGGCGGAGCGCCCGGAATGGCTGATGGGCCGCCACATCATGACGTAGACCAAGGACTTGAGTCGCACAGCTAGTGTCCAATTGAGCCCAATTCACATTGAAAATGCCTCAATGGTGGACGGACTGCTTCGGAATTTGGAGCCTGGTCAAGGTAGTGCTCTGCTGACGTTCAGTAAACAACGTTACCGTTAAAGGCGGAGGATTTTGTCAACAGTCAGCATGGTGGAGGAAGCTGATTGGCTCTGAAATCCCAGCTTTGCATAATCTCGATAATCAACGCGCATTATCTACGATAATCATTACCGAGGTCTACCATATAGAATAATGCCATTCTTGTTCCTCCATCTCTAAGCTTGACCGCTCTCGTGGCAGTTGCAGTACCACAAGGCTATAGTTCTAAGCCTCTGTTTTTGAATAGGAGAAATGTGGTATCAGGCGACACGCCGGATACTTTTTCACCATGGTGCTTCGCCGTATGCTTTTGTTGACCAGGGATAACGTGTCACCTCCTGTATGCGAGGTAGAACTCCAGAGATGCTTCTCTCAAGACTGCATTGATGCTGCCATTGTAGTCCTTGGAGGAGACAAGAGGTGGGATTCATTCTCACCATCCTGGCATCATGAATGGCCCAGGTAAGCGATGTGCTTCTGAAAAAGAAGTCAAAGCAATAGCGAGCGAATGTTGAGGGATGATTGATTATTCGATGCTATCAGCGTCGCAAATAGCACAATGATAGACGTGCATTAGCCCCATCATCAAAAGCCAGACCTAGTTCTATTCACCAAGTCACCCATAACCGTCTGGTGGGGGGCGATTGCGGGGTACTCCGACAGCGTTTCCCGCACGGATTCTCGAGTCAGGCTGCTTCAGGTGGCTCGTGCTTTGGATGTCAGCTTTTACCCCGGATTCTGAGCCTCTTGGGTGGTCATCGCTGCAACAGGCGTCGTCATACCTTTCATGGCAAATGAGATAGATCTCAGGATCTGGTACCTTGGAAAGAGTCACATGCACGACTGCCTTCTTTGCACAGATGTGCAACCCCGAGTTGTCGCCCAGTGACACGGGCGTCGATCTTTCCCCACGCCAATGGCCCTATCAAGCCTTTTCCCCTCACGGCCTAGAGTCCATACTAGATCCGCCCCAAACCGCAGAGAGAACCATTGAATAATGACTCGGTACACTCGGTCAAACTCTGGCAGAGTGACCGATTCTGACGTTGACGGTGCGAGGCCACTTCATCGTCTCTCCCACTATCGATGTTCGAGCTTTGCATCCCCATGTTTCCCTGCCTCTGATGATAGGAGTACCAATTGCTGCTCGAAAGGACTCTCAGCGCCCTTGTGGAGGATGGGAGGTTGCTCAGTCTCTTACGCACGGAAGAATGGATCCTGGCCAACGGCCTCGATTCAAAGAGTGAGCGATCAAGAGCTTTGGCGAACATGGCGGACCTGAGCGCAGCGACGTTGGCGATGCAAAATCGTGGGCCTCCGGTCTTGACGGTCACGATCGTTATGATCTGTTTATCGACAGTGTTCGTGGCTTTACGCCTCGTATCAAGAGCTGGGATAGTGAAGAGAATAAGCAATGACGACTATGCGATTATATTGGCATGGGTGAGCGAGCAATGTGAGGGGTGCAACGCGCAAAGCTCACAAGCATGCAGATTATCGCCTTTGGCTTCTCCCTCTCCGTCTGCTACGGCACCAGCATTGGCCTTGGTCGGCACGAAGAGAACATTCCTGACCACAAACGTGAACCTTTGAGAAAGGCAGAATATGCATTTACGGTGCTCTACGTACGTTGCCGAGACCAAGAATGCCATTGTCCCAGCTCCACGTGCTCACGTGTTTGCAGAATCCCGCCCTCATGGCAACCAAGACATCAATCTGCCTCTTTTATTTGACGCTGTCGAAGAATCATAAGGTGTTCAAATATCTGACACTGGGTACATTCGCCGTCGTCAACATTGCTGGGGTCGCCCTGACATTCCTGAACATTTTCCAATGTCGACCCTTCGGCGACGCGTTCAAAGATCCGCCTCCACATGGCGCCCATTGCATTGATATCGTGGAACTGTACCTTTCTTCAGCGCCAGTCAACATTGTCACGGACCTCGCTCTACTGTTCCTGCCAATGCCAATCCTGACAGGCATGCGATTGCCACGAAATGAAAAATTAATCTTGATTATCACGTTCAGTTTTGGCGGCTTCGTTGCGGTAGTAGACGTGATTAGGATCGCATATCTAGAGTCAGCAGCTACTGCCAGATTAAGCAACAAGACTCAACCAGGGGGTTCAAATCAATACGGAGACTATTCATGGGTGGTCTCGCTTTCATTCATGTGGTCGGTCGTGGAGGTACATGTAGGGATGATATGTGCATCTGTGCCTGGTCTCAAGCCTCTGGCTGCCAAGTTTGCTCCCAGTCTACTCGGAAGGATCAAATCTTCACGGAACATGAATGGCAATCCTTTCTATGGACCGGGCGATGCTCAATGGGCCGACTTGGGAAGGGCAAGTCAAAATTCGAACACCATACCTGCCATTTCACGCCCACCTCTGTCTCCAGTACCGGCGAAGACTCCAACACTTCCTCAAAATGACATCGAGTCCCAAGATCGCGAGTCTGAGGATCAACATCCATCAATGAATATGCTGGACTTTTTGACCACACCTGATATGACCGGCGTCTCTCAACATCAAAATCGCTTCTCGGGCACCACTGAATTCTCGCCACCAATATCACCTACTGCCCCACGCGGACGCAGCAATAGCCTCCATAACATCTTTGATTTTGTCGACATGAAGAATCCCAAGTCAATGGTGAAAATGACAAACCGCGAGTCGCTCTTTCCCAACTCCCTGGTAACCATCCTCTTCTTCCTCTGGGGCTTCGCATATGGCCTCCTAGACGTTCTGAATTCCCAATTCCAAAAAGTCACGAACATCTCCTCCGGCTCCGGCCGTGCCATTGGTCTCCACTCCGCCTACTACGGTGCTTATCTCATCGCTCCCCTTACCTTCGGTGGGTATGTCTTCCGCCGTCATGGCTTCAAGAGCACCTTCATGGTAGGCCTTTGCGTCTACGGAGTCGGCACGCTCGTATTCTGGCCTTCCGCAGTCCTGGCCTCTTTCCCTGCCTTTTTCATCAGCAACTTCATCATCGGTCTCGGAGTCGCTACGCTCGAGACGGCCGGAAATCCCTTCATATCCCTCTGCGGCCCTCCAGAATATGCAGAAGTCCGTCTCAATATCTCCCAGGGCGTGCAAGCAATCGGATCCGTCCTCTCTCCCATCTTAGCAGAAAAAGTCCTCTTTAAGAACGTCAAAGATACGACATCGCTCGTGGAAGTCCAATGGACATACCTAGGCATCGCTCTCTTCGACGTAATCCTAGCGCTAATATTCTTTTACCTCCCCATCCCCGAAGCCTCTGATGCCGACCTGGACGCCATGGCCTGCAAACGCAGCGCAATCAATAATTCCCGCATCCTGTCCTCTCTCTTTCCCTCCCGCAACGGCGTCGCCATAACATCCCTCACACTAGCTCTAGGCTGCTTCTCCCAGTTCTGCTACGTCGGCGCCCAAGAAGCCACAGCCTCCTTCTTCCAAACCTTCGTCACGCGCGTCCGCCCCACATCCACCCTCTCACCCTTCGACTATCTCTCTGTCGCCCACGCCTGCTTCGCCTTCGGCCGCTTTCTCACCGCCTTCATGGGTATCTGGCTGAAACCCCGCCACCTGCTATTCCTTGGGTACGTTGGCGCCTTCACCGCCGCCGCATGCGCCATGTCCACATCCTCCTACACAGCCGTCGCTTGCCTCATCCTCGTCCTCTTCTTCGAGTCCGGCATCTTCTCTCTCATCTTCTCCATCTCCCTGCGCGGACTAGGCGGCAGGACAAAATGGGGCGCTATGTTCCTTGCGGCTTCTACTTCTGGCGGCGCACTCGTGCCGGGCGTCATGTCCCCCGTCCGCTCATCAAGAGGTGTACAATATGCTTTTGCCGTCGTGGTCGCGGTCTTCGCTTTCGGCACCACTTTCCCGCTCTACCTCGAAACCACTGGGCAGGCGAGACGGCAGGTCGATCCGGTACATAGGAGTAGGAGAAGCAATGTCCTCAGAGTTACTGACGAAGAGAAGGAGGAGAATGAGCAGAGACAACGCAGCGAGAGTAGGAAGAGGAAAAGGAGGAGAACGTTCGTGATAAATCGCCGAGGGAGCATTTTTCCGAGGGAGGAGGATGAGGAGAAGAGTGCGGGTAAGACGAAAGAGAAGGAAAAAGAGGAGGGCGCGAGTTTGAGTACCGCGGAAAGTCCGCAGGTCGCGAGTACGTTGGATATGAAGCTTGTGGAGGGTGATGTGATACATACAGGGAAAGGAAAGACGTGAATTCTGCATGTATGTGATGACTGACGACGGTTGGCTTTATTGCCTGCATAGCGAGCGTGTGCTTTAGCGTGGCGCTGAGGTTCGTTCCTGTAGGTTTCAGGCATTTGCATTAATATGGTTGTGTGTCTGGATCTTCAGAGCGTGCAGCTGAGACGGTGATTGCATATTACGAAAATCATGTGTAGGGGTTTGCATGTCGGAGGCTGGGTACATGAGGCATAGTGATTGAAATGAGGACAATGAGGGGGTAGAACCATATATATGTCACATACACTGCATAAACAATCGAAACACCAATCGAAAGAACAATCCATCTTCATGTTTTCTCGGCATTAAACAGGGTAGTTTTTGCGCCTCTTTCCAACTTTGCAAACAAACCTGTCGACAGCATTAATGTTTAAGTGACTCCAAGGAGCTTTCACCACTTGAAATAATTTCTTCCCGTGGGAAACCCGTTGCACAAGTCGATGTTCCACATCGAACGAGTGAATGCTCTTGCCGGGATCCAGTTCACCGAACTGATTACTGTATCCAAACGAGAAGACACCTTCTCTGCGAACCACCAAGAAGTCCTTCGCTGTGCAAAGGCTCATCATCAAAGGCTCATCATAACCTACTCGTAGTCTAAGGAACCTCCACGGGTCATAGGGGGAACCTTTTCCAAAAACTTGGGTGGTGCTATATAGGGCATATGTAGAAGGAAGAGGTGGTTACTGGCTGGATCGCAAGGACGCAAATTTTGAGAATGAGACAATCGAAGGCTGGTACGAGCATTTCTAGTATAATGAGGTCTCGACGATCTTCTGGTCGGTCCTGTCAGTTGGGGCTGCTGCTGCTGCCGCTGCAGAGGTCTAAGCATGGAAGTCACCAGCACTAGTGCAACAGACTTCGTGGCGTGACTATGTTAAGGCAAGATTAAACCTTGGTACATCACCACAACATGTGAGCAAAATTTGGCATAGAAGTAGGGATCTGTATTTCCAATTAAATTAGGCGAGGGTCATATGGTTTTGTGAGTCCTTTTTTAAACCCTACTTGAGTTGGAATTGAGGCAGTCTGATGGTTGAAAAGTCTTGGGTGTCGATTGTTGAACTAGCATTGAGCTGGTTGGAGGTATAAGCGGCCTCATTGGTGTCGCCGAACGAGGAGAAAAAAGAATGAATTGAGATGATGTGCTGTATGCGTATAGCAGGGGGGCCTTTAAATATGCATATGGAGCAGGGATAGCCAGTCCAACAGCCTTGTTATATCGCGAGAAGCCACAGTCTAAATCCGGGTTGAAGGAAGTTTGACTGTCTGGCGGATGGGGCTGACTGCTTGACGGCTCTCCAAGGTTTCGTGTAATTTAGAGGGTATTTCCCCATTGTCGATCAGCATGTGCTTTAGACCAGTTTTGAGGGACGTGAGATGCCGATCCTATCGGCCCTTGAATCCTTGGAATCCCTTTCGAATTGATGCCATGATTTTAAGACTCCCACTCTCTTCTCGTCCAAGCTTATGAATACGGCTCTTCAACATCTTTGCTACTTCTTTGTGTCCAGCTTCTTCCGCTGTCTCTAGCGGACTGAATTGGTGTTCGCCGCCTTCGAGCTCACTCAGAGAAAATCCATTGATGCATAATGAAAGAATTTGGTGCCGGCCCGTCATCGCCGCCATATGCAAAAAACTGAATCCGTTGCTCTTGACCGCGTGGATCGAAGCTCCCTGTTGAATCAGAATCTCGACGCACTTGAGATTTCCCACTTCCACCGCTCGTAACAAGGGCGTCATGCCCCATCCATCGATACGTTCCATACAGTCGTGCCCGTCATCGGCGTTCAAGAGGCGTTGCATGATTTCAGAGCTGCTATCGAGATCACCACATTCCGGGGCAGCGTGTAGAGGCGTCTCTCCCGATGAGAGCTTTCGAAGAATTGGGGTGAGCACAAGAGCTCCGTTCTCAAGCAGTATTCTTACCGCATCAGGGTGTCCATATCTGGTGGCATAGAAGAGTGCTGTGTCATAGCTATCCTTGGAAATGTTAATATCCGGATAGTATTTTAGAAGTCGGTCCAGAGCCTGCGTGAAGCCAATCCTTGCAGCTTTATGTAACGGAAGCTCTAGAATGCCGTGTCTCTCATGCCACACTTCAATTTGTTCTTTTGCTTTGCTCTCTAAGAGCCATTCAATTACTCTGATTTGAGAATAACTTATTGCTTCATGAAGAGCTGACAGTCCATTTGCATTGACTAGCAACGGGCTCATACCCTTGCTGAATAGCTTTTTGATCTCTTCGATGTCTCCAGATCTTGCAGCTTGTAACATCCGTGTCACGTCTTCCTCGAGCTTCTGAACTTCAACGTTGTTACTCCGTTTCATGATGTCTCTCGGTGTGTGTCGATCTGAATTCGGGAGTGAAATGGGCCAGCCAAGTTCCCAAAGCCGGATTATCCGCCTTCTATTGTTCTTTCTCGCCGCTCGGTGCAATGGTGTATCCGTATACTCTTGAATGTCTGGTCGCAGATTGTATGTCATTCGCCAGCTGTATACGGGATTATGCTGGTCTTTGAAAGGTGGTCGGAGGCATAGGTCGTCTTTTAGCTCAGGAATTTTGTCGTCCGAAGGCTTTAGAATGTCATACAGATCCATTTGGATTTCCCACGTGTATGGGCGGTCCTTGGGCTCTATAGCAAGCATTTCGGCAGCGATTCCCAAAATTTTGTCCAACTGCTGGCTTCGCCCATGATCTTTCAATCGCTTTAGCCAATCTTTGACCACAGCTGTGTTGTTATGAAAAGAAATGTCGGATTCTGCTGGAACCGACCTAGGGCTTCTTCGATCTTTGTTCGGGTTTGCCTTTCTCTCCTCCCTAAATTTGTTGACCATTTGTGGACGCCAGTGGTGAACGATCAGGATCGCCAATTCGATTATAATGCAGCCCAATGACCATATATCGAATGCCCTCCCGTGATTTATCTCGGCTCGTGAACCATCTTCATTCCAATATTCAGGTGGCTGGTACTCGTATGTCCCTAGCCCAGTAGTAGCTTCGGTGGCCGATCCTTCGATGAGTGGCCGAAGATGCGAGTGACCAAAGTCAGCAAGCTTCAGAATGCCATCGACCACTAGAACGTTGCGAGGTTTTAGATCATGATGCGCCGTAGCTTTACCATCAATATCCTTGTGTAGATAGGCGACACTGGAAACGAGCCCATATATAGAGCGATAAAGGTGTGCTGCAATTTCTCCATCATCTACGATGCTTTCTGGACTTTGAGATCTAGTCATCCAATCTGCCAGATCCATCTCCGCCAACGGAAAGAGCAGGTGTAAAGTCTTAACGTAGAGTCCAGATTCGGCGGTATCGGTCGTGTATGACGCAAGTAAAGGAATAATGTTGGGATGATTTCTCCGCTTTTGAAGCGTCTGGACCTCGCGAAAGAGGCGTTCCCAATCAGCCTGAGTGGCGTCACTTGATGGTCGGATATATTTCTCAGCAACAATAGTCTAAGATTATGAGCACTTTTTGCGTAAAGCTGCCAAAGACAATCTTACATCGTGGCTATAATTTCGGTGATGTTGGCCGGCGATCTTCACCTGAAATAGCAGACCATACGATCCCCATAGGTTGAGACTCTTTCGCTCGAGAAATGGCAGTACAACGCCCCTTGGAATATCGATAGAGACACGATCTGCCAATATTGCTCCAACCCAGCGGCGGCAATCACTCATTTTCTCTTTCTGTTCGCTGTTCAGCCCTGCATCATGGCAGAGGCGCTCGAAATGCGGGTTGTCAAATAGCCATGCGTCATTTGGGTGGCTTGCGAGGACCCTCTTGGTTAAGAATTCGAGATTGGCAAAGACAATGATGACAAAGATGAAAATCCTTCCCCGTTGGATTTGTAGGACTAGATCAGACCTCTGAGGGCATGGATGACCATGCTCTTCGCATAATGGATGGGCTTTGCTCCACTCATGTATTCGAGCTTGAGTCACGATCTGTCTAGCATTCTTGTAAGATATAAAATTGTCACCTTGGTGATTCTTTTGGGCAGAAAATGCCCCCTTGAGCTCCTCAAGAAGTGACATTCTTAGGCTGAAATGTTGTGTTCGACAGCTTACTGAGAGATTTTAAAGTTTTTAAAGACTGAGTGGAAGAATTTTAAGATGGTAAGTCGAGGCAGAGGATTCAAAACGTCTCGTCGTTTATAGTATGCTTTGTCACGGGAGATGAGCAAGAGATAACATGTGTGGCTTCACTCTGCTTCATCCCCATTTGACAACTTTGTAAGCCGGTTTCATGTGGGGAAAATTCGATTTCCTCCAGTCCCATAGCATCACGATGCCTCGATATATGAGCATGAGGATAGATCAGGCTGAGGTGAATGATATCAGCCCTATCGGAGGGAAAAATTTGCTTCCGTCTGTCTGCAGTGGGTTTCTACTACCAGCGTGTCCAGCGAGTCAACTCCCCAAGTCCCCTATCCTCTGAGCACCATACATACTAAGATGTTCTCATCCCCTAGAGCGGGTCTTATTGCATTCCGATCTGCTGAAATAGTATACAGAAACTTCACTAGAATTGCGTGATCATGCCATATGGCTAGACTCCTCCAATTCTGACATATCAAAAGTAAGTTGCTTCTCCCGGTATGGCAAGACAAAAGCGACAATGCTTTCAAAGTGCAAGAGAATCTGATGACACGCAATGGTTTGTATAATGTTAGAAGAGCTCCCCCCTCGTCTATCATTTTGCGTCCTCATGCTTTGGTTACTTTACTCTCATCCACGTGGTAGGTTTCTTGGGTGTCAAGGTCGAGTATCTTTCAGTGGTATGAGATTGATGAACCTCCATATATCATGATGATCGCTTACGACATATCGTGTCCCACTGCTATGAAGACTCCGAACTTGTCCACGCCGCCACCTACCTGCAGGGATATGGTAGATCAGCATAGGAAATCAGATTCTCTCAGGCTCAAGATTGAATACCACTGCGGTAATACTGCACTTGATCCCCTTCCACGTACATTATCTGGCTATCGTAGGCTCGAAGGAGGATATGGAGGGTCAGACCTATTGCGGAGGCTGAGTCTAATCTCGAGCTGCCTTTGTGCTAACGCCAAGCTACTGTCTGACTGAAGTGCTATGAGATGTGAAGTAGGAGCGAAATGAAGCCCATGCCCGTAGGCAGCAGTCTAGATAGAGTGAGGCAAGTCTTGAAGGCGGGGTGCTTCACCGACACCTTGCATTGCATTCACCAATCGGCTTTAACGGGCGTCATTGACAGGCGAATGTCAGGTTTATGAAGGGGGTGAAGTCGACGAATCTATTCGTAGAGTCGTCCTTTGGGCCCTTCTTGGGACGACTCTAATCCTGGTATCCATCAAGATGTTCCGCTAGTCACGAGTAGGGCATAGAGATTAGAATAAGAGTACTAGGTACTGTGCATACTCATTCCTGGAGCCGGCTTGGCAGCACGTTTGTGGGGCTGGGTTCATTGCCTCGCTGATCAACCTTCAGATGTCGTGAGGAAGGAAGGGGCAGTCATTGTCTTGAAACCGTTACGTATAGTCTCCAATTCATTGCTATGAGGTGCTTGGTACTCTCTCCATATCATGTGCGAACCGCTCTCCGCTGTAGCCTCCGTCTTTACCATTGCAGGAAGTGCTACAGAGTCTATCAAAGTTCTGTTGACATTCTTTCGTCAATTCCGCAATGCACCTGCTCAAATTCAACAATGGCTCGCAACACTTGAGTCTTTATGTTCGACATTGTCCAGTTTGCAGTATTCTGGCCAGAACTTGGACCTCAGATACCGACCTTCGTCGCATTTCCAGCAGAGGCTTCTCAGCTGTGTACTTCAGTTGCGAGTCTGTTCCCGAGAGCTTAGCAGGTTTGACGCAGAGTTGGAAAAGATAAGCTGTGATGGAAAGGAAAAGTGGGACCAGAAAGCCAGAAGATCGTGGGTAAGGGCGAAGTGGGCCATGATCGGAGACCATAAAATGAGAAAGGCCATGAAAATAATGGACCTGTATCATTTTGAGTTTGTGATGGAATTGTTAAAGGTCCTTGTGTACACATTGGAACCTTCTTTCTTGTTATGTTGGCCGAATACTGAAGTCATTGATAGGACTACTGAGCGAATACTCCCGCCAGCCGCTAAGATATCCGTCGAATCCAGGTTTGGACCTTCGCACCAAGTGACAGGACTAGGTGATCGTCTTCGTCTTGCCCCTCAAAGATTGCTTAGATCGGCCTCAAATCCAAGCTTGCCGCAAAGCACGGTAGTTGTGCCGGTGGCAGATCATCGCCGTACATTCTCAACGGCGATGGTGGAACATAGTTTTCCCAAGATAGAACTATCACCTACTATCCCCAGCTTGTGGTCTCATCAGATGGTCAAGCCGGCTGTTTTCTTGTGTTGGCACATTTGGGGCTTCAGATTCATGGCTCGAGCAGGCCCGGCGATAAGTCAGCGATCTGATGATACACGAAAGGCTCAGTCCGGGAGGTACCAGCAGGTAGGCTTCGGTTTGTTCTTCAGCGTTTACCTACCACGTGGCTTCCGGCAAAGGCTCGGTCTGACCTTGTGTAATTTCCAAGTAATGATGAATAGACGTCTGGGCAATACTTTGCAGTGGAATCTCGGCTTCCCGACGACTGTGCCTTCGAATGCTGAAATCTTCAAGAGCGCGAGGACTAACTCGACGGAGGACGTCAGACGCTTGCTGAGCGCTGGTAAGGCAAGTCCGCAAGATACAACAATTTTTGGTACAACATTGCTGCATTCAGCATCCAGATCGGGTAATTTAGAGCTTGTCCGCCTGCTCATCCGAGAAGGAGCCGACGTGAACGCTCAAGATGAGGATGGCGAGTCGCCGCTTCATGGCGCTATGGGAAGAGCTGACAACTATGATGTGGCGAGGACCTTGGTTGAGAATGGCGCAGATCTGTTGTGCAAAGCCGTTGATGGGAAAACACCATTTCACAACATTTTCAACAATACAATAAGTTTGATGTTGGTGAAGGACGATTGGCTTGAAAACATGCCGCCAGACTCCGAAGCCATGTCTATGACCCATTACTTAGCATGGAGCAGTCAAAGTACACTTAAGATCTTTCAACGGGGCCACTCTTATGATGACGTCCACCTCATGTCCCCTGACAGCTGTGGTAGGACCTGCCTGCATTTGGCTGCATCGCGAGGCAACCTAGAAGTGCTGTCCTACCTTGTAAGCCAAGCCTCATCAGAAGATGTGGAAAAGAAAGATGTCAGCGGAAGGACGCCACTTCACTACGCTGCTGAAAGCAGTAGGGCCGGAGAAGTCATCGACACGCTGATGAGAAAAGGTTGCAATATACACGCCAAGGATAACGCAGGGCAGAATGGTCTGCATTGGGCAGCGCGAAGGAACAATCTCAAAGCAGCTGAGAAGCTAATAACGCTCGATGGTTGGAGAGATCTGCTTTCAAATGACATGAGTGGGCGAACGCCTTCCCAGGAAGTTAGCATGAGAATATCACCGGCGCTCTACAGTCTTCTAAGAGAACTAGAAACCTCCGATGGACGGTGGACGGAGCGGTCCAGCTCCGAGGAAACCCGGCCTGGTTGCGTAAGCTCTAGTGCTGATGACGGATTTTCGCCTGGGCTAGAGATCTTTGGCATCTTGGCAATGATCTTCATCATGCTTCTTGGGGCTCCTGACTGAAAAATCCAAGATGTTCTCTCCGATAGTTCGGGGATCCTCGGGGCGAGACTACGCCATGGCAGAAAACATCAATTTGATGTAGTGTGCGTGTTTATTGCAAGCTCCTCGGGGGAGAAGGTATCCGAAATGCTCGATGGTGCTCACTTGGTAGGGGGCGTAGATGTTATAATTTCATCTTCAGACAAGATGCAGAGGCTTCGTCTGAAGGGGCCGTTGGGGTGATCTTCTGGAATTTCTGAAGACGAGGCGGCTTGGTGCTGTTGTTGCTGTACGGTTCGAGTCCGAAATAGAGTCAATCATCAATTATTTGTCCCTCCTTTTCAAGGATTCAATGCATGCCGTAGTCAGATGGTCATAATTCCCAACTTCTCATGCCTCCCGCCTTCCGAATCTTGTAGAGTTCTGCGGTTGCTTCATCTCGTTGCTTCTTGATCTTGTACAATTCTGCTTCCAACCTTTCGATCTTCTCCTCGGCTTCCTTTCGGTATCCCCGAGCTCTGTCCAATTCTTTCTTCGTGGGCTCGTAAACGTGATGCGCCATCTCCGCTATCTTTCTCCACTTGTCTGCATCCTTCTCAGCCGCCTTAGCTTTCTCGATAGCACTATTAGTCTCCTGCATCTGGCGCTGTAATTTGGCGTAGATGCTAAGGAAGGCGTTACTGCATTTCTCTGCTTCGGCTTCGGCCTCGGCATCGGTAGCCGGAGTCGGAGGGTCGTTTGACAAGTCGTACGAGCTTGGTGTAGATCCCAAAGGAGACTTTGGGGTCGACTCTGCTATCTCTCTGCAGAAATCATTGAGCGATGACATTGCTGTGATCTGATGTTCACTGAACGATGAAAGGTAGGGTCATGAAATTTTCAGCTCTCTTTTGCAGATAAAACCGGTTCATGCAAGGGCCTCGTCGAATGTGACAGGTCATGCAGCCTCGTGCATGAGCTGTCGATTAGACTGCAGCGCATATCTTACACCAAAAGTCCGATAGCAGGGGAGAGTTGGGAGCGATTCTAGACTCTCTGATATTATCTCGGCAGTATACCAAGGGCGTTCACTTTGGTATTCCAGGGCAAATCAACCTGCTCAGATTGCACCGCCTTCACTTGTATAGAGCTTCTACCCAGCGGATTCCATGAGCTCCTGTGAGTCTGGTACTTAAGATGTCGTTTCCTTGAAGCGCGTGGATGATATATGCGATCGCATTAGGAAGTCTCGGCAGGGCCAGAAAAGAGCCCGGAAGCAATCGTCCGACTTGTCTTCCGAATTTGGGAACGGGCGATTTCTTGCGTCCTTATGTGATAATGCTCTTGCCCCACGTATATAATGATTCATTATCAGGACTTCATCCTGTCGCTTGTCTCACTACCTCTGGCAAAGGTTTGCACTAGTCCCGCCACGCTTTGGTAGGATCGCCCCACCGGCGCTTGCTTACTCGAGCTCGTGACGCCGGCTCTCTACGTCTTCCAACCCTTTATCGAGTCAAGGCCGCTTTGACCTCGACCATTTTTACCTTGCCTGTTTTAGGCATCCCATGAGCTTCTTGTACAGGGATTCCATAATCTGACCCTCACCGACAGTCTGATATATTCAGATCCTATTCCGTATCTCCGACGTCCGACTTATTGTTCTTGCAGCTCACGAGTCTAAATATTGCATCCTTGGATCTTTGCTGACCTGGACCCTCTTCTCTGGATCAATACTGACCTTCTCTTCGCCTGGAGCCATTGCCCAGGGTTGGCGCTATTGTGCATCACCGGATATTTAGTCCGCTCCCGAAAGTAACGCATTCGGCCAGAAGCTTCGTGGTCTCTGCTCATGGCAGAAGCAGCTTGTTTCCAGGTCTGCGCTACGTTGTGGACCTGTTAACCTGGATGTGTATATATTCGGCTTCCAGAAGCCTTTTCCGGTTACTCTTCGTCGTATAGAAGAAAGATAGAGAACGAGTCTCGGCTTCTTCGAGCTAGACGCGCCGATCGCCAGCACGTGCTGTGTCCATTCGACTTGACCCTTGCTATCTTCGACCTGAGTCGCCGTGTCTTATGCCCTCTTCCAGAAATGCAGCATTCATACGCTTGCCTCGTCGCGTCTCGTCTATAGTGCATCTGACTTCGCCGCGTGCTACCCAACCCTGATTCGGACCCTCTCATGGCCTTCGTTGTACCGTCGAAGGCAACGTCTGGTTGGGAAGCTTCAGCCCATTATTGTTGGCTTGATTCTTCACCATTGGCAGACCTCTTTTTATTCTTGACTGCTAGCGTTGCCGGTCTCATATGTAGTCCCAGAATTTCCAAGTGCTTGTCTGACTTTCAAGGTCTGCATCCTCAGCTTCGAGATGAGGGAGAATCTGCCGAAGCTCATCTGAAGACTCATGTGGGGTATTGATCATATGTTGATGCGTGGAGGCTTTCAATTTACAACAGGCGCCCATTTCTAGTGAATGACTGGTCCGGTTGGTGAGGAGGAGCAAGTGGAAGAGCGTAGTTCTACTGACGATTTTCCCGTAAGAAAGGGACGACCAAGCAGCATGCCACTCTGGCAAGGACCTGGAACAGTCAGTGGAATAATCGAAGACCCGAATGCTGGTGACGTACGTCAGCTGTAGTGCTAAAGATTGCACACTCTTCTGGTAAACAACACGACATAGATTGGGGCCGCACTAAACGCCATCGCGAGGGATAATTAATCACGTGCCAGTATATTACATCCTACCTTTTACTACTCGGGGCTTTTTTTAATAATGCATATTTAAGAAAGGCTCGAGATGGTATCTTAGGTGTTCAACTGGGTTGAAAATTCATCAGTCTTATGTTTTGGATATGATGAATAAGTTATAAAAATCTGCGATTGTTCTATGCATATCTGAGGAATACATCTTGATATCGGAAAAAGATCTTCAGCGTGCAGATTTATCGGAAATATGCATTATTAAAAAAGCCTCGAGTACACCATTTGTTGCTCTTTCACCCCCCACGGTAATCTGACCTTGCTCACCAGTCAGCAGGAACTCGCTAGAGATCCGAAAATGCTATCAGAGCAGCTCAGGACCCTTCTACCAGTATCCGAGGGATCTCCAAAGCTTTGTCACCCACCACTACAATCCAATGTACGATCCAATGGCTCTGGAAAGAACTCCCCGGGCCAACCTTTCCCGGTTGGTTTCTTCACTGCAACAACCCCGAACAGCCGAACGTCACCCCTCAACCTCATAAGACTACAACGATTCAAACAAAACAAACCCTCTTACCTCACAATTGACTCGTCATGTCCGACTTGAAGCCTGAGAATAGCGCCCAACTTTCCCACAACCTCCCCAGCCTCAACCAGCACTGGACCGGCCACAACAGCGACGGCAAAGCCATCCTCGCTCGCTCAGAGCCAGCACAATGGCAACATCTCGGGAAAGACACAATGTCCTTCAGCGTGGTCTACACAACCGATCGCTTCCCTCCTGACTTGAATAACGACGCCGACATCACCGCCCACCAACAACTAATGACAGCAGGCGGACCGGGCTTAGTCCGTAAAGGTGGCTCAGTCTGCCGCATTGTGGACTTCGGCCCAGGGGCACCGCCATTGATGCATAGAACGCAGAGCTTGGACTATGGGGTCGTGCTGGAGGGGGAGTTCGAGATGATTTTGGATGAGGGGGAGCCGACGACCATGAAGAGGGGGATGTGGCGGTACAGAGGGGCACAAACCATGCGTGGAAGAACAAGAGCGAGACAGATTGGGCGAGGATGTTGTTTGTGCTGCAGGATTGCGAGCCGATTATCGTGGAGGGGAAGGCGATGGGGGAGGAGTTGAGCAATGCACATGAGGAGGCGGACAAACTGATGGCAAAATGAGCGCAACGAGGTCTGACATGGGTGGTGAAAATTGAGTATCAGATGATTCTGCAGGCTTGTATGCTGCATCTTTGTGACAGTGGGTGGCAGAGGAACAACGGCGTAGGGCTATATATAGTCCTCATCATACATTTCGACGACAGAACTTCAACACAGTAACATCATGTCAGGCAATGGGGCACATGGAACTATACCGATTTGCCCAGCCATAAGCTCATAGGCATGCCCATTTTCGACTTTTGAAGTCTTTAATATTTTCATGTTTGGTGTAGTACTGGGCGGTTCTAGGGACATGGGATTTGACCTCAGGTTTCCACTTGATCAAGTATCACGGTCCCTTTGCGTTCAAGAGACAATGACATGGTCAGTTTACTGACAAGAGCAATTCCAGATCAGTAATATACGCGATTTGACGTATTCTGCTCCTTTTACTGGATCAAGTAGAGCTACTCGAGTGCGAGCCTCAAAGATATATTTGATGAGATGAACCTCGTTATGATTGGATGGATCCTCGGATTGGGTTGGGTTGTTTGGGTTCTAGTTTTGACGCGAAAAGCCTCAAAATTACCAATTAGGAAATCACCTCGGTTCTCCGCAATCATTTCTCCGAACCTCCACCAGGCTCTGCTCGTACATTAATACCCTCAATCAAGGATGTGAGCAAATCGCTGAGCCCCGGGCATCTTGTCCATTACCTCAAGCAATCCTCCTCGAACTCGAAGCTCCTCAACCATGGCGTCGCCCTCCTCCCCGCCAGTCTACGTCCTCGGCGTCGGCCTCACCAAATTCATCAAACCACGCAACAAAGGTACTACTCCCCTCCCCTCCCCTCCACCATCCCCACTCAATCTTACAATCTCACTCACTTCACAGTCGACTATCCCCTCCTCGCCCTCGAAGCCTCCACAAAAGCTCTCCTCGACGCCCACCTAAATTACGACACCATCACCGCGGCCATAGCATCCTACTGCTACGGCGACAGCGCGTGCGGTCAGCGCTGCCTCTACCAACTCGGCATGACCGGCATACCCATCTACAACGTAAACAACAACTGCGCCTCCGGCTCCTCTGCCCTCCATCTCGCCCGCACCCTCCTATCCTCCCCTGCGCTCCAACACTCTTGCATCCTAGTCCTCGGCTTCGAGAAAATGGCGCCCGGGAGCCTCAGTAGCGTGTGGAAAGACCGCGCCAACCCCATCGAGAAGATCGGGCTGAAAATGGCGGAGACGAGGGGTTATGATGGCGGAGTGCCTGGCTCGGCGCAGATGTTCGGTAATGCGGGGAGGGAGTATATGGAAAAGTACGGGGCGACGAGGGAGGATTTCGCGGAGATTGCGAGGGTCAATCATTTGCATTCGAAGCAGAATCCGTATAGTCAGTTCAGGGATGTTTATACGTTGGAGGAGATATTGGGGAGTCAGGAATTGTTTGAGCCGTTGACGAAGTTGCAGGCCTGTCCGACGAGCGATGGGGCTGCGGCTGCGGTGCTTTGCTCGGAGGCGTTTTTGGAGGAGTTGGTCAGGAAAGAGGGGGAAGGGGTGAGGGAAAGGGCGGTGCAGATTGCGGGGATGAGTATGGCGACGGATAGCCCGGCTGCGTTTGGGGGAAGTGCGATGGAGTTGGTGGGGTATGATATGAGTAGGCGGGCGGCGGAGGCTGCGTTGAAAGAAGCTGGAGTAAAAGCGATGCATCCGAAGGTGGTGGAGCTACATGATTGCTTTTCGGCGAATGAGATGGTGACGTTGGAGGCGCTGGGGCTTTGTAAGAGGGGAAAGGCGCATGAGATGGTTAGGAATGGTGATATTACATTTGGGGGAAGGGTGGTGGTGAATCCAAGTGGGGGGTTGATCAGTAAGGGCCATCCGCTTGGTGCGACGGGGATTGCGCAGTGCGCGGAGCTGGTTTGGCAGTTGAGAGGGTGGGCGAACAATAGATTGGTGGAGGGAGCAGAGGTTGCGCTGCAGCACAATCTAGGATTGGGAGGGGTGGCTGTTGTCACTGTCTATAAGAGGGCCGACGGAGGGGTTTCGAAGCATGTAGTTGATGAGGAGGTGGGCAAGGCGAGTGGGGTTGGGTATAATCCTGCGGTCGTGGCGAAAGGGTTCACGAAAGAGCAGGTAAAGCAGGTCAGAAGTAGAAAAGCTCCGTCGGAGTGGGCAATGGGTGATGCGATGGAGAAAGCCGCGAGCAGGCTTTGATATGTGATACGATCTCGACGCTTTATGTACGATTCTGGAAATTGTGATAACGACTCGTAATGTCCGGGACGCAAATATCTTATGATTATGGGGCAAACTCGTACATAAGAGACCACTATTTCAGACTGGAAAGAGTCAACGGCCATGCCGTATCTCTCTTCCGAGCGCAGAGCAGTGGGCATCCTCCTTACATGAGAATAAGCAGACTGAGGAGCAAGACTCATGTAAATAATACAGGGCTCTTAACAGGGAAACCTCTCAGAAAGATCACCTCAACGTCTTCATTTGCCGGTTGACAGCGGATCCTGATGATATCCTTGCACCACAATCGAGCTTGCTAATGAATATCACAAGTAGGTCAGAGCATTGCGTACCTCAAATCTTCGATATTCAGTCTCTGTGGAGAAGCTCTGTTAGAATTAGCTTACTATTGCGAGGGGTCTTCGTCGTATCAAGTTGCTCGGACGGTGTGCTTGGACGGCGTGCTCAAATGTCTAGTTTTCGAAGTACCTAGAGACATTCGTAACTAGGGGTCATATCTGCGTCCGCTTCTGTTGGTCTTCTGCAGGAAGCCTTATATCACTGCTTGTGTCGAATGATTTATATAGCCCTCACTGCTTGCCTCATGCACTGATAGATCTTACAATGCATCTACTCAGGCCTTCCAGGAACTCTAGTCGAGAAAGATTCGAGGCCTACATATGGCTGATGAGCTGCCGAAGAAATATTTGAAGTGGTCTTTGGTTCCTGACCTGACTTTCAGCAACTAAAAGCCCATATATGCTGAGGTGTTGGGCTGTTTAGCAAACATCCTCCAACTCTTGACCGAGTCAAGTGGATTCCTTTCTGATTCAGCAGCGGTTGAACACTCGAAATGAGCGTAAGGCGACAAATTATGCTCTTACCATTTTTTCAAGGACGCTCAAATTGTATGGACCCTAGCTCGCTATTCTGATGTCCAGACCAAATTCTATGAGAGCATTGGGAAGGCGTTGTAAAGAAGCAAACCGTAACAGCCTCAAAGGTCATCATTTGCCTCGCAAAGATGTCTGAGGCCCTCAAGTCATAAAAGATGAGATGTGAGTATGCCGTCTGGGTTGAAGAACACTCGTTATTCATAGCAGCTATACTGTAAATCCTTTTGATGTCGAGCTACCTCACACCTTTTGTTCATGAAATGCCAATCGGTCGAAGTGCCGTGACATTCAAATTCCCCCAACGGTCCCAACAATGCCATTAGTAGAGGCATTCGTTTCTGGCGGAAATAAAGCTATGTCCATTGCACAACCTGTCGCAAACATGAATATTCCGAGGTTTCTCTTCTCTCCATTGACAATGAATCCCGGTTGCATCGTTCCTTCAGACATAGCGGCATCCATCAGAGCCCGAATGCAGGTATTGACAGTGGCATAGCTCGCTCTTTCGTTTGCAGTAAAAATCAATGGCTTTGGTTGCAAATCGTTCAGAAGTGTGCCATCGAGGTGATAAAAATCGAGAAAGGGGGAGCGAATTTCCCAGGCGAGTGTACAGCTTCCTGATCAACTATCATCAGTATGTTGCGTCGTTGACGTCGACGTTCATATACTGAAGGGATATCGGTGTAGAAAACCTCACCATATGTCCACCTTTCGGGCGTGTGGCGGTTAAGCAGGGTGCCAGAGCTATCTTCATCGTGAGAGAATCTTACCCTCTGACCCTGATATTCTTCGAGCTCCAGCTCTCTGAAAAGAAGAAAGGCCATTATACAATCGGCGTACTGCAGTGGATGGTCAGGCACGTTATAGGAAAGATCCTTCGTGTAATATGGTGTTCGAGTATACGACGCTTCACAACAGTCAGATCTTACAAGTCTTTCTTGTGGGCTGGGTTACGGCTTCCAGAAATATTCATCGAAGTGACAAATATTTCGAAGTGCAAGAGCATTAGTGCAAAAGTGCTGACATGCAAGCATAACATCATGACCGCGGTCGATCAGGTAAGGTCCAATCTTGAGCCTGCCTAGGATAATCTGAAGAGTCTTCAGATAAAAGAACTTGAGTCAGAAAATAAAAAGGTAAATAGCGTACGAGGAATATGTCATTGTGGATACTGGAATATTCGATATTTGAAGCGTGTGCTGTAGTGAGACTATGTGAAACAATATCCAACAAGTCTGGCTAGAATCTTTCCAGACACTACAAGAAAGGTTGTCTGCTGTCAAGGCAAGCGCGCCGAACGTCTCACTTTCTTTTAATGACTATACGCGACGCGGGATTATTTGATCGACCATCCCACGTTCAATTGGTGCAATATATATCAGGCCGGGACTTCAGATCTAGACGCTGGGCTAGATGAATTGTCAAAGAGGACAAGGATCTATCGTCGATGTGAATCTCCATCTGTTATTGTAATGGCAATTACGACTCTTCAAACTTCGGAACTACCATGCAATTTTCAGCAAACAAGACGTCTCATTGTGTGGTCCCGTGTCAGTGACCCAGCGCTTATCTGATGAACAGCCGAGAAGTCGAGTTGCAGTGTGGCCAACGGCTTGGTGGAATGCCAGCGGTTTGAGCAAATCAACTACTTGGTCTTGTGAATGCTTGGTCCATTTTGAAGGTCAAATTAAGTAGGAGCAATCCAATTTTCGCTGATGAATAGCCGAGAAGTCTAGCTGAAAGACTTCTAACTTTTCAAGTCTAAGTTCAATTGACTGAACTCAAGGCGAGATAACAAGACGTCAATACTATCTTCTTGATCAGCCTCCATCATGTTGCTCCTCAAAGGCCAATCCTCAGGAACTAGAGGTATTTGCCTGCTAGGACTAGCAGTTCGGGGAGACGCAGTCTTTTCACGTTGCACGACGCTATGAGCAGAAGCCGGAGAGGAGGTGGTCAATGTTTCGACATGGTGTTCACGAAGCATTCGAGCTTCATTCTTTCGAGCGTGCCCACAATATCGTTGCAACAGCGGCGGCAGGGTTGGCAAACAGGCGCAGACTATACCCATGTTGACTTCCACGAGAACGCAATAAGTACCGCGTGTAAACTTTTCTAGGACGTGTTATCAAAACGTGTTCATGCATCAATAAGACAACATGGGGCCCACCCGCGCTTTTGCTTGCAGATGACCAGATTTGTAAAACACTGGCCACACAGGTGCTGTACCGTAAGTGAGTCTGGTTCAGAAGCACTGGCAGGTCTAAATACCCTATTCCGATGAGGAAAACGAAACCCAATGCCACTTTGCGCCTCATAGATAACTTCAAACTCCAAAGTACGGGCAAGGGTAGGACAAGGATGACGACGTCCAGAATGGCATCTGTTGTAGTAATGCTTAGGTTAATGACTAGGAGAGATATACACTTGCGATTTGGTATTTCTGTATCCCAAGCTGCTGCGATAGGTGTGCATCTGAACGTTTGCAAACAGATGCTACTGATACACCATACAGTAACGGCAGCTTGTAAGATATAGACACTGACTTTGAAGCTCTTGCGAACACCGAAAATACGGAGATAGAACAGAAGGACGCAGGCCTTGGTTGTTGACACGGCTGGTAGGGCGAACAGCGATGCAACGATGCTCGGCTAGATGCAGGATCAGTATTCGAAAAACTATTCAACGCGGCCACTAACTTGTTTCATTATCACTATCAATCTAAGAGTGGCGTTGTCTCCTAGCTGCACCAGCGTCGTCTTCGAAGCTGGAAAAAAGACGTCAGTATTGAGCACAGTCAGCCAAGGTTTGATTCGACACCGACAAATTGTGGTCCCAATGGTGTATATATACGAGAACAGCTGCAATAAACCGATCAATCAATCGGCCAGCTGACGTGAATTTCACGGGGCGACTGTACCAGACTAACAACTATCATCCCGTCATCCCACCAAAAGCCAGCCTTCGAAATTCGCCTGGATGACAGTCGTAACGCCACTGTCATAGTCGACAGTATTATAAGACTGATTGAAATACCAGTAAGTACATCATGACCGCTATCTTGCCTGGCCATAAATCGGTCCCAAGAGTAGTTGTTTGATGAATTACGAAGAGTGCAGAAACAAGAAACCCAGGTTATGGGTGTACCTGCATATTTGGGTAAAATCACTGCTATACCAGGTAGGCGGCTGGATTATAAACATTGCGGAGTGACAGAAATGACGCGCGTATCCTGTATGACGAGTCCTGCAACGACGAAGCAAACCCACCTCCTCACACATTCCTCAGCGAGGCAAAAGCGAGAGTTCTCCGTGCCGTACGCGGGGACATGAACATGCAGATGCCAATCCACATCTTACTGCTCAGCAAATCTCACGCGAGCCGAGCTAGGTCGACAATGTTTGGAGCGACTGATAGATGCAGGTGTGAGGGATTTCCTTCTCGAGAATGCAGGCGCTGAAGGGCACGGCTGGATCCGCGCCGTAAGCCCACCAGAGCCTGCCGATAGACCTTTCCACCGTTCTCTATTGGCGCAAGTGAAGCTGAATCTATCAATTTTTAAAGATGTGTAATACCAGGACGAATTTGCAGACGATCAGACCATGCGGGTGTAGTTACCTCAAGAAAGCTGAGGTACCTACACAATAGCACGCCGACATGGAAAGGGCTTTTCATGTCCTTGTCGACACAAGGGTCAGCTCGACTTTGCTTGTCAGGATCACTGTTTAATGCGGGAACAGGAGGTAAAAGGGATTTTTGCGTATGATCGAGGGAGACTGCAAAGCCGGCTCTGGCATCTGGGTCTAGACCAGAAGAAGAATTCTCTCACTTTCCCGTGCAAACACATCTACAAACGTCCAACATCAGAACGATGGCAGTTTCAAAGCGACTTAGTGAATATGTCAACACGCTGCATCGTTACTATCTTATTCTAATACCAAGTACGAAGTATTGAGCCAAAATTGGAAACGAGCGCTGAGGAATTGAGCATACCTGGTTGATCAATAACTTGACTATGACAAGCACCGCTGCTACTGAAGTGGAACAGGAACTGTGGCATCAGCTCTTCCACACAGCTCAACCACATGGTCAAGTACAAGACTCAAGCAAGACGATGAATAGACGTTAGCAGCAACGACCACCTCCCTTCTTGCCTACGAACCTCATGCCTTCAACTCCGGCGTATCCGCATACAACGTCCCCATCATCCCCTCAGGATACCGAACCCCATGCACCTCCGCCCCTTCCACCGCCTTCCTGATCTCCCCTCCCTCCTCCTTGCTCAACACCACTTTGATCGCCCTCACATTCTCCTCCAAATACTTCAACTTCTTCGTCCCCGGAATCGGCACCACGTCCTTCCCCTGACTCATCAACCACGCCAGACTCAGCTGTCCGGGCGTAACACCCTTCTTAGTCGCCAACTCCGCAATCTTCCCCGCCAGCTCCAGATTCTTCGGGAAATTCTCCTTCGAGAAGCGCGGAGCGTGCTTGCGGAAATCGCCCTCTTCGAAGTCGTCAGGGGATTTGTAGGCACCTGTGAGCATGCCCCGGCCGAGGGGCGAATAGGCAATGACGCTGACGCCAAGTTCGCGGCAGGTGCGGAGTAGGTTTACTTCGTCAGATTCGATGGAAATTTCGAAGGGAGAGTACTCGGTTTGGATGGCTGTGATGGGGTGGACAGCGTGGGCCCGGCGGAGAGAGCGGGCGGAGCATTCGGAAAGGCCGAGGTATTTGATCTTGCCCTCGCTGATGGTAGGTTGTGTCAGTGTACTAGATGGTCAAGGACTAGGTACGTTGCTTACTTTTTCAGCTCTACCATCGCTTTGACGGTCTCTTCGACGGGTGTCTCCTGGTCGAGGCGGTGGCAGTAGTACAGGTCGATGCAGTCGATACCTAAGCGCTTGAGGCTCTTGTTGCATGCTTGCTTTACGTATTCGGGGTCACCGCGTGTGCCACGGCCTCCGTCGCTCATTACGATGCCGAATTTTGTCGCGATGAAGATCTCGTTTCTTTTGCCGGTACGTTTGAACCATTTCCCGACGAGGTCCTCGCTGTCAGCATATCTGTTGGCTTCGTTAGTCCTCATCTGCTCTCCAATCTACTTGTTGTTGACAGAAAGCTGTCGTCTTCCCTCCTGTGAAGTATGCAGTCACGGACGACAGATCCAAATGATATCCGTAAATGCGAATATACTACGCAACACACGAGGGCAGATGCCTTATTTCACGGAAAGGTTAGGACTTACATATCAGAAGAATCCCAATTATTCTCTCCCATCTCATATGCAGCATCTAGTAATTTGAAGCGCTCTTCATCACTACCAACAGCACCATAGAAAGCAGAGAGACCCATGAGCCCGAAACCAGGTGCTGTGACTTCAGGTCCATCCTTACCGAGTTGACGAGTCGGGAGTTTTGCTGTCATCGTGCCTGTATTTTCTTCTTCTACTTCAATATGGAAGTCTCCAAATGAATATTGCGAAAATGGAGGTATTTGTAAGAATATTTGCTCCTTCCCAAACTCCGTCTCCACGCCGACGTCATCATTTCACCGGCGGCTTCGGACTTAAGGGCGAGATGGAGGGGGCAAAGATCCATCGCTTCAAATTCTTTGCGTTGAAAATGGTCCCGAATAGGTCATTCAGGACTGCTAGATGTCACTTTGGATTAATAAAGGCATATTTTCACGGAAACTTGGTCCGCAAGCCCGTAAGCAGCTCATCTGCGTGTCAGCAAATCTCTTAGGCCGAAATTAAGGCCTCTCGCCTCTGAGTTAGCCCAAGCTTTCCATAAGACGCTGAAATGGCTGCCTCTTAAAGAAGATCATATTCCACCAATCTATCAGGTCGTAGAACTAGAAGATGATTCAATTAACGCTCACAGACGTATAAAACCATATCACATTCATGAACCACTCTTCCCGTTATCAGCACAAGAAAAACTGCCATTTGCACTCGTAGAGTCTTCGTGTATAGCTTTGCCGGACGCGTAGAGACCTAATCCGCACTGCAAGCGATGTTTATCAGCCTCGAGCCTCAATATTTCATGAAAGCATGGGGGAAAGAAGAGTTTAGCGTACAATAGCAGCCCCCATAAAGAAGATCAAAATATTCACCACCGTCAAGAAAATCTTCCTCGGCCCCTTGGTATACTTTCCCTTATTCATATACAGCCAGAACACCCCACTCAGTCCATACGTGAACCAACTCGCGAAAAGCGCGCTGATCCAACCAAGGAGATCATTGAATACGGGAATAGCCTCTGCGATGATCCATGCCAAGATCCACAGAATCAACACAATAAAAAACCAATATCCGTAGCTCGCCCAAGTTGTCTTGCTCATTTTGTCCGTCCCACGGAACAAACGGACGTACACGTATTTGGCGGCGACGTGGCCGTTGATCACGCCTGAAATAACGATCGTGGGGATGGCTATACCGTAGGCCACTTTCTGCAAAAGTGGTGTTGTGGAGCCAAGCGCGGGGCTTGTGACATTGGTGCCGGCATAGCGGTAGATCACCACAGCGACAGTGATGTACATGCTTGTGTCAATGCCTTGAAGCAGGAGAAGGGCTTTTGGGTAGGTACGCGGGTCCTTGAGTTCGGAGATGAAGGAGAAGAACGTGGCATGACCTGTGCAAAGCCTTAGCGATGGTTCGAGGAGGGGCGTCGCTGGGGGGGCAATGGAATAGAAGGGACTGGCTTACCAGCGTAGGCGAAGCTGATGTTCGTCACCGCCAGGAAAGCTTTCGGGAAGGTCTTATGTACTGTTGCCTGCACGTGAGCGTCAGGCTTCTCAATGCCGACACCGACTATGGCTATGATGACGGCAGCAAGAATCGAGATCCAGGATACGATAGACAAGTAGCTGACTTTCAGAAGAGTTCGAGGGAGACAGCAGATCAAAGATACGAGGAGACCAATGAACCCGAAGACGATGCTGCAAGTTCCATGGTTGGAAAGCACGTTCAACATGATGCTGAAGGTCAGGACGTGCGAGCCCATCACGAAGACGAGAAACAGCATCTGCGCTGCACCAAAGATCTCGCGGCCTACAGGACCAAGCAGGATCTCGCCTGCGTCTGCCATATTGTGAACATGCGGATAGGTAAGCTTGAATTGCCCGAGGACGTAGCCGGTGTATGTTGCGACGATACCGAGGCCAGCGATCAGAATCACTCCTCTGATGCGACCGTTAGCAATGAGTTTCGAAGAGTTTTGACTATACGAGGGGTACCGTACGGTACGATGCCCAACGCTGCCAATACGCTCGGTAGACTGAGTATCCCCAAGCTTATTGTTTCCGCGACCATAATCATACCCGCCTGCCACCATGCCATTGTTTTGTATTTGACTTCGGACTTAGACTCATCGCCAAATGGATCCTCCTTGCTCTTGTAGCCTTTGTTTTGACGTGACCCCTTCTCTGTGTCCTGCTCGACATCTTCTGGTAAACAAGTCTCCTCTTTTCTCACTCGGACATCGTCCGCCATGGGTGTCGAGCGTATAAGCCTGGTACGACGTATACCGAACGCGAAGAGTAGCTGGCAAGAAGGGGAAGGTATCGACGTAGGAAAGTTCTAGGACGGCGGCTTGGTCGTGTGAGTCACTAGTCTCATGGAACTCGAGGTGGACTTCAGCTGTCTTGTCGACTGGAGATGTGAGCGAGCATTTGGTGATTGAAAACAAAGGCGAAGTCGAAACGCAAGCCTGTAGCTGACCAGCTAAGAGTGAGATTGGTGCTGTCTGATTCATCGTTATTTGAAGGATCAAGCGGATTGAATTGGCTAGCACGGCATTGCTTGCGTGCTTCCATGGCTCGTTATGTGGGGCAAGCTTGACGCCTCTGCCTTATTGATGGAAAGTATCCATCGCTGCAATTCCGTCGTCCCACCTGCTAATGGGGACTGATAGCGGAGATAGAGCTGCAACCCTGTGGGTTCCAGCTCCTAAATGCCGACATCATCTGTCCTCTGCCCCCGAACGGGTCATTCGTGGTGAAGGTGGGCTTATCGTCAAGGGTAGAGAACGGTCACTACTGTTAGAAGCTCGTGATGTGGAGAGCTGACACCTAGGTGCATAGCAGATTTCACCGATTTGGAAGTGAATAACATGTAAGAAGATTACGACGTGACCCTACAAATTATGCCAAGGATCGTAGGGCTGAGCAATTGATGTCTTCTCTAACATACATTGTGATGTGGAAGCCTCTGTAGGATCATGATTGTCGGTCCTATCGTTACACATCTCCAATGACATATGAGTACATAGAAGCCCCATGGTATATGCTGATTCTCCCTCACGTTTCCTTCACGTATTCGAAAGGTATGCGACGCTATTATGTACCTCTTGAGATTGTTGCGAGTAGTAGAAAATTCTGGCTTTTGATGCCTGGAAATACATAGAATGTCTCAATACTTTCTGAAAATTACCATGTCATCAAATTGGAAGATATCGTTCCTTGCCTTTTGATCACGCAATGTGAGGCTTGCCGGTGGCTTTCTCGCTACCGACTTATAAGCATGATAACCTATCGAGGGAATCTTCGCGATAATGACTGGATCTGACAGATGATAAACAGATCTTATGTCGTACTTTCCTAATCCCAGATATGATAAGTGTCACATGTGGAATACACGGATGGTACGACCCCCAGGCGACGAGACAGGAACGTGCTAGAAATGTCCAGCCAACGAAGAATCCGCTCGAGAAGGGGAAAGCCAAAGCAGAGGTAAATCGGCGAGATGAGCGATCCGGTAGGCATATTTATTGTATAGTGGAATTGAAGGTCGGTAGATAGGTGAAGATACTTGCTGTGGCGAGTGCGGGCGGAAGTTTGTATCAATGACCGGAGAGTTGTTCAAAGAAACATGATGGGGTGGCGTGTGACCTAGATTGCTCTATCAAACGTCTATACGAAATTCCTTTTCTATCCCAATCAGTCACAAGATATAGCATATTCAAACACGCAACGGCTCTCGACATCCTCATGCGTTCAATCTCGAGTCCGTCTTCAAGACGGGCTTCTCTCCCTTCGGCTTCACATCAGAAGTGATAACGTCCGCTGGTCCATCTACACGTCAACGTCAGCTGCTTTTCCCATCAGTGTATCTGCTAAGGTATGCACGCAAACTCACCGCCGCTCTTCAGCTCCCCTTCCCTTTCCCCCTCGCCAAGGCCCCTCGCTCAACATCACTCCTACTCAGACCCACCTTACCCCTATCCAGCCCCATACTAACCAAAAACGCCACCGTATCCTTCCACTCCTTCTTCTTCCTCCCCGCATCCCACCCCAGCTCCTCACCCATAACATCCACCACAGTCGGCAAACTCTCCAACGCGGCCTCCGCGTTCAAAAACGCCAATCTCGTCCTCCGAGCTAGCACATCCGTGCACGTCTGCGCATACTCATGCCTGACCGCATAACGAATCTCACCATCCACGAATGGGTAGAGCGGGGCCAACTTCACGCCTCTCACAGGAAACCGCTGGGAAGCGGGCGTAGGCGAGCAAAGCGCGGCGACCGTCCAGGCTCTGTCGCCGTACGACTCAACGAGGTGTTTGGCGACGACGGTTTCGACGCCGAAATGTTGAATTAAACCGATGAAGAGGGTTTTGCTGTAGCCGTGGGCGCCAAGGAGGCGGACGGCGTGGGTCTGGCAGGTGCCGTCGAGGGGAGCGGCGTCGTCGATCATTTCGGTGCCTGAGATGGAAGGGGCGTTCGTGACGGGGTGGACGGTGAGACGGAATTGGGCGAGGGCTGCGTCAACGGCTTCTTCAGCCATTTGTCGGTAGGTTGTCCATTTGCCGCCTGCGACGGTGATTAGGCCAGAGGTGGAGGTCGTGATGAGATGGTTGCGTACGAGGGATTCGGTGTTTTTACTGTGTGGGTCTTTGACGAGAGGGCGGATGCCGGACCATGCTGCGAGAACGTCGCCTCGCCGGACGGTGATGGACGGTGAGAGGTAGCCGCGGATCTCGCTCAGAATCCAGTTGATCTCTTCCTCGCCGGCGACGGGGTTTGGGGTGATGTCTGTTGGGGCATCGGTTGTACCGGCTATCGTGTTTCCTTGCCAGGGTAGAAAGAAGATCACACGTCCGTCTGAGGTGGATGGGTCGATCAGACCCATCTTTGACGGTGAGTAGTAACCAGGTAGGATGACATGAACGCCGGAGCTGGGAGCTACGATTTCGTTGACACCTGCATCGTCTAATTTGCGAATCGAGTCTGTGAAAGGCCCTGTTGCATTGATGATGCCTTTGGCGCGGATTGAGAACGGCTTTGCTTTCTTGCCATTTCTTTCTTGGATCAGGTCCTTGACTTCTGCACCGATCAATTTACCATTTGAGTCTTTCTGCAATCCTGTGACTTCCATATGATTGACGACTGTCGCACCGTACAGAGCAGCGGTCATCGCGAGTGAAACATTCATTCGGGAGTCATTGTGTGCACCATCTACCCACAATCAGCTTACTGCGAGTATAAAACCTGTATAAACCGACCATAATAAACCATGGCACCCAACAGGTTGTCTCTCCTCAGCATGGGAAAGGCATCCATGGCACGAGACTTCGTTAGAAAATACGAACTCTCAATACCTTCGCTCCCGGCGAGGAAGTCGTAGAACTTCGTCCCTGCCCAAAAGTAGGGTGCTTGCCACCACTTCTGTATGGGTATCATGATTGGAAGCCATGTTGAAAGGTGGGGTGCCGTGTCCAGAAAGTACTTGCGCTCTCGCAGGGCTTCACGAACAAGCTTATATCTGCGAGTCTTGCTCAGCTATTTCATCCCTTCATGGCTTCGCGGCAATCAAGGTGTGTTCTCCGTACTGGTTATAGTCCAAATCAAACACAGCCTTCTCCAAATATCTGACTCCACCATGAACAAGTTTGGTGCTCTTGCTGCTAGTTCCACTGGCGAAGTCGTCTCTTTCCACAAGCGCCACCTTCAAGCCTCTCGTCGCGGCATCCAAGGCGATACCGGAGCCAGTAGCCCCTCCACCAATGATCAGCAGATCGTATGGCTCTGGCTCGCTCGACTCCCCCGTGGATGCTTCTTCATCACGACCAAGTAATGAGCCAAAAATTCCCCTGCTCTTCTCAGCTATTGCCCCTTGGATCCCGCCACTGCTTTGTAGATCTTCGATCTGGTCTTCCCGACTTTTGACGTGAGGAAATCGAGGTGGATCGATATGCCCGTCTTCGCCATACTTGGGAGGGGGGACAACAGCAGGATCTGAGCCTGGGATATTGCGAGGCCGGTAGGATATGTAGAGAACGGTACCGCCAGTGGCAGCGCCTAATGTTGTATAAAGAAGTGTTCGGAGGAAGCGCTTCCTTGACGCCATATTTACGGACAATGTCGTCAGAGAAGCGGAGTCCAATATGTCCCCGAAAGAAGGACAAAGGGGTATCTCAAACCATTGTTGTATTTTCGGCGCAACGGAGGCCTTCTTGAATCATGTTTCTGTCTCCAATATTCCGCTGGAATGGGTGCTTCATTATGTAGTTATCGTTAAGTTCAATTTCCACTATTGCGGCCCTGAATATGTACCGGTTTTCAAGATTTGAACGCCGGGCAGCAAGTGTGGCAAAAAGCCCAGCTGTGGCCATCGACGTGCCAACGAATGACCTCGTGGACGCTGATGTTGATGATATCGCACCCATAACTGTGCTGTGACTCGTAGGGATACTCATGACTTGCTGAGGACGTGGGCGAATCAAGAATGACCACCCTTTAATGCTTGCCGAGATCGACCACCTGACCAGAATAGGTATATTCCGAAGACACTCGAGAGCACACCAGCAAGCAAGGGAAACCCTGCACGGTAAATGTGCATATTCCATTTACCATACAGTTACACTTATTGGTCACCAAGTCTGTTATACTTCAGACCCGATCTATCAAAAGACACTTCTAACTAACGATAACGTACTCATCAAGCGATGTCGGTGCCATCAAGATGCACACCCACTTCAAACCCTCCTACTCCTTTTCCATCTCCGCCTTCACCTACTTCCCACCTTTCCCCTCCTCCGACTCCTTCTCCATTTTCAACAACTTCCACCATCCACTAATCTCCTCCCTAGTCTCCTGCTTCCACTCCTCCTCCTCCTTCTTCCTCTCCTCCTCCGACTCCCCCTCATGCGCTTTCTCAGCATTTCTATCATCAATCGTCGGCACCCCGCCCTCAACCCTACTGTTATACCCCTTCCCAGCCCCCTGAGATGGCCCATCATCCGACCCCTCAGGCGGCGCCGGTGCCCCGCCCTTCACGTTTTGCGTCGACGTCGCAGCCCTAATTCTCGAGAGTATGTCGTCAATCAGCGTAAATGGATCAGGTAAGCTTTTGATGGGGTCCACGCCACTGGGTTGGTTGGGGAGGGGCCATCCGGGGCCGGTGATGCAGATACCGAATTTGCTCGAGCCCCCCAGGGAGGGGTAGGAGAGGGGTTTGGGGAGCGCGCAGTAGCCGTTGTTGCAGCAGTGGTCGGTGGAGGCGCATTGTTCTGGTAGGGAAGTGGGTTAGTTGATTGAGGAGGGGAGGATGGGGGGAGGGGAGGGGGGGACGTACCGGCATATGGGATGCAGGGTGGGCTCGGATCAACTGGGTCGCTTGGAGGATATTCTGGGAGATCGGTTGGGGCATGCCGCGAGAGGGGTATTGTGGGTGAGGCGAGTAGAGGAGGTTGAGATGAGGATGAGGATGAGGATGAGGATGAGGATGAGGATGAGAGATGAGGATGAGGATGAGGATGAGGATGAGGATGAGGATGAGGATGAGGATGAGGATGAGGATGAGGATGAGGATGAGGATGAGGATGAGGATGAGGATGAGGATGAGGATGAGGATGAGGTCGGGTTGGAGTTACCGTGGGGAACGCTGAGGGCGGGTGGTGTGAGGAGGAGAAGAGGGAGGAGAATGGTTTGAAACATGTTGTGCATGTTCAAGTCTCAAGTGGTGATTCGAACTGCAGAGGTGAAGTGTGATCTCTGTTGGTGCGGGATTGAATCGCTGTGGAATGACGGAGGAAGCTGATTCTTCGGGCAGATTTGGATAGGCTTTGAGATGGTTGTAAATGAGAGAAGAACTGTTTTTGAAAGCGAATAGCAATTCATGAGAATCATTGTGCGGACGGTGACTCAGCGTAGAGGCAAAGAAAATTTGTCGACCGTTTGTGGCTGTTTCCAAAGCTTCTGAAAAATTGTGGTCGGAACGAGGAAATACCTAAAGTTATTGACGAGACGGGAACGTCAGTTCTTGCATGTTCCAAGCCATCTTCGAAGTGTGAGCTCCTCGTGATCAGCTCGTGATTTGAGATGAGAGTCAGAGTGCCTCTCTGGGTCTTGAATTAGACGCAGCATCAGCAATGCTGGGATGGCTGAAAGAGTCGTGAAAGAGCTCAGGCTGTGAATCAAGACTTTTGTTGTGATGAGAGCACGTCTGCATCGCCAATTTCGTGTGTAATAAATTTGAATGGTTTCCTCGTCGTGTGCTCTAGACATTTTCAACAGGGAAAAATCGCTGGTCACTTTGCTCAAAGTAATATAAGGCATGTGGTATTGTACAATTGACGATGATACAGGCCTTGAAGATATTGTTCACCACATTTCATTGCTGGGCGGATCTCTGCAAACCACGTCAGCGAATTGTGATTCCGAATTGAATATGCGACGTTGAAGGACTGAGAGGAACAAAAATTATGGAGACTTGAAACCCGGGCTTTATGTGGACAGCAAGCATACTTTATGGCTAGCAGTAAAGACCAAAGAACGGGTTTGTAAAACAAGATGATGTGTCAGAAGTAAAAATTCCATCGCCGAGCTAAAGTGTGCATGTGCTCTCAAAGCGATGAAGGTGGTTATGTACGGAAGTCAATTCTGCTTCCGACTGTGGTCGTACTCCGTGGTAACGTTCACAAGGGAGAGCGTTTGTACACCAAACCAAGAGCAGCGAAAAGGTATATTTCTGCTAATAGAATGGAAAGTCCGTTGTACAAAATCAAGATATCGCAAGCATTAGCCAACCAGCCCCTTCATCTCACATCTCACATCCTTCTTCGTGCAAAATCACACGCAAAGTAATGATAATGACTGGCTGTCTGATCCTGTGTAGCAATCACTCTTTCTCCTCCGCATTAGATTTACCCTCTGTCCCCACACCCTTCTTAGCCTCCTTGCTACTCCTCTCGTCATCCTTCTCCGCCTTAACTTTCCTCCCGTCCCTCACCACAACGAAACTCCTTAACCACTCATTCTCCCTCTCAAGCTGCTCCACTTTCGAAGTCAACTCCTGATTCTTCTTTTTCAAATCCGTTGCTTCTTTCTCGACTGCTTTCTCCCTTTCCTTCTTCTTCACGCGAAAGCGCGCGGAGGCAGCGGTATTGCGACGACGTTTGTCTTCCTCGGCTACCGCGCGGGCGACCGGATTGTCTTCTTGAACGGCGCCCGTAGCGAGGGTGTCGGCCGTTGGGAAGGGGGACTGCTGGGGACTGACTGGGCTACTAGCGTTATCAGGAGGGAAGTTGACGGCCTGATAGGCTGTGCCTAAGTTGTTCAGACCAGCTGAAGTTGGTATGAAGGTTTGAGGTGGGACATCAGCTGGTGCCGCATTGACATCGAAAGGATTTTCTGGGAATGGGAATCCTTCTGGTGATTGTCAGCGAAAGGACCAACGATTTCGCACGTCAATCATGTTTCTCTGAATTCGCGTGCAATTATGTCCTCCATATTGCAATGTGCTACAATGATTGTGTGAATGTTGCGGACGGACGCAGCCCTACCGTTGCCAAAGTCGAGTCCTTTGTTCTTCCTAGCACCATCCACCTTCTGACGCTTCGAGGGTTCTCCCTGCCCTCTTCCATATCCAGGCTGATCCTCGTTCGCGATCCATGCAGTGGGATCAAATTCGGTGAACTGAGCGTTTGTGAATTGCTCTAGCGATGCGGCAAAGTCAAATTCTGGCTGAGAAGCGGCATCGGAGGGAGAGGCGATGGCATTGCCGTTGGCGAGGAAGTGAGAGAGCTCGTCGCCCCTTGGACCATTGAAGCCGGTCATGGCTGGAGGGAATGATTGATGTAGGTCAGACGAATGTCGTGCTGTGATGGCGTGATAATGGGTGGATGGATGAAGGAAGAGGAGCGCTTGGGACTTCCTCAAGATCAGAGGGCGAAAACGTGGGGGGAACCAAGTGGGGTTCCTTAAGCCCAAAAGACGGGGATGACCAATGCACAAAGGGAGACTAGGCCAATTCCTACCCTAGCGCTACCCCCGACGCGCAAGTTCTTCAGTTTCGTCATGCGGCCATGTGCCGCCCCCTCCGGAGCTCACGTTGTTGCCCACTTGTTTACTGATCCTTCCGGTGGTATCTGTGTATCAATCATCAGGCATGGTATGCTGGACGAGCAATACCGAGCGGCAGCAATGGCAGACTCCGAGTGATCCTCCTTGATTGCAGAGCCACAGATGACAAATGTCCCTCGAGTCCAAGTGTTGAGCGTGAGGAAGCCAATGCAAGCTTGATGAAGCTACGAAACCCGCTGCTTGACAAAACAATTGGCGCTGCCGAGGAGGTTTCGCTACACCAATACATACGTTAGCGGATGAAATTCAAGAGCACGGATACAAGAGGGAGTCCTCCTTTCCCGAAAGATCATCGGACTTGAGGTGGAACATGACAATAGAGTGCCAAAGAATCGTCCAAGGATTAAGAATCACCATGCAAGAGCATCGGGAGATGAACACATGGAACCATGGAACAAGGGACGAAGGTCCAGTCATCCAGTCAATTTCCATCAGACTGTACATATTTTCAACATGAGCTAGAAATGCCCAACTGTATAGAGGCAGCAAGTTAGCCCTCCGCTACGCCAATCATACCCAAGCATTCATCATCATATCCTTATACCGATAATCTTCTTCACCTTCGCAGCCAAAGGGATCAGATCGAAGAAGCCAACACTCCACCACCTCTTCGTCCACCCTTCCTCCCGTGGCAATCGCTCCTCCTCGAAGAAGGCCTTCATGTAGTCACACGGTACTTTCTTTCCGTCACCAAAGACCTTCAGAATGAGCGCAATCTCTCCACACGCTAGTTGATGTTGGCTTGCTCCGTATGTCAGACTCGGATTCGCTTTCTTCTGCTCCTCAATCCTCCTCCGCCGCAACCCTGCAAAATCCTCGGCTGTGATGGTCTTGCCGTCCGAAGAGGCCGCGATAATCTGTTGTACAAGATCTGCTTGCTTGGACAGGTTGTCCCCTTGGCCAATATCTCGCCTGGAAAACGATACATCATGCTCCACCACCCCATGCGCCGCCAATTGGTCCAGGTTCAAACATGGCTTGCCGGTCGAGTCGAATTGGCCAGGCTTGCGCATACCAAAGGCCTTGGCCAGCGCAGCACGGGGATTCCGGAGGAAGGTCCAGAGATGTGCTAGGAAGGAGCCTTTCTTGCCATTCGCGTCTTCTTTGGCAATGCTTGCACGCTCAACGTACTCGAGGAAGATAGGCCGAGATAGGGCGGCGCCCAAGGCCTTGCTGATGCCCACCTCGTTTACGGCACCGCTCAACTCGGCGGCCAGAACGTTGCGCCCATCACGCGGTATGTAGCCATGATTCGCGAGGCTATTGACCAGCGGACATGGGCTGCGAAGGTCGCTGGACTTAGAGGGCGAGTAGTCGCCTCGCTTTAATGGACCCGGCTGCGATGATGAGGCCATTATGAGGATGTCAAGTCGATTAAAAAGCTTGGATACATTAATGACACTTGTGGATGCACGCAAGCTTAAGTAGCCGACATCACGGCAAAGTGAGGAGTAGGATCATGATGATGGCTTGCATTAAGGCATTCGAAGCTGAAGAGCTGAGTCTAGACCCAGCATGCGGGTTCCTTCAGGCAATCACATGTACGTTGATGGTTGGTACAGAATACGTGACACGTCAGATTTGAAGTATAGCACACCCCGAGATTGACTTTTCCATCCCCCCTACATCTACCCAAACAGGTGCATGAATATCCATGTTCGACCAATCTGGACAGCCTAGATTGTTTAATTTCCCGGTTTCTACGACCTGCCGACCAATGAAGGAGGCGATTTAATCATCAAACCCGTTCGAGTGAATTGGACCAGTCTCTTCTAGTCTAGCAGTACAACCCTCCCGCTTCCTCCTTTATCGCTCGCACGTTTTGTGCGTAGCTGAAGCTGCTTGAGGTGCTCGAGCACAAGACGCAGGCCCCTTTTCAGCCACCAAGAGTCTGGCCCAACTAGCGCCATTTCCCCCCAAACACGTACTCTCACGCTCAAGCTCACGCTCGCACTCTGATCCATATCTGACAGAAGTTGACAGATCAAACAGTGGCTCTGCCGTCATCGACTGGCCCAGCTGATGTACCGCGCCTTGCAATACACACCTTCTCTCCTTGATGTCAAGGATCAGTATACGGATGTCTATCCCAGATTGCTGGGTTCAAGTCGAGCCGGACAGCGTATGCATGGCGGAAAACTAACGGAACAGCTTTCCCTGTTCGAGCAAAATCGCTTCTTAGTATACCTAAAAGAGTTGAGGCTTGCATAAATCCGTTGCCATTCAGCTGAACGCTGAAACGCCTTCTGGAGGGCCGTTTTATGGCTTCGAAATTGTTGATCTGTCGAATCATATGTGAGCTGTGAGCAGGCTGCGAACGGCCGGTTGGTCATGCGACATGCCGATTATGGCTCTGGTCGTTCATCCAGACCTTGTCGACCTATCCTCTATTCCAGCAGAAGAGAGGTGGCTTGTTTGATTACATCTGATCCACAGCGGCCTTTCTTCAGCCTGATCCACACTGCAGAATATATGTGTAGCACCTCCCTGCGTTAAGCGACTTTTTTATCATTCAAGTCACAAAAGCTGATAGGAGCTAAACCCTACTGTACGCTGGAATTGCCTGGAAGCTGCGTTCCATACAATTGTTTTGCATACACGTCCTGGCTCATGCTGTTCTCGATTTTCGTAAACATTGCTTAATCTCGACTATCCTCAACATTTTGCTTAGCTCAACATGCCATCTAATAGCCAGACCGGCATGAATGGCGGACCTATCAAGTCTAAAGCAGACAAGCTGAACGAGGAATTGCAGAAGAAAAAGTACATAGCCTTATTTCACGGAGACAACCTTTTAGGCGACCCTGTTGTACCGAAAGGATTTCTGGCAAGATTTCGCAATGCCTTCCAGGATGTCCGACACATCTTCCAACCCAACAACACGAAGGCAATGGGTAGGGTTGTAGACAAGCTATTGAAAGGCCAAGGTTTGGACGTGAGCTTACGACTCTGCCCCTCACGCAAGATTTGTAGGAAATGCTGATACGCTATGAATATAGAAAATAGGAGGTGCACAGCTCATCGGCTCGATGCCAAATGACAGCAACGCTCGAGCCGCGCTTACCGCTAAAGAAGTCAAGGAGAAGTACGAGAAGATGCTTCATCCACCCTTGACATACCTAGGCGACGCCTTTCAGTATCGTACTGCCGATGGCAAATTCAATAGCGCTCTGCACCCTCACCTGGGTCAAGCTGGCGCCCCTTACGCCAAGACTGTGCCCTCAAAGACTCATCCTTTAGGAGCTCTGCCAGATCCAGAAGACATTTTTGATCGATTGATGGCACGCGAAAAGTATCGACCAAGCCAATCAGGACTCTCAAGTATGCTTGTCTACCATGCGACAATTATCATTCACGACATTTTCCGAACCAACGATAATGACAAAAACATATCCGACAGCTCTTCTTACCTGGACCTATCGCCTCTGTATGGGTACACCGACAAGATGCAGCGCCGAGTTAGAGATGACAAGTACAAGCTTGGTCTACTAAAGCCCGATACATTTGCTGAGGACAGGCTGCTTCGACAGCCTCCAGGCGTGTGTATTATGCTCGTGATGTACAACCGCTACCATAACTATGCCGCAACTCAGCTCTATCGCATCAACGAAAACGGCAGATTCTCCGTGCCTGCTAAATTCTCTGGTCCTAAACTTATAGCTGCAGCAGAAGCTCTTGGTAGCAAGAATGCCAAATTCGAGAAGACTTTGACTGCTTACCGTGACAGCTTGAAACTGTACGACGAGAATGGGCAAAAGCCGACGAAGACAAACGACTACGAGGGTGCAGCCAAAGCTCTTGAAGATTTGATTGATGCCGATGAATTGAGAAAGTTCAACAAAGCCTACGATGCAGCATGGGATAAGCTCGACAACGATCTTTTCAATACTGCCCGACTGTAAGTGTCTTGGCCGGGGCTTTTCTCCACTCTCGATATGGTTACTAATGTGGATGTAAAGGATCACATGTGGCATGTATGTGAACATCTCTATTCATGACTATTTACGTGCGCTCATGGGCTTTCATCAATACAATTGTGAGTGCTCACTACAGTCTACCCTCCTGTGGTAGGCAAGCTGCTCATTCCTACAGCGAACTTCACTTTGGACCCGCGTGTTCATAGTACAGATCAGAAGAATGTCACTCGTGGGCTTGGAAATCAAGTCACAGTCGAGTTCAATCTGCTCTATCGGTTCCACTGCGCCATATCTGAGGCCGACGAATTATATACCGAGGACTTCATGAAAGCTAAATTTGGCAAGCCGGATTGGGACCCAAAGACGATGACGCTAGAACAATATGTCCAATTCATGTCGTATGCTGCTAAAGAAAAGGCGAAACAGGCGGAAAATGGGGACGAATCAGCAACGGACCCATCGAAGCAAGTGTTCGGCCTTCCAGAGCAAGCTAATAAGCCTGATCTGTGTTTCACGCGAAATAAAATCACCGGGCTTTTCGACGATCAAAAGATGATCAACCAATTGCAGAAATCAATGCAAGAACCGATCTGCGAGTCATGATCTCGAACTGCTTTTATACAATGCTAACATTTTGAATAGCAAATTTTGGTCCACGAAACGTACCAAAGGTCATGAAAAACATCGAAATCATGGGAATCATTCAGGCGCGTAAATGGTGGGTCCAGTCTGTTGAAATGTCAAACGTATCGCGCTCATCTTTGCTCAGGGAAATTGGAACGCTCAATGACTTCCGCGATTTCTTCGGTATGAGTCGTCACGAAACGTTCGAAAATATCTCGAAAAATGTCGAGATCCAGGACGCACTACGCGATCTGTATGAGCATCCTGACAAAGTTGAGCTCTATCCTGGCGTTTTCTGCGAGAGTAGCGTGGAGGAAGATCTGGATCCAGGCCCAAGTGATGTAGACTCTGCCCTTTGGGTCGCCATCTTTTCTGACGCCATCACCCTCGTGCGATCAGACCGCTTTTACACTGTCGTGAGTTCCAACAATGTTCTGAAAAGAAGAGTAGTCCAAATCTGACCCCTACAGGACTGGAATACTAATTCGCTTACTTCTTGGGGCATGAAAGAGGTTTCCCCTGATAACGACACATTGAAGAGCTCCGTATTCCACCGATTGATGCAACGCGCATTTCCCGAATGGTTTCCATATGACTCGATCCGCTTCTTCCACCCTTTCTACACCGCTAAGAAAAATGCAGAATACGCCCAGCAGCAAGGTTACGCTCCTGAATTCAAGATGGAGGCCAATGTCATTCAGCGAGATTCTTTCAGCCGTCCTACGAAATTTGAATATATCACTGCCGCCTCGGAACCTAGAAAGCCACTCAAGCCGCTGTATCTGGATGACTATGAGAAGATTGACGCGCTGTTGTCCGATCAGTCAGATAAGATCGTCCATCCTGCACGTCTGGAACTATCGTCTCTGCCAACAGAAGTAGCCGCAGTCTTAAAACCAGAGCAAAAGAAAGCCGGACCAGGTGCTGTAAAGGATATTAAAGTAAACTCAAGTAAAATAATGGCCTACTTCGAAAGCATCATGATCGACATGATCAAACGCGAATTCATTACTGTGAACAAGGCGAAGCCCACATATCAGCTCGATGTCACAAGAGAGTAAGCCCTCGAAAGGATGTCATGGTAGCGAACCTAGGCTAATCGCTGTGAAGCTTCGCAATCCCCGTGACAACTAGATATGTAGCCGAATTCCTAGGCTTCAGCCATCTGATCAGGAGCGAATCTAACCTCAAGGCCCCTTACTCCGAGAACGAGATCTATCGTCACATTACCAATTGCCAAATCTTCCTATCCTATAATGCTGACGAGACAAAGTTGTTGAAGAGGCGTAAGGCCTTCAAGACCTCTATCAAATTTCTGTACGAGCTAAGCAAAGGCGGGACGATTCACGAGGCACGTAGGTGGAGCTATACGCGTGGCACATTACATGCGATCAGACGATTCTTCGGATATGGTAAGGCTGATACGATGGAAAGTCTTGGTCTCCAGGTGGCAATACAAATTCTGGGGCAGGAAAAAGATTTTGGCAAAGCTGCTGCTATCCTGCTGTTGACAGCGCTTGATGGTGCCTACAATTCTGTGCTTGCTGTAAGGCGACCCGGTAGAAATCATTCGTCTACACTGCTGACACGATAATCTAGTTTACATCTGTACTCGATCTGTTTCTTGGAGAGCTGTATAAGGTCGAAGGCACCACAAACAAATGCAGATGGCAGAAAATCCAAAAGCTCGCGTTCCAGGATGACGAAAAAAGCCAAGAAATCACTGAATACGTGCTCGAGGCTCAGAAGGAGAGCGTCAAACTCCCCATCATCCGAAAAGCGGTCGAAGATTGCAAGATCAAGAAGGGCACAACAACGCTGATCAGCGTAAAGAAAGGGCAAACAATCATCTGCAACATCGTGAGTTCCCCCAATGCCCTCCCCATCGTCCCCCAATTGAGAAATCTAATTAATCTCGCAACCTAGCACAAAGCAATGGCGCCCCACAACCCCTCAACGGCAAGCCAAACCCTCAACTACTCCGCCTCCAACTTCGGCGCCAACCTCCCAAGCGGGTACAACCCCAAAGACATCGCCGTCCTTTCTCTCACAGCAATGATCAAGACGCTCGCGCAACTCAAGGATCTCCGCCGTGGCCACGACGCTCAGGGCCAGCTCAAGAAAATTACCATCGATGGCTCGAACGAGGGCTACGCGAATTTCATGGCGCCCGGGCGGCTGCAGCAGATCAGACATGATGCTAAGGAGAAGCAAGATAGTAGAGTATTTAATGAGGGCGTTCTGAAACCGAGTACGGAAAGTTACTTGAGCCCGGAGTGGGATGAGATGGTGCCTTTCCCAACAAGTAAGCCCCTCCCCGTTTTCGTCGTTTCGTTTTTCTCATTTCCCCACCGTCCACCCTCTGTGGGATCTGTCTGACTCTCCTCTAGCCTGGAAAGTCCGCTTCTCCGGCTTCGGCCCCTCCGACTACGGCGGGCCCAAATTGCCGTTGCTGAAAAAGGCACCCCTTCCGGATGATTACCCGCCTTTCTATCAGCCGCAAGGTGCCAGTCATACTGGTGGCTCGTTTGCGGATACGGTTTGTGTTTGTAATGTGCCGGGACGGATGTGTGGGTGTAAGGATGGAGAGGGGAATGGGGAGGTGGTGAAGACTGAGGCGGATAAGCTGGGGAAGGGAGCGAGTGGGTGTGGTGCTCTGGGATAGTTGGAGGCGGGAAGTAGGTCAAGTGAGAATGTATGTCTGTTGAATGCTAAATATAATTTAGAGAATGGCATTGGATACGGACATCGCTATGCAGCGTTTGGATTGACCAGAAATCCTATCAAATTTACCAACCCAGATTGAAACTACGATTTTTTTCGTAACTCCATTCCTTAGGTTACACAACATAAGCATGGTCTTTGTCTATACATGCACCTGTTGCATCAATTCTGCATTGCTAACGGAGATACAAGAAGTTGCGAATTTAGTGATCATTTCGGTTTCAAACAGGAAGATGCATGAAGGTTCGATACGTTACAACGAGTTTCCAGTGAAAAGTCTCAAACTAGGGTCCAAAACGCAGTATTTCCATACGACTGCCTGAAGAAACGAAGGACACTCAAGAGCAGAGAGTTGCGCGCATTCGACAGGCCTGCATGGAAATCGAGGCACTCTATCTTCACGAAACTCTGCTGTGTCAAAACCCTCTGTAAAGAACTCGATCCCAGCCCCTCATCACTCAGCTCCTTCTCAGACCTTCTCCTATCGCAGACGATACAAGGAGTAAGTGGATATCTCTCACGACAGAGAACGACCAGGTCGACCAATTCTCTGACAGTCAAAAAACCGTTATCTAGTCCACTCATAATATAAAGCAGCTTCTTCTCCCCAAACTTCTCTCTCTCATCTACACCCCACCTGCCCACACAGTTTCTAGCTCATTATCACACCTCGTACCTATCTGCCAAACCACCAACCACAACCATGCAAACCAAGTCCTTCACCATCCTCGTCCCCCTCCTCACAGCCTGGACAACCATCGCCAACCCCGTTCCCGACGACCCCGCCCCAACCACGGCGCCAACTTCAACCCCATCTCCCCATCACTACAAACGCCACAAGCCCCACCATTCTCATTCCTCCACCATCCCCCCACCCCCACCTCCAGCCCCAACGCCAACCCCCTCCCTCTCCTCCAACCAAAAGATCGCCACCGCCACGATCCTCAAGACACACGCCCAATGGGAAGAGACGAAGCAACCAGCCAGTGGTGCGCGAGGAGGAGATGATATCTACACTTTCCAGACTAGCATGTGGATTACGTTTCCGCATACGACGAGTTTGATCCTCAAGGGGGATCCACCTTTTGTGACGACGTATCCGAGCGGGAGCTGGACTAGGCCGCTGAGGACGAGGACGTATCCGGCGTATGTGGAGACGGTGCTGCCGGGGGAGGTTTATGTGGATGAATAGGGGTGGGAAGGATGGAAAAGGGAGAGAATGGAAGGATGCGTCAGGAGGGAGCGGAAGGGGATGGGTGAAGAGGTGGGGGAAAGGGGAGGATGAAAAAAGGGCAATGGAAGAGAGGGTAGAAGCGATGAGGTAGTTGAATGCGTGCATGCTAAGGAGATAGATCAGGTAACGTCGATCCGAACTTATATAACGATAATCGCCTGTCCCCACTAAGAAACGGCGTGGGGAGCCGTTCTCACAGTTGCGCCCTATCAGGGTATTTTAAAGACCAACTTGTTGCCTTAAACTCGTGATGGGAAAGACCACGATTCTGCCTTGCCATCGCTGCATCTGCAGTATCTCAGAGACATCCAATCCATTGCGAGAACGTCTGTAAATCCTTACAGATATTGTTTAAGGCACCAGAGATCTTCACCATGCCACGTCGTTGCAGACGTCTTCGGTGAGAAGTATGCCTGTCTGCGTCCGAGGATACCGCAAATGAAAGAAAGTCGCCACTGTCAAATATGAGGATGCAATTCACCGTCATGGAGGTTATTGACCCGTTGGCGCATCCAGAGAATGCGGAGAAGACGGTACATTCGTCTGATTAGTGGGTCCAACCGTGAGACAGGCCGGTGCAGGTGGAACTTCCTGCAACATGCGGCTCTAAAACAAAGCGCGCCAGATTCATTGGCCGCTGAAAAACATGGACTTCAGCCTGACGCGGAATGTGACGTGGGGAAAATGAGCTTCGTTCGAGCGTTGTAACATGAAAGGCTGCCCGCCGCGCGTTCGCTTCTTTTCTTTTCTGTTCTTTCATCGTTTGGAGAACGCCTGGGGAAGGAAGTCATCGGCCTTTGCGCCAGCTCTCGAGATGGACCAGGAATTGATCAAAGAGCTGCTTGAGGGTCCTGGACTGAAACCTCCGCCCGGCATCAAGCCGAATTTCGAGAATCCGCCAAGTCAGTATGAGACCAATGTCGCGGTCGTTTCGCTCTGTTTTGTGGTGGCGACCTTTTGTGTGGTGGTTAGAGGGTATACCCGCTTTGTTATTATGAGGAGCCATGGATGGGAAGATTGTAGGTCCTGTTGAGACGGAAGGCTACCTTGTTATTTCTAACGTATGGTAGATACCTGCTTCGTCGCATACGTGAGCCGACTCCCTGTTCCGCGTCGCAGTCCTTGGGTCTAATTCAAGGTCAGCTCGGATTGATTGTGTACGTCATTTTGATGCTCTTGCCAATATTTCGATATCACGCCGGAATACATCAATGGAACATACAGGGTAAAACCCTTGTACCCTGGGTGAAGGTAGGCCAGCCCCGAAAGCATCGCGCATGATAGGGGCGACACAACTAACTGGAGACTGCGAATAGATTGCGAATGGTGTTGAAATAACCTACATTCCAACAATCTTCATCGCCAAGCTCTCTATTTTGCTCATGTATCTGCGCCTCTTCGTACCCGGCTACAGGTCAAAGACGTACTGGACCATACAAGGGGTCATCTTGTTCAATTTCCTCTTCTATCTGGCGAACATCCCAATCGAGATCTGGCCATGTGTACCTAGAAGCAAGTTGTGGAACCCGCTCAAGCCCGGCCATTGCATCAATAACGAAGCGGTCTTTGTCGCTGGAGGCTCGATCAACATGATCTCCGACTTTGTGATCCTGCTCATTCCCATGATCATAGTCTGGCGACTCAAGATGGCGCGCCGGAAGAGACTTGGAGTCTCTGGCATCTTTGCCTTCGGGGTCTTGTGAGACTCTTTTGCTTGGGGTCAGGTCATCGACTAACAGCTTTCAGCGGTTGCATAGCAAGTATCATGCACCTGGCGACTAGTGTTCCTGCCGCACGAAGTCACGATGAGACCTACTACCTTTTCCCCGTGGCGCTGTGGACGTGAGCCTCTTTCCCCTTCCTAATAAAGACCCGCACTTACCACCCGAGTCAGACTCGCAGAAATCACTTCCGCAATCGTCTGTAGCTGCCTCATCTTTGCGCCCAACTTCTTCCATCATGTAGCACCCTTAATGACCACCAAATTTTCTTCCTACCGTTCACGAAGTAGAGACAATAGCAGCAGTTCGGTTTCTCGCAGGTTTCCAACAACTGTACCGCCTTTGGGTAAACGTGCAAGCTATAACGGAGAGAGAGATTCTTGGCTTGAACTTGGTGAGAGTACCACTTGGTTGAGTATGTCAACACCGCCTACGATCCATTCTACTGGCCGCGTAAGCCATGAGGAGGCAAAGGGCGGAAAGCCTCTTCCGGACTTGCCAGACTTGCCTACTTTGCCGGCAAAATATAGAGACCCTGGCCCTGAGAATGGATGATGTGACTCTGAAACGCAGAGATCGATAAGTGAGCATCAAGCGGCGAAATGGAACGTGTCGGAACATCCTTTGAGTTTATCGAGAACGGAGTCGCTGTGAAAATGGCGGCGTCCGGAATTCCATATCAGGTTTGAACACTTGAGAATCCGCCCAAATGTTCAGCGACGCTCAATCGCACAACTAGTCCAACGTTCCAGGAGGGTCCAAATGCTAGCTTTGAACTGGAAAGCGAGAACGGATAGCAGCCGCAGGTCTCTATACGGACAGACAGACACTGAAATGAAGACCAGGTCATAAGAAGGACCGTCCAGCGTGCCTTGACAGATTACTGGCCCAAGGAATGGGTGTATGTCTCGCCTTCAGAACGGAAGGACGTCTCGCAATACCATCTACCATCACGAGTGGGTTATTGAAGACATAATTCACGTAGTGCACTTCTAGAAACAGGTAATTCATGTGCTCATTAATCATATTGTTTAGTATGTACGGAGTATTTGACAGGTGGTAACGGTTTCTGTTTCTACTCGGTATGGGTATGGCAATGAATTGTTCACCAATCTTCTTCGTAAACTGTACTGAAGGTCATGATTATCACAGCTTCATTGCCCTTGTTCAACGTGTATCAGGTTTGAACGTCTTCTCTTTGCCTAGAGGTAGAAAAGGAGTGGCCCTAGAACTAACCTTAAAGTGGATGTGCGCGGCAAAACTCCGGCCCGACAGAAATGGCCGCTTCAACTCATTGCGTCATCTAAACAAAGATTTTCTGAACTTTGTCAAAACTAGAACAATGGTCGAACACAAGTAGAAGCACCAACATCGCTGAAGCTTGTTAGTGTCTATTCTTCTGATAGGGAAGTGTGGGATATGGAGTCTCGACAAGTTATGGAAGAAAAAATCTCACTCTATGCAGGGCTCTACTAGTAGGACCTTGCCACGAGGACATGCAATCCATATTCTGGAGGGTCACATAGTCTCTGGCACTCCACGTGGTAACTGCCGATCCCTTTCCGCGTATCTTTATCAAATGATCGAGAGGTGGCTGACCTCGGATTCCGGTCTCGTTTCAGCCTATCATTGCAGGGTCCAGCGTATACGTTTTCACATGGCGTGGAAGCCATTGAAGGCACAGCCGTCGATCGACAGATGAATATCCTTCAGGATAATGAGCGGACTCCGTGCACGTCTGTCAGCAGACTTGGTCAGACTCAGTGGGGCGTGGCGCCGCTGGCAGCAAGTGACGAGCAGGGTGTTTCCGTATCTCTTGCCTTCGAGCAGTGACGTATTCATGAGGTGATTTCAAATGTGTCAGATTTTGCTGGTATTTCTCTAGGCTTTAGCCTCATCTCCACGTCTCACATTATTTTCCAAGCTCAAGAGTCCATTACCTCTCCCCCGTTTTGAACTTCTTTCATTTTGAACTCAGCATGGCTTTGAAGGCTGCTTTGGATCCAGTCAAGATCAAAGAAGGTATCTGGGGAGACATTCTCACAAGTCAGGAGGCAGGTCTTCCTGAGTTGGCCGACATAGACGATGAATCACGGAGAGTAATCAGAATTATGGGAGGAAACCCAGGTGCTATGCAATTGCAAGGGACAAACACCTTCTTAGTCGGCACGGGTAAATCGAGGATACTCATTGACACCGGCCAGGTACGACTCTCTTTTCTGTCAGTATCGCAGCGCTCACTAACTCGTTCTCTAGGGCATACCACTGTGGGCAGACAATGTGACCAAAGTCCTCCAGGAGCAGGATCTTGATTTATCACATATCCTCATCACGCATTGGCATGGCGACCACACTGGTGGTATCCCTGACCTCATCGACTTCAATCCTCTCTTCGCGTCTCGTATATATAAGAATGATCCTGATGCGGGCCAGCATCCCATCGAAGACGGCCAATTGTTCAGGACGGAAGGTGCCACCATGAGGGCAATCCATACTCCAGGCCACTCCGTCGATCATATGTGCTTTTTGTTCGAAGAAGAGAACGCATTGTTCACTGGTGACAATGTACTTGGCCACGGCTTCAGTGTCTGTGAGGACCTCGGGGCTTACATGACCAGCCTCGCGTACATGGAGGAGCAGCGCGCCACAGTCGGTTACCCAGCTCATGGTGTCAAGATTGAAGATCTCCCTCGGGTCATCAAGCAGTACATCAGACACAAGAAAAGCCGAGAAAGACAAGTATTCACGGCCTTGATGCGCGAAAAGTCAAACCTGGTGAAGAAAGGCAGACCTGGTAAAGCAAGTCTTAGTATCCGTGAATTGGTTTTTGCCATGCATGGTGACGTGCCAGAAGAAATGTTCGAATCTGCTATGGAGCCATTCATGACTGAGGTCCTGTGGAAGCTGGCCGAGGATCGGAAGGTGGGGTTCGAAATGTTCAGGGGCAACAGGCGCTGGTTTATCAACGAGCGTACGTGGAAGGCGGAGTCGCGAAAACAAGGATTTTGCGACTAGGTATTTTGTCAAGCATTACACCCAATTTTCATAGATAGCGTTCAAGCATTGCAAATCTCCCACTCGCGTCTTTCTCATTTAAAGAGCCTGAAGGGCGATTCACGTGGCATTTGAGAGGCGATCCCTCTATCGGTGCAAATGTATTCCGTATTAAAGAAAAGGCAGCCTATTCACAAAGTGATTGGACAACTATCTTATGGAACATGAGGACTCGGAGAAATTCGCAGGTAAGAACAGGGGTAACCTGACGACAGCGTTCCTCATAGACACTTTGTTGACGATCTGGAACGGAGGAACTTGCACATTCGGCTCTCGCACTTAGATAAGAAGCGAGAATAGAAAGCTGACAGGGGTCCTACATCTGCGTGGAACATAGATCGGATGTTCAGGCTACACAGACATTTTCAGTTGCGTGAGTGGGTCGTCCAGGGCACCCACTACCTTAAAACCCCTCCCGTAGGCGCTTCTCAGGGCAGGGTATCGACCAATGACCGGTGGAGGGGTGGCAAACCGTCTTTGGAAAACTTCCTATCCCTTGCTAAAGACGACAGAAAGCAACAAAGGGTGCAAAATATAGCTTTGGGACATTGAATGCCATCAGATTGGGCATGAGATGATCGTCTTCGTTCAGATAACGACTCTCATCTCTCCAAATAGGTCTCGGAGAGCACTGCACAGCATCTTGATCAGCCCTACCCCTTGGACCCCTGAATCTGTGTCGTCCATCGTCACAATAGCCGCTCCTAGGTTAGTGGCAATCACTGAGCTGTACCTACTAACGCAACGTTACCGTACGCCGGCTGCTTCCAGTACTAGGCATGTGACCAGAGACGTAATGTTACATTCCGACGTCTCCTAAATCTAATCTATATCTAATCTTGCCCCCTTCCACACCAAATCTTCAGTCCAGTCTAATTTGCTAACACCGTGCTAAATCCTAAATCGACTTCGAGTCCTCTACGTCGTTCCTATCTTTCAAAAGATTATGGCTCTGGACTTTGAATCAATAGGGGTCCTTAATCGCAGTCTTGTCAACATCAACGTTCAACATTCGATGCCTCCAGATAAGCGCCACCTCATCCCTCCCCAGCACTTGGTGCCAATCACCAAAGACTCCAGGCCACAGCGACTCCAATCGCTGGGAAAATAGTCCTGATGTAATTTAACCTCACCCACTCTTCAATCTGCTTCCGTGTCTCCGGCACTCCACCATCACTTCCCACAACAATTGCACCGATTTTCTCTCCTGCAATTTCATTCGCCTGAGCTCCTCTCGCTTTCTGCACCTCTGCATTCTTCTTCAAAAGAGTCTCCTCCAATGGAACGATGAATCGGAGCGTGAAGGGCACGATGCCGACGATGAATGCGCCGGCTACTAAAAGAAGCAGGGCTCGCTTGGTATCGCCATACCAGTAAGTTAAAATGGCATTGAGTAAGCAGACCACACTGGTAGGGATGGCGTTCATAGGGCAAAGATGGAAGCCCCGGAGGAAGGAAGTTTTGAACTGTGCGAGGATAAGGTGCTCGGGCGTATCTGGCGGGGTCTGAAGGACTGTGGGGAGGGACACGTAGGAGAGGGAAAACTGGCAGCCTGATCAAGATGGTGAGTGAGATAAACAAAGATCTAGGAGCGAGATCTCTGACCTGTGAGCATCGACGCGCTGGTGATGATTGCCATCAGAATCGGTGTGAATAGAATATACGCCATTGTGACGGCAAAGAGGGACGACAGCAAGAGGAATTTGCTTTTAGAATGGCTTCAATATACAAACGAGCAGCAATGCCTCGGGAAGGACTACGGAATATGGACTGCGAACTGAAGATAAGTATACGTTGATGTCTGATCTGCACGCCCACAACGACCACCGTCGCATGGTCGCATCGTGACGGTCCGATATCGAGCCTGAAACCAACACGGCTTCTATCCAGGTAGACCGTCGTAAGCTGAGAGTACCTTGCATATGGGCGACAGCAAAGCTTCCGCCTCTTGAGTCTGTACCGGATTCCGGGCTCGGAATACTGGAAGCCAAGGTCTACGATCAAAAGAGGTTAGTGCAGCTGACCACTAGCGCCACGCTTACGCAAACCTTAAGATGTCACGCGAATTTCCGGACGGCCCCTGACATACGGCTCTTCCTACAACGTGCAAGGACACATCGGACCCCGTTGCAATGGCGTCTGATCTCGAGATGATTTCTAGATTATCCCCATGCTTTGGTCTCGGGACGATGAAGCGAACGCTCTCGCCTGCTGAGTGGCTGCAAGCTCGGCCCGCGCCTGATCCACCGCTGGTAACATCCGTGCTGCCTGAGATGACAGGCTCTACACTGGGAATACCTCTGCGGTGACGGGCCTATGACTAGACCGGAGTCTACTGCATATGATGTACCCCGAAACCCACGTGTTTATATGCAAAACCCACGTAAACTCCAACGGCTGTATGGGTAAAAAGACCCTCGAAGCCTCCCCTCACATGAAGCGTTCCATTCATTGACAGTCATTCTGTCCTCCACCCTCAGCCCTGTGCTTTTGCTGTTCGTTATACTTGCATGTACTCTAGCGTTCCTTTTCATCATGGATACCCCGTCGTCCTCCTCCAGCGAGGGTATCAACGACTTCACTTCTAAGCTCGTCTACTTCAGCAACGAGTTTCCCAACGATGACCTTCAAGACCTATTTCGACGTCTGCAGAGAAATAGTAAAGATAGGCGATTTAGGCAGCTGTCGATCTTCTTGGACGAGGCAACTACGGTTGTGAAAGAAGAAGCACTGAAACTCCCACAGGCACAACAAGATCTCCTTCCCCAATTCTCGTCGGTATTGCAGTTGGTAGACAATGGAGAGTTCCGACAAGGCCCTCTGGGTGGAGCCTTGGAAAGTGCTCTTCTCTGCGTTCTGGAGATCGGAATGTTCATTGCGTAAGTGCTGCCATAATGAAAACGAAGGCTGCGTTTAGTGGAGAGAGCAGACGCTAAGCTGAGACACACAGTCACCATGAATCAAACAATCTTTCCCTTGATCTTCCAAAAACTAGCACAACCCTATCTGGCCTGAGTATCGGGTTGTTTGCAGCTGCGGCAGTCTCAGTATCGTCGTCGTTGCCAGAATTAGCCCTCACAGGAGCAGAGAGCGTGAGGGTAGCATTCAGGCTCGGTGTTCACGTGGAAGGCGTGTCGCAATCGCTCGAACCTCGCCCAGCGGATGGAAATTCCGATAGCTGGGCTTATGTTGTTACGGGTGTCAGCGCGGAGGAAGCTCAAAGCGAGCTTGATCAATTCAACGCAGAGAGCGTCAGTAGATTTGTGCCTCCAAATTCAGACGTCACTAATGTATTCCCAAGTCTAACCCTGTCCTCACTAAGGTATTCATTAGTGCTTCAGACAAGAATTCTGTTAGCATCACTGGACCACCATCGCGCCTGAAGAACGCCTTCCGACATTCACAGCTCCTTCGTTACTCAAAGCATATGCCACTACCAGTGTACAATGGCCTTTGCCACGCGCCACACGTCTACAGTGAAGAAGACATCAGCGCTATTGTCAAAGGCTCGGAGCCAAAATGCAGCACCACACGCAAAATCCAGCTCCCGCTATTCTCGCCAGAGACTGGTAAGCCATACCCAGCTCAAGATGCCGGGTCTCTCTTCGAACAAATCTGCACGGAGATTCTGACAGGCACGATCTACCTTGACAACCTAACAAATGGTGTACTCAAGGATGTCTCAAGCACCGGGAGACCTGAATGTCTAGTATACCTTTTCCGAGTATCCCTCATCGCGAAGAGCTTCCTCTCAGTCATTGAGTCGGAGTTGTCCCACGTAACAGTGGTCAAATATGACTTGATAGATTGGGCGTTCAAGCAGCCCGCGACAGCCATTCCGCGATCTCCCAAACAATCCAAGCTGGCCATTGTTGGATACTCATGTCGATTGCCAGGAGGCGCAGACGACAATGAGCTTTTCTGGCAGCTTTTGAAGGAAGGACGAGACGTTCACTCTGAAGTTCCTGCGGACCGATTCGATTTGAGTACTCATTATGACCCAACTGGGAAAACGCCAAACGCGACACAGACACCTTTTGGGAACTTCATAAATCAGCCAGGACTGTTTGACGCTGGTTTCTTCAACATGTCTCCAAAAGAGGTGAGTACAGCTTATCCAAATCGCTATCTACCATTGCTGACCAGTATATCTAGGCCGAGCAAACAGACCCAATGCACCGTCTCGCACTTGTAACCGCGTATGAAGCACTGGAGATGTCGGGATATGCTCCAAATAGGACCCCCTCAACTAACCTCAAGCGCGTCGGAACCTTCTACGGCCAAGCAAGCGACGACTGGAGAGAACTAAACGGCGGCCAAAACATTGGCACTTATGCCGTACCTGGAGGTGAAAGAGCTTTCGCCAATGGCCGAATCAATTACTTCTTCAAGTTTGGCGGACCAAGTTTCAACATTGATACCGCTTGCTCAAGCGGTCTTGCTGCTGTCAATTCAGCTTGCTCGGCACTTTGGTCGGGCGAGGCAGACACCGTACTCGCAGGTGGTCTTAGCGTTATCACTAACCCCGACAACTACTGCATGTTGTCACAAGGTCATTTCCTATCCAAGACCGGCCAATGCAAAGTCTGGGACAAGGGCGCCGATGGCTACTGCCGTGCTGATGGTATTGGCTCGGTCGTTATTAAGAGACTCGAGGACGCCGAGGCTGATAATGACAATATCATCGCCACTGTTTGCAGCGCATTCACAAACCACTCTGCGGACGCTCTCTCGATCACACAGCCACACGCTGGTGCTCAGAGGGAAAACTATACGCAAGTTATGCAAGATGCAGGTGTTAATCCCTTGGACGTGAGCTACGTTGAACTTCACGGTACCGGTACACAGGTCGGCGACGCAATCGAATCCGAATCGGTATCAGACGTGTTTGCTCCTCTGGTCCCTCGACGACGGGCTGATCAAAGACTTCACCTCGGTGCGGTAAAGTCTAATATCGGTCACGCTGAAGCTGCCGCTGGTATTGCATCGCTACTGAAAGTCCTACTGGTCTACCAGAAGGGCGAAATACCCCCACATGTTGGAATCAAATCGGAGTTCAATCCCATCCTTCCCAAGGACCTGGACAAACGTAATGTCGGTCTCAATCTAGAGCTTGTTCCTCGGCCTCGGATACCAGGCAAGAACCGCTACACTATCGTCAATAGCTTTGGTGCCCATGGTGGAAACACCACGATGTTGCTAGAAGATGCTCCCGAGAAAATAAAATCAGGAGAAGATCTGCGTCCTAACTTCCCCGTCGCAATATCTGCGAAGAGTAAGATTGCTTTGAAGAGTAACGTCGAAGCAATGATATCGTATCTGGACCAGAACCCTGAGATTGACATTGGTGACCTCTCTTATACCACGTGTGCAAGACGTATCCATCACAATTTCCGTCTCGCAACATCAGTCGCAGGCACGGCGCAGCTACGGAAGTTCCTAGAGACCTCAGTCGAAAAGGCAGGTAATCTCCGCCCCGTCGGAGCCCCTCCTGTTGCATTCGCCTTCACTGGGCAAGGTGCCTTCTACAAAGGTATCGGCTCTCAATTATACAAAGACTTTCCAGCTTTCCGCACGCAAGTCCAGCAACTCGATCAACTTGTGCAGCAATTTGGTTTCCCTTCAATCACTACAGCCGTGGAAGGCTCCGTTGGGGACGGCGTATCTCCTCTCGTCACACAGCTTACGATTGTTGTTATCGAAATCGCATTGGCGAGATTCTGGGCTCTGTTTGGTATTACTCCTAGCGCAGTCATCGGCCACAGTCTCGGTGAGTATGCCGCTATGGTCGTAGCGGGTGTGATGTCCGCTGCCGACGCAATCTTCTTGGTAGGCAAGCGAGCAGAACTCGTCCTCGCATCAGCCGAGATCGGGAGCCACATCATGTTGTCGGTCCGAGCAAGCGTGAAAAATATCAAAGAAGCTGCTGGTCAGAACAAATCGTACGAAGTGTCCTGCATCAATGGACCTGACGATACAGTCATCAGCGGTCTTCGCAGTGATATCCAAGCTACCCGTGCATCATTGGAAGCCAAAGGACACAAATGCATGGAATTAGACGTTCCATTTGCGTTCCACACTGCACAGATGGATCCAGTGCTGGAACCTTTCGAGCAGATTGCGAAACATGTCGCTTTCAAAGCACCTAGCGTCCCTATCCTTTCTCCTCTCCTTTGTGACGCCATTTTTGATGACAAGACCGTCAATGCGAGCTATCTCTGTCGTGCTACGAGGGAGACTGTCGACTTCGTTGCTGCTCTTGAGGCCGGTGAGGATCTTGGCATCATTGAAGACAAGACTCTGTGGGTTGATATTGGACCACATCCAATCTGTGGTTCGTTCATCCGCAGTTGCGTGAAAGACGCTCGAGTCATCCCCTCGTTGCGCAAGAACGAAGAAAATTGGGCATCTGTGACTAGCAGTCTGGCCGCTTTACACTCCGAAGGCCTTTCTATCTGCTGGAACGAATACTTCCGAGACACTGAAAGAGCCCACACCCTACTCGAACTTCCCAAGTACCAATGGAATGAGAAAGATTATTGGATACAGTACGAAGGCACATGGACCCTCGATAAAGCCTTCCCTCATGGCAGTTCAAACAAGGCAAGCTTGAGTGCATTCGGAGCTAGTGGATCCTCCCTGAGGACCTCATCAATACATCAAGTGATATCAGAAGAGTTGCAAGACACCACTGGCACTCTGATTGCGATCTCAGATCTTATGCACCCAGATCTCTTGGCCGCTGTATGGGGCCATAAGATGAACGATAACGGTGTCGCCACATCTGTAAGTACTTTCATACCTCGATCTGAGCATAGCTGACTTCACCTAGTCTATCTGGGCCGACATGGCTGCCACAGTCGCTGAACATCTCTACAAGAGCGTACAGCGAAAAGCCAAAGACGTCTATCTCGACGTCGCAGAAATGGAAGTCCTCCATGCTCAAATCGCGCAGAAAGACACCAGCAGCGCTCAACTAATACAACTCGAAGCCACCATCGACCTCGGCGCACAAGCCACTCAGATCTATTGGTATACTATCGATGCAGAAGGCTCCCGCTCAGAAGCACACTTTGCATCCGCTACCGTCCGCTACTCCAGCCCAAAGAAATGGCACACAGAATGGGACCGCGTCTCGCACCTTGTCCAGGGCCGCATCGAATCTCTCTCGCGTATGGCAGCCGAGGGCGAAGCCAACCGCCTTAACAAAAATATGGCTTATACCCTCTTCAAGAACGTGGTCGACTACACCGAAAAATACCGCGGCATGCAATCCGTCGTGCTCAACGACCACGAAGCCTACGCGGACATCACCCTCTTCCCCGAGCGCCACGGCAAATGGCACACGCCCCCGCACTGGATCGACAGCGTCTGCCATCTCGGCGGCCTGATACTCAACGGCTCTGACGCCCAAAACACCAAAGACTTCTTCTACGTCACCCCCGGCTGGGACAGCTTCCGCCTCTCCAAGCCCCTCGAGGCTGGCGGCAAATATCGCAGCTATGTCAAGATGTTCGAGACTGGTGAGACAAATATGTATGCTGGCGACGTGTATATCTTGCAGGACGAGACCGTCATCGGCATGATGGGCCAGATGACCTTCCGCAAGGTCAATCGCGTGCTGATGAATCAATTCTTCTCTGCCCCTGACGCGGGCAAGAAAGCCTCCTCTGGTGCGGCTGGTGAAGCGGCGCCGAAACCAAAAGCCGCTGTCCCGAAGCCTGCGCAGAAGAAAGAAGAAGCGCCCGCTGCGCCGCCGGCGGAGAAGACAAAACCCCTGCCTGAGCCGAAACAGGCGAAGGAGGAGCCGAAACCTGCTGCTGCGGCTGCGGCCGCACCAGCAAAGGCAAGCGTGGAAGACAATATCATTGGCGATGCGCTGAAGTTGATTGCAAGGGAGACGGGCCTAGAGGCCGAGGAGTTGACTGATGATGCCAGCTTTGTGGAGCTGGGGGTGGATAGTCTGATGAGTTTGGTCCTGAGTGAGAAGTTTAAGAGTGAGTTGCAGGTGGAGGTTAAGAGTAGTTTGTTCATTGAGTGTCCGAGTATTGGGGAGATGAAGGGGTGGTTGGAACAGTTTTGTTAGATGGGGAGGGGGAAGGGATGGAAAAGAGGCGGGGATGGGGGAAGGGTTGAAATCTCGTAAGTCATGTCGGGATGGTAAAAATGTTGGAGAGACATCCTGTATTTTTCATGCGGGCGTTATCGGGTTGGTGATGCAATAGATCGATAATGCAGATATATCGTATATGTCCCGTGTTCTTCTTATGTTGCACGTTTCTGCTCTCCTGAAATCCTGCTCCTATCTCCCCACAACACTTCGACAAGCCTAATCATTGCACTCTCTACTGCGAATTTAGCTGTGTGTTGCTTACCTAACTATATCTAACTTATACCTCCCTCCCCCACCCTATCTTCCTCCAAACCTCCACCCTCTTAGATCTTCATCGCGTTCATCCCAACAGTAGCCTGCCTCCCCTTTTTTTTCTGACTTCCATATACCTCGCACTCAACCTCATTCTCCGAGCGCTGCGTACTTTCTAGTCCCCCCCCCCCCTTCCCCCTTCTTTCTTCTGCCCACCCACCCACCTACGTCCTCCTGTTTAATTCTTCTCTACATTGTACGTTCGAGGCAAGAGACGACGAATTGCCTCGTAGGGTTTCAGATGGGAGTTGTGGAACGTGGATTGGAGCGGTGATGATGGGAGGGAGGGAGGGAAAGCGGAGGGGGAAAGGGCAGGGGGAAAGGGGAGGGGGGTGTTGGGATGTCCTTTTTTTGTGGGTGAGGGAGATGGGATGGATGGATGGATGGCGAGTTAGAGACGTGAGGGGTTCTTCGGGGGTAAATGAGAGGGTAGGAAAGGAAGGGTAGGACAGGGCAAGTCAAGGCAGGGATGGGAGTAACAGAAATACAATTGAAGGTCCGTCGAAGTCCTACTATCCCATTCTAATTTTTCCCCAATCTCTATTTGACAGAAGAGAGCTCTACTGCTTCAACCCACACACAATAACACTATTCCGCATCGTAGGCATATACGTCTTCACGGCCTCGATCTTCAGCCCACACCGTCCCTCAAGCAACTCGTGCCACTGCTCCACCGTCCGCTCCAGCGCGCCCAGCATCGCGTACATGTGCAGATCCAGGCACGCGCTCCACCAATGCACGCCTTGGTTCGGCAACGCCATCTCGTCAATCAGGATCTTGCTGTCCGGACCCATTGCCGGGATGATTTGTTTGAGGATTTCTTCCGACTTGACGTCGTCCCAGTCGTGCAGGACGGTGCGGAGGTAGTAGAATTTGGCGCCTGGTGGTTGTTGTGAGAGGGGCGTTCCACATATCGAGGGAGAAAGGAGATGGTGATAGGGGGAAGGGGGAAGGGGGGAGGGAAGGGGGGATTACCTTTCACAGGCTGGGGTTCGAAGAAATTGTGGCTCTTGAACTCCACCCCATCAATCGCCTTCGCACTCGCAATCGTCTCCTCCAAATCCTCGAGGATGATCTTGCCGGCCAACTCCGGGCGTTTCGTCCGCAGCCGCGCGCACTGGTGTCCGATGCTGCCGCCTACGTCGACGAAGAAAGCTTGATCGGGCCCCGCGGTCACGTTGTCGAAGGGCGCGACGTCTAGCCAGTCGCCTTCGCGGGGTACGCTCATTAGTTGTTGGAACCAGGTGATTTCTTTGGGGTGCTCTTTTGCCCAGGGGAAGAAATCTTGGTCGGTTTGCAGGCCGGCGTGCCATGCGAACTTTTGCGGGTTCGAGTGGTATTGTTGCGCTTTGAGGTGGTCGGGCATTGCTTGGTAGACTGGGCCGCCGATGTTGTGGCTGGAATTGGGGTTGAGTATGTGATGGTATGGTTGCTTATTGGGGGAGGGAGGGGTGACTTACGTGTAGTACATGGCGCCATTGATACGCGGGTCGGCGAGGGCCTTGGTCGCATTGTTGGCGGTGAACTCGTCCTTGCCTGTTTCGGCGATCAGACGGCGCGAGGCGAGGTAGCGGAGGAGTCGGCCGATGAGGAGGGGCTCGGCGCCTTTCTCTGTTGAGAACTTCTCGACGCTGATGGGGGCTTGGCTCTCGGAGAGGGTGGTGAAGAGATTCAGGTCGCAGCCGGCGCGGACGACGGAGATTTCGAGGGACTTGATTATATTAGATGGTATGGATGGGCTTCAAGTGCAGCGTCTACGAACTGTGTTGAACAACCTCAACATGGTGTCATGGGGAGTCTCCATGGCATCGGCTGCGGAGCGGAGAGAGTCTTGGAGCTTGAGGCGGCTGGCCTCGTCCACCATTTGGGTGGAGCCACTGAGGGGGGCAAGAAGTGAGTCCATGGTAGATTTGAAATGTTTTCAATTATTTGATGTTATGGTTGGAGTTGTTGTGTAATGTCAAGCCCAGTTTGGAAACTGAGACCTGCATGGACAACTCTCTCCATATTATAACTACATACTGTGATGGTGTTGGTCTGGCACCAGCACCATGTTCGCAGTACAGAGTAGCCAGCTCTGCTCCCCCGGGCCTGCAGGACGGATGCCGATGGAGGCCATTCTGATGGGTTACATGCCCCAAGAGTTTGGCCAACCTCGCCGTCAGCAAATCGAAGACATCGGAGTCCGGGCCTGTGCTACGTGACGGGCGGCGTCAGGTAGAGTGTCAATCCTCTGCAGATCCCTCAATCCTCAAACACAGATCTTACGCGGCAACTTGAGACGGCAATGCATGCAGAACACATCAAAAGGCGCACTGGTGCCTTTCGATGCAAGTACTCGATCATGCAAGCAGGCGTGCGGCGAGGTCCCGAAGGATGGGTGGTGTGAGAGACACGTGTGAAGGATGGGAGAGTACTGTAGCTCCAACGCGCGGAGCTGAAAGGAAATGCGGGGGCCACTGCGGCTGATAAGCACGAGTAGGTCATAGAGGACCGGAGTAGATGTGAGCGGCCTCTCAGCTGTTGGTCCTCTGGATAGTCTGCAAGAACTAACAATGCCAAAAATAAGGACGCACATTGACAGGACAATAATGCGGACGATCCAAGGATTGGCATGTGCAAGTCAGCAGGATTCGCCTGAGGGATTCCATTGAGTTCATGCGCAGCCTTACCTAAGTCGTATTGGCGACAGGCGATCCCTGCACCTTGCCCTACTAAATACGCGTGTCGTGGTACGTACCGTTCGCGGAATTTCATCCTATCTTCGTTGGTTTCGATCAGCAGGGTCGTAAGATACCGTTCTAACTGAAAGGACTTAGGGCTGTACCATCGTAAGACCGTCCTGCCTGTCCGTCACTAGCGGTAAAATTGATCGGCGGCCGGTTTAAGCTGGTGGCCGCCGTCTAGAGGGAGTCTAAGAGGGCCTCCCGGCCGCCTTCCGCGGGCTCCTGGGGCGTGCTCCGGGGGTGGCCTGCCAGTTGCGAAATGAGGTGTCGCTAGTGCCACTGCTGTCGATGGCGGGATGTGGCGGCGACGATGACGACAGCTGCCTTCAGGAACCGATTGGCCTTATCGGACGAGACTGCTCGATCGACGTTGAGAGGACTTCCTCCTGCGCCCATTGCAATGACAATATTCAGGAACAAGTCGAGACAATAGGGAGAGCCGTTGAATATATGTCGTGAATTCTTCACTAGCATGCACGGCGATTAAGTCTATCGAAAAGGCTATTTAGCAAATTCATCATCGCAATGGAACGCTTACCTTACTCCGATGCCCTACCCGAGGTCGCCACGGTCCGCCTGTCACGTCCTGTCATGTGTTGCTGTGGACAAATCAAAGACATATCGTGCATCGCCCACTGGGAAGGTGAGTTGATGCAGGAGGCTGGTGGGTTTCAATGACGCGTCGAGTTCGACGTGACGTGGAGATTGCCTTTGTCGGCTATCGCAAAGGGATCCGAGAGTCATGCCAGCGTATGGTTGGCTCCTGATAGGGCTCAAATGCTGGAGAAAGGGGTCTCGCTCGATAGTGGATACATCAGTTAGGGTCTTGCAGTAATATAGGGTGAAGTGGGATGCATTAATGACGGGTGGCGGCATGATATTGGAACTGAATATGGCAAACCCACTCGTCAGGGATGGTGCGTCAATGCGGAGTCAGCATCGGCTATCACGGTTGACGCTCGATGGGGAACTGTGGAATCCTCATCCGGTAGATAAATGGATGGATTTGGAGTGATAGCTCGGCTCTCGTGCTCTTCGGAGTTAGAGAAAACGCGAAGAGCCGTCAACTAATGCCTGAAGTTTTGACGACATCCCAACGACATTTCCTCTTCATTCTGCAGACAGTGCATCAAGTACCTTTTCAATACTCTGATATCCACATGGCATACATTTGAAGAGATCATCCGATGGCAATGGCTTTTTGGCGCTCAAACGCCGGTGCCGGTATCCGAACGCGACGGCGATTTCTTAGCCATCAGACCCTGTAAGTCCATTGGTCAACTCATCATCTCTGAGAGAAAGAACAGCATAAGAGGGTAATACGGTGGCTGATTTTGAGCCAGGCTCAATAAATAGAATCTATCAAGCTCAATGATACCCATCGTTGATACTCGTCATCAATCACTCCCCTTGATATGCCCTGGATCCCCCTGAGCCCGAGGTGATGTCTGATCACAGAGAAGAGGGAGATCATAACGATCTCCAAAAGTACGCTGGAGTAAGAAATGGTCGCCTTCCCATATGCACCACACCAATACCATGCCTCATCTCGGCCGTGATGTCCGTAACCCCGAAGTATATCTCGACGCCAAAACCCAATGCTGAATCCCGCATCGCCTACGCTTGATCTCAGGCTGGAACACGAATACCTTTGAGCACTGGGGTTGTGTCTGCCTTCGCAGCCTCTAATTGACCTTGGAGAAACGAACTCAGGCTCTTTTGCACGGCATCTCCCAACCCCGACTCCTTCGACGGAAGGCGTGTGGAGTGTGCTTTCCCTGGAGAAGCAACCTCACCTGAATCTTGTTTACCTTTCGAGATGGTCTCAATCAAAATCTCAAGATGTTGCAGCTCGCTGAAAACGACCTGCGCCCGAATTTTACTCTCGAGTTCGAGGTCACACGAATATCCACCCATTGTGACAGGCTGATGGAGTACACGTTCTATTCCGTCTTCACTATCCTCACCACTATTAAGCGTTGACTCTGTCGTCGATGCTTTGGTTGGCTGGTAGTTCCGAATGATGGCTCGATACCACGATATGAGCTTGCCACAGATGATGGCCAGGAGGAGTTGCAACTGAGAGCTCGAAGAACATGTGCATTTGGCGATCTCAGCAACTGACTCGATGACTTCCTTATTTGTCGAAAGCACTGAGTCGATCATTCTGGGTTGATGAGGCATGGATTCTTCATCATGGGTCGACAAACATGCCGGCGGCGGCACATGGAGAGCTTGAAGTATCTTCAGAGCCGACGTCATGCAGGTTCTCTTTTGATCTGAGCAGCTACTCCACTTCCGTTTCCTAGACACAGTGCGAGGTACATCGTCCTGCACAACATCAGGAACTGGGGAATGGATACTGCCACTTGCATCGCTAGCAGCAGAGAAGAAGTCCTCCTTCGGTGAAAGAGATACAGCATCCTGTCTGAATGCCTTGTCGAAGGGGTTGGTCGACATACTCGCAAACAAGGCTGACGGCGTGAATGATTTACACATAGCGTCGAAGTCAAAACCCGTGTTGAAGGCCGTACCAAAATCAGCAGCCGAGACTGGCGGCGCCCAGTGAGGATGGGAATTGTCGCTGGCACTGTTGCCGAGCTCTCGTGCAAAGCCTAGAGATTGTTTCTCCCCCACCGTACCATAACCTGAATTTAGACTGCTCGGAGCCAACGGATCAGCGACGACCTGGTTCCAGAAGTCTGATGGCTCTACACCGGTGGCGAATGGTAAGAAGCCCGAAGATTGATTCAAAGAATTGCTGGGTGACACGTTTGTATCGGTAGATGTCTTCGCCTGCGGCATTGTGAAAGTGTCCTTAGGCGAGACCGTTAAGGACCCTGACCGTGAGTGGGGTTGCCCCACCTCAATAGGGTCTGCTCCTGAAGTGAAGTGAGCAAAGAATGGATCGAAGGTTGCGTCTGCCATTGGATTGATCTTTATTGTCTCGTCTCCTGAGGATCCGTGATGTGATGATGACTTCCTGGACGGGCTGTATGAACAGGCAAGACCCCGCCCTATGCAAGGGAGGCATTTTGGACGCTGGCGACCACACTTTATTTTCGCAATCCCACAGTTATCACAACTTTCCCTTATTCTCGGTGGTCGCCGATATGGTGGAGAGGACGACGACGGTCTCTTTACGGGCGGCATGTCGACAAGGCTCATCGAAAACGAGTGAGATCCACCTCGACGACCTCAATGGAGGACAAATGGAGGAAAAGCAGCCATCTGGAAGAGGCAGCAGTCTTACAAGCGCAGCTAAGCCTTGGTAGGAAGACAGCGGCAGCTGGAGCGGCGCAGTCACTGCCACACTCCCTCCCTTCTAATCTTCGATACTTCAGTCTTACTAGAGAAGTCGACACGGTTCGCCCGCTTTATCCGGCTCCGACCTCAGGCGTGCCGAGTACACTGGCTGTGAGCTTAGAACGGTGCGGAATCCACGGCGGAATTACACTAGTCGCTTGAATTTCATCGACAACACGCTGATAGCTCGTGAAACCAGCCTCCCTGACTTCTCCACATGAAGCGAAACTGCAATCCTGCGGGTCCTTGACTAAAGACCGCGGCTTCTGACGCTGATTCCTGGAGGATGACTGCCACCCAGTAAGCTGAGTGCCCCAGTTTTGTCATGTCAGAGTCTCCTTTTGTTCGAAGTCTATTGCCCTCTGGTGGTTCAATTGTTTGATGGGCTGACCAGAGCGCGACACGTCAGACTATGCGGGATCTACAGGGGCCTTGCATGATTAACGAAGGTCAGATAAGCGATGCAACCCAGCACGCAATACAGGTTTAAGCTCGCGAGCTGTATCCTATTCTGCGTATAAATTACGGTTTTGCTGTATTCAGTCTAAAGTAGCGCCGTTACGACCCTTCTGGCCGCAAAAAGCCCTCATATTCACCACGTTCGTTATCTCCTGACTCTCGATCGACAGATCACACACGATCATGACGACTCATGAGACATAGCGATATCTCGTCCCACCGCAATGCCATTCATATCTATCGCCCGGCCATGATAGAGCTAGCTACGGGAACAAGGACATATGCAGAAACGCCATCAACAAACCCATGCAAGGAAATTTCCCCACGTGCTTTCATGCGACCTCCCTCTACAGGCTACGTTACTCCAATGGATCCTGCAGCATCTCTCAACAATCCTGGTCCCCGCACGTGTCGCATCCGCGATGGGGCACACATAGGAACCCGACGAGATACTTTTGGTGACTAGGGTCCGTATGACCCGACGTATCCAAAACGTAGCCCACGCACTCCAAAATCAGCACTAGTCCGCCGAGCACAGACTCATGCGCAGAATAAGGCCCTTGAGGTGGCATCTGGTGAGATGTCTCCGACCGAATCTCATGGCAATCAGGAGAGCGAGTTACCGGACTAGGAAGTGTGGTGACAAGCTTTCGGCAACATTTCTATCAACGGCAGCCAACATTTAAGATCACTGCTAGCTCCCACCCCCATGTTTGTGAGGCAGCCTACAGTCGAGATCTACACTTGCCTTCCCTCCTGAAACATCACTAAACGCCGTCAACATCATCATGTCTACCAGCAAGACCTCCTCCCAGAAACAGAAACTCAAGGACACATGTGACCAATGTTCAGCATCGAAAGTAAAGTGCAGCAAAGACAAACCTGTGTGTACTCGGTGTGACAAATTAGGATATCCATGCTTTTACAGTCCAGCAAGACGGATGGGAAGACCTCATCCTCCACGCGAGGGCTCGTCTTCGAAGAAATCAGAACAACCCAAATCTCACACAACGAGTAGACACGGCAGCATAGACAGTAGATCGATTGCGTCGTCACACGATCCCCAAGACTTTCTCGGATACGACATGCAAAATTGCTCCATTGACGAATATCCGGAGAACACATTCGGTGACGGAAGTGCCCTGGATTTCTGCGGATCTGGGATGCCACCCTATCAAATGAATTCCCTGCAAACGGACCCATCTTATCTATACGAACCACCGCGAGAGAATGCATCGGCCTTCGGTGCCAAAGACGATCTGAGCAGATCCAGCTCCAACGGAACAATGTGCAGTAACGACAGCATCTTCTCCCAGTGTTCAAATTACGGTAGTAGCATGTCGAGTGTGGGTAGTTCCAGCGGGCTCGCAAGTCAAGGGCGCTCTAAAGGACAGGACTTTGACTGCGCAACAACGGCCATGAATATTCTTCAGGAACTCAATATGACATCCATTAAACCATCCGCCGAAATTGACCCTCCTAGCCTCGATGCAACGACAAACGCTGCCTCAGCTGCTATCAAGCGTATATCCACCATTCTCGTCTGCCCGTGCTCTCAAAAGACCGACATCGCCCTCTTGGCATCTGTGGTCTGCGCTGCAATCTTGGACACGTATGCAACGATCCTACACAAAGCAGGTGGCTCAAAGAGTCGAAAGAGCTCTTCCGGGATGAGTAAACATAGCACTATGTCTATGGTCAAGGATGTAATGAGAGACGCGGATGTGATGGATCTATGTCCTTCAGGTTCCCCACATATCCATGGAGGGTCAATCAAGAAGAAATCCATGATGCGAGTATTGGAAGATCTACCGAAAGTGGCAAAGTTGGTGGACCAATTCTCCAGGCGATACAAGAAGCAAGGAAACGGCTCTGACGACTTTTTGCCCGCATTGGCCACGTCATTAAAATCAGGGCTGAAGTCTTTGACCAATGAGGCTACGAATTGGGTAGCTCAATGATTGAGCTTCTACGGAAGAGTAGATGAGGGTCAAGGATCTAGGTGATAATGATGAAGGTTACGGATCAGCAAAGGGGCAACAGCGCCCCTAATTCTAGCCAGAAGAGGACTACAGTCATATGATATTTGAGCCGAGGCGTTGAAAAGTCGTTTGGATACCTCGAGTCTCGGAGGCAGAATCTTTGAGCGTTACGCATAGATCGCAGGATTGACGACATGATCATGAATCTAATGAACTGCATTTGGGAGCGCCTACTTCGCGTGGAATTGTGAGCTATGCGAGATACGATGGATAGATGATTAGACAGATACCTATGCAAATTCAATGATATTAATCACAAAGTACATATCCTGATTGTCGACGTGCGTCTCAACAGCCTGCCAAGCTCGGGTGAAGCCTCCAGCTAAATGGCACCATCGGCCCCCCGTTCCCCTGAACCCGCCCCCTAGAACCTAACATCTTAGGGGCTCTTGCAGTGACCCTCAGGCCACCCTAAGCACCCCAGAACGGGCGCTTGGCTTCACACGACGGAGCTAATTTCAGACACCTTCAACCACTTCCTTCATACGAGTCCGCGCCCCCTCTCGCCACGAATGGCCTCATCACCACATCACCAGAGTAATGCTACTGCTACTGCTACTCGCCTGAAACATTCTTATATACGCCACTACGTTGATTGAAACAAGGAATGAGGTACGAGGTCCAGTACCTCATCACGGACCAGCAAATCATACGGTTCTCTTCTAAGCTTACGTAGATCTTTACCCCCGGAATATGAGCCAATCCTCCACCCACCTCAGCTTACCGTATGCGGGACCGCATGCAGGATGGGGCGGGCAATATCGACCGATCGAATGGTCGAATATTACATAAATACCTGCGTATCGGAAAAAGGAATACGATCGTCAGCGGGAACATACGAGGCGAAATGCACGCCACGCGATGAGGCTACAATGTTGATCGGTCATGGAATGGAGAATTAGAAACTGGAGTTGATACAAGAGCAAGGAGGTACATCGAAAAGATCGGATTGTCGTACCACTACCCAAATCCGCCACGCCACGCCACGTTTTCGGAATGCAATGGCACGTCGGTTGCTTTTGCCATCCGCGCGCCGAATGCACCAGATCAACCCACCCCGCTCCATACCATACCAGATCATTACCCTACCACACCAATACATTTACCGCTGGGTACACATCTAAATAGGTGTCGATGTGGATTATGCGGCTGATGGATTCAGCACCCCATATCTATTGAATGAGCACGGAAAGGGGGGTGAGGGTACATAGGTGTCACGGGCGACATGATTGGGGTACTGGCCCCCAAATACTGCCTACAGGGTGAGAGGAAGCGCCATGCCCGCTTCGGACATATGTTGTATCAGATTTGGAATTGTGACCGATGCTGTGGGGAAGGGAAAGAAGAGCGATAGGGTTTGGCGGGATGAGTCAGGCCGGGACGGGTTATCCATATTGCATACGCACTATCCTCAACGCAAGGTATTGAGCCGGAAAGTGGTGTATGATACAATGAAAGATGATGACGGATACATACGAGTTTCGTGATGGGCAGGATTAAGAGGATGTATTGGTGATGATAGTGTGATGAGGAAGATGGTTGGAATAGGATGGATGAGAATATACGCTGGCCTGGCCTGGCCTGGCACGAACGGCTCGGGAAGAGGGAGGATGGGCCGCCGAGACAGGGACCGATGGAGATTTTGAATGCCATGACGGAAACGATGAAGATCTGGAATCCCGAGTGCAATCTCATTGGCTACGTCGTGTCTGTGACGACAAGACAGCTCCCGGGGTATGAAATGGGAGACGACTTCCATAACCGAAATAACAGAGAGACACAAGAGGCTTCAGCTGTTCATGCGGTCTATCGGTGCATAAGAAGCGTTAAAAGCACTGAGATGGGAGGGGAGAGGGTCTGAGCTGTGCAGTAGGCAAAGAGGCCGGTGGTGGCGACTCGGATATGAGGAACTGTGGCAGAATGAATGGCACAAAGAAAGGGGATTGTATTGAAATGGCTTCTATGATTCTACAATCAAACTCTGATATGTGGTTGTCATTCGACGCCAGTACTATGCGAGCAGGAAAACACCTTGTTTCCCCCTCCACCCCTACAGGGACTCCAGCGTGGTACATCGATTCACTGATATTAAAGAAAAGTCCGAGACTTCTTCCCCTCCTTGCACAACTGACCCCCTCCATACCATCAGCACACAAGTCGGCCAACACAACCGACGTAAAAATCGAAGACTCAAGATTGCGTGTTGTGTTCATTCCCATTTCTCGTAGTCGGGGAAATAGCGCTTGTGGACGCGGTTGGCGTAGTCCATGATGGTGGGGTAGGATTTCACTATGCTCATCGTTTCTGGGGAACTGTGCACATATGTAGGGTGTTAGCTTGATCTTAGTGTTTTAAGATGGGGTGCTGCTTTGATTCGGTGTTGTGGACCGCTTCCCTTTCCACCTTTTTCTCTGTTATGAGAACTCTTTCATCCCACAGCTCCTGCTCTCATAAAATGTGGAATGAAGAGGGGAGGAAGCAGGGAAGGGATATCAGGCAAAGCAAAGCAAATCAAGGCGGGAAAGATTTGGAGAGGAGGGTTATGAAGGGGGAGGGGGGATTACTCACGCAGCACAAACCAGCGCGCTAGCTACAAACCCATACAACGTCGCGTCCACCTCTGTCGGGCCTTCGCCGCCCAGGAGCCAGAAAAGTCCTTCTTTCCCCTTGCCGCCTTTCTTTTTCGAGGCGGACAGGAGCGCGTTGATGCTGTCCCAGACCTGTTTTCCGAGCACACCGTCAGCAATGCCATGCCAAGACCGTCACATAGGGGCTTAGTGGGAGAAGGTAGGTGGACGTTCATCAGAGGAAGTATACAAGTAATGGAGAGGGGGAAGGAGAGATGGGAAAGGGGGAGGGAAAGGGCAGGGGGGTAACACACCTCCTTCTTCAACTCCGTCAACTCCTCAGGCGTGTATCGCCCCGTCCCCTGCCCCTGCAACGCCGCTGAGTTCTTGCGGTACGCGATCAGGCCTACGATTACTTGCATTGGGTACGGGAGCGCGGCGAGGACGGTCGGGCGCATTGTGTAGTAATTTTGTTCCCAGCGTTCGTAGACCTGTTGTTTATTAATTTGGTGTGGGATGGAAGGAATGGAGTGTGGTAAGTTTAGAGTGTAAATGGCAGGTAAAGGGGAAAGAAGCCGATGCAGGAAGGGAAAGATGATCACTCAACGAGTTTGGTGGAAGTCGGAATATGACGTTTAAGGACGTGGGTGGGGAATCGAGAGTAGATGCTCGCTCTTTTTCGAGGAAATGAAGTGGAGGAGACGAGAAGAAAAAGCAGACATTTATTGGAATGGCAGGTTGCAGATCAAAAGAGGGGGAATCGTACCTGATAGAAATACAACTTATCCTCCAACAGCGCCCTGAGCGCCAAATCCGTCGCTTTTTCCACCCCATCCAGGTTCTCGTTAATATCCTCCATTAGGCCATCGGCGATGAATTTCTCCGTAATGAACTTGGAGTCGGAAAGCCTGCACCACCGCCATTAGCCCCTTATCGATACCACTCCACCCTCTCCGTGTTTCTCCCTCTATCGCTTTCTACGTGTGAAGATACGTGGATAGAGAATAGGGGGCAGGAAGGGGAAATAGGAACTTACGTCTCAACCTTCACAGGCGCCTGCTCCTTCCCCTCCGGCCTTGACACCGCCAAATACGGAATTTTGCCTCTAGGCGCTTTCATGGGACTGCCGGGCTCTTTTGTCCCGCGACAAATGTGCTCGTTAGTGTGAGTTCATAACAGTAGAGCAGAAGGTAGGAGAGGGGTGGAGGGGAGGGGGATACCTATGCGGTACGAGATGTTGGCGAATCGGAGACGAGTCTCGAGCTTTGTGACGAAGGGAGACCAGACGTAGGCGTTTTTGAAGGCGAAGCCGCGGTAGAGGGTTATGGAGGGGGCTGGGGGCGCCATTGTTATGGTGGTGGATTTGTTGGACGTGGGTTGACGGTGAGGAATTGCGGGATTTGAGGTGAAGAGATGTTGTTGTGATGAAGTGTGTGTTTGGATAATGAGTGAAGGTGAGTGTTCGGAGAAGGGAATCCAGGTGTTAGTTGGAGAAGCCAAGTGTCCACGAGTCAGTCGTCCAAGAGATTTGGATGATGGTTGAATAAGGTAGTAATTCAGTCAGTCACTCGTAGGTGAGAGGAACGTGGGAGGGTCTGAAGTTGATGGGAGAGGGCTCGTACGCAGCTCCCATGCCATCCCATCAGGCTGTCACATCCTGAAAAGCGCGTAGCTGAGACATAGGCAGAGATGTATCTGATTGGGCCGCGAGATGAGGGGCTCGGCATGCCTTACGTAAGCGGCCTGTCAGTATCGGCCCGCTGTTTGTCGGATTCCGGGGTAGATTAGCGCCGGGACATGCGGGGCAGCCGCTCCAGGCCGAGATTGCGGGCTCAGTTCGGCCATCCCTCAGGGGCAAGTCATGCAAGCAAACGCACGTCGACGGACACATCGTGAGGATGAGGGGGCGGTGAATATGATATAGCGGAAGCAGGTGATGTCATGCATATGAAACGCTGCAAATGGTAGGGCAGAACGCGTCTATACATTCATCGCTGTCTATCAGGATATCAAACCGCGCACAATCTCTCCCATAATGAGGGCTAGGAAACAACGATACCCGTCAATGAGACCACATGCTCAGTTAGGGCTGATTAAGGCTGAAATGATCAGCTCTAGTGAGCAGCCACAGCTTCAGTGGCCGCCGTAGCCAGCGAAGGCATGTCCGCGAAGATCTTGTCCTCGTTAATCATCTTGCTCATGATATCCTGCCTCGGAGCGTCTGCCATCTTATCCGCCTTCTCGAGACCGAGCTGTCCCCTGATGACCACGGGCCTCATACCGTCGACGACGTCGGCGTTGAAGCTGTCGATGTTCATCGTGTCCTCGGAGCGCACCATCGAGCGTGCGCGGATGGTGGTCAGGATGCGCGTCTCTTCCTCGCTGAGCAACGATTCGGCTTCTTGCGCCTTTTGGCTGTCTTTGATGCTGCCGTCAGCTAAGTGAGTGCCTTCGAGTTTCTTGAGTATGGCGTCTTTCTCTTGGGGGCAATGGGTTGGAAGGCTTTGGCGGCGAAGTCGATCGAATTTGCCAATTCGGCCTGTGAGAGTTTGGTATGCGTGTCGTCTGCGTGGCCTTGAATGACTGGGTGTGCGTCAGCAATAATCACTCATCAGAATGGGAGGGGCGTGTACTAGGTCGGAAAAGAGCGAAAGCACGATCGAAACCATCCTCATCCCAGTCGCTTAGGACTGCCTCGTCCTTTGCCCGAATTTGCTTCAGGGCGCTGAGGACGACAACGAGGAAGCGAGTGTATCCCTCGGCAACCTTGTTGGTGTGCCACGTGTGCGCTGTCTGCTCGTCGCATTGGCCCTTCTTGACAGCGCAGATGGACGCTGCGGCGGAGAGACCGCTGGCAAGCGCCAAATGAACGCCGGAGGAGAAGAAGGGGTCAATGAAGCAGCCTGCGTCGCCTGCAATACGGACGTATGGGCTGGCGTAGGTCGAGGCGCTGTATGACCAATCGGATGCTTGTTTGACGTCCGAGACAAGGGTAGCGTCTTTGAGGAGATTCTGCACTCCTGGAACTTCCTTGAGTGTCTCGAGGAAGAAGTTCTTGGTGGATGGATCTTCCATATTCTTCTTCCTCTGTGTGGCGACGTCTTGATTTATCACGACGCCGACTGACCTCTTGTCATTGTGCAGGGGGATGGTCCAGACCCAGCCACTTGCGTCTACAATTTCGGTTTGTCAGTTTTGATCTGAAGGTGACGAAAAACACAATATTATCTACCTTGCAAAGCCTCGAAGTAAGGTGCACCCGCACGATCAGTTCCCACTCCGTAGTGGCCGGCATTTTCAAAGTAACCCCAGCTTGCGATGTTCTTCAAGCCTTGATTGTAGCGGCGGTTCTTGAGGTACTTAGTGCTGACAACACCAGCTCGTCCGGTGGCATCGACAATATATTCGAAGCTGATGGTGCCAGTGGTACCGTCTTTGCGAGACCACGTTGCAGAAACTGGTCGTCCCGGGTTTGGAGCGTCAGTGGTGGACGCGCCCTCTGTTGGGACCCATTCGATCGAGCTGACTTTGGTCGCATCGAAAACTTTGGCGCCCGATTCGGCTGCGTGATCAAACATGAGCTGATCTGATTCGGAACGCACCACATTCCAGGCATATCCGTTAGGGCCGCCGGCGGCAAGGAAATCAGTATCTAGTTACTTGTGAGTCCAGCTACATGATTTTTATGAAGCACTTTTGGCTTACAAGCTTCTTGTTTTGAGTTGAGCTTGAATGCGGCACCATTCTACATCTCAGCGTTAGACTTCGAGCATCTGTCAGGTACCGCAGATACCGACCTTTTGAACGAAGCCATGCTTGTCAAACTTTTCGTCGAGATCTATGAAGCGAAGGAAATGGCGTATGGATGCCAGCATACTCTCGCCGACATGATATCTATCAAACATTAATCCTGTCCTCCCCCTTTTTTGAAAACCGGCAGCAAACCTGGGAAATTTGTCTGCTTCTAGGACAACACAGTCAAGACCCTCGCGGGCCAAAGCTGAGGCGGTGAAAGACCCAGCAGGGCCACCACCGACAACAAGGACTGTAGTCTTCTCAGGAACAGACATGATAAGCTATGTGTATGTATGTAAGAGGGAAAGCGTGCTGCAAAGGGATTTTTGTCGGATAAGATTACAAGATAAAGTACAGATTGGTCCTGAGGGGTTATACGCGGTACATCCTGAACCTCTCATAGCTTTATATTCGGACTCTGATCTCTGACAATTTACAGATCTCAGTCAGGCACATTCGGACACCGGTGCATGTTAAAGATTGGCCAGCATTCAGATCTTTAAACATGTAAGCGAGCCGTTCTATGACGAGTACAAACGATGGTGGCTTCAGCAAATGCTCGAAAATTTGATCGAGGATTGCGAGCAGCTGATGTGGCAGAGCAACTTAGGTATCGGAACCCGAGGAGCGAGGCAGACTATGTAAGTAAGATCTGACGATCCCACCCCTGCAGGTGAGACCAGGAACGCTATATATGATTCCGCACATTGTCTGATGTCCCATCGTCCCATCATCCCACTTGATTCGCACGATTGCCACGTCTTTCTGGCGTGGGGATGCAATAATCCGGTCCACATGGCGGACTCTCTGCATTGAATGATTGAATGACGCTAGTGACGCTAAAGTAGCTCAACCCTAAGCGCCCCTTTTGCGTCATGGCTCCGTGAGGATTCCTTGAAGGTCCGACAATTGAATGAGTTCAATGCTAAAACATCGATACGGCTGCCACGCTGGTCTCCCAGATTACTACCCTTGTCCAGCTTGACCCACTCCCTCCCTTGCCTCCCTCACACATCACCAGCACTTCGATCGCCAGACCACAGCAGGCCCTCGAGATGTCGAACTCTTTAGGCATCGAGGCTGCAGAGGCCACAGACTCCATGGCTGCACAGGATAATGCCAATTTCAGCCTTCCACGTCCCATTCCACGACCAACGAGGCCCTATCCCAAGCGCGTGTCGTACCTAGCGTCGCAACGAGAATCACAGGTAGGCGACAAGCGTGACTCGCAGATCAGTAACAATCGGGACTCTCAGATAGGTTTGAGCAAGATGCATTCCGAAGTCAGCAACAAGAGAGCTTCACGAATGAGTTTGAGTCGATTGAACTCTGCTGTCAGCAGCAAAAGGGCTAGTTCGCGGATGAACTTTGAGGAGCGCAATTCACAGCTCGACCTCATCGACGTCGATTCCGGCAGGACATATCGTGAGCTCTTCTACGCTTTGGAACATCTACCATCTGGTCCCTCAATCAATTTCAATCTCCCGCGGGATGCTGCTGACTACCTCGCCAACATTTCGGAAAAGGATCTACTGAATCAAGATGCTCAGGCGAAGCTCGAAGGTCGGGAACAGCGACAGCTCTCTGTCATTGACGATTCCTCCTCCGAAGAGGTGGAGAAAGCGGAGCCACCCCCTCCTAATCCATGGATGGATCCAAAGTCTTTCCCAGACGGTGGGACACAAGCATGGCTTACGGTTGCTGGGTCAGCGGCTTGCCTCTTTGTATCATTTGGCTGGATCAACGCTATTGGGATCTTTCAAGAATACTACCAAAGCCATCAACTTAAGCAATACACTCCATCTGTAGTAGCATGGATCCCAGCCTTGCAGAGTAAGTAGATCGGCGCAAGTAATCATGCATGGTCTGACAGGCATCCAGTCTTCTGCATGCTGGTAGGCGGACTACCCGTCGGCCAAGTATTTGATAGATATGGTCCCCGGGGGCTTTTGGCGGCCGGCACCTTCCTTCACGTCTTTGGCTTGATGATGACAAGTCTGTCAACACAATACTACCAGTTTCTCCTCAGTCAAGCCATCTGTTCGGCCATTGGAGCCTCTATGGTGTTCTACCCCGCTTTTACCTGCGTAAGCCTCGGTGATCCTGCTTGAGCTCAGTCCTCGCTGACACACTCTGCAGGTATCTACATGGTTTTTCAAGAAGCGAGGGGCTGCGCTTGGATTAGTTGTTGCTGGCTCCTCCCTGGGTGGTGTCATCTTCCCCATCATGGTCATTCATCTCATCCCACAGGTCGGCTTTGGTTGGACAATGAGAATTTGCGCCTTCTTAGTTCTCGCATTACTCATCTTTGCGAATCTGACAGTGCGCAACCGCATCCCACCATCTAAGCGCCCCTTCGATCTTTTTGCTTTCATCCGCCCTCTCCGAGAACCCGCTTTCTCGCTGTTGACCGCGGCAATCTTCTTCTTCTATTGTGGGGTTCCCTCATCCGGTAGAGAGCGGTAGCTAATATCTCACAGGGGGCATGTTCATCCCTTTCACGTTCATCGTCGTCGAGGCGCTTGCCCACGGCATGTCTAATCGTATGGCCAATTATCTCGTCCCGATCCTCAACGGTGCCAGGTCAGTCATCCTTCCCGTATCTCACTCAACCTTAATGCTGACAGTTTAAAGTATCATCGGCCGCACAGTACCCAATGCTCTCGCCGATAAGGTAGGTCGCTTCAACGTCATGATCGTAATGAGCTCATTCACAACGATCCTCATCCTTGCCCTTTGGCTCCCGGCAACAAGCAACGTTCCCATTATCCTGTTCGCAGCACTCTTCGGTATCGGTTCTGGTGCAGGCGTTGGCTTGACACCCGCCCTTTGCGCGCAGGTCTCACCAATTCAAGAGATTGGTGTCCGAACGGGAACTGCTTTCACCATCTCTGCTTTCGCCGCTTTGACTGGCTCGCCCATCGGAGGTCAAATTATTGGCTCGACAGGGAAAGACTATCAAGCTGGTTTCCGCTACGCCATTGCATTCGGTGGTGCTAGTTGCGCTATTGGCACATGCTTGTTCATTGTCACGAGACTAGCTCTCGCTGGGACAAAGATCACCAAAATCTAAATCATTGCTACTGGAGGGTTTGACGAGATCGTACTGCTTATGAGCGGGAATTGTTTGACGTATTGCTTCGAATCGAAGGGCCAGAGCCTTGGTATCGCTATCGCTTTTGCTTTTTGCTATGACAACATCGTCGGTATTGGAGGATAAAGATAGGAATCATGACTTACGGCTACGGGACTTATTGCTATCTAGCAGGTCTTACTTGGAAGAAGCAATAGTACTAACAGCATCGCAGATGATATTGCTATGTAATGAAGCTCTCTCAAAACTTGAACTCCCCACCATCGTCCTTGCGCACCCTCATACATCAGACATACCTCTATTCATCTATCGAACCATCTCTTTCAGCTGCTTCCATGAAGCTCACACACTCGCCCGTTGCCGCCAACCCCCTTCACTCTTCCTTCCTCTTGTCCACGCCCCACTAGGCATGCTATAATTTTCATGAACGGAATTCAAGCTAGGAATGATCATCACCATCCTACCAAAAGATTTCCGAGATTTTGAAAGCGAAGTCATTGCGTTAACGGAGGAATTCCTAGGCCGTAGACGCTCCTCATGTCTCATATTCTCCTGCGCTGCTGCCCAATAGCGCCAGAAGGGGCTTAGCCAACGCCCAATTTATGTTGGGCCACACCCACACTCCATTATTCTCCCCCTCTTCCCCCTTCCCTTCTTCCCGTTTCCGCCTTTCCCCTTTTCATGTAATCTCACACTATAACTTTTCCCACTTACACCTCCTCCCCTCCTTCCCCATACCCCCTTTTCCCTGTTCGTCTCCTCTTGCCTATCGACAAAAGTCTGGTCCTGTCCACGGACGAAGAGAGTGACGGTTCTGGTCTCTCCCCAGAAGGGATAATATTCACTACATAGAGCCGCACTTTACATGGAAACTTTTTGGTAGCAGATGACAGCGTGCAAATACAGGAGGCGACGGGAATATCGATTATCGTTGCGAAATCATAGAAATCTCCTATCAAGTTTACCGAATGCGAGGCCTTTGCCAACGTGCCCTACTTCTCCCCCAACACGCTTGTCTTTGATGCTCTGGTCTATGAGGACGAGATCCAAGTCCACAGGCCTTCTTTCGTCTCCCCGGTTTTCTCAAATGGTATTATAGCTAGTCTGCCAAGATCATAGGCCTTTTCAATTTCCGTGTCCAGGAACAGTACTGGCCTTTAACCGTACAGCAGATTTGCCCCTGAATCGACGCCAAGATTCCGAGCGAGATTGGTATTCTGGACCTTCCTACTAATCAGATGAGCTATGAGGCGATCTAGTACGTGCTGCTGAAGCACTGTGCATGATATACCATTTGAAGCTTGTGGTGTAGCTTACTGAGTGAAATTAGTCTGGTGTAGTTCCCTTCGCTGTGAACTTCTTTGGTGCGTTTTCCCTCGATTTATTTTTCTTTGGCGAAAAAGGAAGTTTTGTCATGATATTCTGAGCTGTAGATAAAATTTAGAGGATTAAGAGGAGGATCCATGTCGCAGAACTTTCTCGCTTCTTCTTTCTGGTTTGCATTTTTGTGCTTCTCCTGATTCACTTCTTTTGGGTTCCGCGGTTCCTTCACAAGTGCCATGTCCCAAGTAAGGCGTTGTATCCATCGGGGAAGTGCTTGACAGTATTTGAATTCTGTTTTACCAAAATCTTATTCTTCTCGTTGGCGATCGAAGCAAGGTCACCGATGTGTGCTTCTTTAAGTGCTCGCAACGCCCTCCGGTATTTGTACCATGAAAATTGCATAATATCGCACAAGTCGCTGTCGGGTAGCTCAATCTAGATACAATCTAACACAAGCTCATTACATCTCCTTACTATCTCTTCGTAATCTTCTGAAAGAGCGACTAGATCGTCCTAGAAACGCTTGGGAAAGGCTGTCGAATGTCGGCTGGACTGATAAGTGACATTGCCACAGAAAAAGGCTGTTTTCGAAGCTTGAACCAAATACTGGCAATTGGTGTGGATTGGGAGGTTTGAAAATTGTGTACATGCTGGGTCGTGGAACACGTAGCCTGTGGTCTCGTTTGATATTGAGAAGTAATGAAAGATTTAAAAATTTCGTGCACATATGAAGCTGAGAAATTCTGAGGTGAGTACGAAGGTGGTCCTTTAAACAAAATCGTAGCGCTGCACCTTGGACAGACCTCACTTATCACATCATACAATAAACAACTGTCTCACACATATTCCTAATAAATGAAAGATTCTGTGGGTTTCGGAGCCTTTGTAAATGAGGCAGCGAACGATAAGCTGCATAAGGCCAGCTTCGCAGGGTGGTACAGCCCACATATGGCTACACACAGCGCCATCAGCTGCAGCCACAACGTTCGCACAAGGTGAAGAGTCGTATTCTGCAGTCTAATCAACTTATCACGTGGCCATTGTCTTGTAATGAGTATAGATTGCCCCCAAAACGAGGCGTTTATCACTCTCTTTCTCTTGGAACATTGCTGACACTCAAGAGCTATCAGACTGAGTATGTTGGGGGCGAGTTGAGGGTATGCAGTTTCATTCTTGGGAAGGCTGCACAGAGGTACCTTCTGGTGATGCCGAGATGTTTCAAAGTTCTATGACCTATTGCTGATAGTATCAGCTCCGCATAAGTCGCGCTGAGTTGCACCTGCGCCCCATAATAGAGGTTGCGTCGATGGGGGAAGGTTCAGTGTGTGGTTCTTGGGAGAATTGAGGTGCAACCCCTGTGATCAGGCCATGTCATATAGAACAGCCGTTTCGAGCCAGAAGAACGGACTATGTCTGCTATTGATTCGGTGCACGTATTCCCTCGAATCTGACGCCGCAGGTCAGAATCTCTATGAAAGGCTCAAGAAGGTCGGAGCTTGGAGGAGGGCTACTTGAGGTTCACTAAATTCCATCTCTAACACAAGCGTTTCGTAATCATAGTCGGAAGGTATGTATTGCCTCTTCAACATAAAGTGATGGCTTGTGATTGATCGAGTTGAAGTGCTTCGCCCTTCATGATGCCATGGACATAGCACTCCCCAATGATTTGATAACAAACGACGTCCCCGAGACCTTTGACTGGCCCTACATTCAACGGCCGGACCACGAAAGGATTATCTGCTCCGTGAAAAAGTACAACATCATCCTCGACTTGGGCAGAGTTCGGCGTCCAACCAAATCTGCCTTTGGTCGTGACACAAAACAGCTTGGAATTGGACAAGACAACAAGCGATCGTCCCACTCTCGCCATTTGTCCTGGTTGTTGTCGGTGTCTTGTTGCTAATTCAACGAAGCGATTCTGAGTCTCCGCACTCAGCACTTCTTGGTAGGTCTCAATGTATTGGAGAATCGAGGGTATCAATTCAGGTCTGACCTCGGTTCCATCAACGTTAATGTTGAATACCAGTGTTCTTAAGAAATTTTCTTGTTGGCAAGGCGGGATTATAGATATTTGGATCCCTTCGCCAAACGCCATAGCAAGCCAATTTACCATCTGGATTGCCTCTTGATTCATTGTTGACCATATAAATTCGACACTTGGAACGGTGTACAAAGGCTGAGCAGCTTCGCGCTCGTATCCCAGGCCGCGGATAGCATCCACGAATTGACCCTTCAGCGTTAGAAGATCATGATCAATAGAGACCTCAGGCACGGTTCTGCCAGATGCAGTATAGTAATGAGGATTCCTTGTCCAGGTGTCGTAGAAGAAACTCCAATTTGGTACCCAGCTCGGTGTTTGATACTCATGAGTGACTGGGACAGCGCATGCACTAGACAAGGATCTCAAACCTGTTTTGGACAGAAAGAACAAAGCCAAGTTTCGGTAGACGTCCTCAAGTGACATCGAATAATCAGCGTTAAGGTCAGATGTTATTTCTTTGCCGACCAGCCCAAGCAATCCGAACAGCTTGTCTTGTTTGTTTGTAGCTTCGAGTGCTCGTGTCATTATCAAAGCCGCAAGAAGTTTGTGTTCAGCTGCTGCAAGGTATCCACTTTTGATGTGTTTGATGTTAATTGGCGTATTTAGCCCACGTATACGTTCTGAGGAGAGCAGCCCAGCAATGTTATTATGGAATATAGCTTCGACGCCGCGAGTAATCAAATCCCATGGGAATTGCTTGTCTCTGTTAACCACCAAAGCCTGGACAGCATTTGCAGCTTCCTGAACAATCCAAACTCGCTCGAACCAAGGTCTTCGTAGAAGACGTGCCAAAGCGTTCCAATTTTGACGCGGTATTGGGATCAATGCATCCCAAGTCATCGATATCCTTTCTTCAGCGACGAATTTAGGCCATAGGCTGTCAAAGTTTCAAGCATTTCGATCGCTAATGCAGTATCTTCTCCCTCGCCTTCACCAAGCCAGATTAATACTTGATGTGCTTTTGAATATATGTCACCCATCTGTCGCACTTGTCCGTCCACCTCATTTGTATCTACTTGATTTATGCAGATAGCATCTACGCACAGAAAGCGAGGGTGAGAGCGGTATCTCAGGGTTTTTAATGCGGCGTGGAGATTAGCAGTGATATGGAGATATTCCGACTCACACTTGATATCTTTATTTGCTTTAAGATCTGCCCAAACGTACGACAATGCTTCATACTTGACAATGTCATGGAGGTCAACGTGAGATATGGAGCAGTCAATCATGTCATCGTGTTCACCACATTTCAATTCCAAGAGGCGAATCGGAGCATCATACTTCTACCAATGGATCAGTCACGCCTTCAACTCTTGTTAGCTGAGCAGTGAAGAAACGAGGCATATATTCTCGAAAGATTTGTACTGATATGTCGACATATTTACTGACGCTCCCAACCAGCCTAGTCAATGACGCCCGCCCCGGCGCCTGACAAAGCAAAACAGAAAAAGGAGCACTGAGTTGTCACTTGGCGAGACTCATATGAATCGCAGTCCTAGCCAGGATTCGCTGCTACTTGCCAAAGTAAATTCTTGACCCAGGAATAGCAGGGAGAAGGAGAGCTGACAGATAATGCTCTCCCCCACCCTTTATGTAGAGTTGCCAAGTCACTCCTCTGCTCAGCCTCGTGCTGCAAAAAGCGGCACCACCCATGCAGAATTCAAGTGCATGATCACGAGGTAATGGCTGAATTGGGGTCTAATGAAAGATGGTAGCACAATGGTAGACGCATCTATGCGGTATCGCATAGACTTCACGAAAAGTTGAAATGACAGTGGGATCCCAAGATTACAATTATTCATTAACTTAATAGCCCTGTCTCGAAACGAAGTTGCACCAGAGACCCGCCGGCCGGGGCTCCATGCCAAAGCTTGTTTCCTTTTCCATTGCCCTTTCCTCCTTGTGAAAATGCTGTGCTTGCCATGACAGTATACTCGTAGACATGCTTCTTGTATCCTTCGAACCTTCTCTCCCAATGCAAGATTCCTACTCTTACCCTTTCTAGCCTTCAATCCTTGTGTTTATTCTTCCATCCCTACTCAATCATCATCACCTTGGCCCTGCACCCTCCTGCCCGCTCATTCTCCCATTTCCACCACCTCCAACACCATGGAGACCCTGATCGCCCCTGTTCCCGCTCAAATGCTCTGGCGCTCTTTCCCCAACCATCCAATCTTCCAGCGCTAGCCACTCGCTCCACGCTTTCTCGGCCGCTTGTACTTCTTGCTCGACTGGGCTGCTCAACGGTCGCATGAATGGGACAGTTTCTAGCGGCAACAGGTCATAGTCTCTCTTCACAGATGCCCATCCTCCGCTCTTTGCGGCGAACAGATAATTCCTTCTTTCTTGCTCGTGAAGCGGCCCCACTCCGGACGCCCAGTCATCTCCAAAGAAGCCGTGCAGCACCCCTGGGAAGTCTAGACCCGTCACGACAAGGCGGCGGAGGTAGGGTATCAGGGATATGCTTGTGAAATGAGGTGGCTGCGGACCAGCGGAGGAAGGGCTCGGAGGAGGAGGGTTTGTGAAAATAGGCGTGAAGGAGCTGGTGGTGGGGTTTGTGGAGGCGCTGTGGGAATGTGGGGCACCGGTGCCAATACGTTGGAAGGGGAGGAGTATGTTGACGAATGCGGCGACAGCTTGGACTTGGCCGGAGTGTTGGGCGTGGGCGTTAAAATAGCGTTGGCAGGATTGGTATTTGGGGTACCACTCGAAGATGTCAAACTGAGGATGGGAGTCAGTTGGGATGTAGTTTTTATGGAGAGGAGGGGTGGGCCCGAAGGGGATGAAGAAGGAGGAGGGATTCATTCTCGTGATGGCTTTCGGGGAGAGGATGAGTGGAAGGAGGATGAAGAGAAAGGTGTATGTACCTGTGGGCTATCATTGCTCTGTGACGCCTGCTCTTGCTGTTGTGGTGGTGGTTGCTGCTGCGTTGGTGGCGCCTGACCTTGACTTTGCCCCATACCAGGCTGTACTGGTTGTGGAGGTAGTTGCTCGGTGATCATGTTTGATCCTGATCCTGATGAGGCAGGAGCACTCGTGGATGGTTGCTGGTACGAGCTTCGTCGGAACTGCTCGGACGAGGGTGGAGACGGGTCGTAGTTGTAGGCATCGTGTGGAGCTTGTGGAGCTTGCTGTTGGCTGCCACTGAAGGTGGTCTGGGGTGGAGGCTGTTGGCTAGGGGAGGTCTGGAGGTGAGGTGGACTAGAGTAGGGATTAGAGTATTCCATGTAGTGAGAAGTCAACAAAGGCATGATCAGCACCTGTCAAACGTGGAGACGGGGATGGTGAAGGCATTCATAGTGGATGGAGCTTCGGTATATCAGTCGTCGGCCGCAAGCGGTAATTGGAGCTACGAAAGCATCGTGTCACAGCATTGATCAAGCGTGATAATCTTGCGCAATCAACATAGTCAGTCAGCTAGCCTTTGCACCCTGGTCTGCCCTGGCTTGCCCTGGTCTGCTTCATTGACGACGATTTGGACCAGCCAAGTGGCCGTAATGCGCCAAGCCTGTTTGACAGGTCGCGCTGGGCGGAAGGGAGTTAAAGCATAACGGCTTTGCTCGTGCCAGAGCAAAGCCATGCCCCCAGCCAAAAGAGGCAAATGCCACCTGTTTGACGATGGTGGAGCGAGCTCCCGATGTCTCAATGGATGATGGAAGGACTCGGATGATTTGGAATTTGATAACCTTCTTTTCTGAGAACGAGTTAGAAGCTTCCATGCCCAGTAGCCTGGCTCTGACCACGTGGAAGATTCGCACTATGAGATCAGTGAGGGCGAAAAAGGGGCCAGACCCGTCCAAAGTGGTCCAGAGGTCTAGACCGTGGCAGACTCACACCAGTCCAACTCATCCCACAAAAACTATAAGGCCTTCTCGTTTCCACTGCCAAACTCCGACCCCGACAGTGCTTTTACGGCCGCAAGCTCCCTGTCGCCAGCTCTGCTCTCGAAATTACCCCATCGTTGACATCAACCTCAAGCAGATCAAGGGCCTGGCGCGAAAAGATGACCTCGGTGACCTCCGCGGAGACACAATTCCAACGGCCGTGAGCTCTCAATGTGGTTAATGCAGGACATGAACGACAGGCATGGCCTGTAGGGCCAGTATATGCATAATTTCAACCTACCGTGGGCCTCGTGGGAGTCATCTACACCTCCTTTTCCATGCATCACAGCCGCTGTTCGATAGGGCTTCCAGACGAGCGCTGTTGCTTCAAGGCAATCGCACTTATCGTTGACAACCTCCACGCTGGCTTAGCGGGGACCCCGAGAGCTCTTGCAGTCCACTCTCTGATCCACGCGGACGAACATTGCAGCGAGACATTCCAACTGGGCGTCGACGTGGGTCCACCCCTCCCGCTTTAGGCGGAGATTTCTCGCTTGGGGCGTTTATCTGTCTCCCAATCCAGACGCCAACATCTGCGCTGTCTTCTCATTCTCGTTGGCTGCGTGGACCACTTTTCGTCACTTTGAGTATCTGATAGGAGGTTCTCATTGCGTAAAGAATACGTTTGCAGTGGTGTGCTGAATCACGCCTTGACAATGTACGTTAAGCCACAGGGTTCAACGTCTGCAGAAGCAATGAAGATGATTCTCGGGCTGCGTGATCGTTATCCATCGCGCTATTCGATACACTATCAGGCTTTGAAAACCCTGCTTGACTGTGGGTGCATGTTTAACCAGGTGATGTGATATTCGAAGCGCTGAAAATGCTGTCTATGCGGCACGGGAGAATGCAGCTATCTCTGCCATTGCCCTATGCTTCGCGGCATTGTGACAGCTGCGACGCCATTTACTTGCAATGCTCGCAGCTAAGTGTCTCCACGTGCAAATGAACGCCCTCACGAACCTGCTATTGTACCATGGAGAGTCTTCGGGTCCTTCGGAGAGCGGTCGCGCCCATACATGTGCTCTCTTGAGTAATTGACCCGTTGAGTTCGTCTCAGGTATGAAAATTGTGTAGAACCTACTCTATGATGAATCTTGAGCTCTAGTAGTTACCCTACTCGCTGACCAATCTTCAAGCAGCGTCTACCATTCCACTTCCTCCACCATCTCCCCATCAACAAACCCTCTCTCCCTCAAATTCGTGACATTGGCCCCTCCCCCTCCACCAACCCCAGCCCTCAAACCACCACCACCACTAGCATCCGGCACAATATCAGGACTCACGAGCCCCTGCCCGCCCTTATAATGCGACCAACCCGCCTGAAAGCCCAAATTTCCCGGCCAGGCTGCACAATCCACCTGGGTAATCGTTGCAACATTAAAACCCGCATTAACCTTAACAGGGTCAGGTATTCCCCCAAACCACGCGGCCACAGCATCGGTCTCAGCGCAAAGATCCACGACAGTACTACTCCCAAACCCATCCACGTCCCCAACTTTCTTCTGACAGCACTGATTCACAGGTGCCTGATCCGCACCACAGGCACACGTATTATCCACCATGACAATCAATCCACTCTTACTCTTCGGATCCGGCTGTCCACACAGACACTGCGTGCTCCCATCCGGATTCTTCAAAACGCCCGGCTTACCCACTGGGCAGTCCACTGGAGTCCCTGGCTTTGGATTCGCCGGACTACGACAGATCCTTTGCGGCGCTTCCAGCATCCAGCAGCTTCCGCATACTCCTGGGCCCGGGGGTTCGTTGAACGCGCCTGACATCGCGGCGGTTGGCGCTCTCCATTTTCCCTCGAAGTTCCCCCAAAATCCGCATTTTCCCGCTTTGCCGGCTGCGATGGGCTGGCTGTGGCAGACTCCGTAGCCAGAGACGGTCGCTTGGTAAGATTTTCCGATCTTTTGGACCGTGCCGCGTGGACCTTGCCATGTTCCGCCTGCACTGGCTGCTGAGCCGGTGGTGTTGACGGAGCCTGCGGAGGTGTCATCGGTCAGACCGGTTCCTGTGTCTCCCGTTGCGCCAGTTTGACCAGTTTGACCATTTCCGACCGATTCACCTGTCTTCCCAGTCCCACTTACTGCGCTTTGACCAGCGTTCGGTAGACCAGTGCCTGAGGCACCACTGGCGACGTCTCCTGTTCCAGTGCCAGTGCCAGTACCAGTTCCCGTGTCAGTGCCAGCGCCCAAACTAGCTCCAGGTCTCCTCCCGTTACCAGTAGTCAACTGACGAGCCTTCAATCCAGTATTAGCCGAAGCACCAACCCTATCTCCCTCCTCCGCGGCGCCATCGCGGGAAACTAGGTGGTTGGATGTACATGGCTGACGTACGTAGACGGCAGGAGAGGCAATGAGGGGGGTTGACAGGAGTGCTAAGGTGAGAGCGAGGACCGTGGCCCAGGAAAGAAGATGTGGAGGCATACTGCGACTACCCTTTACTTGATGAAGACGCAGTGAGCAGCGAGTTGGTGAACGGTGGTGTGAGATCGCTGTTGCTGAGAGACTTTTGTTCTAAAGGAGTAATGGCGAGGAGTAGGGGCGGCCTTCAGTGCCAGCACCGAGTCCAGTGAATGAGTCGCCTGATCGCTTGACGCAAGAGAATCTTTTGTCTTGATGGGAGGAGCAATATTGGCACTCAGTAACCAGCTGCAGCGCCGATATAAGAATGACAGAGCAACCAAGACACACCACCACGACCGGCCTGTGATTACGTATACAAGGCTCAGCCCGCGAGCTATGATTACTTATATAAGGAGAGAGGAGATGGGAAGGGAAGGATTATGAAATACTAGTCAGTAGAAGAGTGAGGACAGCACACCATCATTAACGACCCTGACCTCTTATGATCTACTATGGAGGGAGGGGAGCGGCGGAGCGGTAAGGCTGACAGGGTGGTGATACATTTAACAATGGAACTTGAGATGTTTTCATGCAGGTATCATCCCATTTTGGGTATTACGACTCGTGTGGACGTGGGTGTGAATCATGACTGAAACGCATAATTGTCCGCATACGGAAGATTTACGGGGGCTGTTCTACAGTGAGTGATGCGCATGCTCGCCTTGCACCTTCCTCCTCGTTCTTCCCTCTCAATCCCATTGTCTTGGTTGTGCTCTTGAGGTGTGGAAAGAGGTGAAGGCAAAGACTAGACTGCAGCGCAACTTCATCTTGAAATTGAAGAGAACGCGCGACAGACTACTTGTCCACCAGTGACACCCTGAACCACTGCTTCACACTGAGGAACATATCGGTGCACAGGTCATTGTCAAGAGGAGGTAAGACAGTGAGACCACCACCCCGCGAAACATCCGCTCTCGTTTCAACCCAACATCAAGACCTCAAGCGCAGGTATCACATCCGACGGGTCGGCTATCCCACCAAGCCCATGGAACGATGAAACCATCCAGCCTGGCTTGGGCTGTCACTGATTACCACATCTACATTTCCTTGCGGCCCCATCAGCCCTTAACCTATTCCTCACGTACGATATAGAAAGGTAGAAGTAAAGGGCAGCTTTCCCTCGTCGGCACTCCGTTCACGGTTTGCGGGCTCTTTCCCCCTGTCCTACCCTGTAGCACATAATATCATTACCATCATCAAAACGATCATCACATCTCTTCCTCTGCTTCGCACTCATCGTCTGTCCCGGCTGCAGCACTGCTGCTACTCGCCGCCGCAGCTCCCGTCCCCGTCCCCGTCCCCGTCCCCATCCCCGTACCCGTACCCACTACACTCGTCTCATTCCCCCCGCCCCCGCCCCCGCTCCAATTCCCGCCGTCGTATTCGTAGCAGAAGTGATGGCATCAGCCTCATCGCTGCCCTGCACCACGCTCGACGCCCCCGCGGCACCACAATTTACCCACCCGCCGCCTTCGGGGATCGAGGCCCAGGAGGGGGTGCCGGAGACACTGTCCCAGCGCATTGCATGTTAGCTGGCTATTTTTTTGTCTTTCTGGGGATTGAAGGGGGGGTGGGAGATGGGAGATGGAGGGGGGAAGGGAAAGGGGAAGGGGAGGGGAGGGGAGGGAAGGGGAAAGGGGGGGGGAGGAAAGGGGGATAGCTACCCAGGAATAGCCCACTGGGGCAAACACTTCTGCCCGCTAGTGCTGGTGGTGGTGGTGGTGTCGCGGTGCGTGATGTGGCGGTTTAGAGGCGCGGGGGAGCTTAGTGTTGTTGATGGGAGGAGGGGGAGGGCGAGGAGGGCGAGGAGGAAGATCGAGGGGAAGCGGTGGAGATGGGAGGGGTGGGGGTTGTGAGGCATGTCTTTCCTTAGTCAAGGAGGAGGAGGAGGAAGAGGGGATGGTGGTGAGGAGTGCTGGTAAGGCTGTGTTTGAAGTGGGTTGTGTGGATATATCTCCCTGTGACGTGTTGGTCGTGATGGTTGTAGTCGTATCGCGATATCGTGCGATTGACGTGGATTATGGAAGCTTCAGATGTATAGTGTGCAAGCTGCTAACCAAGCATGTATATGCTTCCTTACTATCCTGAAGTCTTGCTGCTGGTACTTGATCCTCGTAGAAAGAGAGGATGGTGTCAATCGAGTACCATCCCTGATCGTATATCTTCAGATCTCCCGATAGCGATTTTTGGAAGGACTCCAGCTCCGCGACAGAAGAGACTCGAAACGAAGGAACTGAGAAAGAATGTAGGAACGCAGTATTGAATAACGACGAGCACTTCTCCACCCAACCATATAATGAAGTCTGTCGTTTTGTAATGATTCACATACCAACAACTGCCCATCCTACCCTACCTTACCATGACAGACTAGGCCAGCAGCCGCATACCGTCCTACCCTTACCACCACAGTAATAATGACTACTTAAGATCACCATACTGAAGAGCCCTCTGAGAAAATTGCATCTTCCCCCGCGTGGCGTGGTGTTGGTTTCCTGCCCCCATCCCGCTGTTCCTGCATGGTCAACAGCACAAAGACAGTAAAGGAAATTCGAAATGACGGAAGATCAGCATGGTCTGAAACGGAGGCTTGTTTAGAAGTGAGTATTTTGGGAACAGAGCGTGGAGGCCAAGGGACGGGTCGCATAGAAAGTAGGAAACACCGGGTCGGGCTGGTGCGGGTACCTGAGATGGATGGCTTGGATGGGCGTATGAGACCATCTTATTATTCTGCTTGATGGGAAGGGATGAGTGATCGTGGATGCAGGTCGTCAGTATGGTCTCTGCAGAAAATGGCATATATCATTTTCGTCTCTATCGTCACTTTTCGCCTTCGATCAATCTTCGGTGGAAATACTCACCGCCCATGCTCCTCCTCTTTCCCTTCCTGTACAGAATGTTTCACCACCAGTCTCCCTGTGCCTTCATAGCCTCAGCGACCTTGATGAATCCCGCAATGTTACTACCAGCGACCAAGCTTGGCAATTCCCCTTCGGCAGAGGGCTCCACGTATTCCTTGGCTGTGTCGAGGCCGTTCTTGAAGCAGGCTGTCATGATGCCTTTGAGTTTGCTGTCCACCTCTTCTGATGTCCATGACAGGCGCTGGGAATTTTGCGCCATTTCGAGGCCGGAGACGGCTACACCGCCGCAGTTGGCTGCTTTACCTGTGAAAAAGCGTCAGTGCCTAAGATAGTATTGCGGCGAGTTGGTGGAGACTAGACTTACCAGGTGCATACCAAATCGCGTCACCCTTCTTTTCCTTCCGGTTGCCCTCGAACACGTCGATCGCGTCTTGCGAACAACCCATATTGCTGCCTTCGGCGACGTATTTGGCCCCTGCTTCTACCAATGCCTTGGCTTCATCGCCGGACACCTCATTTTGTGTCGCGGAAGGAAGTGCGATATCAACCTTGCCGACCTTCGTCCACGGTCGCGCTCCCTCTTCGTACGTAAATTTGTCTTTATATTCGCTCGTTGTGAGGAGATCAGTCAGCGCCTTGCGCTCGACCTTCAATTTTGCGATCGCCTGCACATCTGCAGGTTGTATTCCTTGATCACTCTTGGCTATGATTGCGCCTTTGCTGTCGGACAGGGAGAGAATGGTAGCGCCGAGCTCGATGGCTTTGAGGGCTGCATATTGTGCAACGTTGCCAGAACCGGAGATGGCTACCCGTTTGCCTTTGAAGCTTTCTTTTCCGTTTGATGCGTGTTTGATCATAAGATCAACGTACTGCTAATTGTTAGCTCATCATCCTAGCAAAATGGTACGCGCATAATCATACGTAGACAAGACCATAGCCAGTTGCCTCAGGCCTGATCAAACTACCACCCCATGTGCCACCCTTGCCAGTCAAGCAACCTTCCCAGAGGTTCTTTTGTGTTTTGTATGTTCCAAATAACCATCCAATTTCTCTGGGAGATACTCCAATATCTCCAGCAGGCACGTCCGTGTCGGCGCCAATATGTCGGGCTAATTGGGTCATGAAAGCTACACAGAATTTTCTGATCTCGTTGTCTGATTTTCCTTTGGGGTCAAAATCTGCCCCACCTTTGCCGCCACCGATATTCACTATCACAAGTGTCAGCAATCCAACAACATGAGGGTATGCAGCAGGAATGCGCAGAGAAACCCACAGCCTGTCAAAGCATTCTTGAAAATCTGCTCGAATCCTAAGAATTTCAAAATCGAGAGATTGACAGTGGGATGGAATCGCAAGCCTCCTTTGTATGGTCCAAGAGCTGAATTGAACTGCACTCGATAGCCTCGATTGAATTGGACAGCTCCTTTGTCATCTTCCCATGTCACACGGAATTGGATGACGCGTTCTGGGACGGAGGATATAGCCAGAGCAGTTTTGAATTCGGGGCGTTTCTTGAAGAGGGAGGAGTTCTCGAGGGTTGAAGCGAGCTCTGTATGTCAATTAGCACATTTCGTCTGTAAAGAACCAGAATTCAATAAGCAATACCTTTGTAGGCCTGCTCGAACTCAGGCTCGGAGGGGTAATTCGACATGATGGGGGAGTTCTTGGGTTTCGAGTAAAGCAAGTTGGATGATGGTCAAGTGTAGAGCACGCGAGTCGATGAGCTCTTCATATAGTGGCGAAGTAGCAAGCTTTGAAAGAGCTACCGACAATTACGTCAACTGTCAAGGCTTTTCCGGTCACGGCTCCTCGAAGGTGGCATGAGGGTAACCGCTGCCGCTCCATGACCAGCTCGCCGAAAGCACGGCTTTGGCCGGCCATTGGGAGCCTTAGTTTCCGCCAAGTCCATTACTTCTAGAAGCTTGAAGAGATCTCAGAAGGCTGGACTTTTCCTCCTGTGGGTGTGGAGTCAGGAGGCGTCCCTGGGGCGTTGATGATAGAGTGAGGAGATGGGAGTGTTATCGTGCAACGCCTATTGGCTAGGGGCTCAGTTCCCGCAATAGTTCCGCTCCAGGAGCTTTCTCCCGGCGCACAGCTGGCCCGCCGCCTACGTGAGCTAGCAAGACACCCCCCACGGAGAAGCCATTATATATTGGTCATGGCCCACGCCTTCGGAATGTTTAGGACGACTACTGGGAGCTTTGTGACTGTTTGAATCGTGTGTGTAGACTGAAAAGTCCTATTCTGGTTCCTATGAGGCGATTCAAAACAATAAGGCTTTCCCTGAGCCGACGCAACCCCTCAAGAACCATGTCGCACAAGGCGTAGAAGCGGTGAAAGATCATGAAATCTTCTCGAAACTGGCTGAGAGGCTGTAAGACTGCTGTTCTTGGTCTCATCATAGCTTTGTATAAAGAAAACCATCTTCACGTTTATACACAGGCGGGATCACTGTCCTCATGCCACGGATGTTCTCGACGTCAAAGTCGACTGACCCGTCTCTACAACCTCAATCAGTATTTGTAGGGTCCCAGTCCGTCACCAGATGCTCGTCCAAAGCATCCAGCTTCTCCATGTCAAAGGCCTCGATCTCAACATCGTGCACCTGCCCATTCTCGATGATTCTGTGAGGCGTAACGCTCTTGGGCAGAGGCACGTAGCCATGCTGCAAGCTCCATCTGATCAATAATTGTGCGGGTGAGCAAGTGTACTTTTTCGCCAGGGATGATATTGTATGATGCTCCATCCGCATTCCTCGCACCAGAGGTCCCCATGCTTGTACCACTATACCCTTCTTTTGACAGAACTTAGACAGCTTGCTTTGCGTGTTGAAAGGGTGGATTTCGACTTGATTGACCGCTGGCGTGACTCGAGGAGTCGAAGCGAGGAGCTCTTCAAGCTACGTCGTGTTAGCAGACGTACATCCCTGAACATGATGGACACGCACGTGTTTGATCCCAAAATTGCTCACACCACCGATTTTGATCTCTCCTTCGCCAATTGCGTCCTCTACCGCTCTCCAACATTCAAGACGTTTGGACTTGCCACCGTAAGGACTATGAAGGAGGTACAAATCAATGTAGCCAAGTCCAGACTCTTCGATCGAGCGTTTGATCGATTTGCGAGTCGCACTGTATGATATATTTGATTTGAGTTTTGTGGTGAATTCAATATCTTCACGCCTAAGGCTGGCTTTGTTGTCTGGGCTCGAGAGGAAAGACCGGACTGCACGCCCGACCTCACGTTCATTTTGGTACCATTCTGCTGAGTCAATACTGCAAGAAGCAGTCAACAGTTGCGCCTTGCCCAAGTGTGGTTCTGTTACCCGCGATAACCGGCCTAAAGCTTGTGAGCATGGAGTTGAACGGATAAAGTTGCGATAGCTCTTACACCTAATGCAGTATGAACGGCATGATTCATAGTTTCTTGGCCGCTGACCATGTAGACGCCGAGCTGTATGAGGGGAATGCTGGAGCCATTGTTCACCTAGACACCGGTCAATTAGCACAGTGCTTGCTGGAAACGGTAGGTCGGCTTCCGTACCTTTACAGTCGAGCTAAGGGAGTACGCGGATTGAGCCATCCTGATTGATTTGCGAATTATATATTGCCCCAATCCTTCTCACGAAGTCAGACATTGAGGGAAAAATTGATCGGTTGGAGGTAGGAGTGATGATGATGACGTCGGATGCTGTGCCTGCGTCTTTAGTCTCGGCTTTGCCCGTTTGGTCCTATTGCTTCGTGAGTGGGCAATCATTCCTTGCTCAAGTAGGAGGAAGGCGGTGCCATTCGCAGGAGCCATTGATTCCAGGGAGATGTGAATGCATGCTTGACTCTTCCCAGATCTGGGGAGGCAACGGGGATTACAGCAGCTGCCAAACAAAAGCTTGCGGAAGGGGTTGAAGATAGTTGGTTGCGAGCTAGTTTGCTTGAGGGATAAGACGGTACGGGCGATTGCCATCGGTAATTCCACTTCATGTAGACTCGTCTCTTGCAGCATGCTGCAAACGATCAGGCAATGGTGTACTCTTGAAGGCCCGGTTTAGACCAAGAGCTCACGCAGGGAGTGTGAGCTACGCATGGCGAGTTATGCATTAAGGATGAACATTGAAGATCTGCGATACAGCGCTGGCTTGTATGGCTAGAGCAAGTCAACAGGTTCAATGGCTCAGTGTTGGTGAAAGAAGAGGTCGTAACTGGAGGCACAGGGCAAAAGGAATTTGCTTATCGGTCTTATCTTAGCGTCCCGCAAACACTTTACCGCAGAAAACGCGCCAAGGAAAAGTGGCGATTCGGCGCGTCTTTCCAAACCTCCAAACAATCTCTCTATTCCATGCAACGCCATCTGCAGGGTCTCTCCCCCACTACAGATCTTCACTATCCATAGATTGGTACCTTGATTCCCTTGCCATCATTTGCACAGGAGACTACAATTTGAGATTGACGGCTCGTCCTTAGCCTCTGCCCAGCATGTTTGTGTACAAGCGTGGTAAGTCTTTTGCTTTCGCCAGCACGACATCCTTCAGATCATTTGTTGCTGCAAATAGAGCAGCAGTCACGAAGCTATCTACAGACGCTAATGGTCACCTCGCATAGATAATCGCAAGGAGCGTGTGCAATTCGACAAGATTACAGCTCGTGTCTCCCGTCTTTGTTATGGGCTTGACTCCGAGCATGTTGACGCCGCCGCCATCACCCAGAAGGTCATCTCTGGCGTATATCAGGGTGTCACGACCATTGAATTAGACAACTTGGTATGGACGCACCTAGGTCCTCATACTGCACAACTAATGTTGGCTTGCTAGGCTGCCGAAACAGCGGCTTACATGACCGTCAAGCATCCCGACTATGCCATCCTCGCTGCACGCATTGCAGTCTCCAATCTGCATAAGCAGACGAAGAAACAATTTTCCTATGTCATCGAAGACCTTTACCACTACATCAATCCCAAGAACGACAAGCCCGCAGCCATGATCTCACCAAAGACTTACGATACTGTCATGAAGCATGCTGAAGAGCTCAATTCTGCCATTGTCTATGATCGTGACTTCAACTATCAATACTTTGGTTTCAAAACTCTTGAAAGATCATACCTCCTACGATTAGATGGGAAGGTGGCCGAACGGCCTCAGCATATGATCATGCGAGTAGCAGTTGGGATACACGACGATAATATCGAAAAAGTCATTGAGACATACAACTTGATGTCACAAAAATTCTTCACACATGCCTCACCGACCCTTTTCAACGCAGGCACTCCCCAGCCACAACTATCGTCTTGCTTCTTGGTCGATATGAAAGAGGATAGCATCGATGGCATATATGACACACTCAAGACATGTGCATTGATCTCAAAGACCGCTGGCGGTATTGGTTTCAACATTCACCGTATTCGTGCAACTGGATCCTACATCAGTGGCACAAATGGCACGTCCAATGGTATAGTTCCGTTACTCCGTGTCTTCAACAATACCGCTAGATATGTTGATCAAGGTGGTAACAAGCGACCAGGTGCATTTGCTGTGTATTTAGAACCATGGCATGCCGATGTGTTTGAATTCTTGGACCTACGCAAGAACCATGGCAAAGAGGAGGTACGCGCCAGGGACTTATTTTATGCTTTGTGGATACCAGATCTATTCATGAAGCGAGTCGAGCAAAACGGGGATTGGACATTGATGTGCCCGAATGAAGCACCAGGTCTCGCAGATGTATATGGTGACGAGTTTGAGGCACTTTACGAAAAGTGAGTATTTGGGCTGATTTGAGATTTCTTACTTACAATCCTAGATACGAGAGGATGGGCAGAGGCAGAAAGACCATCAAAGCTCAGAAGCTTTGGTATTCGATCATTGAGGCTCAAACGGAGACAGGCAATCCCTTCATGCTTTATAAAGATGCTGCCAACCGAAAGAGCAACCAAAAGAACTTGGGCACTATCCGGAGCTCAAATCTCTGCACAGAAATCATCGAGTACTCTGCACCTGACGAGGTCGCTGTCTGCAATCTAGCCTCGCTTGCTCTGCCCAGCTTTGTTGACGCTGTCAATGGTGTTTACGACTTCCAGAAACTACACGAAGTCACGCAAGTTGTCACACGCAATTTGAACAAAATCATCGAGGTCAACCACTACCCAGTCGAAGAGGCACGGCGAAGCAATTTCCGGCATCGACCCATTGGTCTTGGTGTACAAGGTCTAGCCGATGCATTCCTTGCCCTTCGCCTCGCCTTCGATTCCCCCGAAGCTCGTCTCCTTAACAAGCAAATTTTCGAAACAATCTATCACGCTGGTCTGACCTCATCCTGTGACATTGCAAAAGAACTTGGTCCTTACGCTACATACGAAGGCTCACCCATCTCCCAAGGCATTCTCCAACAAGACATGTGGGATGTCGTGCCCACGGATCTATGGGATTGGTCGTCTCTCCGCTCTAAAATCGCCCAACATGGCGTGCGCAACAGTCTTCTTGTCGCTCCCATGCCCACGGCCAGTACATCCCAAATCCTCGGTAACAACGAGTGCTTCGAACCTTACACTTCCAATATTTATTCTCGTCGTGTCTTAGCCGGGGAATTTCAGGTTGTGAATCCCTGGCTCCTAAAAGATCTTGTCGACATGGGTCTCTGGTCTGATAACATGAAAAATCGCATCATCGCTAACGATGGCTCCATCCAAAACATTCCCAACATTCCCGCCGACTTAAAATTGCTTTATAAGACAGTTTGGGAAATCTCACAGCGACAGATTATTCAAATGGCAGCAGATCGTGGCGCTTTCATCGATCAGAGCCAGAGTTTGAATATCCATTTGAAGGATCCAACCATGGGAAAGATCACGAGCATGCATTTTGCTGGTTGGAAGATGGGGCTCAAGACTGGGATGTACTACCTAAGAACCCAGGCTGCGTCCGCACCTATCCAGTTCACAGTCGATCAGGAACAATTGAAAGTCGTGGACACGAATGTAGCGAGAGTAGGAGGTGGGTTCAGGAGTAAGCGCCCAAGTAGTGGCCATGCGAGTTCACACACCGCCGTTCCCAGGCCTGTGTCCAAAGGTGTGGTGGAGAACGGGCTGCCCACGCCAGCGCATACTCCAGAGCCGAAGGTGCTGCCGCAACCAGAGCAGGCCATCAAGTCGCTGCCAACGAGAGAGAAGCCGAGTGCGGTGCCTGCTGCTTTCAAGGCTGAGGAGGAAGGGGGCAGTCCGAAGGTTTTGGCTGCGGATCCATTGGGTACGCCAAAAGAGGAGCTGGGGAAGGAGAATCTGCAGAAGGAAGATCAGGATGAAGTCAGTGAGGAGAGGGAAGGAGACATCTATGCACAGAAAGCATTGGCTTGTAAGTTCTCTGCTGTTCTCATATCAGTGACTTTGAAATGAGTATGTTAGTCGGTGCGTCTGCTAACGAGATGGTGCCATAGGCAGTATCGAAAACCCAGAAAGCTGTCTGATGTGCTCTGGCTGAGGGAATGGTATGAATAATACGAGACAAACGGGGGAGACAAGTCGGATGTCCAGGTATATGCATGACTTTGTTGACGCGATGCTAGTCCTTAGAGAGGCGCTCGGATACGCTTGCATTGTATATATATTCTGTTATTTGTCTATCATCGATTGCCACATATTTTCCTGTTCGTCATGTGAAGGGGTTTTCTATTCCTGGTATCGGTTCTTGGTATCACCTGAAAAGTTCAGATGCTCGACAAAAGCTTTGGTCCTCTTGTGAAGGACTCAGGGCTTGAGACGATAACAATTTTTGTGATACGGATATGTTCTAAAAATGGCTCCACGCCTCTTGCGTTGAGAAACTCGTCGACAGCTATATTTATATTGGGACAGTCGAACAGCAATCGGTGAGGCTCTGGGCGCTGACAAATCTGAACGAACAACGCAGGCTTGACCATTTCTAGGTTGATGAGGTATGGATGGAGGACTGAGATTGGTAAATTTCCCCCGTTGATCGTTTTCCAAAAGATGAAATCTACAAGTAGCCCGTCTCACGCTGCTTTTCAGCCTTTTCATCTTCATTCAGCTCGCATTGGTCCTGTCTGCCTCATCCCTTTCAGCTTCGACCCCCACAATGGACCAGATACATCCGCACAAGGTTGTGTGCCGGGGAACCTTGCTACATCCGTGTCGGTGTGCTTCGCTTAAAGCTTGCCATGGGCTCAGACCGGTCGGGTATTGACCTGACATCCGCCGCCCACGCAGGAGCTCCCACAGATGCTTTGACCTCTAGTAACATGCAACCAATAGGAAGCAATCCGGCTTGCAGAATCCATGGCCGCTAACAACCTTCATTGGAGCGCGATGCCAGTATCAATCCTATTTCCCAAAAATATATCGCTTTCAACTCGGATTAGCGGTACTTCGGTGTATCTTGTCAGAACAGCTGGATGATGAGGGCATTTAAAAATGTCGATTGCCCTGCTGCCACGGGTGTCATACTTCACTAACATTTTGCTTGCTCGGTTGACTTATGATACTTTTTCTTATCATTGTCATCGCGCTAATAAATCGAAGTCTTGGTCTCGCCCATTATGGCAATAACTCGGTCCAACTTTTCAACAACCTGTCCAGGGTCACATTGCCGCAGACTTCATCCTATAAAATTAAAGAATCCTCGAATTCTTTAGGAGTGCCTATTGACGCTACATCGTCCAAGGACTTTGTACTTCTGCAACATGGTCACAATGAAATAGCCTTTATTGATTCGAGTAGCAACAAATATGGCAATCATGGCTTCATTACGTCTACCTTAGCAAGGCCATCATTCGTGAGAGGCTCCCATTTCTCCAGCAAAAATATTATCACTAAGCGTCCTTTTCCAGGTAATAATGGAACATCAATGCTTGTTCACACCACGGCCGCTACTTATAAAAGCCTTAAAAGCTCTCAAAATATTTCCTGGACTCCATCTGATCCGTCTAATTGCAGCATTTACGTCGAGCCTAACGCGATTGGATATCCATTCTCGTTTGTAATTCCCACTACAAATACTCAATCATGTAACATATATGGACCTACTTGCCAGCCTGGTCTCATGACCGCGGGGGTGAGTCTAGATGGGTGTCAATATAGCGTCTCGACTCTCCCTTGCTCGTCCTACCTTGCCTCCCAGTCAACGTATCTTTACGGCTTTCCCCGCTCGAAATATCAGCAGTATGAAGTACCCACGTATTTACCGCCCAGGTGGGCGATCGGGTTTGGTCGCAGCGCAGAGTGTAATGAATTGAGATTCCATGATAAACCGGGCTTACTCGGCAGGGCTTGGGATTGTCACTCCCAAGAAAAGGTTCCGGCAGAAGTCAGAATGGCTTTCATACCTCAAGCTCCTCCGGGTGCACTCTATCCGCCAGGTGAAGTCTCTAGGATGGGTCCACCGAAAGACAGTTGTTGTGGCGAATGTGCGCTTCATGTTGATCAAATTCGGGTTTATTACTTTCCCGATGCAACCAGTGATGAAATTTGTCGAAGGCGAGGTAAGGAAGTGAAGGCATATAGGGGACTGATACAGAATACTTCTGTTGTGTCTGGAAATGTGTCTAAGGCTGCCCCGCAAGCTCTACGAGGCAGTGTAGCAACTGTCAACGGCTTTAGTTTGTGTGTCATCGAGATCGGGAATGAAGAACAATACTAATTATCATCAGGACCTCTCCATCAGTATATTTAGAGTTTGTCGGCCCAATGACTATGTCTGATAAGTGTGGTCGCCTTGGTCCCATAATCTCTTCGGCCTTCGTCCCCATGCTCACCCACAATCTTTTTACTATGCGTCCCGACCACGACGGCTTGGCCCAAGGAGGGACCTACCTGGACCCATACGACAGAAGTAGCTTGAAGATTGCGGATCTTGAATGTCCAACCATGGGCTACGGAAGAACCATGGGTTCAGATGGACGACAGCTGACGACGATCGGTAGCCCATGGCTACCCCTTTTTATCTTCTTTCCTTGGCTATTACCAGACATTGAGCCCTCCTGGTACACATCTTGCATAGATAAAAACTACGAAGTCATACTTGGTCAATACGGCAAAAATGGGAGTGGGATTGTGACAAGAACTATAGCGTTATATGACCCACCAAGACCCGTTCTCCCTGGTGACAATCTCGTTGATCCGATCAGTACAGATGCCCCTGGGGGGGTTTGGGAGGACCAAGCTACAAATCTACCCCAAACCCAGGAGACGGCCTTCAACTGCCCGCTAGGCCTACGAGAAAGCTTGTAGTTGATCCTGACACCCAAGGAAACCCACCGTTGAAAGTTCTACAGCCCGGTGACCGCTTAAGCCCAGACATACCACCAGAACGTGGTGTCACAAATCAACCGTCTCATACGACAGGCGGCGATGATGTACCTTCTAGGTCATCTCAAGTAAACTCACCAGACCCAGTCCAGAACGCCGACTCTCCCGAACCAGCATCTAACAGTCCTGCCATCGCTGATCAAGTTTCTGCAAGCGGCAACAGTGCGGGAAATCACGTTGACGATAAGCATTCGGAGAAAAGCGCGGAGCAACCATCTGGAGTAACTGGATTCTTCTACATTGGTGCCCCCACTGCAAATGTGGGGCTTACGAACACAGATGGGTCCTCTAGTATGGCGGGTGAATCAAATATTAACAACGCGGATAATAGTCATGCGCAGCCGGTGGACCAAAAGCCAGCTATCAAAAGTCCTGACAAGCCCAATACAGCGCCTGAGAGTAGTAATAACGGAGATCATGTACCAACTTTCAATAGTGAAACGGAGTCAGACAACCACGATGCAGCCAGATTCAGTGACTATGTGCCAGATGAAGTCAATGATGGTGCTCAAACACCGGCCGGCTCTACAAGTCAAAACATGGAGTCCCTACCTCAAAACAAAATCGATCCTGGAACTGGTCAATTAGGTAGCCAGATGAATGACAACGCACAATATACACATATCGCGCCAGCTGATTCAGCAGTGGCTGGTCAAAATACCAATCCTGCCAATCTAGATGTGGCCAAAGACTCCCCACCCGATAGCGGAAAGCATACCAGTCCGGATCTAGAAAATGTGGATGCTTCGCAACCTGGCGATTCCTCAGCAGTAGATTCTCCGGGAAATCGTAACCCTTCTAGACCGTTGCTTGAGCCTTCAGACCCTGTCGCAGCCGTACAAGATAATCAGGCACCCAGCATTAGACCCATTCAAGTCGGTGGCAGTAAGATTATTCCGGGCGAGCATCCTGTGACTGTCTCTGGTCTTCCAGTGTCGCTTGACAAAGCTGGGAATTTAGCTGTTGGAAAGTCAAACTTCAACGTCGCGAACTTGAAAGAGCCCCAGCGTATCAATGTCGGAGGCGCCAACCTAGACATCACTACGGAATCGAAAGAGTTCAAACCTTATGCTGATCAGACTGACCAGGCAATTGAGGACCCTACATCGAAAACGCTAATAAGCTCTGAAGATGGTCAGTCGAAGTCCCAGAATCTTGTCACCATAGCTGGTCAGGCGATCGAAGCAAACCCGTCTGGCTTCACAATCGGCAAACGCAGCATACACCCTGGAAGTCCTGCAATCACATTCTTCGCCATACCCATCTCCTTAGGGACGGATGGCATGCTCCAAATAGGAAGCCGTACTACACAACTTACTACGCCGACCCAAGCAAACCCAAACATCTTCACGATCGGTACCCAAACCCTCATAGCCAACCCATCCGGATTCACCATAAATAGCAACAGCATACTCCCCGGCAAGTCCGCCGTCTTCATAGACAGCACATCCGTCTCCTTAGGCACAGACTCAATCCTTCACATCGCTAGCTCCACCATTTCCCTCTCCCCCGTGCCGTTCTCAGATCTCCCCAATCCGGCCGAACACAACCCCAACATCATCACCCTTCCCCACCTCACCCTAACCGCAAACCCAACCGGCTTTCCAATTCCTTTCTTCCACACCTCGCTCTCCCCAAACGGCGCTGCGGCCACGATCTCCGGCACGCCTATCTCTCTTGGGACAGATGGTGTGCTGGTGATAGGTAGTTCCACAACGACTTTACTCCCCCTTCCCCCAACAGTGGCTGCAGCAAGGGGTGAGAATGCCATCACGATAGGTACAGAAGCATTTTCCGCGAACCCCACCGGCTTCTCCATCCCATTTTTACACACCTCGCTCTCGCCCGGCGGACCTGCTGTGACGGTCGCAGGAACGACTATCTCCCTCGCCCCATCCGGAATCCTTCATATCGGGGATTCAACAACACACCTTTCCTCACCCCCTTTTCCTACAAATCCGGATACTTCCCACCCCCCACGCTTGAAGTGCAGCCCTTCACTGTAGAAGGGTTGGTGTTCACGCCTGTATCTGCACCAACGGCTTCGATCACGGGCTCGGGGCTGAGGTCAGGTGGGGGTGCAGCTGTCGTCGTCAATGGCACAACAATATTTGCAGGCGCAGCAGCGGTGATGATGGATGGAGAGAATATCAGTCTTGGTACCGATGGGAATTTGACTGTGGGATCTGAAACTGTGAGTGTGCCGGCGGTGACTGCAAGCGTTGACGGGAAAGGCGGAAAGGTGGATGCGACTGGAACAGCAACTACTACAACGGTGAGGAAGAAGAGTGGTGCCTCAGAGCGGGCTCTGGATGCGAGTATAGAGGGTGGCGGGAGACTATGCTGGATTCTCTTCTGGGCTATCGGCTGGCTGGTGTTGTAAGTCGACTGGTGAAATGTAAATGTAAGGGGAAGGGGGAGAGGAGAAGTGAGCTGGAGGGGTTAACAGTAAGTAGACATGCATTATGAGAATGACGATGATATGATGGCATATGGGTAGTAGAATCAATGATAAATTTCCTAACGGTTCCTACGCTACCCTGTTTATACTCATCTCGACAGCTTCACCGAGTCAATGATTAATTCAAAAAGTGGGTTGCTTTTCAAGTCGTCAGCAAGAGCATGGAAAGCCTCCTTATGGAGCTCTTGCATCTTAGCTGGTTCGCATTACATGAAGAGAAACACATGCAAAGATCGATCCCCTGACCACACGACGATTTAAAAAATCAAGATCTCACGCGTAATTCCACTGTATACTTTTTTAACAGCAAGTCTTTCCCCTCCTATACAACTTAAACCCCCCAGGCACAAGCTTCTGGAAAACCTCCTGTGGATCATACTCCCTCGCCACAGCCCTCAAGAACGCCTGATTTTCCGTCCCATACGAAGCAACAGCGTCTTGGCTTGGTAGCGCATAATTTGAATACACAAAAGGTTCATACTGGTTCTGCTCCTGACAGTACTCGCGAGCTTTGCGCAGGAACGTTTCAGTAGCATTGACAATAGCCTCATCGGCGTCCGCGCCGGTTGAGGTGACGGCGAAGTTCATCCCTAGCGAAAAGTCTTAGATCGTGTCCAATATAAAGTAGGAGACGCAGGACATACAAACGGTGTTCTGCTGACTGAGACTCAGCCCCAGCGAATTACCACCGGAAGCGATGGAATGTGTGGTATACCTCTTGTTGACGGGATGGAGGCTGAATCCTGGATATGTTGGAGGTTTGCCGTGGCCATAGAATGACTCCTGGCAGAGGGACACAATTTTTGCAAGCGTGGTGGCGTTGTTTGGGTAGGTGGCAGATGCCCAAATGTAGCTGACATGGTCAGAAAAGCTGGCCTAGTGTTGTGTTCTTCTATACGTACCGTCCACCATTTTCGATGCCGGGTCCTATGTATCATGTGGTCAGAGAAGGTTATTATGATGGGGTTCTTGAAAGCTCGACCAGGCCATTTCAAGCGACTTACCTGTTCCAGTCTGAAGTGCAAGACTCGAGATGTTGGTCATCCCCACAGTATTGGTCGTCTGAGCCTTCACGTCAGTGAAGTCTGCTAGTATTGGAGGTCTCGCTACCGCATTTGTGTTGACAAGGATGTTGGCAATCTGTGACGGACCGCTGGGGCCAAAGACGTAGACATTCTCGACCGTCGAATAATCATCTAATCCTCTTTCGGAGTCGTTGCCGAACTTTTCGAGCGCCTGTAGCTGCTGGTTCAATTGCACACTTGAGTTCCAAGGGGAGATTACAAAGCCACCCCAGATGGCTCCTTGCTCGAAGGTCTTAAAGTCAAATCTTGTAATGACGCCGAAGTTGTTGCCACCTCCTTTGAGCGCCTTGAATAGTCGAGGATTTGATGAGATATTCGCATTGACGATCTCGCCAGAAGCCAGAACGACCTGTTCCATCAATCCTCAAATTACGGGCTCGTGACATCCTTGGATTACTGACCTCGAAATTGGAGACACCATCACATACAAATCCGTAGCGTGGAGAGAACCAAGACAACCCTCCTACAAGCAGCCGTCAGCACGACATTTAGATCCTAGATCTGTTTACTCAAATACCACCAAGCGTAAGTCCCCCCACACACCAACTTTCCAAACGCGACCACCCGTAATGCTTAATCCCATAGGGTCCAGTACGCGATAAGCATCTATCCAGCGTGTCCCGGCACCAAGAGCCAGAATCTTCCTATCAGAAGAGAGTCTTGTCTCATTGAGCGAGCTAAGATCGATTGTGACACCATCCTGTATATTAGCAGCGCCAGCCCACCACATATGGCCGCCGCCTCTGATTGCAAACTTGCAATGCATCTTGGCAAGGCTTGAGACGGCGATTGCTATATCTGCTGCAGTTGAGGGTGTCACTCTGCACGCTGGCGTGAGCTCTTTTTCCTGAATGGACCAGTAGGAGAGCGTGGCGCCGTTTTGCTGGTCATTAAATACGGAAGATCCGGGGTAGGAAATCTTAGCTCCGAGCACATGCTGCAGTCTTGCACACTAGAAATATTGAGATATTGATGAGAGAGAGACCACATGCTGGACTTACACAAGACAGTGTGATGTTCCCAACGGCCAAACTAGACGGATCTCTGACCTGATTGCCATGAGTAACAGTGAAGAGGGCAAGACACCCAAAGAGCAGAAGAGCAGACATCCCGAACATGCAAACGTGAGCGAGTCGGCTGAGCAGCAGAGGCAGCAGTTTTATGATCCATTTGTCCTCCGGTAGAACATTTCTTCCCTATCTTGAGCGAGGTATTTCTCAGGCTTTAATGTGTCGATTCTTAGTACAGGCACTCAGTGGATCGCTTCCTTGCAAAATCGCCAGCTAGAAAGCACTAGTCTCAAATCTGCTTAGCATTTGCGAGATACTTTTACTAGCGGATGATGAAAATCAGATGTGTAAGGCCAGGGTGGTGTGTCCAAGAAACCATACGGCAAGCGGGTAAGAGTGCTTCAGTGGATAGTCTGGTTGAGTCTAGAGTTTTCCCGAGCGTCGCTTCTTCAATGATTAAGCCTGACCGTGTTTTGCCGATTCCAACAGCTCGTCACATCGTATCGGACCAGTTGCATCTCTTCATTAAAACATCCCGGATCATGACTTCCACTCCGCAGCCATGCGAGTGAGGTCATCAGCACATTAAGTAACTTCGTGTCATATGAGAGCGAACCTTAATCGGTAACGCCAGCAATCAATCGAAGTGACCTCCAGTGTTGAAAGTATCTAGTCATATCCAGAAGGCACGCTATGCACGATAAACTCGTGTCCGGATATCAAGCCTGCCCCGACCCAAAAAGGGCCTAGAGCAAGCAAGAACCCAATGTATATCAATAAGGCTTTAATTCTCTCATCATAAGCCTTTGGAGATTGTTCAGTATCCCTGTGACCCAAGGCAACACGGCACACTTTCCCCGTATGTCTAGATAGATCGTGCACTGTTCATCGTCGTTCAAGCTCCCCATTGTTCCATCTGCATAAGATTCCTTAATCCCTCCACGTTTGACCTTAGGCCCTGGTATATATTTCAAGTTCTTGAGTTTTCTTATATATCGTGCTAACAGTTGTATGTTAGCAGGGAAGATTGCAATCGCAACATCTCCTATCTTAGATGAAACGTTGTTTTGGACTTTCACCTCCTCAAAGTCGTTATAAGTCAAAGGAGAATCCGAATCTTTTGTACTGTTGCTCCCATCAACAATTGAGACGCAAGTATCTCTTCAAACCTAATCAAGCGCCTAAGCCATTTCCAAGGGGCAGCTCAAAGTCTATCCATATTGCAAAGTAACAGTCTGTTCACCAAGACAGCAACCATAGGATGTTGCGCCTCGGCGTGTCCAGGATGAAGAGCAGAGTCTGTGCTGCAATTACAAGGCAAGGAAAGAGATAGCCACCAAATCGAAGACATTTTTGTTGGAATTGTGGGGAGAGATACGTATATTTCTGGATGAATTGACTCAGTACACCATGGTACTCTGTGAAGATGACGAAGCACATGGCATAAAGGGTCGATGCGGCGAGACTACCGATAATCGTTGTCGCGAGAGAAAATGCTAAGTCTATGCCGTTGCGACGCTCAATAATTACGTCGAGGAGTGGCTCAATGCTCAAAACCAGTATCATGCCGATCAAGATTCTGAACCACTCGAATTGGTAGTAATTGTATGGGCTATCGATATGTTTTTTTCGAGACTGCTGAGATACATCTGTTGGATTAAAGGGAGGAAGATTGTTTTGCCCCATGTCCGCTTGAGATTCATTACTTCTGTCCGGGCGACTCGTGCTTGTTGGATGTGAGGAGATCTCGCCCATATGAATTTCTTCATTCTGTAGCTCTGTTCCTGTTCTTGCGATGCTATTGTGAGATCCCTGAACAGCTTCAAAGCCGCTCGGGAGATTTGGTTGTTTTACGGGCCACAGGCCAATGCGCAGGAATTGAGATTGTCGACTATCATGGTTTGGTTCAGCCTCTGCGGCAATTCCGGTTGTTTGGGTCCCTTGTTCACTTTCACGATTCAAAGACTTCCTCTTTTCTGCGAACAATGTAAGTGATTGGTGGTAGAATATCAAGGTAATCAGACACCGAGGATAATGAAGGCATGACTTTTCTTCCCCACCGTCATGCACGATACCTGAGCGTTGTAGTCTCGAAGCCAAGGCAAGACTGCAATTACTTTGAAGTTACATGACTGATAGAAAGTAGATATCATAATTAAATAGATAGGCGCCGAAAGACAGAAGAATGATTCACGTACCGTAAAAGTTCTGTCCCAAGGAAAAGAGAGGTAATGCGAGTAATACCACTGGTAAGATTTGTCCAAACCCAAAATCTTTGTTCTTCTCATCATCCGCTCTTGCTTTCCTTCCAAAGTCTCGGATGAGTAGCAGGCGACTCGTGCCCCATCCAAGTCCAAAGCCCAGCCACAAGATCTACTCAGCGAGAGTTACATATGAGCTTCAGAGCAAGCTTTGAATCCTCTGTGATAAAGGACACTTACCTCCCAGAGCAGTGACTCATATATATCGAGAATTGCGCGTAACTCAACGTATAATGTCTCCAGAAATAGATGCGCCAATCTCCACAGTATTCTTTTCTTGCCTTGTTTAGCCTTGTGAATCGATTTAGCCAGTGCACGTTTGATTACTTGACCGGGTTTTGTCCTGATCATATTTCTGAGCGTTGAAGAATGTTGGGAAAATTTGATCAGTCTCGTGGAGTAGCTAAGAGACAGGACCATGATGGACGTAATCATCGTTGGGCTTGCGATGAAATTAAATTCATATCCCGGCTCTGATGATTGGGAAGAAAGCCGCTTGAAAGTGCATAGAACCGGTAAGGCTCCAGCATTGCTATAGCTCATTTTGTCCCACTGCGCGTCTCCAGTTGGCAGAAGTGCAATTCCCAGCATAGCTACCATTATGGCCATGAGTATTGCTCTCCAGTAGCGAGCTGCCGTGTTTTCGCGAAAGTATTGTCTTAAGAAACTAAGGGTTGTGAGGTGGGTGATGGAGGAGAACCACGCCAGATAGACTATCACTTGCCAATGATAGCATGAAATACCTTGTGATAGCTGAGCGTAGCCGCTGATGAGTATTGCAAGGCCTGTCACCAGCTGCTGGTCACTGTACATAAGAATCATTGTCTGAAGACTCGAGGCCCAACTCTTTGCAGGTCTAGAGCGGCGCTTGCCCCATAGAGTATTAACGACCCCATTGTCGATATTGTTCATGAAATCGTCTGGAACGAAGTGGACAATGAAGCATATACACAAGACGATCAACGTTAGGTACGCCGTCGCCATGAAGCTGATCAGAACCTACGACAATCAATCTATGGCGTCCGTTCCATGGAGAACCGCCTGGGAAAATGAATGATTAGAGAACTCACACCTATACCCATGATATCAGGATCCAAAGCCCCTACTATAGGGGTTGTGTTATTGTAGATCACGTCGCACGTTGACATTTTGATTGAGATGGAAGTGAAATTCCAAAATTGTTTTGCCGAAACTTATGTGGTCAAATCGCAGTCTTCTCAGATGATATCCAAGAAGTTCAAGATTGGTAAAGCGACCAGACTGGCTCATACCAGAGGCTTTGCGTTCCGTTCATAAAGAGTCTTCAACTTAGCCCTTGAGGAGATACCAGTTTCTTCTGATCATTCAGTAGCGCCAAGCGTTTCTGGCATCTGGGATGCATCGATGGATTCCAAGACTTTCGGGTTCAGATAGAAATAGAACGGAAAGGCGTAGTGTAATATGTACTAATATCTTTTGTCGAGATAGATTGTTAGGCGACAGCTCACAGGCACCATCCCAGGGCGCCGATGAGCCTGGAACTAGACCCGAATGGGGCTGGGGGAGGGCGACGAGATCTTGGCATTTCCCGACTGCCATTCTTCCCCCAAGTAGCCCCCTAGATTCCAACTCCTCTCGACCACAACTCCCTCCCCACCCTCCTCCGCTCTGCAGAATGCCCCTCCCTCCAGAGCCTATCACCCTCCACGGCGGCTGCAACTGCGGCCAAATCCGCTACCGCATCGCCATCCCCGCCCTCTCCTCCCGCCCCCTCCATCCAAACTACCACTCCTCCTCTAGCCTCGAACCCGTCCACCAACCCTTCATCTTCACAGACCACTGCAATGACTGCCGGCGTGCCAGCGGCAGCATCTTGCCTGCTTGGATCAGCGCGCCGCTAGATATGGTATCCGGCAGCATTGCCTCCTCAGACTGGAAGCCCGCGCGAGAAGTCTTCACTACAAAGAGCTTTGATCAACCCCCCAAAGAGCCAGGGTCAGATGATAAGGAGGGGGAGGGGCAGGGTATAAGAGGTGGCGATGGTAGACTGGGCTTCTATCAATCAACCCCTGGACGGTGGCGGACTTTCTGCGCAATGTGTGGAACGCCGCTCACGTATTGGGAAGAGGGGACACCGAGTATGGATGGCGTGTTGGATTTGCAGCTGGGTACGGTGGACAGGCGGGATTTGGATAGTGAGGCGCTTAGGCCGGAGAGGCATTTATGGTGGGAGCTGGGGGTCGGGTGGGTGAAGGGGTATGTGGATCATGGGGATGGGATGGGAGAGGGAAAGAGCGTGGAGAGGCATCAGGGGGATAGTATGGATGTGAGGTTGGGGAGGGGTCCAAAGTAAGAGGGGAAATAGGGTGGTTTGGATTGTATAAAAGGGTGATTGGGAAGGGGAAAGATTTTGTTGGGGAGGGAGATGATGATACGATTGATGATGCATGGACAGGAGCTTGGGCTGTGAGGACATATCTGAGATCTTATATGGGAAAGTGCAACTTGCAGAAAAGAGTATGAGATGTAATGAGGATATGACTGATGATAAGGAGAGAATGACGAAGCGTGTTGAGGATAGTGACGATTCTATTGGACACGTATCTGGGTGGGGATCACAATAGGAGCAAGATGTATGCGGTTGAGTAAAACATGTGACTGGACGTAAAGAGTAGGCTAGGATGAGCTGGGATGAGCTGGACAGATAATCTTTTGCTCTGCACTTTTTCTAGGCGACATTAGATGTTATTTCGCTTTGCTGACAGTAGTAGGTAGGCCACAAACATAGCATTCTTCTATCGAACGAGCTGTATCGGGCTGAAGGTCTGCGGAACAAAGAATTGCGTGACTTTTACTCGTGTCTCATCCTCACCACACAACAGAGAATGACAACTCTCGATGCCATGCTCAGGAGGCAAATGTCTTCAATGCTTTCCCATTCCGCTTTGGCTCCGAGTTTGAAGCTATTCATTGACTCTTGATTTCTACAAAGTATCACAAGTGTTAAGTATGGATGTGTCATGGCTTGTGTTACATGAATCTGATCACACTTTGTGCCACTCGAGCGTGTTATCATGCGTTACATACCAGAGTGTCACTACTTATTCCCTTTGTTTGCCTGGACTTTTCTCTCTGATACTCTCCAGCTTTACACCGCGTGTCCAGGTAGAGATCAATATGCCCGAACCAAAGAATGCTAGAATCAACAGAACGGTTTCATCGGGAGACAGACCAAATCATGAGCCACACAAAGACCGAGGTACTTCTTCGGGAGCAAGACGCGTATCTTCGACTTCGAGACGAGAATCTACGCGAGAATCTACTCCAAGACTAGTGTCAATTTCGAAACGAGAGCCTTCTGGTGGCGAATCCGGATCAACGAAAAAGGATCGAGCGAGTGAAATCCCCAGATGTTCCAGACCCCCTCAACAACACTCGCCATCTCAACAGGCACGCCATCGAAACGGTCATAAACATGAAGAACCACATGTGAAGAAGCATGTCCGACTCAATAGTATCCCTACAAACTTTGAAGACTCCCAACAGCGACAGGCCATCGCTGGTGTTGATCGAGTCCAAGAACCGCCGCACTTGCACGAGGATCCCGAATTAACAAATGCCCCAAGATTCGTATCCTGCCCAATGTTGAATCAATTAGACTCACAACAGCCGCAAATACCTCCTCAACAAGCTCCTAACAAAAGTCAACCTGACCAGGAGCCCTCTGACTCACAGAAGGAGTCTAAGCCCGACGGAATCGTTGACCCTACTCTACCTCCTCTCAACCCCTTTCCCCACAACGACAACCCATGCCCCACCAACTCCTTCGACCACGCCATCGCCTCTTCAACAGACGCTCTTATACAAGACACCTTCCTCTACTTCAAAGAGACAAAGCAGCTGGACCGTGAAAAAGCACTTTTCTACCAAGACTATCTTGCTTTGAGAGAGCGGAAACAGCACCTGCAAAAGGAGCAGGGGAGGCTAGATGGGATGAGAGATAGAATCAGGGCGGCGGCGTTGAGGGTGGTGCAGGATGTGGAGTGGAAGGAGGTGATGGAAGGGATGGAGGGAATGCCGGGGATGTGGGAGGAGGGGTGGTAGAGGTGAGGTGTTGGTATACGGAGAAAGGGCGAGGGAGAATACCCTCTCGCGAGCATTTCAAAGGCGAAAACTTCTTACTTTCAGCCTAGTAAGACTACTCATTTCACGGTAATTGACTGACCATACAATGTCTTTTTCAAGCCGATAATGAGAAGAGTAATGTAGATATCAAACCTAGATGTTGTGGTCCAATACGAATGGAAACCAGGGGCTGGATGTGAAGAGCGCCATGAAGACTGGGTGCCGAATATGCAGATCGTCATGAAAGTTGTCCGATTGATATTGACCTTTGCCACATCGTTACTACCGTGCCCTGGAAGAGGAGAATATTCAGTCCTGCATACTAGTATTCTGGCGTGGGCCGGCTAACGTACCTCAGCGTATTGCAAGTGATATCGTCTCAAATTTGTCGTGTGAGGCAGCATCGGTAAAAGGGGGCCCTTCGTCTACTCCAACGTTTCGAAATATGCTCCGATCTTCTCTTTTGGTGGATGCTGAAAGTCGAAGTCGTCCGCGAAGCATCTCACAAAATTCTTAATGTCCTCAGACGCTTTGTCCACACTCTCTTCGAACACCACTTTACCAACCTGGTGATCAAAAGACGTTCGGTCAAGGACGAGAACCATGCATTGATCAACTTCGAATACCATGCGATTCGTGCAGATCTGAGCAAGTGACTCAAGTTTGAGGCCTTTCTCTATTGTAGGGCAGCTTTGAAGGCATGGCTTGACCATTTGGCAAATTTCACTGGGCTCTTGAGTCGATCCATAAGCACAATTGTTGAATGAGCTTCCTAAGACGCGTTTTTTGGCCTTCCAGCAGACACGTGCGGTACCTTCGTACTGATTTTCTGGCAGTGGTCTTGTTTTTCAGCTGTAGTCTGGAACACCTCAACGTCGAAACCAGAGCTCTGGCTGTGAAGGGTACATGTCATGATGCACCTCATGACACTGTCAATATTATAATGCTGAGGCTAGCCTTATGCAAGCGGCAATGATTCTATAGCGAGGAGACCAAAATTATGCAGAGCGAAACATGAGAAGCTATCAAAAGGGTCAACAGCAATTCAGGCGAGTCATGAGTACCCGGGCTATTGTAACAATTTTATGCATGCCTGAAAGTGAGTATATATAGTGTAAAGAGGCCAAACAGAGCCTCTCCATAAAGAATATGGAATATCTTGATTAAAAGGATTTCTGAGAGCCTGCGGGGTATGATGCAAAAAGTATAGGAATCAATTGACTGAAATCTCGCCATCACCATGGTTTCAGGTAGAAATAGGGAAGATTTGGGCCATGCTTACTCATGTAATCTCCCTCACCTTGACCATCCTGATCCTAACCACGAACCCTCACCACTGACCTTCACCATCCTCATCCTAATCACTTAGCCTCGATACTGACCCTCACACCCTGACCCTAAACACCCTGACCCTAACCACCCTAAACACCCTCACCCTAACCACCCTAACCCTAACCACCCTGACCCTAACCACCCTGACCCTAACCAGCCTCCGGCGGCCTGCGGCGCTATCACATCCATACTAACCCTAACCCTCTAACCCTAACCCGAGCCCTAATTCCTCCGGAGGCCCTCCCGGGGGCAACTGCGTTGAGCCCACCCTGACCCTAACTCCTACTTACATGAGGGCCCCCACACCATCATGGCTGTCGATCGTGGACCACCATTATAGTGCTCCATCAGCTGGTCTGAGAACCCCTCTGATTTACGAGAGGGCGCCCGAGTTCGACGCAAGAGGCTCGGAAATTCTCAAAGGGGCTAGCTGAAAAGCCCCTAGGGCCCCTTCTACGCCAATATACCTACATTATGGAGACCATCTTGAGAGTCCAGGTGATTTTTATATCACTGATCAACATTTCTCTGGCTCCCAAATTCTAAAAAGGCCTTTAGTTACGTTGATGCAAGGCCATTGCTTATTTCGTATCCGGCTGAGTCCAGCGAGACTCTATTCGTGAGTACGTTTGCCTTAACCGCCTAGGCCTTGATGGCTGTTCTTGTGTCATTTGGCAATGAACCACATGTTATACATATGGCAACTTCAAGTTTGTGTGTATGGTGTGATGTCTCGTTTCCTTACTTGCGCGAGGGATGGGTCTAGTCTTCAGAGAGCAAGATAAATGGAGATGACAAGGCGAACCTCAAGATGTGACCAAGCCCATGCCTCTCGGTCATAATCAATATTATTGGTGAAGTGACGTATATTGAGCTAGTTTTCTACATTCTCTTTCACTCTATCATGCAGTACTTGGTATTGCCTGATATAGGCTTAACATATCGCAATGTATTTGAACTGCCTCATACATTACTGCCTCCGTCATCTGTTCTCAGACGTAAAACGAATTACAATCAGGTTCGGTCGAAACATATTTGCAAGGTTTTTAGAAAGTGAAAACCGTCTCGGTGCAAATCACAGAGACCGGGTCACGTGTCACTTCGGTCAGCGTACTCTCGACCTCCGAAGTTGGATAGCATCACATGCGACCAAAAGTGCACCATCGACCTTCAATTGATGTTTGAATCTGTCTGCCATCACTGCATCAATAGAAAACTTTCGTCATCATCTAATCAAAGACCTCATGGCTCCTCATAGACTGGAACCCGTCACACCTTCTCCCTTTCATGAGAGATCTCAGGTTGAGAGCAATCGACCATTGAAGATAATTGTTATTGGCGCTGGCATCTCAGGCCTCGCGGCTGCGGCTGGGTTGCGTCGTGCAGGTCACAATGTCGAGGTAAATCCGGCCGTGGTCGTCTATATTTTTCGCTTACAGGTTGGTCATAGATCTTCGAGCAATCCGCGTTCGCAAATGAAGTTGGCGCCGCGATTCATGTTTGCCCAAACGCATCCAGGATTCTTCTGAAATGGGGTCTTGATCCTGTGGTAAAGCAATTCGACGAAACAAAGAGCGTACATCTCCCGTGCCATGAGTTTCTATCTGCGTTCTTGCCATTGTTTATTCATCGCTTGCAAGATCTCTACCTAAATGATATGACTGACAGACTCTAATAGATATTGACTGCCCGCGCTGACACATATGAACCGATGCATGAGGCAGATTGCAGTCACATGAACGAAAAATATGGAGCACCATGGTATCTAGCTCATAGGGTAGACCTCCACAACGCCTTGAAGGAGCTAGCTCTTGGAGATCCTGGGAAAGGTTCTCAAGTCAAGACTTATCTCCGGTCCAAAGTGACAGCCATTGTGCGCACACTTCTCGTTGCCAATAGACGCACTTTGTACTCACGCTTCGCAGGAGCCTAGCACAGCGACTGTCACTCTCGCCGATGGCACAAGTCATCAAGGTGATCTCATAGTCGCAGCCGATGGATCACACTCGTCGGCCATCAAACACGTGATCGGACACGACAATCCCGCGACTCCAACTGGTACATCGGCCTTTAGATTCCTGATACCAACAGCAGACATTCTGGCGGACGAGCAGACAAAACATTTCTTGGAGAATAAGGACGGCAAATTCAAAGCAATCATAGGCGAAAGAAAGCGTTTGATATGGTATCCTTGTCGAGGGTGAGCTGCTGTGCGATAATCAAAGCTATGACATGTAAAGGTTGACTTTGACAGCGGAACGATGCAAAACTTCGTAGGCATGCATCCTGATAATGCAAAATACGGCTCAGTCGAAGGTAAGTCAATATACCCGCTATCCACCAACTTGTGAGGATACTACTGACCGACGTCCGTACCTGTCACAGAATGGAATATCACATCCAACCCCTCCCACCTCCTGGAAGAATACTCCTCCTTTCACCCTGACCTCATAGCGGTGATGCGGTACACAATTTCCCCTCCCCCTTCCCCACCATTCCCCCCCTCCATTCTCCTCCCTAACACCCCACAGCAAAGCCACAGACGTCAAACTCTGGAAACTGCTCTACCGCCCCCTATCCCTACCTGGCACCGCGAGCGCCTCGTCCTAATCGGCGACGCCGCCCATCCTATGCTGCCCCACCAAGGACAAGCTGGCGCGCAAGGGATCGAGGATGGTGCAGCTATTGGTGTGTTGTTGGCGGGACTTCAGGCGGGCGGGTTGGATGGAGTCGATGGGGAAAAGGGGGTAAAGGTGGAAGCAGTGGAGTTGGAGCAAAGGCTGCAGGCATTTGAAGCCGTGCGGAGGAAACGGGCGAGTGTCATGCAGATTTTCAGTAATGCCGGGCAGGATGAGGCGGAGAAGATTAGGGAGGAGGCGGAACGGGTGCTGGGCCCAGGAGCGAGGGTGCCGGGTAAGTTGTCTTTGTTTTCTTCTACCTTGAGGGGAAGGCTTTGGAAAGGAGGGAGAATTTGAGTGCTGACTTTGTCATGGTGTAGCGAACCAAGCCGAATTCCACGAATTCAATTTCGGACACGACGTCGTTGCCGAGAGCGAAGAGTTGTTAAGAGAACTGCTTGAGAGCGGTGAGAGGCGCGTGAAGAAACCATGAGGTTGATGGTTAGGCAATCCGTTCATGCTTTCTCTTTGGGTGAAGTGAATACAAAACGGACGGGAGAATATTCGCCCTACCAGATGTTCAGCTCTCAAAACCACTCGTAGTATTGCCGATCTGGCTTTCTTACACTTGCAGTCATCCGAGTTCTTCTTCAGGTCGACATCAGCTTCAGAACGTTCTCCCCTGATAAATCAACAAAATCCCATCTACAATCTCTTTCTCCCTCCCCCTCCCCTCTCACCCCACCGTTCCGCCTACTCTGCCTCTAGGATGCTACAAAAATAATCAAGGCCATAACGTTGCGAGCCAGGGTTTTATCCGGTCTTGATCGAGAAAGCCAGTAACGAATGATGAAGCAGCTGATGTCAAGCCATTCTCATTCTAAGTATTCACATTCGTTAACGATTCCAGTACCTGGATGTTCCAAGCAAGGAATCTCGCCGTCCTTCAATCGACGTGTCCTCACTAACAGGTTCAATCCCGACGAACCCTCCACCTCCTCGTTTCCACAACACTTTCACTCTCGTTTTGCCCAAGCAGTTTCACAAACCCCCCCGTCCCATTCCTACCCCCGCTCAACCCCTCCGCCATCTCCCTCGCCATAACCTCATGAACCGTAAACATCGGATGCAGACCATCCCTCCAAAAAAACTCCTCAAAGCTCGCGTTCCCACAACTCGCATTCCTATACCCCGGATCCGGGCCCTGATAATTCTGATACGCATCACACTTCGCCGTCAAATTCCTCAACCCTTTCGTTTCCCTAAACGCCGCCGGGTTCGCGAAGATCTGCTCGAATAGCTCGTCCGTCGCGAACGTGAACATCGACACGTCCATGTGCTGCGATGAGAATGCACGCGCCATGCTTTGCAGGCGCGAATTCCAGTCCGTTACGAAAGGCGTGATGGAAGGGGAGGCGGAGGGGGCATGCTGTAAGGGAGGGGCGTTGAGGAGGAGGAAGGTGCGCGCGCCGGAGCTGTAGAGGGTAGTGAGGAGGGAGGCGTAGGTTTTGAAGACGTCGCTGGTTTTGGTTGAGAGGGTTTTGTTGGCGTCCATGACTTCGATGTCGTTGACGCCGATGAGGATGGCGAAGAGGGTGCTGGTGGGCTTCCAGGCGGGTTTTTTCGTGTACAAGGTGCGGAATGTGGTTTGGATTTGGTATTTGAGGTCGTTGGTTATGTGCGGGATTATGCTGTTGTCGACGGTTGCGGCCGTGACGGCTAGGTTGTAGTTCTTGATGATGCTGGCGTTGTAGGCGGTGCTGAGGTAGGATATCCATCTCGAATTGTGGAAGGGGGCGCTGGAGTTGATCTCTGAATTGCCGAGGGGGTTGGTCGATGATGGCTGGATGCCGTTGGGTTTGAAGCCTGTGTCTGTCCAGGAGTTGCCGCTATGATTTTGTTAGTTGGACGGTTCTGACAGTCGATGAGGGCGGTCACAATGAGAATATCGTGTCTACATCTGCCCAGCTATTCCGACTGCCTCGCTTGAGGACCTCTGTGTGTGATGGAACTGCGTTCGCCAAGGTAAAGAGCCATATTGATATGGTGAAGGCTCGCATATTGAGAGACAGATTGATAAGGATACGATGATGATGTACCGGAGGAACAATATTTTTGTCTTACAAAGCATGCAGCGAGCTTGTCGTGGCTAAAACATATAGACCGTCAACAGAATTGGCGAGGAGCGGCTCTACTTATAAATGAAACTCAACATTGAGAGAGAATGAACAAGCCCTGTAGATTTATAGAGAGCTGGCAGCACATGGTTGCTCCTTCCAACCTCATGAGGTTTAGCTATCCACAGGAATTTAAGGACCAGCTTGCACCAATCTCGTGAAACACTGACCGCATGGTCTCTATTTTTATTGACAGTCCATTGGGCTTCTTGTTGCTTGCTTCCACCATCATTAGGGACTCTGGTAGCGCCTTCGAGAACGGGGGACCAACATGGCGTTGTTTCCGGCAGGTATTGCCGCTGAGGTTATCGCTTATGAAAGCCTCACGGAACCCTAAAACGAGAAATGTCTTCTGAATTTCCACATGGAAAGACAAGGACTGTGGCTCAGCAGGGGTGATTCGCAGATTTGATGGAGACGCTTGGTATCGGTGCTAGGTTTAGAAGTCGTTGCCGTATATCTGAAGTTCCTTAGCGTGACCTAAGCTCAACCATTGCTACTGCGTTTCAGGAAGTATACGCGACCCGTGCCAGGACTAGCAAGTCTTCACGCGTGATTGTCGGCCATGGTAATGGTAGGTTGCGCCTTATCTAATTATAACCTTTTGCGTAGAGCATTTCGTAGGTCATGCGAGTTTGTTGCCAGGACTGTGGGTGGAAGTCTACTTCTGTATTTTTGTCGCATGCTATGGTCAGTCATGGATGTTTATGTCCGTCATGTACTCTCTCTATACGCGGAGTAGGAGGACGAGAGCAAACAAGGCAAACATCGCGTAAAGCCAATAGTTCGATGGAGACGATTCTTGTAAAATGTCATGAACAACGAGCTGAAGGCGCGAAAACAGGTTTATCTTTCAGGTTGGCAATAACAACATTGTCCTATAACCGCGTAAAGGAATATGTCGGTCAGATTCCGTGCCTACCTCCAATCGATCGTTGCAGTTGGTACAAGCCTTTGAGAATACCTTCACCAATCGAGGATGCTTGCGACCCAGTCAAATCTCATTCGCCTTGAATGAAGAAGTCGTAGTCGACGTCATGGCGAGGCTTCAATGAAATACGGTAGTAGCATGCATACATCGAGTCATCAGTCTCGCATCAAGGAGCATTGGCCGGCGCGCCAGCACCACTGGTGCCAGCCATGCCCACATCCAATTGCTGCCGCTCAAGAACAACCTTCTCCACGGCTCCAAGGGCTTTTACACCAACCTCATACCGCTCAAATGACTCCTTTTGATAGCCGTCTGCAACCCTCTCCACAAATTCGTCCTCCCTCCATCTTTCCCCAATGAATCTTTCAAAGGTTTCGTCCTTCTCCTTTTCACATGCCCACACAGCTTTGTATGCACTGCCGAGCGCACAAGCATTGCCTCCAACATCGAGCCTATAGACTCCCTCTACGCCACCGAGGATCTCGCCTGCCAGCTTTGCGATAGCTGGATTGTAAGATCCTCCGCCAACAAGGTAGATTCGTCTTGGCTGAGCTGGGAGGTTTTCTGGATTGGGGTCCGGAGGCGCAACGATATTGTGGCTGCGTAGACGGAGAGATAGCAGTTGAGATTCTAATATGGCGCGCGCGTCATCTTCTGGCAGCTTCCAATCTGAATCATTGGTGGAAATCGTTGATGTGGTTGGATCGAAGATGAAGCGGTAGGTCCCCTCTCGGACATTGGGAACGATTTCTGGACGGGGAAAGTAAAGGGCAACTTTGGCGGGAGAAAGGGCGTTGGGGGCATTGAGCGGTGAGTGGGATATCGCGGTGCTGTTGAAGATAGCCCAAGCGTCATTGGAGTCGATCGGAGCTGGAAGTGAGTCGCGGATTTGCTCGCGGGCAAGGCCGCCTACACATTTAGTCAGACGGCACTCATGAATGTGGCGTGGATCTCACCATTCTTGTAGCAAAGCATGAACATGTAGAGACCTGGAGTCGTTGGGTGGTTCATGAAATGTACTGCGGGATCAGGCTTGTAGTAGGGGGTAGACATCAGGAATGTTGTTGAAGTGCCGAGGGACACTATGGCATCAAGAGGACGTAGTGGTAGGGCGAGAATTGTCGATGGATTATCTCCAGTAAAGGGAATGATTTTACAAGACGGATCAAAACCATACCTTTCCACAAAATAACTATTGATTCGTCCAAAACTGATACCGCCTTCGTCAGGGATGTGCCCAAGCTGTGACCTGAGCTGTGCAGTATCCTTTGAACCAGCGGTAATCTCTAGAAGCCTGACATTATAATCGTCGTTTTCAATATCCCAGAGATTCATCCCGCATGCATCAGAGATGTCGATAGGCGCAACCTTACCAAGAAAGATCGATGCCAGAAAGGATGAGACCAAGGAGATCCGCGCAGTATTGTTGTATTCAATAGGATGCTTCTCCCTCATGCGTAGGATTTGTGGCCCGGTAAAACGCTACAGCAGTAAGCTTCGCTGTGCAATCACGACGAGGCCATACATGGTGTGCTTTGCTCCCCGTCCTCTGTGCAAGGTTTGTCTCATTGCCTAAAGCCTTGTCGAAAAGGTCACATTGTGCCTGCGTACTTGCATCTTGCCAATTCGGACTGTAAGGATAAGAGAAAGCATTTGTCATCTGTCGCTCAAGACCCTGAATGTGGTCAAGCTTCTGCAAGACCTCCACGCCGGCTTGACTCCAATAGACGCTGCCGTGTTGCATGCCAGCGCCGCTGATGCCTTGCACCCGACTGAAGTCCAGACCAGTATCCTTCAGTCGTCGTAGTACCACATCGATCGCTCGAAGCCACATCAACACAGGCGCGAAGACTTCATGTTCAGCTTCATTGGTCAAGACACCTTTCTTGATACCGAAATCTGCTGCATCTTGATCGAAATCGAAGGTGGCGTTATATTCGACCTTCAAGTCTGGAGAAACTGCAACGCCTTTCAATTGCTGGGTAGAAAGATCGAAGCCTAGATAAAGTGGTGATTGTCTCATGCTGGAGAAACGATCGACAACTACAGAGGCGAACAGGAATACATTGCTACTCGAGAGTTGAAGTCTAAATCAAGTAAGCACATTGAGCGCAGTTTATTACGAGTGTGTGCGACGTCATGTGGTAAAAGCGCTCTGAAACGGTCATTAAAAGTCTACAACAATAACGACAGGACGCCCCTCGAGCAAAACCTTACGGACGCGAAACGGTCGGATCACCTCCGTCAATGACATCAGTCAATATACGCCAAGCCCACGCTCTGTTCTCCATAAATTCAACAGTGACGAAACGCCTCTCAATAGCTCCATATGGCTAGGGTAGAGCATTGCACGCAAAACCATGGCTCAATGACCACGAACAAACAATGAGCCCTCGCGATCCCTACAACATCGACTCCCAACCCGGATGGCGCGGCTACCGCATACTTCGCCCCGGGCTGGGTATGTACCACGACGTCAAACGGCGGTTGCCATACTACTGGAGCGACATCACCGATGCGTGGACGTACAGAACGTTCGCGGGCACGGTCAGGATATATTTCGTCAAGTAAGCTACCCTTTTCTCTATCTACCTGCACTCGTACAATTCTGCGCCTCGGCTCAATCTTCCTACCTTATTTAGCGTACTTCCCGCCCTGGCATTCATCCTCGACATGAATCGCCGCACAGGCGGCTTCTACGGCGTCAATGAGGCTCTCTTCTCCTCCGCGTTCGCCTGCATGGTGTTCAGTCTGATCGGGGCCCAGCCGTTGACGATTGTGGGTATCACGGGATTGATTTCGCTGTTTAATTATACGATCTTTGATATTATTAAGCGGTATGATACCAGTCTGTATCCGCAGTTTATGACTTGGGTGGCCATCTGGGCGGCTATTTTTCACTGGCTGTTTGCGTTTTGGAATTTTTGTGATTATATGAGATATGTGACGGATTTCACGAGTCAGAGCTTTGGGGCTTATGTGGGGATTATTTACTTAAGTACTGTGGCCTGGTCAATGTGAGGATCGAAGAGAAGCTGATTGGATGGCAGTAAAAGGTGTGGAGCTATTGATTGGGGAGTTCGAGAGCTACGGGCCGAGAGTTGGCTATGCTGGCGTTGCAATTGCGTTGCTCTTTTTCTTCACAGTTTATGTTCTGGAGTTGGTACGGCAGGGTACATGGTTCAAACCTTGGGTACGCAATATATTGGGTGATTATGCATATCCTGTAGGGCAGTCTCGTCAATTTGGGTTTGTGAAACTGATATTGGCATAGTTGGCAACAATACTTTGGACTGGTTTTGCGCACTTCCCCGGCCAAATGAAGGAAACGAATGTCCCAAAATTGCCACACACACGAGCCTTCTATCCTACTGTGGATAGGGACTGGCTCATTGACTTTTGGAACCTTGACGTAAAATGGGTCTTTGTTGCATTGCCGATCGGCTTTCTCATGATGTTACTGTTCTACTACGACCATGTAAGCAAATCCGAGAACTCATATGGCTGTAATTAAGAGAAGCCAGAATCAAAGCAGTGTTGCAGCGCAAGCGAGGAACTTCCCATTAAAGAAGCCGGGAGGCTTTCACTGGGATTTCTTTCTCCTTGGATGTACTAGTTTTGTGGCTGGAATTATAGATATACCTCTTCCTAACGGCCTTGTACCTCAAGTGAGTCAACTTGCAGCAGCTACGCATCGAAAGTTGACCGACACAGGCACCTGTGCATACCGATTCCATGACAGAATATCGCAGCAAATTGAAAGTCATCAAGACCCATGACGGCCATGAGATTTATGAGCAGGAAACAATTGCTGAGAGAGTCGTCGAGCAGCGAGTGTCACATTTTCTCATGGGTCTTGCCATCATTGGGACGATGACTGGGCCTTTACTGGATCTTTATAACCTGATACCGAGAGCACTTTTCGGGGGAGTTTTCTTTGTCGTCGGTGTGAGTATACAGTCTTCATATCATCGTTCAGCCGCCAAGCTAATCCGTGATTTTCTCAGTGGAGCGGTCTCGAAGGAAACGGCATAATGAAGAAAATCCTTTATCTCATTCGCGAAGAGCGATTTGTGCAGCCTGATGAACCTTTGCGCCAAGTTCCAAACCAGAAGATACTGCTTTATTTGTTCTGGCAGATATTCGGTATCACAGCGACTGTTGGCGTTTCGCAGACGATTGCGGGCATTGGTAAGCCTACTCATTCACGTTTTATAGAGAACCGTTTACCAACATCATTCAAGGGTTCCCAGTGCTCATCATCGCCTTGATCCCACTGAGATGGAAGATCCTTCCGAAGATGTTCAAGCCTGAAGAATTGAGCATCATGGATCATCTTACAGCTGATAGTGACATCGTTCTTGCAAGTATGGGTGGCAAGCCCACAATGCCAGAAGACCGAATCGAGCACGATGAGGTCGAGCGTAATACCCCGAAAAGTAGTGATCGAGATGGGAGTAAAGACGTGAGTAGCGAGAAGCTGTCGACCGCTGAGCGGGGTGAGGCGAGCGAGGGTTTGCGGGCAAGGGGTAATGTCGTCAAAGAGCCCGATGAATATCGAGGTTATGGTATGTAGTGAGGGAGGTAATGTGAGATGGTACGCTGTGACGAAGACTCCTTCATTACCTTCCTTGTTCGCCGTACCTTCTTCTCGTTTATTGGACCACGTTTTCCGAACAATCTCACAGCGCCGTTCTCAAATGGAGCATGGTGAGTGTACGATAACATCTTGTATATTGACCACGGTGTCACATCAAGAAGGTGATGTTTACTATAAAATTGTCTTTCTCCCATGTTTCAACCTTACACACCAACGTTCAATCTCCTCAGCCTTTCTGCAATGTCAGTCTTCCAACATTCAAATGTCTTACAAAATCTCCAACCTAGGTACGCAATATAGCGTTGAAAATCTGCAAATACTAGACGGTAGTATGAGCCAGGGCAGTGGCCAGTGTCAATCTAAATGGATCCGAGATCAACTAACCTATAACATGCCAGAAATGAGATCTAAAAGCCTGAGTAAGGAATAGCTGTCTCTGGCTCAGCCGAAAAAGCACCAGATCAAATGCAAGGTCCAACTCATACCAACACAGACTAGGCGCCTGTATGCGCGCCGACAACGATGACCAACTTCTGGTATAGACATGAGGCCTTCACATATTATACAAAGCGGAGCTGGTCCCCAGGATACGCACTGAGACCTTCATATTTCTGAATAGCCCATCACCTAGGGCTCTTCAAAAACACCACCTTTCGCGTCAAAATGCACTATCGTTCAATCATCGCCATATGTCTGCAGACTGCTTCTCTCCTCACTTTCACAACCGGAACGCCACTCGATCCCGCCTCCACCTCTCCATCGAGTCCTTCGCTCTCAATCAGAGACTCACTGCCTCAGAATTTCACCAACATCAGCAGCCCCACCAATGCGACCAGCGGGGACCTTTCTAGAGAAACTGAAGATCTCTGTGGCAACGGTCCAGCCGGTTCCGTCCAATTCGAATCCAACATATTACTGCGAGTACGTATCCACCCCCTAACCCCCACCCCTCCACCCTATCCAACCCATGTCACTAACCTCACTCCAGATCAACGGCTACTGGCACCCCCCAAGCACCACCATCTGCGTCGACATAGCGCGCTCCGACGGCCTGAGGCTCTTCCACAGCGTAAGTAGACAATTCAACTTCGACAATGTCTTTACCAATGAGGGAGGGTGCCGAACTGCACTTACCGCATCGAGATGTATTTCCTGCAAGTGGAAGATGAAGGTCGTGGGTTTACGTATACGGTGGAAGGGGAGTTCGGTGGACAGCGCGGGGCGTATGAGCAGGAGGTCGAGGTTCCAGATGGAGGTGCGGCGGCGAAGGATGGTGAGGTGAGTGTGGCGACGGCGAAGCGGGATGGGGTTGGGGAAATGCTGAGGAGGGATGGCGCTGGGCGTGGTAATGGGACAAATAGCACAGCTATGGTTGATGCGCCAGGGGGGGTCCTGTCGTTCGCCGGGGCCAGCGGGGTCGACGCCGATAGATACGATTCGAGGTCTCAGAGTACGTAAAGCACCTATGACCCCACTCTTCCCCCTAGCTTCGTAATTTGCAAGCCAGTTGACGATATTGCCGGTTTTAGATCATCGGGTACTGGCGTCCGGATTATAGAATACTCTGTCTCGATTTCTTCGAACTCGATTTCGGCGTCCATGTCAAGCATTATGAGGTGTACACCTTCAAGTACGATCCCGCGCGTCATTATTATTGTCCTATCGTGGTGGGGGGCATTGATGTGCAGTATAACTTTTGGTTCTCGTCAATTCAGGAGGAGTATGAAAAGTTCAATGCGAATGCCCTTGGGGTCATTCATCATGAACGAGTTAATTATAATTGGGTGATTGTGTCGAATCCCCACGGAGTTATGGGTTCAGCTGCGGGAGTGGCGACGTCGAGGCGAGGTGTAGAAGCTTGACAGTAGTGCTGTGGGTAAACATCAATCAGATGCTTCACAAATCGAATTGTGCATTGCCCTTAGCTAAAGGAGTCCCTTCGCCCAAGCCCCTGTACTGCTCGTGCAGAGAAATCAAAGCGCGGTGCTTCTCAACAAGAAGCCAAGATTTTAGCCACATGGATGAGTATGGTGCGATACAATTTCTATAGATCAGTGAAAGAGTTGTTAAACTTGTCGGAGTTCAGTGCCAAGACCGCCGATCGACAGCGATGAACACGAGCACGGGATTCTATTATTGTTGCAACATCCATAGCAGCCATTAGCCGTCCAAGTTCCCATTGGTCCAATGACTGCTATAGGAAGGTAACAAGTCTGATTCCCCAACCGTTGCGCACTGTGTATCAGAGAAGACCGTGTCTCACGACGAAGCACCTCGGCTGGGGAGGTTATTGAAGGGTTGTCAGGGAGAGATAGACAGAGTCCGTCCTCTCAATAATGATAGACTTTCTTGCAATGATATATTTTAGCAATCATATATGCACATCTTAGAGTGAGGCTGTGCACTCGAACAACGATACGAAGATTCGCTGTAGGATCCCCCCAAATGGCTAGTCTCCGCCCCCAGATATCATCGAAAGAGGAAGATCGCCAACATCTAATCAAACTAGTGCTCGGAGGTGATTTCTGTCTCATCCATGATAGGTCGCATGGGCGGAAACCTGCAGTGGCTTGTTGGTGTGTCAAGGATTGAACGTCACGATAGAAGCAGGCTGGACTGGCCGGGCGCGGGACGATAAAGATGCCTCATTTTCTTCCTCAACCTTTCCCAATGACACTCCAACCCACTGATGTCATCAAACGACTGTGAAGGATTCATTGTCGCATGAGCTTGCCAGATGGCGTCCTCATCCTCGTCCTCGTCCTCGACATGCTACTATCCTAATGGCGATGAGTCCAAGGAGCAAGACATTCCCTGTGGCAATGGTGACGGCGTAGCTTGCTGCCCACAAGGTTGGACCTGCCAGGACAATGGCTCATGCTATCTTCCTAACGAGAAGTATTATGGTCGATACACTTGCACCGATAAAAGCTGGCAGTCAGATGGCTGCCCCCACATCTGCACATACGGTCAGTCACAGTCACACACTTTCAATCGCCACTCTTGCTGAACGTATTTCAGGCCTGACAGCTTCTGGCAATGAAGCATTGGGGACATGCGGCACAAATGAATGGTGTTGCGACACCAATAGGCCTGAACTGTCTGGTGGGCAAAACTGCTGTGACACCAACTCTCCAAAATTCTCGCTCGATTCGCGCAAGGTCGAGAACAACGGAACATCATCCGACAATTCTAATTCAAGTAATGAATCCCCTTCATCAACGGAAGAATCTACCACATCAACCACATCAACATCGTCAACCTCGAAAACCACCAAAACCACAGGATCTCAATCGCAAAAGACGGATGGCAGCACCAGTGTCGTCCTGGTCACCTCCGTCGTAAATCAAGGCAGCAGCACAATCGTAACATCCGTCACCGGCGCCGCAGCCACGAATCCACCACCGTCAGAAACCTCCACTCCATCCCACAAATCGCTGGCTCCCATCATCGCCCCCACTGTAGCCGTCCCCATCGCTGTCCTTCTGCTCGCCGGCCTCGCACTAGCATGGTTTCTGCGCCGACGAAAACGACAGAGGGCCCTCAGCGCCGAATCACCGTCTGGGCCCGACCCCGTGCCTATGTACAAAGATCCGTACTCACCGAACACAGACTCGTCGTACTCGCCCGGGAAGTCAGAGTTGGAGGGGAGTAAGCCAGATTTGACGCATACTCCAGTGTCACCGAGGACGCCATCTGGTTTGAGGATTTTCGAGGGCCCGAATGATGTTGGGAGTGCGGGGACGACGGGGGTGGGAGGCGGGCAGAGGGGAAGTTCTAATTTGAGTCATGTTGAGCACGCGGGGGCGCAGCCGGGTATGGCGGAGCTGGAAGGGGATGGAGGGAGGGAAGGAGAGAAGAGGAGGTCGGAGCTTCCTGCTGAGGTGAAGAGAGCGAAGGAGGGACCGTGGCTTTTTTCAGATGATACCCAAGGAGCGTCTGGTGGATGACAGGTTTGCTCAACGATGGGTTTGTTGCTTGCAGGAAGAAGAAGCATGTATGGATTCGTGCTTTGAAGGATCATTGAGTGTAATGGGAGAAGAGACAACGAGTAGCTTACTGAAGATACCCAGGGAACTGTAACGAGTGGAAGACGAAGGAATAACTCAAATATCAATCAGGTGGCTGCCCTCGGGATATTGAGTACCGCCCAACTCTACCAGAGACTGATTGATGGCTCACTACTTTCTCTCATGAGCTATACTGTGGAGTTTTGCTTGTGAGAAAGAAAGCTCTTAGACTTGCTATCTCGCTCAAGGCATGAAGGAAGCCTAGAAGACTTTGCCGTAAGCTACACACCAACCCTAGAGGCTCCTCCCGGGGCTAGATTGCGACAGCGTCTAACCCTAAAACTGATCTCCATCTTCGCAATATGCAAAGTCCAGCAACCAAGCTCCTCACCACCTACTCACCCCTGCCACCTGCTACTACCTACAATCACACGCGCCGTCCAATCTTGGACCTCTGTTCAAACATTGAACCTATCTATACAATCCCTGCTGTGCTCCAAGCCTCCTCCCTCCTCCACTCCTTCACGAATAGCGCAACAAGATCAGCATCCACGTACTCAAACGGACAATATACGATCAGCTACTCACATTCTCCCTTCCCTATCGCTACGGAGACTGTCTCTACGCCTTGTCCCTCACCCTCCACCCTCCATCCTCCTTACAACCCCGAAATACACAAATCCGACACCTTCTCGAAAGGGTAGAAGCAGACAGAAGAGATTGCGATGGATACACATCATTGAAATAGCCTTCGACTCAGGAGCAAGGGGGTAAGGTGTGTGATAGAACCATCCACGGCGTACCTGCGGGGCGATTCTACTAGCAAAACACCGAGGGAGTAGGTCTGACGATCATGGGTATGAAGATCGGATGCAAAGAGGGAGGGGAAAGAGCTTGCAGACCTTTACATGATGGATTGTGGTAAGGCTGGGGTGGCGGTGAGCTGAAGCAGCCGTGAGCTTGAGGTTGGAGAAGGCAAGGCTGGCCTCGGGGGTGCAAATGGTCGAAGAATCTTCAGAGAAGCTGGTCGGCAACGCCATCGAAGCTATGAGATCTACTGAGATCCATGATGACGGACTCGAATGATCGATTATGGTGGCTCTATTATCGAGTTTCAAGCTCGCGATTTGAACAAGGTGGTGCATATACCCATCGATCTTGGAGTGAGAAGTAGCTCAACTCCATGGCGTTTCCGTGCAGGTGTCCTCTCCACCAGAACTGTGCTCTCCTTTGCCCCACAGGACCATACTTCTCTCTTAGCTGCACGCGGACAAAGAGACCGCGGAATCAGAAAGCGCGAGTGAATGGAAACCCTCATCTAGGGCAAGTTTGAGCATGTGCATGACGCTCTTCTGGTTGTAAAGGCTGGTCCGTGCTCGCACAGGGAGACTAGATATGTGGATGTACGAAACACGTCCATTGAATCATACATGTTTTGAGGTCTATATGCAAGCTGGTTAAAATCTCAGCAGAAGATTGCGCTCTGTTACGACAAGCCAATGTGTTCGCCGAAGCCTCAAAAATGGTTAGTGGGGACTCTGAGGAAGGACTCGAGATGTCTCGGATCTTGGACCGTGTTTCCGCTCGACTCCAGCCATTTCTGGGACCGGTAGCATACAAGCGATGAGTGTATGATGTGCCGTTGATTACGCTCTAGCTACTTCGCTGGGCTACTTGTGAAGAGGAGAGCACGCGTGGGACACGGGATGAAAGAAAATCCGATAATGTGCGTCGGGATATTGATTACTTTAACGGCACTATTGCTTGTGTGGCCAGGGCAACGTTGAACGTCGATACATGGTACAATTACTGTAATATCAGGGGGGGAAAGATTCCCTCTTTTTAGTACACACACAAGTCCTTATCAGGATGGCAAATTCCCCATAGTCAGCAGCAATGCCCGTGGCGAGCAGCTCGCGATTGAAGGGCGTTGAATCGATTTGACCCTTTCACAACGCCGTGTCGGAAATGTCGATCTGGTAATCCGATCAAAAAGATCGCCTCTACAAAGCACAACAGAATACGAAACTTCAACATTGATAGCTTGCTAAGGACAAGCTCATGAATTTCCCATTGCAGAGGTTATTTTTGTATGCTGCTACTCTTATCCTGCGCCAGGTGAATGAGGGATGTGATTCCTAAGCGCTGATGATCGACTCGTAATCTTATACAGCGGCCTACATGTCCTTCTCCCTCCCCTCATATATGAAACGAACGGGAAGAGAGCCGCACACACCGATTGACTCTGTACGACCAATGTGAAAATTGCTGGAACTATATCGACAAAGACAACATCGCAGTCCACGATTGCTAGTGCAAGCCAAGCCACGAGCAATATACTTCCACGCACAAACCTTGAGCTATCATCAAGATTTGCGTCTCGACAGCATCTACCAAAGTCAACTTAATCGGCAAGGTCAGCCGCCCGGGTCCATGGAAGGTGGGGTCCAAAGCGTCTCATGCTGTCTGAAGGTAAGACATGGATGCATCCTGAACGCTGTTTCATGCCCCCGTTCATACCTTTGCCTGCCTTCTGATTGGCGCACGGCTGGTTGGTTTCATCCGTTCCGCAGAGTCGTCTGGTGTTTTAGCGACATTATCATGTGGGATGAGAGACCGATTTAGGATCATCTGCAAGGATGGGATTGAGGTAGTAGGGGAGAGGGGAGAGGGGGAGGGTGGAAGGGTCAGGGGGGATGCGACCATGCATGCAAGTAAGAAAAGGTCGGATCCCCCACGGCCGGACTTGGGTTTTGCTTGTCTTTCTCTTGAGTACTTGCCTGTACTTCGTTGTTGTTGAGAATAGAGGGAGAAAGCTGGTTCTTTGCTTCCCTTTGAGAGGGGCTTCGCTCTTTCGATTGTTTGATTGATTGATTGATTCATCTCTACCACGTTCATTTTCAGAGTCTTTGATTTTCAAAAGAAGCACTTGTGATACATCCCTTTACTGCACATTGAATATACCGAGCTCATCAGCCCTCTCATCATGAAGATCGCCGCCCTTATCGCAGCCTTGCTCACCTACACCTGTTCTGTACTCGCCCAACAAAACCGATGGGACCAGTGCGGAGGCCAAGGCTGGACAGGAGGCACTAATTGCATCACACCAGGATGGACGTGCCAGGTGCAGAATCCTTGTGAGTCTACCCCACCAATATTTGCTAGGCTTCACAGGCTCACAAGTGCCTTCACAGATTACTCACAATGCTTGGACGGTGGTAGCGGCGGTGGCGGGGGCGACGGTGGAGATAAAAGCGCTCAAGCTAGTGGTGCTGGAGGTGGAGGGTCCCAAGCAGCAAGTCCCGCCGCCATCCCATCACCAAGTCAATCTGCTGCTGGAGACAATACCGGTCGTACCGCGGACTTTTCATCATTCCTGGCGCAGAACACGACTGGTGGTGCAGGAGGTAGCGGCGGGGCTGGAGCTGGCACTCAGGAGAAGAGCGCCCAAGCTGTAGATACTTCTGGCTCTGGCTCCGGCTCTGGTACCACTACTACCGGCGACGACGAAACCGAAGAATCCGACGAATGCGAAACCGAAGACGCCTCGCCCAGCGGTGCCGCCCCAGCGAGCGCCTCATCCTCCGTTCAGCCCGGCGGCGTGCATAATCCCACCAACTACAAATCCTTCCTGCAAACCGGCGGGACGTCAACCGCGGCCAATGGTGCTGGGGGTGGCACAACGCTCGGCACATCTGGCGCCACCGAGGGCGGCATCCAACAAGTCGGCGCCGGCACGACCAACGAGACTGGAGCGGCGTTGGCCGGAGAAGCCGCGGGTGGAGGCAGCTTCCAATTCTTGCAGAGTAAGGAGATCGTGCCGTATACAGCCACAGGGGCGGATGGGGGCAAATATCCACTCCCATTGAAAGCGCCGAACTTGGCCACAACTACTGTACGTTCCCTCCCCCTCCCCCCCCCCCCCCCCCCCTCTTTCCTCCCTTCCGCCCCACAAACCCCCTAACCTCACCCCCTTAGGCCTACGGTCCCGCAACCGCCGACTCCGGCTCCGCCTGCGGCTGCAAAGGCGTCTGGCAGAACGGCGCCACCGGCTTCACGACCGCGGCGCCCTCCGCGGCTGTGTACGGGCAAGACTACAAAGGCGAAGGCTGCGGCACGTGTTTCAAACTCACCAACACGGGCCTTCCCCCTGCGACGAGGATTCCTGCGGAATCCAAGCCAGCCACAAGGGCGAGACGGTGGTGGTTATGGTGACGAATTCGTGCCCGGCTCAGGGGAATGAGCAGTGGTGTACCGTCCCCAATCGGTTCGGGTATAGGGCGCATTTTGATTTGGAGGTTGGGCCGGAGGGGTGGGGTGAGTTTTTTTCTTTCTTCTTCTTTCTTTTTATTTGGTGGGAGGGGTGGGGAGGGGCTGACGTTGTGTGTTGCAGGCAATGTTGTTGTTAGTTTTGAGCCCGCGCCGTGTCCGAGCCAATTTTTGGGACAGGGGGCGTATGAGGGTACTTGTGCTAGTGCGGATAGTAGAAGTGCGAGACCCGGGGGCAGCCGGCTGTGGCGAAACCGGATACGGCGCAGACTTCGTGATGGGGGGAGGGTGTATGATTGTGTGGGTGAGGGGGTGGGGGTTGGTGTACAAAGGGGGCTTTTGTAGATTTGGTGGTTTGGGGGTTTGGGGATTATAATGCTGATGTTGAATTCTTTTCTTGAATGGCCGAACGGGCTGGGTGTTGTTGATTGTATCGCTTGAAGTGTAGTCGTGTGGAGGATATGGGTGTTGTTCTCTACATGCAAGAGTAGGGATCACATTCAGCTACCTGAATCGCGAAATGAAGAGCCTGACGATTACTTCACTTCCTAAACATCATTAGGAGAGCTTGTCTTGATCCTCGACGGAATCACCAATCTCTGATTTTGCCGGATTTCTGAAGTCTCTCATGCACTGTCGATGTAAAGCAGAGCGAGAAGCCAGTCATCAATCCGACGTCTTTCATTATACACATCGAGTTCACATGCAAATACACGCTATGATAATCCAAAACAAAACCTGCCACCACGATACTTTACAGAACCCTCACCTACCATTCTGCTTCCCCTCATTCGACGCCTCGCTCGACGAGATCATATCCGTCACAATCATAATATCCCCCTCCTTAACCCCCCCATCCGACGGCGCAGCTTTCACATGCGATCTCGTAACCCCCTTCCCCACATCCACACCCTTCAATTCCTCCTCCTCAAACGGCCCAAGCCGCTCCGCACCCTTCGGCTTCGAGCGTGGCCATCCAGCAATAATCCCCTGCGAACTACTCCCTCGGGTAATAGTCGGGCGCTTCCCATCGACGGACCGATTCGAGTGCTGATACTGCTGCGAATTGGGGTTGATTTTGCGCCGGCAGGCAGTACATGCGCCGGGACCGAGGCGGTAGACGTCCATGAGTTTGTTGAGCACGACGAATTCGATGGTCAGTTTGATGGCGTAGGCGAGCGATTGCGTGCCCGTTTTGTACACCCATTCGCCCGAGTAGACTTCGCAGACGAAGGCGATGTCGAGCACGATGCAGAGGATGTTGAGATAGATGAGGAATTTCTTCGTGTGCCGGATCTCGGTCGGGTCGCTGGGGAGGAGGATCTTGAGCGCTGCCCGAATGTAGATGATGGAGATGGTGAGTTCTTGCAAGGTGAAGACGATCAGTTGGATGCGTTCGTAGATGTTGTAGATTTTGAGCCACAGCCCTGGGTTCGGCTGGTTGCTGCCGAAGGTGAGGACTGTGGTTACGAATTGGAAGAGGATGAAGTCTGTGATTATCATGATGAGCACGCCGCGGAGGACGCGCTGGTCCCGCACGACGATGTGCAGGCGCGAGTAGAGGACTAGGGATTGGCCGGTCACCATGCCCCACCAGCCGAAGGAGGCGAAGGCGGTGTTGACTTCCCATGGACAGCTGCCGACGAACCATTTGAGAATTATGCCGGTGGAGTGGCTGACGATTCCACAGGATGTGATTAGAATGGACCAGAAGTAGAGCGTGTTGCGCCGTTTGAAGGTGGAGAGTACTTTGATGTCTACGAGCACGGCCATGTAGATTGCCAGCGTCAACATTGCGACCAGGATTGCCGTTCGAGGTGTATTTGGAGGCAAAGGTCCTCGTTCAATGCCTCCATTTGTGCCCCGTGGTAGTACTGCCATTGTGATTCCTAGATTGTCAGAGTGCGCTCATACTCGTGAGGAGGAAAGGCGGCCGTCACGTCATAAAAGTTCCCCAGAGGATCAAAGCAATTGTGGAGTGGAGAGTGCGGAGCATAAGTAAAACGGCCCATGGGTCCGAACACGCCGTTAAGGCCTTCGCAGGAAGCACATTGACGGGACGGGCGATATTGCGATGCGAAACAAGCTTTCCGACATGTGGTTAGCACGTGGAGAAGTGTTCTGGAAGAACGATCAATCACAGATGAGCATGCTGCTCAGGCTGAAAACGAGTCTGAGATGTCCAACCGGAGAAGAGCCTTGAGGAGAGGAACACGGCTGGTAGGAGCCATCTGCATAGCAAATCAGCCGAGAAACGCGTGCGAAGGAAGATGAGCCGGTAGAAACTAGATCCATCTTTAGATGATGGTGTGCGCTTAGAGGTACAGAATTATCCCGGTTGAGCCGCCACATATATGCGATCCACTCCTGAGGCTCGTTCGCTTTTGCGGCACAGGAACGCGGTTGGCCAATTACGCCATAATTTGATCGAAGGTTCTTCGGAATATCGAAGTCGGTGTAGACTTAGATCTAGAATTCAATTAGTGCATCCGCCGTTGAAGCTGTTAGATTGTACCTGGCGGTTCGTCTGTAATTTGCAGAGCTTCCAATGATTTCGCGAATCATCCTGCTGCGTTGGAGCGCTCTGTAATTGAAGTGCGACCTATCAGTCGCTACCACAACTTCAGCTGAGACGTAGGTCTATGAGACTGTAACCTCCACTGAAATCAGCGTTCACACCAAAGGCTAGACTCCGTTTCTCGAATCTAGATGTTCTCGATCATCTGCGAGATGAGAGCCTTACGATTCCACACGGCATGGAAGCCTTCAGCCGTGAATGTGAGACAGCAATCGGGCCGTTTCGAGATCAAGATTGTGAGAGCGTCGTGACATCAGCAAAATGAGCCTTGCGCAATCACGAAGGTCGGACTTTCTTTTGCATGATATCACGGTTCTGCGTGAAGCTCAACTCGAACAAGTGGAGTAGCTAATGTACGGCAATTGATGAGGTTGCGTTCAGTCATGGAAATAAGGTACACCATGCAAGACATGAAATCGCAACGATGCTTTCATTAAGACCGTATCATTCCATACTGCATCTCCGATAATTAGCCTCACAGGTAACATCAAATTGAGGTCCAGTCAACCTATCTTTTCATCTCCCAAATTAATGACCGTGTGGTTGTCTGCCCAGATCAAATACCCAACTTCTCACTTGCCAACCTCGCCCCCTCCACCCTTGCCTTGATTTTCTGCATAGCGACATCCCTCGCAAAGTCAGGGCTCCCATGCTTCGGCTTCACATCAATACTGAAAGGGCTGAACCCACAATCATCCGTCGCCCCTAATTGATCCTTCGCAATATACTTGCTGGCCTCAACAAGATCCGCCGCAACATCCTCCGCTGTCTCGACTTTCGGATTCAGCGGGTTCGTGACTCCGATGAAAGCGACCTGCTTCACCCCGTTGGCGTCACGCCGAATACTCTCGCCGATCTGCTTGTAGATGCTGCTTTTGTCCTTCTCGGAGGCGAGTTGGATCAGGAAGTATCCTGCATTCATTGCGAATAGTGAAGGGAGGAGATTAGAGTAAGGCACCTCGCCTGAGTGGACGGAGTCGCAGTCGCCGCCAGGACAGGTATGAATGCCGATGTTCTCGCGCTCTTTTGCGGAGAAGCGGTCCAATACCTCATTATTCAAGTCGACAAAGGTCTTCAAGAGCTCTGCCCCTGTCCATGGATTTCGGGGGTCGTTCTTGCTCGCCAGACGACCCTCTGTGAAGTCAATAGACACCCGTTTTGCGCCAGCTGAGAAGCACCCGCGAATGTCCTTCCCGCATTCGTTTACGAGATCCTTGACAAAGTCCTCCTTGCTGTACCCTTCTACAGTACCATTGAGCGGATAAAGTAAGTAGAGCATGCTTGGGGCGATGACTGCTGTCTTCATCGCGTGGCCTGTGCCTTCTGCATACGGCGCGCTTTTCCTGAAATTATCGTAGGCATACGTTTTGTATTTCAATGGGCCGCTTGTCAACCTCGGTAACTGTCTGTGATGGCCATCGTCGAAGATGGCGAAGTATTGACCGTCGGCCGCCAGATTGGAGGCTAAGCCTGCGCCACCGAGCGTATCGATGATAGGGTAAGTTGCAAATGACGAAGCACGTTGCTCTCCGTCTGAAAGCAAGGTTTCTCCTGTTTGCGCCATCTTTTTCACGGAGTCTTCGGCGGCCTTGTCTTGCGCAGCGACTAGGGAGTCTTTGTCGATGGACCCAGCATCATAGTCTGTGTAAGCCTTTTGCAGATCTGGTACCGTTCAGCCAGAATTTCTCGCTTGGTGTTCTAGAATGAAATGCAACCGTGATGGCTTACACTCTGGTCTTGGTAGAGAACCAACGACTTCTGTTGGAATAGGCATTTTTGGTATGATAGTCTTTTGCTGCCAAGTCGAAATAGGGTCAAGGTAACGAAGCTCAACAACGTGAACAAAATGGCTTTGGCTCGTTGTAACGTTCTGCTGAAGTCTCAAATAGATTCGAGGGCCAAGGCATGCCCCTCCTCTACGACCAAGCTTCCCCGCACTCAATGCACTGACTCATCTAGACTCGCTGATCATTGTGGGGAAGAAGGTTGAAGCCGGGACGTCTTCTGACTTCTTCTGCACTTAAGAACCTGTGTGTCTCTAATCCTGATGTGATTCGTTGGCCAAAATTTGGGGGTCGAAGATTGAAATGGCCCTCGCCGCTCAGTATGCAATTAACGCGACACGAAAGTCCCAGACATTGGGTATGTCTTCCACTACGTTCCAAGGATATCCCATTCAACTTTCCGTCATCCCCATAGGGTCCGCCCGAACCAAACGTGGTGGCGTTTGGTGGGGGAGCGAAGGTGAGACTCCATTGCTCACATGGTGTTTCTAAGCTCCCGAGCGGACATATCTACGCAGGGTTCGACGAACATCTTCGTTCCCCCGGGCATTCCAGCCAGCATGATTTCAGGTCGTAAGTCCAAAAGATTGTGCAAAGCCCAGTGCGCAGTCAGCTTAGTATTTTCTTTCTTCCAACCCTTAATATGTATCTCGATGCGAGCACCCATCAAGACGTATTTTTAAGCCAGTGACAAGATATGCTTCACATGCGCAATCTTTGTGTTCGGGGTCAGATGGAAGGCTTTGGTACCACCACTACGCTTGAAAGACAGCGGTTTGTTGTTATTGATGGCCTCTGCCATCTAGATGTCATTGCTGAGGGGTACTATCTATTGGAATGTGTCATTGAGCGCAAATTGCTCTCTGGTCGGGGCTGGGTTTGATGATGAAGAAATTGTCCGGTGAAGGTAGGTCATTGGCTTCATTCTGGATGACTTCATCTAGATACATCTGAAGTGCAGGTACATCTGAAGTGCAGGCTTGGTGAAGATTTGGTGGAGGAGGAGGGGAAACTTTCGCACTTGTTAATTGGTTTTGACCGAATAATATGACTAGCTCGTGCGCCTTGTCACGATTGACGGCTACATATTTCGCAGGTTGAAGATGGAATAATCGAATTGAGATTTCCATGAATTAAGTTCGGAGTTTTGTTAACTCCGACGAGAACCACACGACTTTCTTGGCGCAGCGCCAATCACAGGGCAGCGGAACCAGCCTTTCCAAAGCTTGCCACGCTGGAACTTGGTCGTCTTCGATATGATGTAATTGGGGGCTGGGGCAGGAAATACCGATTTCCCTGGATGAATTGACTTTTCTGTGGCCCTGACCAGCGGAATCGCCGTGGTTCTAAGCTCAAGCTAGCCTTCCGACTCGCTCGTCTATTCGAGCGCGTTGACGATCCATAGAACAGCCCCCGCCACCAGATTCATCCCCGCAGTATCTCGCAAATGGACAATTTACCCGAATTCTTTGAGCCTACTAGATACTTACCCGCTACGATCATTGCCAATGCTTGCCTTTTGTGAGAAAGCTCTTACAAGCGGAAATTCTAAATTGACGCGAACATTAACGACTCCCATCTTCTGTCGAGCAGGATGCATACTTCCTTCTCGCCTATCCTCTCGAAATGGCATCCTTGGCCACCCCCGAGAGCTTCACGTCGATTAGCTATGACTATCTTATTGCGGGTGGGGGCACTGCAGGGCTGGTGCTTGCAAATCGCTTGACAGAATTACCAGAAATCACTGTAGGAGTCATCGAAGCTGGAAATGACAAGACGAATGACACCAAAGTACTGACGCCCTTGTACATGTTTGATGTTCAAGGCGATCCAGAATATGACTGGAACTATACCAGCCTACCGCAGGTACGTGTGGATTTGCAGTTTGGTTACCACAGGCTGACTTCCCTAGGAAGCCTTAGCTGGCTTACCTGTGCCACAAGCACGTGGTAAAATGCTGGGCGGCTCTAGCGGAATCAATTACATGCAGACCACGTTTGCGTCAAAGGCAGACTTCGACGACTGGGAGACATTGGGGAATCCTGGCTGGAATTACGAATCTATCAAACCGTACTATGCGAAGTTTGAGAACTTTCAAGGGACGCCGCCATCGCTCGAATCTTCCACTTTGGATGGCGACACCTTCGAGATAGACCATTTTGTAAATGAAGCCGTGCATGGCCATGGAGGTCCAATCAATGACTCGCTTGCGCCTTACTATTCGAACTTTCAATTGGCTTGGACACCGACCTTAACAAGTCTTGGATTGTATGCCAATGGAGACCCCAGAGACGGAGTGTCTTTAGGCGGGTACACAAATCCAATGGTGATGACGCTTGGGACTGCGCAGCGAAGCTTTGCTGCGAATGCTTATTGGGAACCTGTCGCAAACAGACCGAACTTGCACGTGATCACCAATGCTCTTGTGAGTAATATTGTGTTTGATGGCGCTCAGGCGGACAAGTTGACCGCGACTGGACTTAACTTCTCCGTCAACGGTCAATCCTATATCGCCAATGCGACCAAGGAAGTCATCCTCAGTGGCGGCACAATGAACTCACCACAAATATTGGAGCTTTCTGGGATTGGAGACCCCAACATCCTTACCAAGTATGGCATCGAGGTGAAGATTGACAATCCAAATGTTGGCGAGAACTTCCAGGATCATCCTCAATGCGGGGTGACGTTCATTCCGAACGAAGGCGAGATCACGTTTGACCAATTCTTCAACGACACTCAATTGCAATACTGGACAAGCGTCTACGAGCAAAATCACACAGGCATTCTCGCGTCCGGTGTCTCCCAGACCGCGCAGCTTTCCTGGCCACAAATTCTACCCACAGACCAAAAAGATCGACCAAGCGACACGGTGCAGAAACTGTACAACGGGTCGGCCGAAGGACTTCGGCCTGGCCTAAAGGAGCAACTAGATCTCACGGCCAAGAAGGTTACAGACCCGAATCAATCATCACTGCAGACAGGCGTCCTGGGCGGCTTTGGGGCCAAACCTCCACCTGGGAAAGAAAACAAATCAGTCTGGCTAGGCGGCTTCGCTACCCACCCATTCTCCCGCGGGTGGATCCACATCAAATCCGCCGACCCAACAGTCTACCCAGATTTCGACCCGCGATATCTCTCGCACCCTCTCGACTTTGAGATGTTAAAGGACTTGGTACTTTGGCAGCACAACGTCGCCGAGACGAAGCCTATGTCGAATCATCTGCAGGGCGATGGCACCGTTCTCACTGGCGACGTACAGATTTTGAACGATACCTCAATTCGAGATTATATCAATGCGGGATTCATCACTGGTTGGCACGTTGTCGGCTCTGTGCCCATGCTACCAAGAGATAAAGGCGGCGTGCTGGACCCGCGACTGAAAGTGTATGGCACCAACAATGTGCGCGTTATAGACGCCAGCATCGTCCCCCTTCATGTGCGGGGCAATACTGGTACATTGACGTATGCGATAGCGGAGAAGGGCGCGGATCTGATCAAGGAAGATCTGAAGGCTTCAAGCAATGGCTCTCAGGTATTTGCCGGTGCAGCGTCCCATCAGTACTCGATCAGCCCTGTTCTGGGACTGCTACTGATGTGGGCGATGTTGCGCCCGTTTCTATAAAAGCGTTGTCCACATGATCGTCGTGGCATTAATGATAGATGTACATAAAAAACCCCATCCTCCCTGGGCCGTTACATCCCCCCTCCCATCATCAATCACGCACTCACCACCCCTCCCCCTCCCCCTCCCTCATCCCCCAAAGCTCGCTTAATCCCCATATCCAAAACCGCCACCCCATCTTTCCACATAACAGCCGTGAACGCAATCCACGGCGCGCCTTGCCCCGCCGCTTGCCTCGCCTCAGCCCTCCTGACCACGCCCGCCAAAATCATCCTCAATCCGTCCGCGACCTCTTTGAAACTCATACGAGTTCCCCTGAAGTCTGCCCCCTCCCCTCCTCCTTCCCCTTCCCCCCTTCCCCTCCTTCCCCTTCCCCTTCCCCTTGGCCTTGGGTTGGTCGGGGCCCCGATTGTATCAACACCCTCATATACCCATCCACCTTAGTACGCGCGACATCAGGGGTCAACCTCGTCCCGCGCGGCCAGCGAACGCCGATGTCGGCGCTGGAGTCGGAGGCGAGGGTGTAGAGCAGGAACGTGCGGAAGTGGTAGAAGATGGTGGGGTAGGGGAGGATGAAGGACGGGTCGGGGGTCGGGAAGTGGTATGTTATTGTTATGCCGTTGCTTAGGCTGGGGGGTGGGGGAAGGGTTGTGTTGGTGAGGGAAAGGGAGGGGGTCACCGTCCGCGAGCGTGAAGACGCTTGCGCTCGCGGGAAGGGAAAGAGGTATTTTGGGCGGGGTGGAGAGGGATTGCCACAAATCGCCTGTGTTCCCATCCCCACCGGCCTGCTGCGCCTGCTGCGTCTCATTCCCGCCCCCCACCACCGCCTGACCACCACCAACGGCATCAGTGACAACCTCCCCATACAACCCCCTCTCACTACTCCCAACCTCCCAATCCCACGTCCCCCAGTCCCTCACATCCCTCTTCACCGTCAAAATCCCCTCATCCAGGATCTCGAGCACCGCCCACGCAGCCTGCACCGTTGTCATGATAACAGGCGGATTTGCCACCGGCTGGAACGTCAAAGCCACGTTATTGAATTCGGAGCTGGTGAAGCGGAGCGGGTGGCCGGGCTGGATGAGCTCGACTTCGGGGATTTCCCACAGTTGGCAGAGGATGGAGAGGTAGGTGTGGAAGAGCTCGCCGGCGAGAAAGGTGGAGGAGCGTAGGCGGGAGGTGTAGACTTGGATCGAGGGTTTGAGGTCGGCCGGCATGGGGGTGGTGATGGGGAGGGAGATGTTGGGGGTTATGGCTTCGTAGAATGCGCTAAGTAAAGGGGAGGGGGGTTAGTGAGGATCGTTGTGGATGAGGTGGAGTGGGTCGGGGCGGGGGCGGGGAGGGAGGGCTTACGTTCCGTTTCCTAGGAAAGGCTCGACGGGGACGGAGCGGGTTAGAAGTGGGTAGAACGATATGCAGAGCGCGGCCTTGAGGAAACGGGGGACGGTCATGATTGCGCAGTCACAAGCAAGGGACGATGGGGATGTTTTGGTTGTGAGAGCCTGCTGGCATCTCAAGAATGATTGTGATATATACAATTCTGTGTGAGGGGGATGTCTCAACAAATCTTGCAGCTCTTCTCGGGTTGAAATGTACTTGCCTATTTTCGGAATGTTTCATGGTGGGTCGCCTTGTCATCAATAGGTCTCGGCCCGTATTTGCGAGACATAGGATGCGCGTGTATGAAGGAACCAGCCATCGTGTCTGTGTTGCGTGATCGGAAATTCATTGGCAGTCAGGCTGCAGTGAGTACTCTGCAAGAGTCTTTGGTGTTCAACTGTTGTCATGGTATTGGGTTGCAGCCAGTGCGGATAGAAAGGGGCCGGTCTGAGAATCTGTATTACTCCTTCTACTGCGATTCGATCGTGGGGGGTCGGGTATGAAATACCCATCTGGCCAATGTCACAATTCGTATGTACGCAACCGGAAGAGAGATTGTTCCACCTTTTCGTGGAATGACACGGTCGTAATAGATTTTAGATCCGTTCAAGACTGGCGACTATCAAGACTCGTGGTAAGATCCGTCTGAATGTAGATCTTATCTTTATCTTCAGTGTCGATTCTGATATGAAGAGGCTTTCCACTCGAATCCGATCCCCTCATTTCTCTAGTGTCCTGAGGCTGATGTTTCGGATAAGTGTTGGCCGCGCTCTTGATGCTGACGTGGTTCCCGAGGGGGTTTGACATGCTGCGTTTCCCACGATATGGCTTCTGACCACCACTAATGTAGGCCATCTGAGTCTGGTCCTCGCTGGCGCGACGCATTGCTGCATGTCGTATCTTTTCCAAGGCTGATCGGAAGTCGTCAAGGATGATAATGTCGCAGAAGCATTTGAATACGAGCGAGAACTAAGATAAAGTAAGCGATCATCACTATTCCGAATACTAGGATCTGTACCTTCCAGTATGGATTGATGCCGACGATAGCGCCAAAACCTATAGTAGCGTATAGGACATCTACAACGCAAAACACGATCGATATGAACATAGAGGCAAGGACCACTGCGAAACGTGGGCTGAGTTTGAAGAGTTGCACGAAGCCAAAGTTGTATCGCTTTTTGATATTGTAGAGAAGATTGATGGCGGTGAAGACCCACCAGGGATCGCTACGTAAACTGTCAGCCAGGCCGAGGCATTCAAAGTCGCGCAACGCCTTGGTGAAGTCAAACGTACCGGAAGAGTATCTCAAGTGGACGCGTTTTTAGGAACAGAGGATGCTCATTATTGAAAAACGCAAAGTTGCTGTAAGTTTCCAGAATCCAGTAAGGGGTGGTGAGCAGGAATGAGATGATGAATGCCATGCTATATTTTGGCGAGAGAAAAGGCTTAATCTTAATCCATGCGATGATGTCGTGCAAGTAAAGCGAAGAGTAGAGCAACGTTGCAGTCGAGGATAGATACCATCCATATCCCGCGAAATTCATGAAACAGAAGGTTCCATGAAAGATGGCAAGCATGAGCTGTAGATAGCATGTCAGTTACTGTTCCTGTTGGAGGACTGACCTTGAACGTACTTCGACAAGAATGAGTTTGTGAAGAAGGACCTTTGTCATGTTCGCGATCGTTATACCGATCATCATGACCAGAGCACCGACGAGGAAACCCTGGCTCCATGACTCCAACACATAACCGTCAATAGGCAGGTCATGTTTCCATGAACCATTCCAGTGCTTAGCTCCGGAGTCATCACGCGCAAACAATGTGGGAGCCATTAGCACGCCTTCGTGTCGTTTTCAAGCGTAGAGATCTTGACACCAGCCAAGAGCGATGGATGGAAGATTGATGGATGAGAGCTTCTTGTTGTGTAAGATGTTGTTATGGAAGCAATATACTGTCCTTAAGCTGGGGAATACTAATGGTGGAAGTGTTGTTTCGCTGTTGGAGGTGTTGATGCCGTTTAATTAGAGCAATCTAAAATCTTGACCCCGCATCGTCACCATCGCATGTTGATGATGGTGATAAAAGCCGTGGAACGCTTGACTTGTGTCAAAGCCTCGAATTTGTTTCAAAGCACTGCTCGCGAGAACCACACACTGCCTTTGTCGTGAGGGATCCTCAGGATGTATTGACTTCAGCCTTGCAACAATGTTCCTGAATCAATCTACGTTCAATCCTTGCACCCAAAGATTCAAGAGAGCATAAATAAGAATAAGCTGTTGTGAAATCTGGGGGAAGGGTACGCTCTTGTGGGACCCAAAGTCTGGAGTTCCGAAGGATTTGGATGGATCGGCTTAATCTTGTGCCTCTTTCCTGCATGTTTCTTGCATTCAATCCTATCGGCCACATGGCAGTGTGAGGCTCCATCTGCAACGCGCTTGCCATTGGTGCTGGCCTATCTGATTTGAGGCGTTGGTGCTATAGCATACTCGTGACCTCAACACCAGCGCTGGCTCCACGAATGAAAATAGAACAACGCACCGGGCTTTTCGTGCGGCTGTGTGCGGAAGGATTTTGCGCGATGCCATATGCAGGAACGATGAGCGGTGCTTTGTTCGCATGTGGTTAAGATGAGCCTCTACTTCGTCACTAGCATGAGTTAGAGCGGGATTAGTGCAATTGCCCGAAGTCAAGCTCTTTCAGCTAGAAGTCCATCTATTTCATAAACCCCGGAAGGATCAGCCTTGCTGCGCGAGGGAATGTCGAAGTAAGCACTACCGTAATACTTGTTAAATCCACGAGTAACAAGCCCGCCAGATTGTCCGCGGCAAGCGATCTGGAATGTGCGGTCTGCGTGTACGATTAGCCCAATCCAAAGAACCGTTGCGAGAATATAGTCTCTGCGCACATAATCAGATGGCGAGAAGAACGTTGGGAGCAATTGGAACGTTTCTATATTGCTGAGTCCAAAGAGGCTGAGGTCGTGCCACCAACCCAACCACAGAAGCTATGACATCTTGCGAGAACCCGCAGAGTACCTAAGGAACGTCTAGTCCGTGCGGCGGGAATGCCTGAAACCCCGCGTGTCGTCGCTCCGCTCCGCTCCTTCCAGCCTTGTCTCCATATTGGATGCCTTAAGTCCGCCAGGTGGTGGGTTTGATCTGTGGCATGTTTGACCGAGTGATGGCCGATCACTTTGAAATCAGCAGTGACACTCACGCTTGCGCGTCCTCTGGAATGTTGATCCTGCCATTTCAGGCTAGATGTTTGCCCTGTTTGCCTCTTATCAACTCATTTCAGCCTTGTTGACATTTGAAATGACATCGGATGGTCGCGAGGTATACTCACCAGGTATGTGTGAAGTAAAGGTCTGCTACGCCTTGTTCCTTGTTATTGAGATTGTGGAGTCATTAGTTTGCGCTGATCTTGGCTTTGATATCCTCGCATTGTAACGATGAAAATGACCTGCAGGTTGTTCTAGCCTACGGCGTTGCTGGTGGCGACACAACCCGCATTCAGATAGAGCCTTGGGGGGTCTCGCGGGTTGACTTGTGGAGGACGGTAAGTGATGTGACATTGGGTCACTGGCCTGGTCATATAGACAGGGCTTTCGATGCCTCGGCATTCTGCTCGATTGCTTGCTCAACCGGCAAACGTTCAATGCTCCTTGACCCGAAGAACCCATGCAAACCGTTCACCCTTTCTAGCACGTACTTTGTATCATCCTGCATGTCAGCCTCTTCTTGGCCTATAGCAGGCGCATCACCAGAATCATAATTGAAAAGCATGGTGACCTGAGACCGGACTGCCATGCACTAGCAGGATAACATCATCTCTGATCTTCACACAAGCATCTGTGTTCTTCTATGTTGTCCTCACTGCATCGTCCAGACCCATTGTTTCCCCCGAGCCAATGCTTCCTCCCGGGGTCGGACCCAAATGCACAACGATAACATCTGCGCCGGCTTTCGTCATTCTTATCCCCTCATCCTTATCGAAGACATACGGCGTCGTTCTTAGGTCTATCTCATGTGCCGCATGAATCATATCGACTTTCTACTGGTAAGACATACTAGTAGTCTCAAAATCTGCCCGAAATCGTCTATCGATCAGTTCAACGGTGGGAATTTTCCGCACGCCGCAGAAGCCGAGCTATTGTTCCTCGAGCGACGTGCCTCCCGATTGGCTTCCCGAAATTCATCGTTTCAACTGTTCCTTCGCTGATAAGGAGGCTGTTGAAACGTTGTTTGATGCTGTCAAAGTGGGTCTTCAGGGGAGTAATATCGAAGTATTTGACTCCTCAGACTACATTGATGATGCGGTGTTTGCGAGGACGGTGGCGACTGCATTGAGACATGTGATAGAAAAGACCTATGGCTTGAACATGAATGAGGCGAAGAGGCAAGGGGATACTTTGTTAATGGCCAGCTACGAGAGAAAATCTCGCCCAAAAAGTACGGTCTCGGAACAACAAAAATCCGATCCGAATCGCCATCCGCCGAGGCCACCCCTAAACCTGTGCATTTCTGCAGTCTCATTGCATTGCTAGGTGTCGCAGCAGGACACGCTATGACAATGTGCTCATACAAGGAAGGGCAATCTCAAAATCCCATTGTCAGCCTCATGCCATCAGGGTAAGGGTGTGAAACGCTTTTAGCGACATGCGCCGACAACGGGTTCTCACGTGTCAGTACAGCTGCGACGATATTTAGACCCGCGAAATGCAGGCACAAAGCGGCTGGTCACGCTGTATCGGACATTTACTAGGAACAGCTACATCTCGGAGCTGGTTTGTAGTGCTGTGCAATTTGCTTCTACTTGGACTGTCGCAGGGATGGATCTCCTTTGTCACCGCCCGTCCGAATGCCAAGCAGTGGGCCACAAGAACCTTACGGTCCCTACACAGATGGATGCCGATTTCATGGAGCATTACAAATGTCAAAGAGGTTGGACGACCGGCCTTGGCTTCCAGACCTAATCTTATTGTGATAAGCCTTGGTCCGTGGCCGGCACGTTTCGGCCTGCGGCTATATCGATGGATCAAGCTGAAACCGTAGCTGTGGTATGAGTTATGAGCATCGATGTACCGCTATCGGTCATGTAATATGGGATTGTGAAGTCCGCCTTGCCACGGGATGGTACTCTCGTTTCAGCATGCAGATATCTAAAAATCACATCTCAAGTTTCAACACAGCGAAGCCTGCCTCGTCAACCTGAGTTTCATAAGTAGATGGAACTGCTCTACGAAAGGTAGACCGCACGGCAGTGCTCCCAAATATAAAAGACGTCGACTTCCTCATCAAACACCTCGGCTTCATCCGATCGATTGTTCCAACCAGTTCGAGCGTCCTGCTACCCATTAACGAACTGTTCAACTCATCAATACACAATCATGTACTTTACAATAGGCCTAGCCTGCCTAATCACTCTATTAGGAGTCTCCGCCAGACCTCAGTCCACCACACCAACTATCCAAAGTATACCGTGGATTAATCCCTGTGTCGTTTGTTCAGCTGCCTGCGTAGCCATATTTACAGGATGCCTCTTTGCCGAAGTCATGGGCCCGGAGATGGTAGCCGTGAGTCCCTTCAAATCTGCACTTTTCCAAAGAATGACAGACTAATCCTTGATCTGCACAGGCTTGCATCTACGAAACAGGAGAAATTGACGCCGGCTACTGTGGAGACTGCTGGATGGCATGCCGGGCTGGCAACGGGGCTGGACCAGGGGCCATCGCGGTCGCGTAAGTCTTCTGACATGCATTCACCTCGCCCATTTTGTTTATAAGACTGTTGCGGTAAACGAATATCCTAACTCTTGAATACAGAACAGATGTTTGCACGTCGCATCCTGACGCTCCTCAGGACAAGTGTGAAGCAGCGGCTACCATGGTCAGACAGGGCCTTCCTGCTTCCAAGGGGCTCGGTGAGAATGATTACTCGCCCGATGTCATTGCGAAAGTCGAACAAGATTATCTCGCGAGTCAGGGTCAATCCGGCGGAAGCACAGGGGTTCAGGGAGCTCCACCTGCAGCACAGTCGAGTGGACTGTCTGGTCCTATTAACTCCACTGTAGTAGACGTCGCAGGAAATACAGGGCCCTTGGCCGGCGGTATGGGTACATCCTAAGCACAGTTGCAAAATGCTGGGAATTTTGCAGTCGAAAGGTGCCATAGTTCTGGTAGAACTTTACAGTGAAGAGCAGCGCTCTGAATTGAGGATATCGCAGGACTTGATCTACAATAATGTATTATAGTCGAGAGTGTATGTATTAATGATCAACATCAGATATCAGCAACGTGCCAGTTATTCCTGCAGCATCAACTATCGCGGTCGCGCGTAACCGAGCTCCATATGAAATCGTCAATGACTGAAGAGAGTTCTTCGTGGCTGGAACGCCATCTTCGCTCGCGATCGGTGTTGTTGCGACAATGCCCACAGTGTCTCCAACAATGCTAAGGCGAAGAAGCAAAAGGAAATAGCAAGGAGGGTCTTTCTATACCCTGAAAGTGGAGCTCCCCTTCTTACTTCCCATTTCCACCTATGGGGCATCAAGTTTTGGTACCACCTTGACATGATGCAGGGTCATATCTACAGGGGAGGGTCGAAAGGCGTCGGCCATTCAGAGTTAGGCGTTGAGTACCTCATATATGAAACCTCAATACCCAATTTTTCGACGTGAGATTTGAATAATTACTGATTAGGGCAAGATCTTTTACATGACGTACATGTATGTGAAAAGGTGGAGGCCTCGGAAGACTGTGTTCGTCACAGAAGTTTTCTCATGGTATACAAGAAATGCCCACACAGATATTCAATGTGAGTATTGCCGTGTTCCATTGGAATTATTCGCCGGTGAGCAGATGATATGTAAGAACAACGAACAAATTCAATCCGCATCGACGTAGTGAGTCATGAAAACTCCCGTGTACTATTTATCGATACAGCATCGACCATTACCGCTGCAACAGATCGCAAACCCTTCATCGTCGCCCAACGCAATTTTTGCAGTCTTCTCGAAACCAAAAAACCCTTGACCTGACCACACCGGTCCTCATCACAAAACCACATTCCAGAAGACCGACACCATCACAAGCGCAATGACAGCCAAAAACACCTTCCCAACCGTCTTCAACCAATCCCTCCGTGAAAGCTGACCACCCTGCATCCACCTCATCTCACTCATCATTTCCCCACCCTCCACACCCATCAAACCCTGCTTCATCATATCTTCTCCACCACAGTCCACCTCTGCATCATCAATCTCCCTCACCACCCCCACACTCTTCGTCCTCTTCGCGCCCCTCGAATACCACAACCCCGCCTCCCCAATCCCCGTCCAGAAAACATACGGCCTGGTATGATAATACACCCCACTAGAACTACTCCCCGGCAACAACCCAATCAAACTAACCTCCTTCCTAATATCCGTAACATCCTCCCAATTCTTCCCATCCCTCGTACTCGAGAACCACAACCCATTATTCGGCGGGCCCGGCCCACTCAAGACCGTCAACTCCGCCGCATCCTCCGTCAAGAACGCCGCCGGCGACGTACTCGCCCCATAGAGCACGCCTCCGAGGAACCGCGCCATCGAAATCACAGGCGCCCATACCCCCCATTGTACGAAGTCACCCACGTCCCATCCCCGCCACTGCCATCATAAAACACGAGCAACTGCCCCCTAAAATCCACCACAGCCGGCGACGTATACGGCCTCACGCCCAGATTCACCGCGGGGACATCATTAGCGCCGACCCACTTCCCATTCTCCAACTCAGAGAACTGCAAGCGATTGACATTGCGATCCGGCGGCGCCGTGCTGGGCGTACACCAGAAGAGATACAAATGGCCCTTATGCACGGTAGCGGCGGGGTTGGTGGCCGGCATAACCGGCAACGCCCCAGGAATCGCCCCACTCACGTCCACAGCGGGCGTCCAGCGACTCCCATCCTTCGACGTCGTCAGAGAGAGCGAAAACCCCTTTTCGCCCAAAGCGGTGAAGAAGAGGTACAGCGTGTTGTTGAAGACGACGGGGACGGGGCGCGTGGCGGGCGCTATGGGGATGGGCGTGCCTGCTCGGGCGGAGACTTGGATCGGGGCGGTGAATTGGCGGCCGCGGAGGAGCGAGTAGTAGGACCAGGTGTACCAGATTCCGTCGCCGCCGGCGCCGATGTAGAAGATGTAGAGGTAGTCTTTGAAGACTATGGCGGAGGGGGAGGAGGGGGGTTGGATGCCAATGGCGCCATTTTGGATTTGTTTTTGGGGGGAGAGGGACATTTTTGGTGGAGATGGGGTGGTGGGGTATGCTGTTGTGCTGGAGAGTGTGAGGGCGGTGGATTGGTGAGGGTTTATTGATCGTTGCTGATCGATGATATTTGTGAGGCTCTTGAGGAAGAGAAGTCCAATTCACAGACAGGCACCCCCAGAATATTAAAGGCCCATGGTCTTCACGAGGGGGTGTGCGGGGTCACACACACCGCATTTGCGCCCCCCGAAGATGACCGTGGCGAGGCTTCTCCAATTGCCTTTTTGGATGCGCATGGCGTCGACTAATGTACCTTGCAGAGCGCTTTTGTCCCAGACATGCAGCGCCGGTTCCTCTTGGCGATAAATCTAAGGTGAGATCGAGTAAGTGTTCCTGAGCGTCTTTCCTCGTGCATGCTCGGACATTTTCGTGGTCGTTGTTCATTGACTCGCTTGTTTTCGCACTTCCTCGGGCCACGCGTAGACGTGCATGGGAAGGCGGGGCAGCTGCATATTGTTTCGAGGAATATGCGAGGTCGTGTTTTATGCTCTGTGCATTGTGCGAGGGATGAAAGACACAATTCATTTGCGAACCTGATAACATGTGGTCAGGCTTAGGCAATTGTTGGGATTTCACCTGTTGGCCAGGAATGAGATGCTCTTTCGTTGTATTTTTACACAAAATTGATCTTGACGACAGGATTCATTCAAAGATTCTTGAAAAATGCGCGGGTGGATGAAATCCTGTAAGTCGGTAGGCGATAGATTAAATGAAGAATGCTTGGGTCCAACAGCGACTTGATCATGACTCTACGAACGGCTTATTTGAGGTCAGAAACATTACATACCTGAGATTCTGCTTATATTGCTTTAGAGGTATTTAGCATGAGTGTCATTAGATCACGCGCGCGAGGAGAAGCCCAATTGAATAGATCATGCCCTTGCTTCATGAGGAGTAGAGCCTCGGATCTTAAACGCACAGAAGGCTTACAAGGTTCGATAAACATATGCCAGTATCTCTTCATGCCCCGAGAGATCCAGCACTTAGCCTTCGCTGGTGATGACACGCCTTCGTCTTCGCAAGTCCTAGGATCTTGAGTATCGGACCGAAGCCAATAGTATCATCACAGATTAATCGATAACCCAAAATGAGATCTGGAGACTATACGCTGGAAATTGTGGGTTCGTGTCTGCCGGCGCTTGATCCCCAGTAGAGCCTCTGGTGTTTTCTCCTGGAAGAGCGATGGTAGACTTGACGGGTGATCTCACTCTGGAAGGGAAGGCTTCTGAAAGAGTATCAAGTCAGTTCTAGGTGACTGTAGGGGACTCGGGTTTTAGCGGAGATAATCTTTACGGTGGACGAAAGGTTCTATTACCCGGGAAATCTGGGTCTAGACCGCTCCTTCAGCCTGATCAGTCCACTCACATACATTAACCTGTATCGCATTAAAGATGTATGATGGATACATATAGGTCGGGGAGCTTCCATGGTCTGCTGTTTGACATTGACTCGCAAACTCTCGTTTCCATGAAGCAATCGAGATGCAAGTCAATCGTATCGGACCGACGGTGGTCTATGAACCAGGTGATGGCGTAGAGCATGGTCTTGAGTATGTGTCCCTTAGTGCGAATCGAAATGGCCATGGTCAGTGGTACCAGATACAGAGAGTTTGCTGATGTAAAGTGGGACAGTATTGTACTGGTTCATGGTCTTTTCGGTCATGCTAAAAAGTCGTGGTCTCTGAATGTCCCAAATAGGGTTTCCGGAGAGGAGCCCGTCGATTCAAATGCTCTCTGCAACAGTAGTGACGAAAGTGGTGCCGAGAAACCACCTCGAAAGAAACGATGGACTAAAGGCAAGGACTTGTTCCACGAGGTATTCTGGCCTCGCGATCTCTTGCCCAAAGTATTCCCCAATGCGCGTGTTTTGACATGGGGCTATGACGTCCAAATCGAGCAATTGTTTTCAGCGACTTCTCAGGCTTCGATATTCCATCACGCAGAGACGCTTTTGGCTGACCTTGTCATGTTGAGAAATACGGAAGCCAGGAAATCGAAGCCTTTGCTTTTCATTGCCCATAGTCTTGGCGGCATCGTTGTGAAAGACGCGCTTAGCCTTTCGAAAAATGAAAAGGCACCATTGTGTGAAATACTACCCGCATCTATAGGAGTGATGTTCTTGGGCACCCCACATCATGGCTCGAGCATTGCTTCTCTGGGTAAAAAGTTCTTCGAGATCTCACAACTATTCTTCCAGAAGCCCAATCTGCAAGTGCTCAGCGCTCTAGAAAGCAACTCCGAAATACTGGAGCGGATATCGAGGAGCTTCACGCAAGTTCTTTCAAGTAGTTCAATCAAGGTCCATTCCTTTCGAGAAGAGCTTCCTACAAAGGGTAGAATGATAGTAACACCAGCATCTGCAGCCATTGGTTATTTGCATGAGACTCAAGGATCGCTATATGCAAATCATCGGAGTATGGCAAAATTCTCATCTGTCAAGGATATCAAGTTTGAGAGAGTAACTTCCGTCCTGCAGAGATGGGTCGAAGAAGCTCCTATTGTGCAGTCAACCACAAAAGAAGCTGGTAATCTGGATGGTCCAAAATTTGACAAGCAGCTGCAACTTTGTCTCAGGTCCCTTTCCTTCGCTGAGGCTGAGGCTCGATTCGAAGGTATAGAAGTGGCCTATCACCAAACTTACACGTGGATCTTCGACCCTCAAATCGGATTGGCAGACTGGTTAGAAGGCAAGAGCCGCAACAACATCTTCTGGATCCAAGGAAAGCCAGGCTCTGGAAAATCTACAGCGATGAAATTTGCTATCAGCCAGCCATTGACTCTCCAGTTACTCCAAAAGTATAGTGACAGTCATTGGATCGTCGCTTCATTCTTTTTCCACGATCGCGGGACGAGTATGCAGAAGTCAGGCGAAGGGTTCCTGTGTAACATCCTGTACCAGATCTTGTCTCAACAGCAATCATTATTTCCAGTAATCTACGACTTACTTGCCAGGGAAACAGTTGCTCAACCGTTTACAATTAAGTTTTGGAAGTCCCAATGGACGCTTAGTAGACTCCGAGAGGTCTTGATGACGATCGGGCAGAAATCGACTTCTAAGGTCAATCTCTGCCTTTTTGTAGACGCCCTTGATGAGCATAATGGGAGCTATAGAGAACTAGTCGATATCCTAATGGATATAGCTCAATTGACTAACAACCCTACGTTTCGGGTACGGCTGATCCTCGCCGGACGTCCTGAAAACGTTTTCAGAACCGCGTTCCGTGACTGTCCAGGATTCGCTATTCACGAGCACACCGAAAATGACATTCGCAACTACGTAGATGGAAGACTGCAGAAAGAGATGTGCGCCAGCCAACCGATCGAGGGCGATATACAGTTGTCCAACCTGGTTGGGAGTGTTGTCCAACTCGCCCGTGGTGTATTTCTATGGGTTAAATTAGCCGTCAATGAACTTGTCGAGGGGCTTTGTGAGGGCGACACCCTTGAGGAGCTCGACATTCTACTATCAACAATACCCACAGAACTTGAAGATCTATATAAGAGAGCCCTGCGTCGCTACCCTCGGAGTTCATCGCGATCCCTCGCGAACAATAGATACGAAGCATACGTGATGTTTCAGCTCGCTTCATGCGCTTTGACTCCATTTCGGCTGTATGACTTTCTCGCTGCTGCTCACTGCCTGTGCCATGGCACGGAATCCGTCTTGAAACTAGCAAAGCACAATCCAGACCAAATGGAGCGTCGATTGACCAGTCGATGCATGGGGCTTCTCGAAGCAGAGACCGTTGGGAACGGGCCAGCAGTAATTGTGCAATTTATGCATCAAACAGTCAAGGAGTTCGTACACAGTGATGAAGGCCGCAGTGCAATTCGCGAAGGGATACCCAACCTCGATATTGAAGGCGGAACTTGTCTCATTTTTAAATATATGTTGAAACTAATTGGATCTCTGGACACAAAAACTTTGAATCTCAACCCAATAGGGTTCATGATGGAACATTTTGCTTCTTACGCGAACGTACTTGAGTGGGATGAGGAAGTGTGTGTTGCCAATGAATTTGAAATGGCACTACAGACCCTAAAGGAAATAGGACCGCGTCAAATGATTGATCGACTTCTTGACGATCGCATGACCAAAAAAGCTCAGGGGTTTCTCGCCAAAAATGCATCTCTAGAAGAGACAAACCGTTGGTTTCTGTCAATCTATTACCTCCGGTGTACCTTACCTCTGTCTTTTAAATGGTCTTTGTTGTCTACAGATACCGAATTAAGCAGGGAATGTTGCTATTACCTCCTTGATGTGATAAAAGATCTATTTTGGGAGAAAAACAACCGTCCCTGGAAATCACAAATGCATCTATTTAGGGAGAAAAGCGACCATCCTTGGTTATCACGAATGCTAGATATCTTCGTGGAAGTGGGAATCGTCAGTCAGCAAACTCCTACAGAGAGTGATCGCTGCATTGATCGCAAGGACTTCGAGGAAGTGAAGCGGTTACTACTTGAGGAAGGAAAGCAGAAAAGAAGTACTACCCCTATGTCGGAGTTTCTTGGGATTTTCGGCACTTTTTCCGAGGGCACAAACGGCGAAAAGCTCAAAGACAAATCTACTCATAACTTTATGACCAGAGCTTCAAAAATAACAAACGCGGTCTCAAAAGAAAGCTAACAATTAGTACTTTCAAACAAAGCTTTGATTGTCAAATTTGAAGCTCTTTTGGTTAAGATATCTGATCGATTATGCTACTTTGGTTGAAAAAGACTACGAAGCAAATTATATAGCTAATTTCTATTCAAAACTTGTAAACGAAATATGAAATAAAAGCTTACGCTAAGCGCTTCTTAATTATATAAAAATCAACTTATTTGAAGTATTATTGATAAAGTTATAAATACATTTGTCTTCTGCTACCTAAATTTTTGAGGCGTTCCTCGCGCCTGCTTCAATAATAGATTCTTTAACAACTCTACTAAAAGACCTTCAAATTATAGAACTTTGGATTTATTAGAAGGCTCTTATTTTAACCTTCTTTTGAGTCTCTTGTTTGTTGTTTTTACGCTCTTACTGGCAGAGTTATCAATAGTTGAAGTCTAAGGGATCGCGCGGAAAACGCGAAAAAAAAAGTTCCGAAAATCCCAAGAAACTCCGACATAGGGGTATGGTCCCCGCATCTTTTCTGGAGAATGCAGATGTCTCAATAAACTTGTGCAATTCAATGAAAGCATACAATAATACGACATAGTGATCAATATCAACTACCAAACCGCGGCATCATCGAGCCTCCCCCAAGACCATTACCTGCGCCTCTCACACTACACCCCCACTAACTCGCCGGCTGCTTACTCCCATCAGTAATCGTCCCACAAGGCCCATTACTCAACACCGCCCCATAAGGGCTCGAATCCACCTTATTGAAGAACGCAGGATTCGAGCGCGGATCACACGTCTTCTCCTCAGCATCAGTGAAGATTTCGCAGACTTTTGTCTGGTTCGTCGTGACGAAGCCCGAAAATAAACATCCATCGGTTTTCAAACATGCCACGCAGCATTCATAAGCATTGTTTGCCTCTGCGAACGAGGTGTCAATCCCGGCGTCTTCTCCAGTGGCGGTTAGACTGTAGATGTAGGAGTGCGCTGCGTCGTTGATTTGTGGGCCCAGGAGATTGTTGGTTGCGCAGGCGAGGTAGCTGGTTGTGGTCGTGTTGGAAGTCGGTGTCGTGGTTGTGTATGACGTCACGGTGTCTGTGATTGTCGTTGTTGTTGTAGTCGTGGTCGTGGTGTTGGAATTTCGAGTCGCTGTGTTGGGCGGGAGAGTTGAAGTCGCTGTCACAGTGGCATTCCGAGTTCGATGAGCGGTGTGAATGGGCGTTGCTGCTGTGACCGTGGACCTTGGGCGAACTTCAATCAAGAGTTGTGTTTCTCTAATTGTCACATTCTTGACGCCTAGGTGTTGTTAGCAAGTTCAATACGGTCCATAGTATTGTGGGACCTACACATGACGCTCTCAGGGTGCAGGTCCAACATTCCTCGTCTTCTGTTTGGACCATCTAAGGCCGACCTCTTGCCCCATGGGCTGACCTTCCCGGAAAACAGGTTAAGCATAGCGTTGTTCTCATACAGACCTCCCAATACTGCCTTTCTGTTTACTGGGGCTCCGTTGTACGTGGTGTCGCCTGAGGATTCATAAATTGGGATGAACCCTGTGGGAGCAGGTGCAAAGAACGTCTCAGTCCCTGTGGTAGTGTTCGCCGTTCTTGTTATAGTCGTTGTGACTGGCTTTCCGCTTTCGGTCTTAGTCTTGGTCTTCGTCTGAGTGGTGACATTAGAGACTGTGACAGTAGTGCCAGTGAGGGTACCCGTGGTGGTCTGGTTTCTCGACACAGTCACAATTTTGTCTTGAGTCGTTGGCGTGACTGTTGTCACTGGCGTGGAGACAGATTTTGCGATGACGATCTCCGTACATGTTGTTGTGGCGGTATTTCTTCCGAGCATTCTACGACCATACCTGGTGGAGCAGTCTACGGACGAAGTAGTTGTTCTACCGACTGTGGTAGTGATGGTCGAGGCAAGGGCTGTGGGAAAGAACACAAGATATAGCAACAATTCTGACAACATGATGCTTAGCCGCTTTCAAGATTCAAGTTGAGAATTTCTGGGTGTTGTGGAGGGAAGAAAGTGGGCAATTCAGCTCCATACTTATTTGTAGGGCCACAAGTATCCACTCAACAAGCCAGAATCCATTCTTGGCAGCTCCATCCAACAAGCCGAAGCCTTCGCACACTTATAGCCGTGGCTGATACTATGTGGAATTCCTTACATTAAAGATTTCCCCGAGGCCTCCGTGAAAACCGCAAAGGCCAAACGCCGGCGTTAACATAATTTGAATGTGAAGATTAAGGGGCTTCGAACGACAACGAATCGAAATGATGATCTGAAGAGGCTCTTAATTTGTGGTTGCGAATTCGAGATTGTGCCACTTTCGTGTAGCCTCAGCAAGCCACCGCCTCATCCGCAACACCACGTATGGAAGCGAGGAATGGCACAACAAATCTTTGGACTCCCGTACTCGATTTCTAAAAATCACCGCCAGGAGACAAGATTTTGCTAAGACTTTCTCGAATAACAGAATTAACCGAGATAGGTTAGCGTCTCGGAGATAATTTTGATGAGTCTCTGATTGCGCCGCGCTTGGTTCTCACCCTGAACCCATAACGAGAATGACATTCGTTGCCCGCTTCCACGCCTCTAGTCTGTTAAAATTCCAGGGAAATGTTGGGTTTGCTTCACGAGCGCCCTCTCACCAGTATGCAGGGCCGGTATCAGTAGGTTCGTTAAGAATGAGCAGCGCTGGACGAGATTTATCCTCCGCTCTAGATATAAAGGGTCTTAGTGAGATATCTTTCCAAAGTAAGGTCAAGTGAATATCACCCTTGAGCCGAAGTTGTAGCCTAATAGTTGGAAGACGACGATGCCAAGTCCTTTTATCGATATACGTCAGGACGATGGCTCTGGGATGAGCAAGCACAACTTTCAAAACGCTATGTTCACTTTGATTTGACAGAGTTGAAGAGAATTGCCGTCGAAGCGGCCGGAGCCTCTTCATGTGTCAACATGATCAAGGTCGGCGAAGGGCTTTACAACAAAGCTTTCCTTTTAACGATGGATAATGGGAACGAAGTAATCGCCAAGATTCCCAATCCAAATTCTGGAAGGCATCATTACTGCACAGCTAGTGAAGTTGCCACGATGGACTTCGTATGCGGAGTCCCATGTCTCGTCGAAGTCGAGGCTGATGAAGGTTCTTAGGTTCGAAATATGCTCAACATACCTGCTCCAAAAGTATATGCGTGGAGCTCTCGGCGGGATGAGAATCCAGTCAAAGCTGAGTACATCATAATGGAGAAAGCCCCTGGGATCGAACTAGAAAATGTGTGGGAAGGTATGTCAGGACAACAGAGGTGGGAAGTGTTAAAGCAGGTCGTCGCATTCGAGAAAAAGTTCGCCTCAACCAGATTCAAAGCTTACGGAAGCTTGTATTACCCTCAAGATATTCCAAACGTTACTGATGCTAGACTCGAATACACGAATGAAGATGGCGAGACACAGAACTCTGAATTCGCCGTCGGGCCTTCGAACAGTCGATCGTTTTTCGATCATGGACGTGGTGAAATACTTTTGGATCGAGGACCTTGTATGAACTTCCACCCTATAGTACCTGTTGCTAATAATCTGCAAGGGTATTCTGCCGAAGATTACTTTGTCGCTTCGGCGCACCGAGAAATCGAGAGCATCATGAAACTGCGAGAATTTCCCAAATCACAAGGTCTCTTTTATGGGCCGACACAATATCAACCCACGGCGGCCACTAAACTGTCGGCACTTTTCAACTACTTGAAAGTAGCGAGGTGTATTTTACCTAAGGAGCAAGCAATGAGTGCCCCGCTAATGTGGCATGGGGACCTTCATAGACGTAACATCTTTGTCGACCCGCAAAAGCCAACTGAAATCGTGAGCATCATTGACTGGCAAGCCGTCAATCTGAGACCCATGTTCCTTCAAGTTCATCGCCCAGCGGTTGTCGATTTTGACGGCCCAATCCCTGAATGATTTACACGTGGTGAACTTCCTGAAAACTTCGACGAATTGAGTCTCGACGAACAGAAGAAAGCCAAAGATCTACTCTCTAAACAATCACTCTACAAACTGTGGGAGGTCGAAACTCGCCGTGAAAACCAAGATGCAGCCCGAGCTTTAGATCACCAAGACACTCTGGGAGTTCTGATCAGTGGACTAGCTGGCTCAATATTCACCGATGGTGAGCCTATCATTACCGGATTACTTATGGCTCTTGAAGACAAATGGACAAAGGTCGTTGGAACGACGGCCAATGGCCAACCGACCGTGCCTTGGCCACTCAACTTCTCAGCACAGGAAAAGGCCATTCAAAAAGATCATGAAGCACAATGAACCAGTGGAGTCGAGCTCATGAGCGATATCGTGCAGAGAATTAAGGCATACACACCCTGGGACGGGCGCGTTCACCATAATGAATACGAAGGAATGAAAAGAAATGTGGAAATGGCGCTGGAGAACTTCTTGAAACGGGAGACAAATAGTAGCTCGGAGAGAGCAGAGTGGGTCAAGGCCTGGCCCTTTACAGACCAGCAGCCGTACACAAATGTACGCTGTTATGGACCACCGCCGCCACTCAGGCCGGATCAGCAAGCCCTATTGGGGACGAAAGCAATTTGAGCCTTTTCCGAGCCACTCTCGTCTCAGTACAAATGCAGGCTCGTCAAATTTAAGACATGCAAGATCTGCGAAACGCCATTGCCACCAATTACGGAGCTTCTACGGACTGACCATAGCATATGGCTGGCCCCAAAGAGGCAGCTGCAATAGTCGAAACTTATTCGTTGAGCGATAATCTCTACTCCTTCGTCTCAGTCCATGCTACTCTCGCCTTCTAGTCTAGTCGCCATATCTCAGCTTCGTCAAGGTCACAGCTTCCTTTTCGACGAGCTTTCGGGAGACTGCAGCGCCACGCCATCAGGGAATGATGCACCGGTTCTGGCTGCAGCAGCAGCAGGAGCAGCAGCAGCAGCAATATAGGCAGGGGGCGGCCCTACGCCACCAGCTGCAGCAGCACCAGCAACGGCAACGGCAGCAACAGCTACAACCACAGCCACAGCAGCAATAACACCACTAACACCAGCAGCAGCAGTACCACTAACAACACCAGCACCAGGAACGGCAACGGCAGCAGAGTAATAGGGAGCTAGGCGGGGGTTTTGGCAGGGGTGAAGAATACGGAGGTATTGGCGTAGGTCGTACAAAGAAGTTTATAGGAATGGGGTACAACTATACCGCACACCATCGGTGCCACGACTAGGGCGGTTAACTATAGCTGTTCAGACCCAGTGCCATAATAGTGGGAGGTTATACCCCCAGATAAAGGGTCGGCCTCCTAGAGATCAGTAGATGTACTTTTCACATTTGTGGTTGGAGGGGAGTAGGTACGAGTAGTCGAGATGTGAAGTCATGGCGCCAATGTGTGTGTGTGTTGTAGGCTCCGCGGAGTCAATACTTCATTTATCCCTGCTTGGCATGACTGCACTGCTATGTAATGAGTGTGATCAACCACTACTTCCACTCTGCTTTCGCATCTATGTTACCCGGCTAGCCAGCAGATTCCATTCCCCCATCCAGCACAGGCTGCCACGGATCGACTACTTCTTCCCCCCGCTCCCGCTGCCCTTCTGATACTCAGCATACCCGCGTCCAGAATTATAGTAAGTAGACCCGTCGGAATTGGAGTAGTAGTAAGACCCTGCAAAGACATTCATTTAGCGCGAGATTTTTTCAACCAAGAAAAGGTGCTGGCGGGGGAGGGGGGCACGCACCATCACCATTGCTGTAATGGTACCCACTGCCTCCGGAAGAAGAGGAGTAGTCGCGGCTACACTAGTGGTTACCCTGCGAATGTTAGCGGGCGAGTGGGGAGGGGGGAGGGAGGAGGGGGGGAATGGCGAACTTGGTCGTTTGTGCCACTGCCTGTGGTGCTATAGCCTTTGTCGCCTCCGCTGCTGGACGACTGCGAGGGGTTTTGGGAAGGCATCGATGTTTGCGTTGTAGGTTTGCTGCCGGTGAGATGGTGTATATGATGAGATGACGGTGACTGTGGAAGAAGGAAGGGGAGGGGAGGGGAGAAGGGCGGTGAGGTGAGCGAAGGTCGACACGATGGCAGGCTAGCTGCAGCACCGGATTGGTCGGTGATGAGTGGGGCACAAACAGCCACGAAGCCACATCCGGCGCCCCACTATTGACACAATTCCCTGTAGCTTCACGTGAAAAGGAATATATACGAGATGCATTCATGTTCCTCGAGTACTTGTAGCAACAATATAATTCCTTGGTAAATCACAGAATACCATAGAGTCACTCCCTCACAACTCATGATGAAATGAAACAGCCTTAGCCCAAGGCTCATCATTCGCATTCGCAACCTTCACATGCCCAACAAACTTATCAGTCCCCTGCGGCCACGGATTATAATCCATCCTCCCACAAGACTGACAACTCTTCGCCGGACCCAAAGGCTGCCCAGCCGCATTCTGAGCCTGCAGGCTAATCTGATCCGCCACATACAGCGACCCCGCCTGGCTTGTCAGCAAAACCTCCTGCCTCGCCAACGCCGGCGCATTCACCGCCCCCGCCGCCGGATTCAAATTCATCGTCCGCTCATCAGCCGCATCGACCGCCTCATGCGCTAATTCGATGATCTCGTCATGCCCAACGCAGAGCGCAACAGTCCACCCCCAAACCCCCTTGCCGGTCTGATCACTGCCGCCATTCATGCAGAATTCATTCGGCCCGCATTCGTAGATGAAAGTTTGCCAGGTGCCCCCAATAGCATCTTCATCGACGCGGCCGCATTCGATCGTGTAGCGGGTTGCGTCGATGCATTTGGATTGGTAGAAGTATTGCCATTCGGCGGGTGTGCCGGGTGGCGCGTCGCGGGGACAGGTGTCGATGCGGCGTTGGGGGAGGGGTTGGCGCTTGATGAGCTTGTGGGTTGTTGAGTTGGCTTCTGCGTCGTTGCCGAGGCGTATCGGTGTGCTGGAATGATGCGAGTCAGAGATAGTCTCCATGATAGGGAGGCTTGCTTACGTCTCGGCTATGGTGGACCATTTTGGGGCTCGTGATGACAGAGGGAGAGGTTTGATGGCAAGTCCGTCAGATGGGAGGGCATTGTATATGGCGAAAACTGCAAGTATCATTGACTTCATGTTGAAAGACATATGAACCGTAGCAGGCGATGATCAGTTCTGATGATGATGAATGCTTGCCAGGTAAATATGAGCCAAAGACAGCGACGTCTGTTCTTTTATGCCCTTTGGTGACAACCCGGAGTGCACTCTGACGTCAACGGAAGATCTCACTTGATGTGCATGGCTCCAGCGTTATTGATCTTATCCTTTTTGAGACTTGTATCTTGCCAAATATGGTTAACGCACCCTCTCCATAGATCTAATCGTACATATAACGCCCCCACTTTTGTATCTACCCTTGATCAGATAGATTGACGTGAGACAGGACTAGACGGCAAGGCGGGCCGTTCTTTACATATTTGCAAGTGATATGCGCTCTTTGGTGGCGAGGAACTTTAGACTGTTGACCGCAATTGCTGACCCCTTCACAAATAGAGAATACAGTCAATGTGAATATCTCCCTTCGCGAGCGTATTATCAGTAGATTGAAAGCCTGGTTTTTGGAGCAAGCCTGTCGGAAGGGTACATCAATCGTCCTGCTCTGAAGGTCACAAACTATATCCGGGCATCTGACTCGATGGCTCCCGCTGGACCCGCATATCCAACATTGCATCCACTCAAGCAAGCGTCCTTAAATCTCAGCCCCTCCTTCCCTTCTCCGCATCTATACCAAGCCAGGACCTGTGATAATGATGCGGCAGCCCACCACAACGAAGCGGACCTGACGTAGTTGTACACTAGTAGTTCAACGCGGGTACGGCCAGTGTTCGCTTTATGAAACCTGAACGGCCCGAAACGGAACGTAAACATACATCTTCGCATCGTGTACCTGCGGGGAACGATGCGATCCACCAAAATGGGGGCTAAGTGTTTCGTTTGCTGCACTGGCGGCATGATGAATCTAGGAGCCTCGATTGTTAAGCGGCACGGCTTGAACTATTCGATTTGATGGATTCACCTTCCCGCAAACATCATGACTCCTCTGGAGCCTGATGTAATAATCTCCTTGGGCGGGGTAACGTCTCTCGGACTGGTGATGTGACAGCCATTGACTTCCCATAATAGCGGCTGTGGTCGAGAGGGGCAGCCGCTCAACACGATAGCTGTTCGCGAGTGTTTCTCCTTGTCGGCAGCGTAAAATCTGATCGCTAGCGATATATTCCAAGACTTGACTGTGCGGAGTCTCAGGGTCTGCACACGCCCTGAATACGTCAAGCAAATCTTACTGCCCCTCGACACCACTGCAAGTCCTCTGCATCACCATACCATCACCCCACAGCATCCTCCTCGCGACAAAGCGTCTTATGTTTCTTCCAATCATTCCTCTGGCACTCCCTCCCACAATAACCAACCCGCCGACACCTTGTACACTTCTTCACACCTCCCCAAGTCCTGCAGCCCTCACACCGCCAATCCAGCGCCACTTGCTCCTTCATTTCCCCTTGCGGCTGCCCCAACGAACCAAAGCTATCAAACTGACTGTACACCTCAAATGTAGCTTCCTTCAGACACTCCTGCGACGCGCACAATGGCGTGACCATGGACGCGATGGCAGGCTGTGGGCCGTCCATCGTTCGGGTTATAGGTATCTGTTCGACCCGGGTGCGGCTCTTCCCACAACTAGTGCATTTCTTTTCGCTTTTGGCGTCGCATTCAGAGGTATGCTCGAGACCTATGTCGTGGATTGCGGTGTACACTTCGTTGGCGTAGGCGCGGGAGGTGGAGAGGAGGGGTTGTGGGTCGCGGCAGAGGCGGCGGGGGAATGGGTGCATGTATTTGAGGGGAGGGGAGGTGTGGAATATGTATTTGAAGTATACGTCGATTGATGCCATTGGGGATGCGTTTGATGAAGGAAGTTGAGAGCGACGAAACAACTGACGCGTGTAAACTACGCCAAGCCCCGTTGTACAATTCGCGCTAAATTTCTGCAATGGAGTTTTAAGGCTGACTTTGAGGAGGTGCCGCCTAAAGCACGCCTTATAAGCTAGCTTTTAGGCTGCCCGATAGCTGCGGAACTCCTAGAAAATTGGTTTAGCGCGGCAATGTTCAGACTGGCTGACCCTCGTCCAACCTTGCTTGCATAATAAATTCTTGTGCTTGAATGATATGGTGAACGAGTTGCGTACCGCGCAATAAAAATTCACGATTGCTCAAGAAGTTCGAAGAGGGTTTGTGTCATGTGAGGAGATACCTCGTTTTAACATTGGCGAGAAGGGAAAGAAGAATATTCCAAGGTGCATGCCTTGATTCGATAAGAACAATATCTTGAAGGGGATCCGCAGAGCCCGTAAAACAAGCCCGCAAAACCCGAGTGCTGTTGAAAAGAGTCGCGCGAAACCGTACTCGTAATCGGACCCGAACTCAACATTATGACGTGAGGTTGTCGTCACCCTTAGCAATTCCTAGAATTATCACTTTTATAAGTATAATGCTTTCAATGAATCAAATCTATCATTTGACATCTCAGTCGCCATGACGCAGCCAATCCTAGTCACAGGTGCAACCGGTCACCAGGGCGGTGCCCTCGTCCGCGCTCTCCTGAACCACCAAAATCCACCCATGATCCTCGCACTAACCCGATCAACATCTTCCGCGACAGCTCAAAAGCTCGCAAGCTCCTCACCATGTATCAAACTCGTGCAGGGCAGCCTTAACAACGTCGCTGAAGTCTTCGACACCGCCACGAAGATCGCGCAAAGACCTATCTGGGGCGTTTTCTCCGTCCAACCCGCTCAGGGCATGGGCATCCCCAACGAGGCCGAGCAAGGCAAAGGACTCGTAGACGAAAGCGTATCCCGTGGTGTCAAGCATTTCGTCTATGCGAGCGTCGACCGAGGTGGTGATGAGAAGAGCTGGACCAATCCAACAAACATCCCGCATTTTCAGACGAAGCACGAAATCGAGCTGCATTTGCGTGAGAAGGCGGAGAGTTCGGGGATGGGTTATACGATATTACGGCCTGTGGCTTTCATGGACAACCTTGCGCCGGGGTTCCAAGCACGAGTCTTTCTTGCTGCGCTTCAGGCTACTTTCGCCCCTGGGAAGACTTTGCAGTGGATCGCGGTACGGGATATAGGTATTGTGGGCGCCAAAGCTTTCGAGGAGCCGGAGAAATTTAATGGCAAGGCGATTGGTCTTGCTGGTGATGACCTTACTATTGACCAAATTGGCGAGGTTTTCAAAGAGACAACCGGGACCGCCTTAACACCCACTTTTCAGATATTTGGGAAGGCACTCAAGCAGTTTGTTGCTGAGGTTCGTCTTATGGTTGATTGGTTTGGGGAGGAGGGATATGGCGTTGATATCGGTGCTTTAAAGCAGATCCATCCAGATCTCATTGATCTCAAGACGTGGATTGTTGAAGACAGTACATTTACCACCAAGGCTTAAATTTTATCTCGAACAATGAAGTCTGCAAACGCAAGCTTGGGCGTCGATTGAGAGTTCGTAATGCAGACCAAGATGATGTTGGTGCTCGACGATTGTAAGCCTGGCGCGGGTCGATGTAGTGGCCTGGTGGTCAGTGTACCTCTGGCTTGCCTGCACATTTATTTAACTTTTCTTGATCGCTGCGATGAAGCTGCGCAAGCGAAGCCGACCATTGTAGGTCTCACTTATTTCACATAGGCTGCGGTGCCCGCCTCTCAGGCTTTGGGGAATGCGCCACCAAACGCCGTTCTCTGAGGGTCGCAAGACTGAGACCAACATCCGATACGCGCCAATGCAAACATCACCTGATCGATTGAATACCAACATTTAAGAGAACGCCTTCACTATGTTGATGAATTGACAGGTCGATGCTGTTGATGGTGGCTGGCTTGTCTCGAGGAGAGCGTAAAGGTCATGGCGTCAGGCGTATGACCCTCGTCGACGCGCTGCGATAGGCTCTCTTCGAGAAATGGTGTACGGTGCTCTTGGCCATCGGAATATATAGCAGGAGCGTCTCTGTGAACAGAACGTGCTTCCAGGGATAAGGAATTTACCTGAATCCATCAACGCCTCAATCATGCCTATTTCTCTCTGCACCGTTCTTACAGTTATCCTGTCCCACCTTTTCGCTCACTCTGCTCTTTCCAATCCTTTACCTGGAGGGTCTGGCTCTGTATTCGATGCATTGCACCCACGAGATAGCACAGAAACGCACACTCTCAACCTCAACAGCGTAGCACTTCCAGGAAACTTCTCTGCAGCAGTCAATGATCCTTCCGGTGGCTTTCTTCGCAATACAAATCTTTTACTCCCAAATGCCACAGCAACAGCCCAAGTTAAACCCTACGCCGAGGCCAACCTAGATGCACTACAACAGTCTCTGCCGTATTTATTGAAGCAACTCAGCATCAACGAAGCCACCATTCCTGATCTGGTCTCTCAAGGCGTGCCGCTGATATCGCAAGTCGTGACAGCCTCCATCGCCGATCATTTCGCGCCGGCGCCAGGCACGCCCATACCTCTTGTACGCCGGAACCTCTTTGACGATATTGGCAATTGGATCCAAGGCGTTGTCAACGATATTGGCGATGCTGTCAAGCAGCCTGCCGTTGATGCAGGCTGCGGTCTCTTCGCTGCCTCAGCATTGCCAGGGTATCTTGCTGCAGTTGCCGCGTTCAGTGTGCTCAATGCAGGAAGCACTCCAAAGTCTACAACACCAGACCAAGATTTCTATATCCAGCCGTTGCATGGTGCTGTCTCGCATCCTGATGGCATTGTTGTCTACTATAATGCGAATTTTCCTCCCGGATTCGAGAATGCTGACGGTGTGACCATGGGCCAGGCAATATACACAAGAAACGGACCAGACATTGAGTATACAGATGTAAATTTTGCCGCCACGACAAGATTGCTGCTGCACGAATTTACGCACGTGAAGCAGTACCAGGCGCTTGGGTATGATTTCAATGCCTTTGGTTTGAGATATCTGTTTGATTACTGCACCGTAAGTTCGGTCCCCTAATATTCTTGATGATATTTGACTTGCTGATCTTCTTACAGGCGGGATTTAGCTACGAGAAAAACGATCTCGAAGCGGAAGCGTACACTAAGCAAACATATATGGACAAGCTTTTTCTCAGCCCCGGCTCCGAGTTCGTTCGACTTTGGAATACGCGCGGTGTACAGCAACAGCTCGGCTTTCCCACAGCCCAGACATATACCACCACCGGTGCTGTATTCAGCCAATTCTCACTCCAGATGGAAAGGGAGTGTTGCAAATTCAATGCTCTGGAGCTAGATGTCATTAGTGTGAGTTTTCCAGTATGACTGCTAAGTTTGAGGGTCTCCGGTATGATATGTGTTTGTTTTATATGACCTCGCAGGTAGAATGATAGAAGCTCATCGAACATTGACACTTACCTCCCTTCTCACTGTAGGCGCATCGCGCTCTGTGGTGGCACGCGATGTTCAGACTGACCCTCCTCGTTGTGCATGAGTACGATCAGGTCTCAAGTTCTCCACGCCAATCTTCTGCCCACCTTTTTCCAGGCAGACTTTGAATTCTACGCCTAATCCGTTGACTTGAAGTGCTAGATCAGAATATGCTTGGACATGTTGTGCCATCTCGGTCTCGGTACTCGTGACCACAGCAATTACAAAAATCATCCTTAATTTCGGCAATGTTGACAGCTTTTGATATGCAAAATGGTGAATATGGTTTTTGAAAACTACGATCTCGGACCACAACTCGTGTGAGTTGCTTGAGTGAGTATACCGCACATGAAGCTCTTCTACAGATCCAGGAAGAGCGGTCATGTGACCCGTGCGGAGAGAACACAGAGCTGGTTGGTTGAGCTCAAGATATTTCAATTGAGACAGCCCACGTAAGTCCTCCAGTAGACCGCAACGGTCCGAAACTGAGTCTAATACAAGATGACTGAGTGGGACTCGCCCTCCCTTGGTATGTAATTGGATCAGGATAGTGCAGAGGGAGGTGACGTTGACGCGATGAGGGAGACCTGGCAAGACCCGCAGATTTTCCAAGCCGCGGTCGTTCCAGAAAAGACTTTCGAGGCTGGAAAAAACGCCCAGCATCTGTCTCATACCCTCCAAAAAGAAGACGCAATCTTGGAGACTAAGCCGAGTTACAGCAGAGCCTTCTCTCCCTATAAAACTGTCTGGAAGTTCCAGAGAAGAAGTAAATTTGTAGACATGAAGCGTTCTCAAGGCGGGCAAGAATGCGAGCTCTACAATATTTTGCATTTGCACGTAGGTGACACAGGGCCAGGATTGTATCATATCAATGTGTTGGAGCCGTTGTAAGATAGGCTTCGTGAGTACCGAAGTAGTTGTGCGATCGTATGGTAATCCACAGTGCTGCCAGAGAGGCTTACACTGGGTATCAGTTGACAGGTATTTCAAATATTTGAGATTTTCTAGCTCTGAGAGCAACCATTCAATCGAGCATGGTCGTTCATCAACGTTGGCGGACCACTGCAACCTCGAGAGAGCTGATCCTGGCGTATTTCGTATGTGCATGTCATCATTTCGACAGTGAGAGCCAATGATAATCAGCTCTAATCTCTGAATATAGGCGGCAATCCGAGGTTGATGCACGATTTTAGGGAGAAGCTTTATCGATGACGATAATGCCCCGCCGTTACATATATGGTGAGTATGAAGCCTTTTAAATTCCTGGTGCTGGGGAAGTATGCGTTGTGACAAAGCCCGAAGTGTCCTTGAGGTAGCAACGATGCTATCGATCGTGTCCGGTGAGAAATGTTGCGCGACATTCTCGTACAATTCTGGGGGCAGCCGCTCTAGAGCCATGTAATCCAATGCGGAGGTGGAAGTGATTCAGTGACAGTCGTGATGATGGAAACGTCAAGTCCGCGTCTCTTTAGATGGAATGAGAGGAGGTTGCGCTGATTTACGAAGGCCGGCTTACTGCCAAGACAATCCGGAGATATCGGCCTGGTGCGCTCCGCTGCGGGAAATCATTGTTCCGTGACAATTACCCCTAATTCATATCTGCTTCCTTCCATGGGCGGAAATGCCTTGCTAAGACTCAATTTCAGTCGTTTCTAGTCTTGGAGGCAAGTGATTTAAGCCTGATCTTCTCTGGTCTATGTTTAGTCCCAGGTTACGCCCAGAATGTCTCGCGAGAGGCACGCTTAGCGACTGAGACACATGTACGCGCACGTCATCAATTGCCTCTGCCGAAGCCAAGTTGGAGCGGGCTACATGATTTCACTCATCTCTCGACTCGTCTCCGCTCCGAACAATGTGGAGTAGGTGGCCTCGAGGTAAGTCTACGACGTGGGCAGCCACGTTACTCAAGGTAACGAGCCGTTAGCGACTTTCATGATATGTATCCTCAGCCTTTCTATCAAGACCGCCAGCAATCCAATTAATCCGACTTTAATGGACGATGCCTCGACAAGCCTTTCTCTAAGCCAATACAACACCACAAACACCACCCTACAGAACAACTTCCCAATAGAATGCTTCCCAGTCCACAGCGAAAGCCTCCCCTTCTCCGTCGACACTTGTCGCCCTTCCCTCAACGAGATCAGAACCTTCCCCGACTTCGGTAGAAGACAGGTCTTTATAACCGGCGAGATCAACAAGCCATTCCAGCCACATCCACCACCATACGACATCTACTCTCCCGGTAGTGAATGCAATATCTCAATTATGTCGACGGAAAACAACAAGCGCAGCTACTTCTCCTTCAAAGACGCACGAGCTATGGCTACTGAAATTATTCAGCATTGCGAGGACACGTCGTATGGGAGGGAGGCTTCAATTTCATTGGTGTCAATATGCATGATGAACCGACGGTGACGTGGGCTGTGGCTGTCTTTGGTATGGTGCGCAGGCCTGGGTCGATTGCTCAGGGTTTAAATTCTTATGATACTGCTGCGATAGAATGAATGGCTGACACTTTATTCTTCGATTCCATTTCATACGTACCCTCTTTTCTCATCTGCCTAACAATCCACACCAATTCAAACCTCGCCCCCACGACATTATCTACTGCACTACACTCAAAACCTGAATCTTCCCCTCCACAAACGCCTTCATATCCTTCTGCAAATACCATTTCATCTCCCTCACAACGAACCTTGCCCTAACCTCCTGACTTAGCACATCCAAACACTTCGCAACTTCCGCACTTGTCAACCCCACCCCAGCCCCCGCTTCAGGCATATCCGTTAGCTTTACGTTCAAGAACGCATCATCCTCGACAACCGACTCCGGTTTGGTAAATTGTCCAGGGACGATGGCGACTAGATCCGCGAGATGGGAGATGAGCCGGACCTGATCCTCGGTAAGCTCGCGACCGTATGGTTCGGGGACGGCGAGGATGAGGATGCTAGAGCTTGTCGTCGTGGTTGAGGAGCAGGAGAGAGCGAAGGGGATGTGTGAGGCGTCGTTTGTGGGTGGGGAGGTTGCGAGGGGAAGTGAGAGGTTTGTCTGCGCGCGGGTGTCGAGTGTGAGTGGAGATGCGACTGTTAGGAGGGTGAGGAGGAAGAGGGTTGATAGGCTCGTAGTAGAATTGTGGAGTTGATGCATTAGTGACAACAGCATCTGGACCCATCAGAGATGTTCCGGACCGAAAGAAAGGGAAGGGGGATAATTCATTATATCTTCCTTCCTCACGGCGCATTGGTTTGGGCCTTATCTGCGTCAAAATCGCGTGTGACTGGTTGAGATCATTGGCGCAAATAGCGCTTCATACTGCAACATCAAAAGTTATCTTCGCGCGATTAAATACAGCCCAACTTGACGAAGACAAATTGGTTTGTTGCATGATTTGACGAAGACAAACTGGTATATTGCATAGTTTGAAAAAGATACAGGAGCTGATCTAGCCATTGTCTCGAAAGTATAGTTGAATATCACCTCTCTGCCTAAGCCAAGTATGTTGGCGCCTGATATGACACACCAACCTCATAGCGAGCTTGTTAAACTGCTAATAGAGCTGATGTTGCGTCCCAACGAAGCTGTTAATAATGATTGTCCTGACGAGTGATGACGACTCTGCCATCTATTATACCACGGATGTTGCAACATTCTATCGTGAAAGCCTTCTATACTGAAAGCAAACCAATCTTTAATAAACTCATGAAAGCAACCAGTTCAAAGACGACTTATGTCTCTGGGGAACCGCATTCGTTTGTAATTTCTGATAAAGACTCTCTCCGTCGCCAGTGATTGTCGATATCATGTAATGCTCAATTGACGTGACCTTCCCAGTCGATGTTATAATTGTAAATCCTGTCTTGATTGTCTCAAGTGATGCATGGCATCACAGCGGGAACCAATATCAGAAACAAAGGCACAAGAGTGCGATTGATCATGCTTGCCCAGTGGTGACTCTTGAGAGAACTTGAGATGATTCTTTTACTGATGCCGCCGCTCATTAAGCCGCTCCCGGACAATGATCTTGATCCCTCAAGTTCATCGAAACACAATTGAACTTTTTCTTGGAACGGAATAATATTCATGAACCCTGGCCATTAGTCATTTCGCACCTCGACGATATCTCCCTGAATCGGCCCGAGCAGTAAACATATCGAATCCCGAGTCTGACACTGATCACTTCATTCCCTGAGCCTGAGCAGCTAACCACCCCCAGTGGTAAACCCTCGACTAGGGTACCTGAACTGTTCGCTTCGCTCCCTGACCCTAACCCTCTAACCGCCCCTGGTGGTGAACACATCGAATACTAAACCTGAGCTAAATCGCTTCGACCCCTGAACTCCAATATCATGACTGAGCCTAAGCCAGACTACTCTAACCTACGATAACCACTATAACCTGTCCTGGACCCCGAACCCACCCTGACCCTAACCACTCCCACTAAAACAACCGACCCTAACCATCCTGACCCTGACACCCTGACCCTAACACCCTGACCCTAACACCCTGACCATAAACACCCTAACCCTAAACACCCTAACCCTAACCAGCCTCCGGCGACCTGCGGCGCTTCACATCCATACTAACCCTAACCCTCTAACCCTAACCCGAACCCCCTAACTCCTCCGGAGGCCCTCCCGGGGGCAACTGCGTTGAGCCCTCACCCTGACCCTAACTCCTACTTAGCGGAAGGAGTCTTCTCATCAGGGAAAAGGAGCCAGAAAGAGAAGATCCGTAAGATGACACACCCTAACCCTAACCACTTCCCAGCGAAGAAGACGTGTCACCAGGGGAAAAGACCAGAAAGAGGAGACCCAACCACCTCTTAGCGGAAGAGATCTCGTCAGGAGAAAGCAGCAGAAAGAGAAGACTGTAAGAGAACACACCCTAACCCTAACCCCTTCCTAGTGGAAGGAGCCTAACCATCTCTCAGGGATGACGGAGGCGGAGAAGGAGTCTCATCGAGGGGAACGCCAGTAGAAGCTAGAAAGAGGAGCCCCGTAGGAGAACGCACCCTAACCCTAGCCCCTTCCCAGCGGAGGAAGCCTAACCCCTTCCTAGCGAAGGAGAAGTCTCCCCAGATGAGACACCAGTATGAGCCAGAGAGGGAAGACCTGTAGATAAACGCACCCTAACCATGACCACCTCCTATGGGAAGCGGAAGTCTCTTCTGGGGATATGCCGCTATGAACCAGAACAGAAGACCCTTAGGTAGACAAACCCTAACCCTAGCCACTTCCGAGTTGAAGCGGCCTAACCATCTCACAGCAGACAAGAAGTCTCATCAGGAGAAACGAGCAAAATAGGAAGAGCCTAGGTGAACGAACCCTGACCCTGACCACCTCTCGCCTCCCAACGGAAGAGAGAGTCTCATCCAGGGAAACAGACGGAAGATCAAAGAGAGAAGGTCTATAGGTAGACACACCCTAATCCTAACCCCTTGCTAGCGGAAGAAGCCTGGCTACCGCCTAGCGGAAGAAATGGTCTTATCAAGGGACACAAACCAGAGAAAAAAAGACCTTTAAGTCGACATACCCTAACCCTAGCCACCTCCCAGATGAGATTGCCTAGCCACCTCCCAGATGAAGCGGCCTAACCGACTCCCAGTGAAGACACTCCCAGAGAAGACGCTCCCAGCGAAGATGGAGGCATAGAAGGAGGTGGAGAAGAACTCTTAATAATAGAAACGAGCGAAAGGACAAGCCTGAAGATAAACACACCCTAACCCTGACCACCTCCCGTGTCCCAAAACCCTTCCTGGCCGAAGAAGCCTAATCCCTTCCTAGCCGAAGAAGAAGTCTCAACAGAGGGAACGCCACTGTAGGCCGGAGGGAGTAGACCCAGATGTGGACAAACCCTAACCCTAGCCACCTCCTCGCAGAAGTAACCACCTCCTAGACAGAAGTAGCCACCTCCTGGCGGAGGAAGAGCAGAGAAAAGGTAGAGAGGAGGCGGAGAAGATGTCTCATCAGGGGAAACATGACAGAAGGAGAAGACCATTAAATGAACGATCCCTAACCCTGGCCGCCTCCCACCTCCTGCCTCCTACCTCTCAGACAGCTGTGACCACCCAGCGGACGAATCCTGGCGGAAGAAAGAGTGATGCAGACACCAAGTCAGATGCCGAAGGTGGGACTCGTGAAATGTCCTACCTTCAATCTATATCGATGAGACAGGACACTGATTACCTGAAGCGGGAACCAATTAATAACCAACGGTACGATCTTGCTTTACGTTTGAGGGTGTTACGCTGAAGGCGATGTAGTGAATCCGCTCTGCAGGCTCCTCCGGCGCCCTTCAAGCCCCTAACCCTGGCCTTTCCTGTGACGGGTCGGCCCGAACCTTAAACTTAAAATATATCTGGGAACGAGGGTCGGGTAATCTGAACATGGCCACGCCAAATCTATAGGGGCCTTTTTAGGGAGGGGGCGCCTAAAAAGGGCAGCTTATCCCCCCAGCTTTAGGCCTCACCTCCCTAAAGATGGCCCTAATACTGAATTTAGCGTGGCCATGTTCAGATTACCCAACCCTCGGAAGGGGTATGGCGCCTGTCAACGTACGCCTACCATGCGGTGAAAAGGTACAGATTTGGCACACTATGACATGACGCATCATCTCATTCAGGTAACATCACTGTCTTTGTTCACTAGATTATCACTGGCGAACATCAAACCGACTGGCCATCGAGTGAAGTCTCCCACCATCTTGCTATGGTAAAGGAATGCATCATAAGTAGCGGCTTTCTCGTTGCTGTCCGTATAGTGAAGCTATGATTGGAGAGATTCACCAAATGTGTCTCTGAAACATTGCGAACATCCTTTCTTAAAGGCCCAAGACTGTAGTCGAATGCAAATAGGATCCACATGTGGAGTTGGCATGTTAGCGTCTTACCCAGAAGAATTGTATGTACAGCTTTGGAAGAGAAGTAATGAGCGAGGAAAGACATGAAAGGTCATTGACCAATGAACTTCAATCACAAGTATCCAGCAACTTCGCCCGTTGTATGCCACTCCAGCTCACAAAACAATGACAATGCGCCCATGAGCAGATCTCTCGAAGCAATCGCAAGCCTAATCACGGATCTGAAAATCACAAATGCGAGTGACTTCTCGAGTAACATCGACCATGTAGTAATACTCCTAGTGAGTAGCGAAGTATGGAGACCTTGTGTAAATAGCTTTTACAGACTTAATCTACTCCTTTGAAACGTAGCGGAGTCACGTAAGATAAGCGCACTTTCCATGCGATATATTGGATTCACGAAATAAATAGTATTATTAAAATACACAATATACTTCCCCTCGTGTCAATGGTACTCGGTCATGCCTATCTCTCCCGTCAAACATTTCTCGTCATAAATAGCTTCGAGCATGACCCTTGCCTGCGTAAAACTCTCTTACTGCCTAAAGGGATGATTTGTAAACTAAGACATTGAACTGGCGATGAGTATGCTCCGTGAAAAGTTGAAATACGATCAGCGGCATCAATAACAGCTAGAAGATTCCCTGTTACCCCTTTAGCTAGCGTTTGTGCTAGCTGTTTCTTGCTTGGAATACGCCATGAAAGCCAGAAAGAACTTTGAATCTGAAAGATGAATTGTGCGTAGCGGAGGACGCGATAGGCAATCGCCTACCCTGCCGAAGTTATATATTTTAAAGGCATAATATATATCGTTGATGCTAGAGAGAAGCTAACTCGATATCAATTGGCGTATCGACCTAGAACCTTCAATACATACCTTTACTGAAGACTAAGAAAAATGCCTGATGCATGGAAGCTAGATTTTGGGAAAGTGATATATGAGACAGCCAGATTCAACCTGATGATCTCTTGGCTTGCTTCACTCCATAGACTTGAGATGTTGGAAACACGTTACTTTTAGCTGAAGATTTGAAAAAAGCCTCTTGACGCAGAGCAGTACACAACCTCTTAACTCACTTGCGATGCTTCATCCTTCCATATCTCCCGTCTGCGCCCACATACTTGACGACTGGTCCCACGTCCCAGCATTCACCTGGCATCACGACGAACTCCTCCTTGTTAAACCTCAGTCTTTGCCCATGTGAATGCAACGTTCTCGTCTTTCACCCGATGTAGTCGTCTTCGTGGTAACATCATTCTTTTGTTTCCCTTGGTTGTTGAAGTGTAGATGCTCGGCTTGTTGCAGAAGGTTACCATAATATGCAAGACCATCCTACATGGCGAGAGAATACTCGGTCTTCTTGAGGTCAAGGCGGAGGAAGCTCTCATTTCAGTAAGTATAAGCGGTGCACAGAAACGCGATGTGTGAATTGAATTACATTCATCGCGGTATTTGACTTTCTGACGCATAATCCTTGCGGCAGTGATTGTTCCAACAAATGAATTATTTGCCACTGGTTGGGTGATGAAAATCCCATCATTGCAAGGAGAACAGCCTGCACGAGATTCCTGTAGTTCAAAAAGGGACGACTCGAGCAGTACAAGACTATACTAGCGGGTGACAAAGACATTTGCGATAGTAGCAACTCATTCACACCCGGCTTATTGCCCGCTCAAATGCCATTTTGAATTGGTAATACTGCGTTTAGAGATATATTATGATGACGAAGAGTATATAAATAAATAACACGGCATCGATTCTTGGATGACATTGACTTGACCTGGAAGAGCTGTCTCTCGACTATGATCTGCTGTGATCAGGGCGAAGGAGCAATCGCGTCCACCTCTTCTCTGTCCATGCAACCTAGACAAGACTAGCTGTACGTTTTGGTGAAAGGGCGCGATCGAAGCAAGAGTCACAACCCTTAACTCATAACGAAACTTTTATCTTTGATCATCTCCTTCATTCCCAAAGCGCTTGAGTCAACACCTAACATGGTTCTCACGGCGGAAATGTAACAACTGCCAACAGAGCTTATGTTGACAGGCGTCTCGAAAATATATTTGAACGTTGCCTCTGTTCCCATGCCACGCATGTTGACGTCTAACGTTACACACCACTATCGTGTTGAACTTGTTACAAATGTCAACAGAGCTGACATTGCGTCCCGACGAAGCTGTCATGATCATTTAGCGAGTGATTGACAATTTTCCAATCTTTGTACAGTCGCCGGATATGGCAACGTTCATTGTCAAAGCTTTCTATGCAGAAATAATGGCGCAGACCTCGAACGGTACTGCGCATTCTTCAATGCGGTACACCTCGAGGTCTACGGTCGCGATCAGGTTTCATCTCATCCCGCGAGAAAACTTGATGCAATCCAGAATACGCATGTGTATCTGGAGTTTCGGGGTCGCATGTTTGCTTCGTGCGTGGATAATAGGGGTTGCTGACTCATCGCCATGCGAGATCTCGCCGTCTCCAACCGTCTCGCCCCTTCCCACTCTCGACAATGAGGTGTACTCGCCCCTTCCACTCTCGACGATGAGGGGAAAGGCAGGCGCGCCGCGCGGCCTCTGTGTATTTATTCGGTGAGTTCTCCGTTCCTCTTCTTCTCTCTTTGGCTCCAAGTTTTCGCCTTTCACGACGTCGACTAGATAGGCACACGTTGTGCCTCATCCTTTTTTTTTCCCTTAAAACTTTTTATAGTTGAACAAGCCCTCGCTTGTTCTTTAGTTTACCAGAAAATGTAAGTATCTCACTCCACTCTTTTCTCGACTTCGAACACCCACACTTGCCTCTCAATCTAACCTTACCCTTTTTCCACTCATTATGTTCCATCAATACCGAGTCTTTCTTGAACACTCATGGCACATCGCACGTCATCCTACCGCAAGAATGAGGGCTAACGTGACTTTCAGATGCCGCTTCTCGCCGCGGCCGCCGCCAGTCCCACCCCCAGCTCCACCGCCACCACCGCCACAGCCGCCACAGCCACCGCCTCCGACCCCATCTCCATCCCCGACTCCGACTCCGACTCTGGCATCCCGCCGCCACCGCCGCCGCGCCGACGCCGTCCAATTGGGCGGACAGCCGAACGTTTCAGGGGCCCTGCGTTGGTGGATTATCGCCGCAGAGAGGCCGAATTTTGGGCTGGCAACCCACAGTTGGTGGAGCAGTTCGCCGCCTACGATCGGCAGGAGGAAGAGGAGAGGCAGCAGAGGCGGCTGCTTCGGCAGCAAGTACGGCAACAGCAACAGCAACAACCACAACAACAGCAGCCACAGCAGCAACAACTGCCACTGCCACTGCCACAGCAGCCACAGCAGCACTTCCAGCAACAGCAGCAGCAATATCGGCAGGAGGCTGCGCTGCGCCACGCGCAGCATCAGCAACAGCAACAGCAACAGAACGGTGGGGGTTTCGGTGGGGGTTTTGGTGGTGGTTTTGGTGGGGTTGGAGGAGCCGGTGGTGGCGTGGGTGGTGCCGTCGGTGGTGCCGGTCTGGGTGGTTTCGTGGGTGTGGGTTACACCACACCACGCCCTGCGGGTGCCCCGTCTGGGGCTGTCAATTACGGTCGGGCCCAGTGCCCAAACAGTGGGGGAACTTACCCCCAAATCAGGGGCCGCCATCACCAACCTCCTAATAATCATTAAGTGTATTTTTTTATCTTTGTGGGCTGGGGGGGTTATCTTTTGGCATCGTGGCAATGAATCAAATATATTTCTGAATGCATCAACATCCTCCTCGTGACAAATCGTCTTATGTCTCTTCCAATCATCCCTCTGACACTCATTTCGCAATACCAGAGTGTAATCAGGTCACTGACATATGTAAACCGTTTCCACATCAAAGATGCAGTCGCTGTACTGAGCTGCAATAGTAATCAATGGCTACTACTGACTAGAATAGTAAAACGTAGAAGTCGAGCTGGGACTTCTCTGATATTCAAGTTTTCCCTCATAACTTTTCTTCCTCTTGTGAAGATATCTCCTACTACAACAGGTGTGACCATGATGGCAGCATTAAATGGGCGCAGAAGACAGGGCGCCTTTGGCACCCCTAGTTATGACGGGTCGGCCCGTACCTTAATTTCAAACTTAGATGTTTCCTGGTCAGCATAATGGCAGGCTCCTTCCTGTATACCGGGGAGAGTCCTGCACTGTAATCTCCCTTTTGTTTATTTCCAACCCGCAAATTTTCGTCAAGCTCATGAGTCCTGGCCAATCTCGAACACATCGATCTCCACAACACTGACTCTCAATACTCATGGCATTAATGTGCGTACTTTGATCATCTGACCCACCCATATTGACTGACATTGCTAGTAGTGCCATCAAAATATGTCGAGGCTAGGGTCTCACAACTCCACCTTCGAATCTCAAGCAAACAACTTTGTTTGGAGCGCAAGCTCAATCTGCGCCTTCACAAACACAATCGAAACGCGTACACAATTGGCCCATGGCAAACCGGGAGATGCCTCTCACACATCATCAAATCGATCGTCTTTCAATGCCACTCTCCCGACAATGAGGAGAGGTAGACCTGGGTCTACCCCACCAACCTCGGAACCATCCGAGATTATCAGTACAGCAAAGTAGTTGGAGCCATGTAGAGCGTTTCAGCCCCAGCTCGTGGGCTATATCACAATATGCTCGTCGCTTTACCAACTGAGCTGGGTAAGACATTTATTGCTGCGACCATCAACGGGGTGTGGACACTCCCAGCTCAAAGGTGTTGTGGGTAAATCACCATCATTGGTATTGAGACAGACCAAAACTTACGAACCCTAGTGCGCTTGACCGAAAGGTCGTTCTATCTGGACATTGAAGGTATCAGTCTCCCTTTTTGGGATTCTTAGGGGAACAGTAAACGAGTGTTCTTCATGACTCCACAGCCCTGTGCCTGGGTTGTCTGTCCACAGAAGGTGAAAGACGAGATTAATGATCTTAAGACTGGAATATGCGATCCAAAGAGAATGGTATTGATCGTGGTCGATGAGGCACACCGTGCAACTGGAAATTACGCCTATGTTGAAGTGTGTTTGATAATTCTGTAAACAATATTAATCAACATTGAATCTGTGATCACATACTGTTCAAGCTTGAATGTGTTTGCTGTTTCTTCACCCACTGTACATTCATTAATTCTCGTAGACGATGACAGTGCTTTCGGAGGTACATTGGAGCCCACAATGCGTGCCATAGTTGCAGCAAGATCAATTTACTTCTTTACACTTTTAAGAAGAGCCATCATTGGCGTTGGACAACTTTCCCAATGTCCTTGCCTGCTCTCACCTTATTGAGCCCTGGAGGGACATCCTAAATAGAGGGTGAAAGTTGTGCAATTCTTCATGGGAGTCAATCTCCTCGTATCATCGAACTGTCAAACAATCTTGAGATGCCTGGTGAGTATCGTCGAGAGTAACGGCGATGGACAAGAGATCTGCTATTAGCAGGTTCGGAAAAGGACCCATGTAGATAACGGTTTGTATTTTAGTTGCATTGGCTGCAATGGTGTCTCCACTTCCCTCCTCTTCTTCTTGGCTTCGGTTCGTCCAGTACATCAAACAACTATCTTCGTCATCATTTTGTGTACGTTTCTTCGGGAGGAGGTTTCGCTGCCCCCAATCGAGGAGTGGTATGCTGAGAATGATTATTCACTAAAGACATACTGGAGAAGGGTGGATCTCGCTCCCTTACACGTCCAAGTCGTTTGTAGTTGGATGCCCTTAAAATGTTGTTGTAGCAGGTCCCGATTTCGGTCCCGATGCTAGACATTGGAAAAATCCCAATCCGGTTACTGCAGATATCTGAGTTACGGCTCGGGCCGAGCCGCCCGCCCGTGTGTGAAGGGTGCCGGAGGCGCCCTGTTCCGGACGTTCCCTTGAACTATCTTTCCACGCGGAGAAAGGAGTTGTGGATACAATACAACAAAGGAAGATGCGTATTTGTTGTCTTGAAGTTTGGCTCGTAACCTGTCAGGTCCCTGTCTTGTGTAGACCTCATCTCCGTTTGGCACTGCGCAATACTCTGCCACCTATTTCGATAGTCTCAATTGGCCCGGCTTTCATCTCTACTACCACCCCTACTACTACCACTAACATAATTGCAATACGACCACCCAGGCAGTACCCGAGCTGCTTTAAAGGCGACCACCCTTCCCTCACCGCCACCAATTCAACTATCCTTGGCACAGACCAACCTTCGGCATGCCGCTTATCAAATATTCTCATGGAACATTGGCCAGACATTCAACTGATTTGGAGATATACAACACTAATCCTAATTTCTTGAAATCTAAAATGGGGCGGAATGCGGACATACCTAATTAAGTATCGACAGCGAGTAGTTGTTTGTTGCGGATGTGAGACTGTTTCATTTTCAACTAGTATGTTTGCGAGACTGTTGTTTCTTGGAATAGTAAACTCCGCGTCAACTTAGGCGTTCGGTAAAATGTTTCATGCCTTCAATAGGAGGATGCATTGTTGGCACTAGTCAGGTCTCACTCCACATGAAGAGTTCGGGCCAGTTGCTAAAGATGTACAAGAAGAAATAGTCAATATCACTTATATTTGGAACGTTGCCATGGCATAAACTTGCCAACTTCCGGAAAAAGTCTAGCTTCATTCTACTAGTTCGAAGCCCCCTCTTGTCTATAAATCGATCTTCCTTACCAAGATTCCTTTTCTTCTTCTTTATCGCCACGAGGAAAGGGATCTGGCGCCGGGGGAGGGGACAAAAATCGCATGTCAGGCTGCTCGACGCGCCCCTCCCCCGGTGGCGCTGAGGATGGTGCTGGCAGTGACGCAGGTGGCAGAGACGGAGGTCGCAGCGGTGCTGTTGGCAGAGCCGCTAGTATGGCGTTGGAGATAGTGCTAGCGGTTGTACGATTGCCAGTTATAGTGGTCGTTGGAGGAGTGTTGTTTGCTGATCAAACTCTTCAGGTCAAATCCCTACTCGGTAATCATCGAACCTTCTAACACGGATGGTTCAAAAACAGCTTAGCTTGGTCTCACTAGCTTCGACCCTTCCCTCGTCTATAAATTGATCTTCCCTGCCATATCTTCTCCTCTTCTTCTTCATCGCCATGAGGAAAGGGATCTGGGGGCGGCGGGGGAGGGGAGGGGACCTAAAATTGCTTGTCAAGCGACGATGGGCCCCTCCCCGGTGGCGCTGAGGATGGTGCTGCTGGCAAAACCGTTGGTGGTCGTGATGCGGGTCGCGGTTGTGATGTTGGACTGGTGGCGCTGGAAATAGTACTATGAGCGGTCGTACTGTTGACGGCGGCAGTGGCCGTGAGAGGAGGAGCGTCGCTTTGCTGGTCAAGCCCTACTCGACAATCATCGACTCTTCATACAAATGGTTCAAAAACAGCTGAGCTTGTTCTCACTAGCTCCAACCCTCCCCTCGTCTATAAATTGACCTCTCCCTAGATATCTTCTTCTTCCTTTCTTTCTTCGTCAGGGGCGGCATCCGGGAAAGGGGAGCCGCTGGGTGGAAATGTGGCTATGCCCCGGAGCCGCTGGGTGGGAACGTGGCTCTGGTCGTGGTCGGGGGGGAGATGCGGCGCTCGCTGCCAAACCGTGATAGCTGCTTGGGCGGCTGTTGGTGGCAGTGGTAGTGGTCGTCATTTTCTTAGGCTGTGTTGAAAATAGCGGGAGTAGTCACTAAAGGGTAGATGTCTTCGAAGTCCTTCACTTCCAAAAAAAATTTAGCTTCATTCTACTAGCTCGAAGTCTCCCTTTCGTCTATAAATTGATCTTCCTCACCAGAATTACTCTTCTTCTTCTTCTTCATCGCCACGAGGAAAGGGATCAGGGGGCGGGGGAGGGGACCTAAAATTGCTTGTCAAGCGACGACGGGCCCTTCCCCGGTGGTGCTGAGGATGGTGCTGTTGGTGGAGGCGCTGGTGGTGGGGGAGGGAGAGGGGACCAGGAATCGCATATCAAGCCTCCCCGATGGCGTTGAGGATGGTGCTGTTGGGAAAGTCGCCGTTGGTAGCGCCGTTGGTAGAGCCGCTGTTAGTAGAGCTGCTAGTGGTCGTCGTGGACATGGTCGTAGTTGTGGCGAAACTGTCAGTGGCAGTGGCTACAACACGAAGAATGTGGTAGCCAATCCGTTGTTTGATAGCCTGAGAATGTTGCAGCGGTAGTGGCGGCGGCCACATTAATACTTTCTGACGGCTGGACTAGCTCGAAGCCTCCCTCTCATCTATAAATTGATCTTCCTCCCCAGAATTACTCTTCTTCTTCTTCTTCATCGCCACGAGGAAAGGGATCAGGGGCGGGGGAGGGGACCTAAAATTGCTTGTCAAGCGACAATGGGCCCCTCCCCGGTGGCGCTAAGGATGGTGCTGTTGGCCGAGGCTGTCGGCGGTTGTGCTGCCAGTACTATAGTACCGGTTGTACTGTTGATCGTTGACGCGGTGGTGGCCGTGGGAGGAGGATCAACGTTTGCTGTTCAAGCAGCTCTTTGCCCTCTTTGTCCAGCGAGATGGTCGTTTGTCAAGCAGCTCAAGTTTTGCTGGGGTTGCTGCTCGTCGTGGCGGTTGTGGTAGTGGTAATAGTCAGGGTGGTATTGGAGATACTGGGCGGAAGATATCGCATGCAAGGGTGTTGGAGGCTCTTGCGTGGCTAGTAATGACTGTAATGGTCGCAGGATGTCTCTGTGGCAATTTCCAATATATTCTTAAAATGTTAGTGAAAAAAAAGTTTCAAAACCGACTCGATGCTGGACTTGAGATAATTCCCAATCCGGTTACCGCAAGAAAATGAGTTTCTGCTCGGGCCTAGCCGAATGACATGCTGGAAATCCGGGGCCGTCGGCTCCAGACTTCCCCTCTGCCGGGAGCCGACTGACATGCTGGAAAACCCGGGGGCGTCGGCTCTAGACTTCGGCTCCAGACTTCCCCAGTTCCCCTCTGCCGGTAACAGTGGCCTATCTAATGACATGAAAGATTTGAGTGTCGCATTGTATGAAATAGTATGATTTTGACTGCGCGTGTACGTATCAAAGGAAGCTGTGTATGGAAGTGGTTTGCGCAAAGCTTGGTAGTGTGCGCATGTTAATGTGCGCAGTGAGAGGTATCAGACACTTGACAGGGCTCAAGGTAATGCACTTGGCCTGCGACTGATGATAGTGAGATGCAGTTTGTTTATCAGTAGCTTTGGCAACGATGGGAAGTAAACATAACATTGAACCTGTGGTAATGCATTGACGCGACAAAGGAAGTCGAGAGGTGACGACTGGTGACATCGTAGGCCATGTTTCTTCTCTTCTTTAATTTTCGTCTCGGCGAACAAACAATCTTTGAAAGCAAGTATGATCATACTCTTGCCTTGGAGTCGATGGTCTATTTGTCTCCACATACAGAGATGTTCCTTGCCCTTCCCTACACTCACTTGCCTCCATCTATCCATGACTTCCCCATGATTTATCTGATGAACTCCTTGCTTCTTTAATGCTTCCACCATTCTCTGTTGATCCTCAGTACAACGACATTCTGCGCGTTGTTCTTCAGGTGCGGGCTTCGGGCCTCCACCTGTCCCTCCACCACCACTGACAACACCACCACCACCACCACTCGACACCGTGCTCGCGCGCTTTCGCTCTTCTGATTCCTGCTTCTCTCCTTTGCGCCTTCGCGTTACTGTGCATCGTCTTCTCCTGCCTTTGGGTCGCCTCCTCCTGCCCCCGTCGGTCGCTTTGCTAGCGCTCCGGCCTCCTCTACTCTCCATCCTCGCACCTTTGCCGCCAATGTATCCAACCTGCTGGTGACCCCAGCTGCGACTCCGTCTTCAACCCATTTCTTATCTTTCACCTCCGAATCTGACCCCTTAATGTCGCCATCGTCTTCCGCTTTCACTCGTCCCGCGCCCTTCTTCTTTGAGCACCTCCTCTTGTCAAGTCTAGACGGCTTTACCCTCCCCTGCGCTGTAAGTGACCTCGCATTATTCATGCCCTTTGGCTGCCTTTCCCACACCCCTATCTTCGCTTGGCTTCCTCGCCTCCCGCATTCTCCTCTTCGGGAGAGTCAACACTCCAATCATCGACTGATACTTTCGAAAAACTCCGTCCAGCCCGTGCCCTCGCATTCTCCACGGCTGTGTTTAGCTACCCAAGCAACATTCGTGTCTTCGCTTAGCTGACACTCGTCCGCGCTGCTCCTCTTAGGAGACCTCTTCTTCGTTGAGAAAGTCGAGTCACTCCAACCATCGACTGAAGTCCTTCGAGAGGCTTGTATCCTCCCGTACGTGACTTCTCATTCTCCGTTTTCTCTTCCTTTGTTTCCTTCAACTCTCTCTGCTTCATCGACTTCGGCTCAGCGATTGCACCAGACATGTCATCTCCGTTGTTATCATGTTCATGGTTGTTCGGATGGTGAACGGAGTAAATTTGGTAGCCTTGTGGTGCGGTGGATCTGGCAGTCTTGTGTTGCGTGGGTACATACGGAGGAACTCTCTTCGCTGGAGGTGCCAATGGTGTAGCTTGTCTTCATTTCATCATCATCCTGATCATGACCATGTTTCTTCAGATGAAATAATTGAAAGCTTCGCGGTGGAGAATGGACTACCACCGCATCGGGTGCATAGGGATTATGATAGATGATATCCCAAGCATAGGTGGCCTGCGGCCCCCTTTGGACAGGGCGCCTAGTTATGACGGGTCGGCCCGAGCCGAAAGTCTAATGCTTTTGGTAACATAGGATATCGTTCTGCTGGAGAGCGGTGCGGTTGATGGGAGGATGCAAGGGGCGCAGAGAGAAGAGCGCCTCTATTGTACCGTAATTTAATGTTGGGAGATCTCGGTGAGTTTTTGTTGGATCATCTCCGCAAGAAGGCTTCAAGCCTGTCGGTAACTCCGGCCGGTACTCACTGTAACGCCTGCCGACCTGTATAGGGGTTTTCGCGCCTTCCCATAATTTTGTTACAGGCGCCTTCCGCTGTTTGGAAAGTCCGCGCCATGTAAACAACTTTCCTCCTTTCAACCATGTACAACTCCATGGATGGTACGAGATCTCATTACCACCAGCCTCCTAGAGGTCAGTAGATGTAGTTTTTACGTCTCTGCTTGGAACGCGGGTGAAGAGCGCGCGGTCTCCACAATCTTCTACCTTATGTCCCTCCAATCTCTCACACCCTCTCACTTTCGCAACCTACCTCATTTCCCTCCAATCTCTCACGCCTTTTCCCGCCCTCTCCCTTCCGCGACGTTGACGAGATCAACCAGGGTATGATACACTCTTCTGCCTCTCCTTCCGCGTCGTTGACAAAATACACTAGGTATGGATCACGCCTGGTTCACAAACGTATGGTCGACATCACTTGCGGTCTCGTATTGCGAGTGGAGAATATATGGAGCACCCTTCGGGGCCAAGCTTGAACATGGTGTGGGCTGGTAAAGCATATTTACCATTGCAATTTTTGGCGCTGCTTGAGAGTCTAGGTATGAAATTCTCTTGTCTTGCTTCGATTCAAACTAACCATAGCCCAGCCTTCAGTGAGCTTTCTCGAATAGAAAGACATTCATCCATCTGACGACCCATACTGTAAGTTTTGCGGGGATATCGTCAAGCACGGTACTCGTGAGGCTATGATCGAGATTGAACTTGCAAAAGATGGTGTGAAGTTCAAGTCAAATATCGTCATTCGATGCACGATTGAGGCAATAGGGAAGATACATATGAGAAATCGAAATCGAAGTATAAAATTCATATACCCAAAAATCCCGAATTTCAAGCATACGTATGCAACCACCCAACAAAGTGACGTTTAACACAGTGAATGACTGTTGTGATGAAATAAGTGATGTCATCCTCCATGTCCACCATTTCCCTGCTCTTGTTGGCGGACTGTATTAGCTCAAGGGAGGGGCGTAGTCTTCCGCAAAATCGGTCTTCTATGTCAACTTTCGCTCGGTGGCAAGCTCTGACTATCCCTTTCCTAAGTCCTTCCTGTTGATCACGAGGTCGTCGCTCTCGAACACACCCCTTGATGGCTCCACCTACTAATTGCATAGTGTATGCGCAAAGCGAAGTTGTAAAAGATGGAGAACAGGCATCATTCGCATCGTCCTCCATGTTGGTTCCACCCATCAGCCGCACATGCGCGTCGAAGTTGTGGATGATGCCATCGCTGTGTCATAGCCGATTGCTCTCATGGTACACCGCATTTGTCCGAAGCCACAGTGGTTACCGCAAGGTACCAACTCCAACTCGTTCAATAAGGGACGAAGTAACCGCTCCCACTCAAGCGACCAGTATTCGCCTTTCATATGCAATCTCTTCTTCTTGAATGCATCCACTCTGTAGACGTTGATCTGGGAGGGGTTTGTCTTCAAACATGATGAAATGTATGAGCTGTCTCTTTTCCACTCTCCATCCCATCTTTCCCATCTCACGTTCACACTGTTTGTTGTTGTACATGCTATTGTTGGACTCTTTCCGGCAATGACTTTGGCTTTTGTTGCCTGTAGGTAGATGTGGTCCTCCTTTCTTTCAATTCCGTATGCCACAGCCTTTGACACTGTGCACTGCAAGTTTTAGTCAACACCGCTGAAATGAAAACTTTGACTTTGTATTAGAGGTGTAGTTTGAGAAGCTTGCTCGGTATATCCTCCTATCGTCCGCCCTGCTGTCTAGCATTGGAAGGGTTGACAACTGACAACTATATCCTATGGTACCCCAGAAAGTTTGAGTTTCGGCTCGGGCCGAGCCGCCATGACACAAGGCGCCGAAGGCGGCCTGTACTCACGATAACTGGTTGGGAATGTCACAGGCATTACATTCCCGTGCCCCTGGTACAGCAATCTGATGTGACAATGGTTTAGTACTTTTCAGAAAAAATAACTCTCACAATGTTGCGCCGAAGGGTAGCCCTCTATATCTGCTTACCACCCGCCTCGACTTTACTATCAGAGAGCTAACATCTATTCCGCTGAAGTCATGCCCCAGAACCACGCATTGAGTCATCGTATAGACAGAGGTAGGGCTTCACTGTCCCTCTTTTTTCTCTCCATTTCAGTACCTGCCCCACGTATTCCTCCGCATTAATGCCCTTCAGATCTTTCCAGCCACTGCAATGAGCGTGAAGGCGGAGTGACCAGCAAAGATAGAGATTGGGAGAGTATCGGTGACGAAGTATGTAGAGACAGCGTGCTGGTCGAGTTGTAGCTCTCATTCCCCTCTCCTTTCGCCTGGCCTCCAGTACTGGTGAATGACTGGTCTCCTGCGTCTCGCTCTC